CACGGCGAGGAAGCAGGCCTGGCAGGTGATGGCCAGGCTCAGGAAGAGCACGGTCGTCTTAGTTCCATAGTCGAGGATTCGTTTGAGGATGGCGATGATGGCGAACTTGGGAAGGGAAAAGGACCAGATGACGACGGCGTTAATGATGGCGTTCCATTTGATGGCTTGCTCGAGCTGGTCCGGCTCCAGAGTGTCTTCTCGCCGCCCCAGGCCGTAGCTGATGCCAATGCTGGAGCAGATGCAGCTGACGATGAGGATGACGAGGCAAACAAAGGTTACCAAGTCATCGAGGCCGAGGCGGCCATATCTGCCTCGGTGGAAACACGCTCGACAGATGAGGCGAAGTACGACGATGACTACAGGCAGAGAAGAGAAAAAAAGAAGCTAAAGTTAGCAAGAAATGACTTGGAACATTGGCCAGAGAGGGCTTGTCAAACCTATGGAAGTGGCAGTTAGGGACCAATTAACTTGGTTGGCCACGATGCCGAAGTCCTCAATCACCCCAAGTCCCATCTGGTAGTGGTGTTGTGAGCCCGATTACCGTCCATCCATGTATATATCCGAGCCCACGCCAATGTGAGAAGAGTGACGAAGCCCTATTCTCGTCTCAAGAGGGCGCCCGGGACGATACTAATAAGGAGGTGGGATGCACCCTGTACTTGTACTGTAGCAACCCAGGCCAGGCCAACAACCAAGTACCTCGTACTCCGTGCTTCTGCAACTCCATTAAGGACAGAGTACTGGTAATTAACGACAGCCGGCCTCAACGGCTGCTCCACCCTCGTGCGCAATGGACGACGCCACCGCTAGCAGTTACCGATGGGGGGAGCCTCATGCCGGGGACGTGGGAAGCAGGAACGGAATGCACGTCCCAACGTTCAGCTTCATCCCACGTTTAGGACGGCCGCCCGTCGCAGTCGAGGCTGGTGGAACAAGAACAGGAACAGGCCGTGAGCATGATGGGCCTCTCCGTTAGTACAGTAGCTTCTTTGGGTAATCTTTCACCCCCCCGGGCATCTTCTCCATACCCGGCCATTCTCTAACATGGTCCTCCCTTTTCCTTGGAAACAAGAAAAGGCATTTTCAGACCTTCTGTCACCGTCGCAATAAGGCCCAGTCTAAAAACCGGGCGGAGCGTCCCATCCCAAGAGAGATGGTCAGCCTGCCTGATAAGATTGTCCAAGGTAAAATTAGCCCCTTGGGCTAAAGCACTTCTCCACCACGGCCAGGCACGTCGCCAGCTTAGTAGTCTTTCCGGAGTCATGCTAACGCCAACGCCATGAACCATTTTGGAATTCCAGCGCCGCAAGCGCGCGGGGAACATTGGGGGATAGATGCCGGCGTGCTTCGAACAAAGTGGCTTTCCTCGTATGTCTGATATGGCGGTGTCGACCACACTGATACTGTTTATGGGCTTCGCAATAGTACTCGTAGTCCTTTTTGGCAAGGTAGCTGCGGATTCTCATTTCTTTGCTCGTACGAGTACGGGCATTATGTCGCAAACGCTGTCTTTCTCTATCTCTCTTTGTCATTGTGCTGTAATCACAAAAGATCCGCTGGGTCGAGAACTCGAGCCCGGCACACAATAAGAACCGAGCGTTTTGACCAGGTCTGATTTGAAAGCCCGCGGGTTTTATTGTTGCCCCCTGGACATGACGGCCTTGTGGAGAATTCGGGTTCGCAGCAGCATGTCGGACCCTCCGCGATTGGGTCGCTCAAACTTGTCGCATTCTCTTGACTCAGCCATCGCCTCTCTGGCTGTACGGGTTTTTCTTTTTCTTCTTCACTCGTATTGCTGTGGGAAAAAACATTGATTTCTCAAATCTACAGGTTGATGTTCAGGAGATGGAAAAAGTATAGTGAGGAAAAAGGAAAGCAAATAGGGATAGGACTATTGGATCTGATGAAAGCATGTGTCAATCTCGCTAGAAAGGCCGATCCGATGCTGCTATTGCCGTTTTGCAGCTGTGTCATGCGACACAAAACGGAAATACGCGAGACAAGAGAAAATAGAGTACGAGAGAAGGGGAGAAAGAAGTCGCCAAAGCAGGGATCATGGGCGTAGTGGGAAATAATGGCCAACAGACGGGCCATCGCCTATTAATAGGCTGTCACTCGAAAAAAGAAAAGAAGAAGCAGGCAAAGCACATCACTCCTTTACATGCATCGCTCAGACTCTCCGAGTATAATATGCTGCCTTGGCCCATGGATTCTTGTCCACATTGTAGTATTAAACCTTGGTGTTTTCATGGCAGCAGTGCTGGCTTTCCGATGATCCATCGGGCACAAGGAACATCGTACGGAGCAGTTCGTGCCATTTGGCCATACGGATCCATCTGATCGAATCGACATTGCTAAAGGCTGCTGTAGCGGCGGATCCGCGCATCCGATGAACGGGATGTATCTCTTCGTTCCAACGATGCGGGTGGCCTCTGCGGCGGCCCAGCATAAGCTTACGAGTTCGCAGTGCTGCTACTGATCCGTGCATCGTAAAGGAATACTAGCACTGTCAATGTGATGGAGTATGAGTGCTGATAATGGCAATAATCAGCGCAGGCGCAGCCCTACGACAGGTCAAGCGGCCAAAAGTAGTTGCATGCGACGAGATGCCATGTTACCTGTCATTTTCCCCCTGAATAGCTTATGAGTGATTGCTGTGTGATGAAATATATATAGCATATCCACCTTTGTGTGATAGACCATGCGGGCGCCAGTCATCGACTCTGGACGGAGCATTACAAGAGCCGATCTCCCACCGAGGTTGATTGACGGTTGGTTTTCCGGCACGAAGTTTGTCCTGTCAAACATGTGATGACTGTATACCGGAGTGACAGTTGGGTACTCGGCTGTTGTTTTTCGCATGCCTGTTAGTCTATGACTTCCGAAAAGCGGGACAGCACACATAGCTGTCCTTGATGCTGCGAATCTTACGATGCAGTCATATATGCGGCAACTTAGTCCAACGGTAGGTCCAAGAGATTGGTCGGTAGATGAATACTTCAAATCGAAGCAAACAGGCATCTTCAGCCAGCCAGGGTAAAAGGGGCTCACTTGGAGCCCACTCTGGTCCAGTTTTGCGCCTCGCTTGACAAACAACTTGACTGCAGTGCATGGCCAGGGCAGCGGTAATTGTGAAAATCATTTCGATGTCACAACTTGGCAGGCTGTCGTAAGGTTGATGACGCACCACTCCTCTATGGAGCTAGGGGGTTGACAAGCCAGCTTGTGCCAACCTCCCTATCAACTTAGGCTGAAGACGTGGTTCAAGGGAACTTAGAACTTGGGTGCTTGGGCCTTTGGTTGAATCCAATTGCGCAGCATCGCTCAGAATTCCAACTCTTCCACCTCCATTCTGCACGTCACGCACGTCTTGACAGTCATGCCCTCCTCGTTCTCGACCGTTCGCCCCCATTCGTGCACATGTCGGCCCCCTCCGCCCACAGCATCGCCAAACTTGCTTGGTGCCCCATTCTTGTTGCCGAGTGTCCCTGCCTGTCGTCGGAACGCTTCAGTCCTCGTCTTGCGCTTAAGATCCAGTAGTTTCTCTTTGAATTTTGCCTCTTTACGGGCCTTCTTCTGCGATTCGCGCCGTTCGTATTCCGCGTCCAGCGCCTCCGCCGAACCCCATTTCGTACCGAGGGCGTATTCTTCTACCTGAAACCGCAAGAAGAGCATCATGTCGTGCCAGTGGGATTTGTGCGGATTTGGTTTGTTCAAATGAGGAAGCAGTTCGGGGTCCCGCAGTTCGGCTGTCAAAAAGGGAGGCAAAATCTCGTCAGTATTCCAAAACGTACCAATCTGCGTGAGAGAGAAACGAGGCTCGACTTACGATCTGTCAGGAGATAGTCTTCTTTGCACTCTGTTTTTGTCAACAGAGAATATTTTTCGGGGTATTTGTCTTTGCATTTGTTGCAAACACAGATGTGAAAGACTTCTTCCCACACAAAGTCAATCTCCAGACTTCCGCACTCTCGGCACTTCTTCCTCGTCTTTTGGTCGTCCAGAACACTGATACCCGGCTCAAAAGGACCTGCTTTTAGTCTCCTCAAGTTTTGTAGCGTTTTTTGCTTTTCCCATTCTTGGATCGTCATGCCCTTCGGTCTCTGCTCGTCTGCCTGGCCGGGCTTCTGAACGCCGAGCGCATAGTTGTGAGGGTCGTCCTCCATAGAGAGGAAGCCACCTTTTGTGTCCGTCATCGAGCTCATGTTGTAGTCTACAAATTTGGTAAACTTCTTTGCCGGTCGCAGGGCCGCCTCGTCCCCCACGTTGCGTCCATCACGATTGTTGCCAGCCGCAATATCTCCCGTCGAAATTTCGTTGAGTGGCCGCTTTCCATTTGCGGGTTTCGAGACATGCACATGTTCGGTAGGTATGAATCCAGCGGCTGACTTGGGAGGCACCTCCGCAGTTCCCGAGGCTCGCTGCTCAGCTTCTCGCTGTTCGCGGATGGCTTTGGCTCGTAGGCGACTCTCTTCCTGTAGCATTTTTGTGCTCTGGTTAGCCGGGGAATCCTCTAGATATCTAGGAAGCAAACGTACAATGCGCCTTGTCATCTCCGGGGTTTTAGATGACGTAGCTTGCGATTTGGTCGCAGCCGCCGGAGGCGTGACTGGACGCTCCATTGCTTATGTGTAGCAAAATTCGTAGGTGTAGCAGAAGAACGATTTATCAAGGCTTGGAAGTAGAACAAATGTGTAAAAACTTGCAGGAGCTTAAAAGTGTAAGGGATGCACGGTTGAAATATGAAGCGCTGGAGAATGAGGCGCGGGAGGGGCAAAAGACGTGACTCTAGAAATCGCCCACTTAACGCGAAGTAACGTGACTTGGTAACTTGAGGCAATGGCAACGAATCAGGAAGTATCAGGTACCTGGCAAGTTGGCGCTTTATATTCCATTCTCGATACTTCTAAATTGATAATGAGCAAACAAGGGAAGCACTGCGAAATAAAAATGGTCACATCAGGATACGTCGCTAAACATACAAAATGCAAACAGCAAAATGAGATGTCAGAGATTAATCATTACGGACCAGTATGATTAAAGATCAAAGCGCCAGATAATATATATGCCAAAACAAAGGTAGTACACATTATCGAATCCGAACCCGCGCCCAGTAGAGCCTTTTTTGCCTGCTCATATATGATACATCTATTCTGTAGAATCCTTTTACTCCTCCTTGGCACCGCCGCGGCCGGCCTTCTCGGCAGCCTCGACAGCCTTCTTGTCGCTCTGGACAGTGCCGTTGGCACCCTGCATGGCGCTCATGAAGCCCTGGGCAGCCTTGAAAGGTCGCTTGAGATCGCCAGAGGCGGGCTGGCCAAAGATGTGGATCTTGGCGAGGTTGCCCTCGAAGACGCCCTTGAGGGGGATGATGCTTTGGATGACCAGGGGGTTGGTGTACTTCATGTAGAGGTGCATGAAGGACATCATAGCGATACCCATCAGCTGGCCGCGCCAGAGCTGGCGGAGCTGGTTGGAGTCGTAGGCGTGGATCGTGGTGGTGACGAGCTTGCCTTCCTCGGAAGAGCCCATGGGCGCGGGCTCAACGTACTTGAGGGTGGTCATGTCTAGACAAAGAAACGCATGTTAGAGGATGGAACAAAACAAAAAGGCAGCGATCTGAAAGTCAATGCTTTTGCGCGGTATCAATTCCGAGACCGCCCATGTGTCAGACGTACCCTTCTTCTTGTTGATTTGGAACTGGATGTAAAAATAGAGAGCGGCGATGATGACGTTGCTGCCAATGTAGATGGCGCGGACGAGGTTGAGCACGTTCTCGTCTTCGAAGGGGATCTTCTTGGTGACTTGCATCATACCAAGGATGATCATGAGGTTGGTGCTGGACAGGGGAGTTAGCGAAATGTTCCAATGCGTATTCCTCGAAGTCGCCATCGTTTGTCGCGCCGTGACTTGCGACGAGGATTTTCGCTGCTTCTTTCTTCTCGTGCCTCGAACCTCGTCTCTCGTCTCTGCGACAAACGAGCGCAACCGAAGCGATTCTTGTATGTACTTACATCTGAGGACTGATACCCATTGTGGCGGCGACTGCAAACGCAGTGATGGTCAAAAGAACAATCAAAAGGAAAGTGGCAAGCAAAAAAGGCCCAGATGCTGGCTTGAGAGCGATGGAATGTTCCTCTTTGTAAGGGAAAAGGTTCGTCTCGTTTGTCCTTATACCAGAACTTTTTTTGGGGCTTCGCTGGCCTTTCCGGCGATGGGCACCACCTTTTTCCGGGGGCGAATCGGGGCCCCGCTCCAAGCAGATTGGTAGATAAGGCCAACAGCGGCGGGTGAAGGCGTGCAGCCAATTCTTTTTGTTTCCGACACCTTCGATTGAGATTGGCTGGGCTCTTGTTACTGTTACTGTACCTTGAATTAGAACGTCCATACGGAGTACAGGCACCTATAATAGGAATTGCACACAAGGACAAGCAGCACAGAACTGCATATGGTCAATGCCTCCAGCTCTCTCAAAGAGACTCAAGCCATCAAAAGCTCATGATTTCCGAATGCGTCGGATAAGACACTTTTCCCTCTCTTTTGCCTCTTTTGTCTCTTGAATTTCACGTGCACGCGGCACCCAATCTCCACGTTTTACTACTCTGGGATTTCAACGTCCTTTGTGTTACATTCCAGAAGCATCAGCCACGGCTCTGCATAACACTGGCTTGACAATGGAAATCTCAAACATGGAAGTGGACTACTATTCTTTTTTTGTGATAATACGACTGCAAATAATTACGACTACGCCATGTGATGAATGAATCCAACTGCTGCTGCGCCACCGCGATATCATGGACAACGCTCTTCAAAGGGGGATGTTGAGAATCATCCAAGCTTCTCCTCCACCAGAATGCACGAGCAACAACTCTTCAAAGACCGCCGTTGAAATCCCAAGATGCTGCTCCACCAAGATTCCAAAACCGGCGATTCTTCAAAGACGGCCGCTGACAATCCTTGCATCATTCCCCCGTCTCTTCAATGGATTCTCTGCCAGTGATCAAAGGCTCAAAGCCACCACTTTGCCATCATGTTAGTGAGAGTTTCTAAAAACACCAATCGTCCACTTTCAACATCACCGAATTGGAATATTTAAGATGGAGGTTATCCCGTCGTTGGAGACTGTTCTCCTCTCTCGGCATCACACCAAGAAATTCATATCCATATCCGCCACTACAGCACGATATATCCCTTCTGACACAAGATATATGTTTACTCTTTGGAAGACAAAGTCCAAAACCACCTGCAAGACAAAGTCCAAGACAACCTCGAAAACCATCTGGAAAATGTGTGGCGGCGGTCATTCTCACTCTCACTCTCCTCGGGGCAGGGGCCGTCAATCCTCTCACTCCCACCACTCTCACTCTCACTCTCACTCTCACTCTCACACGAGGCGAGGAGGTGGTTGTGGCAGCCACAGTCACGGTCACGACCACGATGATCATCCGTCTAACGGCCGCTATGAACCGGAACTTGTCCAAATCGCTGTGCCGGAGCCAGAAGCAAAGCCATACGTATGCTACTGCACCGGCCCAATCCCTCCGATGCCCGCGCCTACATGTTATCCGATGATCTGCTGCTACAAGGACGAACCGCCCAATTGCAACTGGCCGGCTATGCCTCCCAACTGCCTCCCTCCCCCTTGCCTTCCTGCCCCTTGCCTTCCTGCCAACTGCCTCCCTGCCAACTGTCTGCCGCCGGGCAGTTTTTCATACGTCTGCCCTCCTCCCCCGGCTTCCGATGAGTTCAGACTCGAGGTGATCGACACCAGCGACGGAAGGAACCGCGCTCGCAACGGAGAGAAGTACACCATCACGATCGACTCCAAGGCCACCATCGACGACGTTTTCTACATGGTCGATTGCCGAAACGAGAAGGATGTAAATGTGCGATGGAAGAATGACATTCTCGAGGAGCTGACCCAGGAGATTCGGGTAGGCGAACTGAGGCGCAATGCCAAGTGTCTCGTTGTCACGGACTTTTGCTGCGGTCACTGAGTATGCCAACCGAGTTGCCTATGACGAGGCAGAATGGAGGAGACAGAGGAACGGATTGTTTTTTGCATGGATGCTGTGACGACTTCAGCTTGAGATGACATGGTAGTATGATAGACTTGTATGAGTTTGAGTTTGAGTGGTTTTTGTACGGTAGTATTTGGATCCATTTTTATTTATGCTTGCTTGTTTCTTTGTAAGTAGCATGGGCTCGTCTGCCCTTATCGAGAAAAATCACAATATCATCGAGTTTCGTATTCCAAACGCCCGTCGTCGTCGTGATTGCAACAGCTCCCCCCAAAAAGTTCCACCAGTCAGTCATCGTTAAACTCTCCGATTGTCCATCTCCCGAGACACAATGCAATACACGCGCACATGGCAACCCCAACCCCCCTCCCCACAACGGATGGAGAAAAACCGAGACCAGGGTTCGTTTAATTAAAAACTGGCAGAAAATCTCGAGACGCCATCTTTGTGTGCAGAGCGCCGTTGAAATGAGATCTATACCGTGACTCACGGCACCCACCTTTCTTTAGGCAGAACACCAGGGTGGTTGACAGCCGCAGTTGACAACTCTCTCACACAAAGTGCTGCTCTTAGACTATAACCCCCAAGACTCTTTCGCCTTGCTCGTGGCATGTTTTATCCCGCTTGCTGGGTCCCTGAGTAACGAAATCTGGCAATTACCGAGAACCCGTTTAAGCACTTACTCCGCCTAGTTAGGAACTTTTTTCGTCATGCCGTGCTGTAACTGGTTTTAGCCCCTGTTCTGCTGTTGTAGAGTTGCATGTCCCTGTCTAAAAGCGTGCAAACCGTGGGTTTCTTGAGAACTAATGACTCAAGACAAGAATACAGCATTCGTGTAATACCCTTTTGGGCGAACAAGTTGCATTTAACCTCGGCACAGTTAACAGAGTGTCAATTACCTGCTTTCATTCCTTTCTTCTAAAAAAATAAAAAGAAAAAAAATCGAGAGCATGTGGCTTTGGATGCCTGGAGAGACTGCCTGCATGTATGACTTACACAAGTTCTCGGTTCTGAAAAGAGTTCGTATTGAGCCAAAGCGCGCGTGATTGACGGCGCTGCATGTAAGTGGCTGCATGAGCGTCCTCGCGCCGGAACATTATCATCAGTGCAGTAGCAGAATGCACACTTGCATGCACATGCATATGCTAATGCCAGAAGGGAGGGGGTGTATGAAGAACACTGCGAACAGTAACATGCCTACACTTTGTTGCCTATCTAGGTACCGAATAGAGCTCATTGCGTGCATGTACTGTACCAAAGAAGCCATCACCGGTGAGCAAACAAGCTGTACTTTCGGATCCGAATAGATTCTAGGGCGACCATGTCTGGTACGGGGCTTCGGCTGTGGCGCAGGCCAGCGCCGCCACCAAAGCCGCCGTCCTGGTTTCCTGTTTCGTTTCAAATAGTCTGTTCAAGGTTCCCAAAAAGATGCCAACTCGTATCGTATGACGGGCTCGTATCGCGGGCGGTTAACCTCTTGCATCCTCGTATCGTAAATCTGACGGTGCGGCACTTGAAAAGGGCACTTGAGAAGCAGGGCGAGACCAGACGAGACGAAATAAAATAATACGGGCCTCTTGATTTTGTTATCTTACCGCCCGCGACGTATTCGATACGCTACCCGGTAAGCATAAGGCTATGGGGATGAGACAGGAGATCCTTAAGTGGGATGATGATGACTGGTACAGTTGGAATTTCGGTGCAGTTTCGGTGCAGTTTTCAGACAGTACCTGCATGGAGTGGCTATTTTGCTAGTCTCATGGTTCTTGAAGTAAGGCGGAGAGCAAGGTGTTATTTGTTTAGTATTTCCCCGCGGGGTTACAGAGTGCCTTTCATACATGTCGGTACATGTAATGACGGGACCCTCTTTGAGTGATGCTCCAGGGGAGAAGATAAAATGACCAATGGTTAGGCATATTCACCTATTCGCCTCCAAGAGGGAATTAACAGCACCTCCAATTATCCGTCAAATAGGAGCTATATCCGATGCACTACGGCAAAAGCCTGATATCAGCTCCTCGCCTCACGGATCACCACAGGAGGATGCATGGCGATCATGGTGAGATTCCCACGCCCAATCAGACAGACACCCCCCTGATACGACTTATACATGGTTTGCTTAATAATGCAAAGCCAAAGAGTGAAAGAAGTGATGAGAATAAGACCTGAAAAAACACCACAGACTCGTCATTGTGTTACGAAGTTGGCCATGCAGCCCTACGAGGCTCATGGGAAGCGAACTCCGTATGACAGCATCACATACCGTCTCACCCTATAGATACATGTACTCCATTCCGTGATAGCATGCGGTGTAAGATGAATGGAAGGATGAAGGCTAACTGGCTCAGCCCATGCCGGGAATGCGACGCTACTGTACGGCTACGGCTATACTCCAGACTACTGGATAGGGCAAACATGGCGCCTATTCACACTGGTTTGGTCCGGAGCGGCGCAGGTGACCGGAATGGCTGTGCCTTTCGCTCTCGGTCTGCCGGAATAAGCCCGTCGAATGCGCATCCTCGCCTTGCTGAGTTAATTGCAACGTCTGTGACTTTACTCTGCGTTTTTTTTTTTGTTTCGTTTCTTCATTTGCGTGTTTGTCTTTGTTCTAATTAAAGAGCGCGCGAAGATGCGTTGGTTCGGTAGTCGTTGCGTCATAATATTAAGTGAGGTCTTTTGTCTTGAGTGGACAGATCTAGGCCCTTTAGCTGTTGACCCCATGAAGATGATTGACACTGGGGATCAGGATACGTAATCGCAAAGAGAAACGAGTGAACTGGATAGTGCCAGTACGGAGAAGAACCGAACCGAACTGTCAACATTACCCATGACAGCCAAGGATAATTAGTGCTCAATTTGTTTCGTGTCTTATCGGCATCGTGACAACTGTCTTCAGTGTCTCAGTCAACACCCGCAATACGATGTACGATGCGCCACGGCCCCCAGCCAAGCCATGCTCGAATGCCTCGCTTCACGTTCCCATCGCAACCTAATCTTCATCTCGCAGGGCAAAAGAAAAGAGACACGTCGAGAGCTACAGGGTCCGTGACGCCAAAAAAACCGCTGACGGCACAGCCACCGTGTCCATCGTTTCTCAACGGCCTCGTTGAAGTTTGAATGGCACCAGGCTGCTTGGATCCTTGGCCTTGCGGACTTTTGTTGTGGCACGCAAGCCACGCCTTTAGACTCAGATCCTGCCTCTTGTATGTGCACCCTTTTCTCTTGCACGACTCAGTCAGTCAGTCATTGGCTTTTGGGCACTTGGCACTTTGCTGTAAGACATGGTGCTCGGTGTATTCGGTGCGTATTGCGAGTTGCTGGGATGAATTGGCTCTTTTTTTTGGTGTTCATGGTCATTCGCTTGCTTTACTCGCACACCCTTTGAGGTATGACTCTTGTTCCGCCTTGTTTTGCCCAACCTTGTCTCTTCTTTTTTTGTTCTCCTTTCTTGTTTTCCAAACTTCTAGACTCGTCTACTCACATTGTTTATTCCGCCTCATTCTTTTTTAATCGCTCAAGACACCATGCGCTGTGAGGCATTAACCATTATCCCAGCGTTCTTCGCATCACTGCTGTCATCAGTGATGCAGAGCTTCAAACAGCGCTGTAACCACTTTAACCCCCCTGTAATACTGCCACTCTCTTTCGGGCAGCCCCACCCGCGGGAGCCTAGTTCTAGCGCCAAGAGCGCTCCACCCCTCATTAGCTGTGTCCCCACCGCCTGCCGCAACCGCAGCCCGGCCCTGCTGACAAAGTCGCACTCCGGCCAATGACGGCAGCCGGATTCTTTTCCTTCATACTTCGGTCCATGAACCATCTCAACCTTCGATTCTTCCATCATCCGCATGATACGCCTTAGGCGCTGCCCGTTCGTACACGCAAATCAGGCTGCCGATGCTCCCACGCCCCTTTGATCTGCTCGGCCCTACGCCACTCCCTCCATCCCCCCCAGCCCCAAGCAGCATGGCGCTCCCGAATCTGGCACAACCCAGACAGACAGACAGTCACAGCCATGGCCTCTTTTTCCCTGGTGGAGGAATCGACCGGAGGGACCAGGGGGATTAACCACATCGACTATACAGTGGAGAAAGCGCGCGGCTGCCTGGCTGGCTGCTGTCAAATCCTCCGGCATCCCAATCGAGATATAAGAGGCCTTGTTTGGCCTGAATTAAAAGGTTGAGTTCACTATCCGTTCAGTCACTACATTGAATCATTGCACATCACATCACAGCTGTTATACACATACTATATAGAGCTCTTGATCAGGTCTTGCATTGCATCGTGGCATCTCTCGTTCTTCTCTCGTTCCTCCCTCTTCTGGTTCTATCGATGGGAAGCACTGTTGGTTTACAACTGTCTCAACAACAACACTCGTTCTCTTGTTTAGACCTATAGCCACTGGATAGGATAATTGAAGCAACCTAGTTCTTCTTTCGTCTCAAATTCAGCCTTGCCGTTTCACCACTACCACTCAAGCACAGAGAACGCCTAGCACAGCCGGTAACCATGTTCAACACCTTCAAGTACGACCCCGAGACCAAGAGCGTCCAAGAGCTCAGGCGGGCCTCAGACCCCATCTCTGCCCGATCAAGCCAGCACCAAGCTTGCAATAACTGCCACGCTAAAAAGGTAACAAGACGCAGCATCATGCTACCGCCAAGCAAGTCCTCTCTTTGTTGTGTATCTAAAGCTAACCTCCCATTCCCTTTTACCAGCTCAAGTGCAGCGGCGACAAGAATGGATGTGAACGCTGCATCGCCAGCCAGCTCGTCTGCGAATACACCCGCTCCCCTTCTCGCAGAGGCGGTAGAAAGTCCAGCGGCAGGAATTCCACTGATAGCCGCGAGTTAGCCGGCGGCGACAGCAGCCCTGGCAGCCACTCTGGCAAATCTAGACATCGGAGCAGCAAACATCCCCAATATGCTGGGGCTGGCAGCAGCAGCAAATCCAAGTCTCGATCTGGCGACTACGGTGATGCGCTGGACCTATTAGACCCTGACACGCTCGGTCCCGATGATGGATTCGACTTGCGAACTCTGTCTCTAGAGGGTAGCGGCGACGCCATGGCTTCAGATGGTACCTACGGGAGCGGCGCCTATTACGGCCAACAGCAGCATGGTGGAGGCAGCTGGCAGCAGATGCCCTCTCATGGACAATATGGCGAGTACATGGGCGGCTCCAGCTCCAGCGGCCAAAACTACGACGGTGGAGAGTACTACGAAAACTATGACGAGTACGGACAGTACCACGACCAAAACGACCCCCGATACTGGGGTGGCCACCAGCAGCAATAGCGGCTTGTTTCTGGTTTCGCTTTGAGTTTGTGTTTTTATACGTTTTATGCGTTTTGCGTTGCGTTTTGCGAGTTGCATCATTTCTGCATTTCTGCATTTCTCTTTTCCTTTTCCTTTTCCTTTTTCCTTACTTCTTCCCTTTGTCTTCTTTTCAACATTAGATCTGGCCCCGAGCGGCCATGTAAGTGAACACTTTGGCGAGGATTGCAGCGCGTCTGATTTCATGCCTAGAATACCCCTGTACAGCATCAACTTGTATATTTAAGAACCACATTTCCTTTGTTCTTTTGCATTTTTTCACTTTTCATCATTTCATCCTGCGTTTTGTCTACTTTTCTCTGGCTCACCACATCATTTCCCCCTGTGCGCCCCTGCATGACGTATTCCGTCTGCAGCGTTCAGCCTTGGGAAAATAGATGCTGGGTTGGGCCGTGTACTTTTTTGTCATTTTCTTTTTAGATGGAGGCTATGCCGGTAATGGGCTCATGATTGGACGATTTGGATTGGCTACATACTTTTATAGACCACTTGCTTTTGTAAGCTTAGTTAGATTCGATGTTACACTTGGATTCACCGTCGATGCATACATCCTTTTTGGTCAGATGGCATGCCTTGCCAGTCTCGTAAATTCCCCTTTTCCTCCTCTTGACAGTATTTTGATGGAATAGTATCTTTTGCTCGTTTGAGAGAACATGCATAGGCAACAGTTGTATCCACGAGACCCAAGTTTGACTCATCCTCGCAATCGCATCTGCAAAACGTGTGAGTCGACACACTCTCGTGACGTTCCTGACCAACAACCCGGCTCAGGTACCCTTGCACTACACCCCTTACAAAGTACAACCAAATTTTTTTTTAAAAATAAAACCCCGAAGAAACCCTGGAGGAGGGAATGAAACGAAACGAAACAGATGTAGTATAGTACGTGATGACTACGTCAACTCACGGATTCAGCCCTGCGATAGGCCCTGGCGAAGTATGGATGTGTGTGCCTCAGGTGTACTGCCCATCGGTCATGACCACACCCCCCTTTTATTCTTTCGATCCTTACGGCAAAAGTAAAGGGTACCTTAGCTGTAGTAAGGTGGGTGGGTGCTAGTAGAGCGAGGAGGAACTTAGTGCTGGAGTACAGTACAGTAGCAGGCAGGCACCAGATGCCATCGTGCAGGCTGGAATCGTTGACTGAGCTATGATTGGTGTTTATGTTTCTTGGTATGGGTTGCATGGTTTGTAGTAGTGGGTGCTTATCAAGGATCTAAGTGTTTTTGCCGTGTTGGGTGCCTTGCATGGGTGTTGAAGATGGGGGGGGGCGTGTGTTTCCAAGAAAGCGGTTTATACTGAGATGGGTGGGAAATTACATTCTTTTTTGCTACTGCGTTTGGGGGTAGTTTGTAGGCGTTCTTTATAGGAGATGAGAAATTGGGAGGAGTAAAAGTTCTCGAAACTGCGGTTATTACGGCAATTGCACATTGCCCTTTTCTTTTTTCCTCTCGTCTTGAATTCTTTCGGCTTACTTGATCGTTGCGTTTTCTAGTTCCACAAGACACAACGAGCCGCTTATGCCAATCCTTCTGCCGCGTCTCCCGGGTACTCTCCAAACCAAACCAACAACAAAACAAAAAGACAACCTACATTGGAAACAAAGCAAAGCAAGGAGTCACGAGGGGAGCGAATCACGCCATGTGAACAGGCTGATATGAAAGTTGCCTGCGTTAAGGTACGTACGTGCGCTCTTGTGAGGTCTTTTCCGGTGGCGCTCGGATGTTCCGATATGATGCTTTGTCACGATGTGAGGCGTGGGCTTCTTAGGCAGCCGAAGGATTCTGTCTACGTTGCCGCCAACACTTTTTTTTCTTTCTTGTAGGCTGCACTTTTTGTATTTGTTGGCCTTGTGACTTGACTTCGAATCTGAATATGCAGTATTCGTGGAACCTGTTGGGGTGTTTGCGTTTGCTACATGCGTCTTGTTGAGTGAAGAGGCTAAATCATTTAGGTTCGGAATACCCTCAGTTCTGTCGAGAATGGTGTATCATCTATTATTCATTGCTCGATGAGAGTCTCTATATTCTTAGTTTGTGTACATCAACTTATAAGACGCTCGTTAGTGATCCAGTTTTGGTCGTTAGCTCATCTACCATCGCGCAAACGCCATGCGCAATCATCAAAATTTACACAAAAACACATATCGATATCCAGCATAGCGGCCATCTAATTGCAAGTATAAGACGCAACGCTCTAGGATGCGCGCTTGTCTTCAGTGAACTGGGCCAAAGCAGGCGCCTTTGATTTCGGACGACTTGCGTCCAAGTACGCCTTGTCATCGTCTCTAATGGTCTTGAACAACGCTCTCGCAATAACTAGTCGCAAAACAAGGGAAAGAAGCGAAGTGAGCATGATGCCGCAGGCAGCAAGAAGCTGAATCCCAATATACTTGCCAGTACTGTTAAGAATGGCACCCGATATGGGCGGGCCGATGAGTGATCCAATACCTTTGAGAATGGAGACCATGCCCAGTCTAGTCCCCAGACGACTCATATCTGGAGTAATGGAGGTCAAAACCACGGATCCGAGAGCTACTACGCTACCGGACCAAAAGCCATATAAAACGGCAAAGGCAATGTTACCAGCTGCATTTGTCACGCTGATCCAGTAAAAGACACTTGCACTACTCAAGGCGCATACGACGACGTACGTGTCCAAAGAACCAACCTTGTCTGCAACGAACCCGGGTATGATCCTGCCAGGGATGGAAGAGGCGTTGAGAATAGGCAACAGATATGCGGCCAGCACGTGGCCCTGCATGCCATGCAAGACGGCGTAGCTCTGCAGGTAATAGGGCGGGTTAAAGAATGAAAGATTGTTAAAGAAAATGGCAATGCAGTAGAGAAGGTACGTCTTCTCCTTGAGAGCCGAAGAGTCCCAGAACCAGCGGATGGAGAAGCCGTTCTGCTGCCACCCGGGCTTCTTGGCCGCCGTGCGGGGCCGGATGATGATGAGCGCAAAGGAGCACATTGCAAACGCCATGAATCCCATGACTCTCATGGTCCAGCCGAAGCCTATCTGCGGCACCAGGTTCTGGAACATGAGGGGATACAGCGTTGCGCCAAGGCCACTGCCCACGGTGGCGAGACCCATGGCTCTAGCTCTGCGTCTCTTGAAGTACATGGGCACAATGGCAATAGACGGGATGGAGAGACAGCAGGTGCCCAAGCCGAGGCAGACTCCCTGGGCGAGAAAGATTTGCCAATAGCGCGTGCTGATGCTGGTCATCATGAAGCACAGGGTGACGAGAAGCGTTCCAGCGGCGAGCAGCGCGCGACAGTACCCTGCATCGTAGAGCGGGCCAATGACAGCTCCAACGGACATTAAGCAAAACACTTGGATGGATCCAATCCAGGAGATGGCCGAGGGCGTAGAGTCCTTGAGGAGGTCTGTTTCGTAGTAGTTTTGGAAGACACCAAAGCTGTTGAGTAAGCCCCTGAATAACCTCCACGTTAGTACATATTGACAGTCATTCTTTGATGAGTGAATTTTCCGTTTTGCCATACAAGTGATTGAAATAGAGAGCGAATGAGGCAACGACTTGTAGCCATGCCTGTAATCCGCCATCCGGAGGCGCATTGCTGTCGTCCTGACCATTGTTCTGGGCCTGCTCAAGTGGTGCTGACTGTTCAAGAACGCCCGCATCGGCCGCACCGACAGGCTGCGGCTCCATGGCCCTCTGCTCTTGGATCTGGATCTGAGACATGACCGGGGTTCTCTCGTAAATTCGAACGCCGTGACATGAGAGTCAACTGCTGCTCGGTATCGAGACGAGCAAAGGCCAGAGACTAGCAGCTGGATATATGCACGCGCGATTGATAAGAGACGGGGAGCCGCGTCCGGATGCCGGCTCGTCACGTCGTAACTCCGCACGGGTAATTGATAGGGAAAAGCATGATCTTTGCAGGGAATAAGTCGGGAGATGAAGACGGATAATGAATGCTGTTGCTAGCTAGCACATTGCGGGGGGGGTTTTAGACGAGAGAGCCGATGGTGAGGACGAGGACGAGATGCTGGAGTTGTGAGCATCTTGAGGAGAAGTTGAATTGTGAGGCTTGGATGCGGTAAGAAGAAGATGCCCAAAATTACGTTGGATGCCTTGGCGTTTGGTGTTTTGACCATTAATATGTCGTAGGGATAGGATTCGGTGCATGTGACGCCACATGAGAGAGGCTTGGAAGGGAAGCAATGAGATGGATTACATCAGCCATCATCCACCTATGAGAAGAGATGGACGAGATGCTTCACAGGGAGTCAAGAGAATACAGGTGACTGGTATATACTGCATGACTGCCTTCACCTTTTGGCTACCCACGAACATGCACGAATATGTAACCATTACCAGTATGTATTTCGTACAAACCCCTGGCTGTCAAAGGCTCACGCATCAGATCCGGGACGCTACGGGTGCTTCAGGAAGGCCTCAAGCTTTGCCTCATGCACGAGAATCTGCAGCATCCTTCAACAGCCAGCAGGGGTGGTTCAATCTTCAGGCGTCAGGTAACAGTGGCCAAACCCCGTCCCGTGATCAGTCGAGATTTTGGGACGATATCCAACAAGACGGGACATTGGGCGCCCAACTAGGTCGAATAGGGTATCAAGGTATGTAGGCAAATACTGTATATACGCCATAACGCATGAGACAAGAGACAAGAGACGAGAGTATAGTAATTAAAAAAAGAAAAAAAGAGTTGCCGCTTGCGTACGTGCACCTCGCATCTTGCAGCACTGTGGCTGGCATCAACTGACGATCCGCTTGGAGCAAAACAAGAAAAACAAGCCACATACGACGTAGGCTCCCAAGCCGCGGAGCAATGGCTTTTTGGCGATCTTGTATTTCTGCCTCGATCAACGACCGCGGCTTACTCGCTGCCCTCCGGAAATATTGCTTCAGCTAGCAAAGGAGGAAAAAAGAGGGTGTGTTACTACATGTTAGGTACTAGAGTAGCTTGCGTCGGTGCCGCTTCGGCTTCTTCGCGTCTTTCGACGATTGGGCTGACAATTGGAATTTTCTAATCCCACCTGAGCCTCGGTTTACGAATTCGAATAAAGAGAAGCAGCAGCGTCGTATTCCAATTATTGTTTCTGCAGCGTGTCGTTCGCTAGCTGAAGCAATCTAGGCTTGCATGGCTAGCTCGCGGCCTGAGCGTAAGGCTCGGTGACGAAAACCGGTAGCTTGTCGCGTGTATAATTTATTTTTGTTGTGTGTTTCATACGAACCTACATTTTGGGCGAACAGAAGCATGGAAAGCAAAGCAAATCGTAATAACGGGGAAACTTCTAGCTTTGGGCTTTTGGGGCGGGTTTGGTTTTGCCACCTCAGGCCAGAAAGCGCGAAATAATGGATGGGCTCTCGTTCAGGTTTTTCTTTGTTGTACGGATTTAAGCTGGAGAGAAGGGAGAAAAGAACTTGGCCCGAATGGGGAAATTGCTCTGCGGGCGAGACGGAGAGTTTTCAACAAAGCAAGTTCTGTACGGAGTACAGTATCAGTAATATTCTACAATGTTCTGTACATTTCATCATTAACGGAATGTCTTGAAGGTGGCAGAGACAGAGACAGAAGCAGAGACACATGCGGCACTGTGTCGCGTGGGACAAAACGCAGAGCAATTTCCCAATTTCTAATTTACCTTTCGGCGCAACAACCCCGTACAAACGCCATTGTACCTAACAAACGGAGCGGGCAAGTTTAAGCTGCAGAAAAGAGCTCCGAACTCCGTGGTCCCTGATGTTGGAAGCAATTAATAAGGCCCAAGTGGATTGGTAATGGGCCAACTGCCGGAGTACTTGGGAGGTACAAGCAGATACAGGGGATTAATTCTTGTGCGCGCTTTTGCCTTTTTTTGCGCCTAAAATACGGAGTACCTGATTTGAATTGTGTGGGATGGAGTTGGAGAGCCAAGACCGAATCACGCCTAGAAGGATTCCATGGATATTATTCTCGTGATTTTATTTATTTATTTGTTTATTTTTATTTATTTAGGTATTATTTTATATTAAGGCACATGTGCAGGTCGCTCGTAGCTCGCGTACTACTGCGGCCTTTCCGCGTCTAAAAGGCCTTCAAAGTCGTCAAACCCGGCCATTCCAGTAATTACGGCTTGTGGCCGGACAAGTCAACAGACGAGACGAGATCCGCTTGCCATCCGGGCCGTCTCGTCTCCTTTTGCGATCAATAGAGTGTAATTGTCTAGATCTCGCGAAACGAACCCCCTATTCTATGGGGTACTCCTACTACATCCATGCCGTCAGGTGACGGTGTTTGTATCGTAGCAGCCGGAATGGCTGGGCGAGTACATACTCCGTATACACACGCGTAACTCTGTCTTTGGGGATATATTGGGGGGTTGCATGTCACATGTAATAATGAGAGATCCTGGCGCTGCGGCTGAGGAGAGGTCGTTTGGGGTAAGGTAGGGACACGTACGGAGTACCAGGTGATGGGCATGATGATGTGCGTGCTTGACCGGGCCTGTCAGATTACTTGCGTCGTCGGTGACGGGCATGACTAGACGGGAAGGTTGCACGAAGTTATGCCTACGAGTTATGGATGTTTCTCGGTATCGTAAGCATCTGTACTAATTTCATGGATGGGGCATATTGTGTTGGTCGTATTATGACGGCCTCGAGTATTGGACCTGAGATTACCCAGCTGCTTGGGACCGCAAGACAAGAGCATAGCACACAAGGTAGAGATACGTCGTAAAAAGCATCAACCTCTCGCTGATTTCGGGGTATTACTGCATGGAGTCTTGGGTCCTAGCCCGAAATCCGAATTCAACCTCCTTTACACCTGATCACTAGGTCTGGCACGCAAGGCTCGGGACGGATGGGTGGCCTTGGGTACAGGAGATTCCGTGTCTTTTGCGCTCCATACCGTAGGATCGGGCATTTGCTCCCACTCACATCACATCTCAGCAACCAACCCCCATCAGGGTATTCCGGGGAACTTATTGCGATGGAACGAAGCCCGATAGAACCTGAGCCTCCTTGGCAGGCTTGGTTGGGTGCATGTACGAGTAGGATCGTAGGCACCACTAGGTACGGCTGAGTCGTTCCAAGTGATCCGAGAGGTTCTCGATCCCAAGATTGCATCAAACAGCAAATCGCTGCAGCCACCCGTACACCAACCAGTCACGGAAATCACTAAGGGGATCAAAATTGATATCATCGTGCAGCGTGCTATTTTTATTTTTTACTCGTCATCCTTTTCCTTCGGCGGCCGATGGTCAGCGCGGGGTGGCTTGTGAGGAGAAAAGACTGGACATGGGAGCTTCTCCTCACTTCCACAGTCGTTGACGTCTTAGCTTCCCCCCTTTGCTTCACCTTAATAAAGCGCGAGCGCTTCCTAAGCTACGTAGCAACGGTGAATAACTTGGACATTTGTCGAGTTGGCCTGGACAATGCATCCCGCGTGTGTCATTTCCGCATCCAGACATTGGTGAAAATAGGAACACGGATCCCTGCATTCTGGGCCAAGCAATCTTTCACATGGACAGCTGTGCTGCGTGCTAGAGCCCATTTACAGCGAATAAGAGAGGACGCAGCAAATCTCGGGTTGCCGAATGACATGACCAGAGCCATCTCCATCTCAGGGTCCAATTGCGTGGGCGACGGTGGCCTGCATCCCTGTGCCGCGGATGCTTAGTGTTTGCCTCGGTGGCGTCTCTGGCCTGACAGCTCCTTGAGACACACAGGCGCCTCCTCTAGCTAGCTAGCTTGAAAGGGGAGATGAAGTGAGGGAAGAAAAGAGATGAAATGTCAGCGCATGCAGTTGTGCGTTGGCAATGAGGCCAAAGAATTGAGCCGTTGGTAGAGGCATTTCACCACAGGTAAGGACACCCATCTGGAATTGAGTCGCGTGAGCACATACGGGACACTTTTGGCGGCCCCAATCAGACTTGCAGCGGCGATACTTGGTCAAATTGTCTTCAGTATCACCGTCAACCCATATTTAACCATCAATATTGCATGTTCTCCCTGCATGCATATGTAATAAAGCTGCATCCTCCAGCGGGCTGAGAGCCATTGGTGCCCTAGAACTGCGTTGAGCAAGGCTCCAGCTAGCTGCTTGCCGGCACCAAGCCCAAGAGCCCAGCCACCAGCAGAAATGCAATGGATGGCGCTGGGATCCTTTGTCGAGACTCTCGCCACAGAGGAACAAGCTTTCTAATTCGACGACTTAACGAGGGGGGGCTTCGGGAACAAGCAGCTGAAGAAGAAGGGCGAGTAAATTGGAGTATATTGGAGTACAGACGCGTGTACTGTGCAAAAAGTGGTTGGATGATCCAACTCTGGACTTTTCATCAAGTCTCCGTCCCCCATAGACTGGAGTAAATTAGGTCCACTGGTACTTGAGGTCCATTCTATGGAGGTTTATCCATGGAGCCAGCACTGGAGACATTCGAACTTTCAATCTGCTTCGTAAGCCTCTGGAAGCATGGAGAGAAGCTCGTCATGGACCGCCGTGGAAGTGCCTCAGTCATGGCACTGCACTAAGCGCCGCTATCTGGGCAATAGACCAAGCTCGACAAGCTTCAATGGCTCTCTTTTTTTCCTCTCTCGCTCTCGTTCGAATCCCGAGAAAAAAAAAAAGAGGTCCGCTGCAGCCGCGATCCGAGACGGGAACGGCACTAACAACGTCCGTGAATACTGGCGCAATACCTCCAGAGTACCTCTCGTACCAACCAGCCCGATGAGATGAGTTCTGGACCAACAGTGAACCCAATGCACTAAAATTGCCCGCTAATACAGCCCGTGGACAACAGCACAGCTTCACTGTACGATTGATACTGGCACTGGTACAGTAACTGGCACTGCACCCCACCCTCAGTTGCAGAGGCCCGCTCCAGCAGCCGGCCCACCGCGATGCCACCAATTCCGCTCTAATGCACTCGAACCAGACTGACCACCAGCTCTTAGTACATACATGTACACATGTACATAAGCTGTTGCCGACAAGGGTTGTGGGATGCGCATGGGGGGCAGTTTTAAAATGGATTCGAATGAGGTCTGGTGTTCTGGCTGCTGGGTACTGGGTACCGCCGGAGCATGCGATGGTCTACGTAGAGAGTACGTGATGCAACCACTGAATTCACTCACCCGCTGCAGTACCCAATACTCCCTCCAGCTTGTCGCCGCACTGTACCCGCTACCCTCGCGCTCGCATGTCGCGCCTTGGACCCTGCCCGGTACCTACGGCTGCTCGCCTGGCCGCCGGTACGTACTGCAGTACCCAGCAGTGCACAAGGCCCTGTAAACCCCCATGCCCGTCTCAGTCGACCTCCAACCTGGCGATCTCCCTCCCACATCCTCCCACGCGACCTTGCCTGTTCTTCCTGACCGAAGCCTGCAACTCTCCTCGTACTTACATTTACACTGACCTTCTCCCACTCTCGTCAAGATGGCTTCTCAACTCCCTCTTGATTCTTCCAGAAGGAATCCTACGATCCTTTAGGCCTTGCCCGCTAGCAGTGCCTTTGTGAAGCCATTGTCGACCGAAAAAAATCATTGCTTCAAACCATCTGCCCTCTACTCTATACTCTACTCTTCTCCCTCGTTGGTCACGGTCCCAAGACTTGAATCTCGCCTTTGCTCCTATTCACGACTCTACCTTTGAACAAACGGACTTGCTGCCTCAATACCTATCCTCATACCGTCATCTTTCCAGTCCTGAACTTTACTGAGCTCTGGCTGAACACCACACTCAAAGTTGCCGTGATTCAAGCATAGAGTTCTACAACTACACCAAGCCATCAAACCTCAAACTCGGCTGCGCAGACAACAGAACCTACCGATATACCTTATAAAACGACGCGAGCTGGTCGGCATGGCACTAAATATACTTTCCGACAATACTGTCCTCCCCTTTGCCTCCGAAACTCCTCTTACCTCTCCCCAACTATTTCCCACCCTGCTCCCGACGCAAGATCACGACTTGATACTCGAAAACCTCTCCTTTTCCATGTCTGAGATGAAGACGCAAAGTGTCGTGGATGACCGGACTCTGAACGAGGAACAAGCCATCTCACGCACTCAGCGTCGCGCTGCTGTTCAGCAGACGCTGCCGTCTTCAACGCTACCTAGGGCTAGTGCTATGTCTCGTGAGTTGCTCCACACTTGTCCTTGCCCTTCTTTTGTATGACGTCTGAACAGTACTGACCATTTCCCAGGCTCTACATCAAGTGGATCAGTAGTATCAGTTACTGCAACAAACGTCACAGAATTCCCGGCAGCGCCCATGGATGGTAGACCAGTCAATTTTGGCTTGGTTGTTCCTGGTGTTTACCGAAGCAGCTATCCTAAGAAGGAAGACTATCCCTTCTTGAAGAGCTTGAAGCTGAAGACGATAGTGTATGTGTTGACATCTATCCATGTCGCTCACTCTTGAAGCTAACCCCATATTAGTACCCTGGTCAAGAAAGATGACCCCGATCACGAGCTTGAGTCCTTTGTGGCTGCCAATGGCATCCAGCAGGCCGTCTTCAACATGAAGGGAACAAAGAAAGAACCCATTCCGCCCAGCACCATGGCCGCCATCCTCGAACTTGTTCTAGACCGGAAAAACTACCCTCTTATGATCCATTGCAACCATGGAAAGCACCGTACCGGATGCGTCATCGCCGTTGTCCGCAAGCTGTCTGGCTGGGGCCTCGACAGAGTCGTCGACGAGTACACCACCTATGCCTCCCCTAAGGTTCGGGAATGTGATGTCGAGTACATTACCTCATTTCAGCCCAGCTCGCTCGAGATTACATTAGCGCGATCAATCCATCCCGAGAATCCGCGCTTCGGCCCACTTCAAGTGCGGTCATTTATGAGGACCCTTTTGTTCACTGCCGTGGTCACGACAATATGGCTGGTATCTGGCTCTCGCATGGCCGTTCAACGCAACAATATGTCCAGCTAGGACGAATTTTCGGAAGAGTTAGAAAAAGTTGGCTGAAAGGTGTACTACGTTATTGTGACTCCAGTTTTTTCTACTTACGACAGCGCCATCCGAAAGAATCGCAGACAAGAACGAAGAGAGAAAGACAGAGAGAGAAACGGAGAGAGACAGAGGGGGAGAGAAGCACAGAGAGACAGAGAGACGCGGTATCAAGACCGCAGATATAGAGCAAGGTTTACGGATCATTCTATTATTACCAGTGTTGGGTGTTGCATGGGAAAGGCATCACGGTACAGATTTGTACTTGGGATCTTATGGGTGGGGATTGGGCTCGCAGAGACTTCAAGAGCTGAGACGATCTGCGAATCGGCGTTTTTGTGTGATGATGGTATTATCCTTCTTGTTTCCTTTGTCGATTTTTTTTGTTAGAAGAGGTGGCGATGTAAAAGCACACGATAGTTGCGCTTTGCATGCTAATTAACTACCCTGTTTGCCCCATCTCGCTTTTTTACTATCATATCATCATTATCATCCTTGGTGTTGTGGATTTGGGAAGTGGATATTAAGCCTTGTATCCAATATTTGTATAGACGGTAGTGGCTCACACTTACTTTGAGGCCCTTTGTGCTCGAAACACCATTGGCCTGTGGTTGAATACGAAACATATTTGTATCGCCAATTCAGCTAAAGTGTGATATTGTGAATTTTGCGTAATTCTTATTCCACGCTAAACATGTGCAAGTAGGTAATAGTATACATTTCTTTACTCCGACCCAAATGAAGTCCCAGTCGTTCCCTAGTCATACAATGCCCTCTTCATCTCCATCCATCTTCTGCCACGTATTTTTTGTTTCCCACCATTCTTTCTCGTCGCCCAATTTTTTCTCTCATTTCACTTCTTGTCGTCAAACTGCCCCCACCGATTCCGGCTCTCCCTCTCGTCCCTATCGCGATCCTTGCTGCCATGCAGATATACCCAACCGCCTGCCACGCAATTCGCCGCACCGAGCCCGACGGCGGTCCCGCGCACGACGCCGCGGATGCTGAATTTCGCGCGGAGGGTCTGGCGCCGCCGGAGGGCGAGCAGGGCGTAGAGGCCGGACCAGGCGGCGGTGAGGCCTGCGCTGGCGGTTGGGTAGCCGGAGAGGTTGAGGTAGGATGAGAAGAGGAGGGTTGGGGTGAAGAGGGTGAGGGGGAGGGGTTGGAGGGGGCGGGCGTGGAGGGCGGTGATGAGGGTTGCGAGGAGGGAGGGGGGGAGGGAGGATGCTGTTTGTGAGAGTGTTTTGTTAGTGGTGAGGAATAAGGTGAGAGGTGAGTTTGTGAGTGTTGTTGAGGGTGTGTATGTGAGATGAGGATTTGGAAGTGATTTTTTTTGGTGTAAGATGAGGGTGGGAGGGGAGGACTTACAGCCCCATTCGGTGAGACGCTCGGTTATGGATTTTTCGATTGCTTCTTTGTCGGATGCCATGATGGGGTTTTATTTTGATGTTGAACTTTATGTGGTTGAGATGTGGTTTATTTTTTTTCATGTGAGATCGCTAACATCCATTGGTGAGGTTGAATGTGACGTGATGTATCTCAGTCGTGATGACTAAGCATTGCTTTCTACTGAGCAGATTCATTTGTTGACGCTTTCAGAGCCAGAATTAGGATTTCACAGCATGATTCAATTGATCAACTTGATTATTTTAGGATTTGGAAATAACTTCTTCAATTGAGAGTTTCTTCATTGCACAATGGTTGAGGGAAGTATTAAAGCAGGCAGTTGTAGATATTTTGATGCCCGTTACAAGTACAAACGCGGGCCGGCCGAATGATTCGCCGACGACCCCAAAATTTCCATATTCATCGCACGACCAATATCCACCAGCATCGAATTCGATCTCGAGAAGACGGCCAAGTTGAATCGCCGCAACTGCAACCCAATCTCCGGCCCAATTCACCACATAAACGACTCTTCTGAAGCATTTTCGAATCGACCTCGCCTAAAAGAAATCACCTCCTCAAATCAAAGCCCCTCCACACAGAATCCGCCATCATGGGCGGCAGGCAAATCCGCCCCGCGGGCGTCTACAAGGCCGTCCGGGAAGAGCTCAAGCACCAGCTCATGCCCGGCTACAACGTGCCCACGCCGCCGTGGTTCGCCGTCATGAACTCGGTTCCTCCCTCAGAGGCGCTCGTGCGCACCGTCACGCCGCGCCACCGCATGCCCAACCCAAAGGCCTCGAAGCCCAAGAAGCTGTTCCGCCCGCAGAGCATTGCGTACCCGGAAGATGCGCTGCGGACGAGCTTCTACAAGGATCACCCGTGGGAGCTGGCGAGGCCGAGGGTTGTGCTGGAGTTGGATGGTAAAGATTATCAGCATTGTGATTGGAGTAAAGGATTGAGACAGAAGGGTGTCCCACTATCAGGTGAAAGGTAAGAGAAAAATCCCCAATACCCCGCGGTTATCTCGACGGACGGGGAAGAAGAATTCCCACTGACGAATTTTCTCTGCTATAGTGTTGTACAACGCCAGCTGTGGTTAATGGAAAACGAAAAGATGAGCAAGCGCAAGGCATACGACACGGTCCGCCGAGAGTTCTACAGGCTGCGCCAGCAAGAGGAGGTCGAGAAGAGGATAGCCATCGAGGAGGCGCGCTACGCCGGCGCATACTTTGGCAAGACGAGATTGGATATCGGCATGCAGCTCGAGGACCAGGAGTACGAGAACTGGAAGATTTGGGCCGGCAAGGAGACGGCGAACCGGGAGGCCAGGGCAAGTTCCGACATTGAGACGTTTGGACTCGAGGAGGAGGAGGGCGCGGCGGAGACGGCGGAGGCGCAGCCTGTGACGGCGGCGGCATAGGTATAGACGGGGAGGGGGGGCTGGCATGGCTTGTATTATATGACTTGTACGAAGACAATCGGGGAGAAGGATATAAAAAAGAAGGTAAAATTATGTTATTATTTGGCAGGGCTGGGTTCCATGTCATCCAAGCGGCGGGAATTAAAGACAATTTCTCCTGCGTTCTGTACGCCATATCGAGTCGCCACTTCTTGGTGCTGTGTGACAAAGACGTCTGCTATACCGGTGTGGAATAGGAGCTTGCCCGTCAAGCTCAGTGTCGATATGCGTGCCCAGGACTCAATGTATATGACCTTCATGCAGCTCTCAGGAACAAGGTAAGCCATCTTGAGTAAATGCACCGCCAACGCAACAAAGAAGCCAGTAGCCGGCCCATTTGAAAACACGCGGCTTGGATAACACGGCTTCATCTTCATCCCAACCAGGCCCTTTGGCGGGATGAGCAGCGCGGGGAATATCTCGACAATGCTAAGCAGCGCCGTAAAAGGGGTCGACCAGAGTGGTTGGTGGACTCGCCGCGCGCGGGTGACGATGAACTTGTCGTACGTGCCGGGGGACGTCCCACGAGATTCGCACAGGGACGCCAGGCTCTCCTCGTAGTCGTGGACGTGGTTCTCCGACATGGAGTCGCCGCTGGAGATGAGGTAGCGGCGGTGGAAGTCTGCGAAGTCGCAGAAGCCGTCGTCCATCATCATGAGCATCTCCTTTGTGTGGCCTCCGGAGCCGAGGACGAAGAGGTTGTAGTCTACAGGTGCTCGATGGATGAGAGCATTTTGTGAGTTGGGTTGTCTTGGGCTTCTGTTGTGACTGCGGTGCGAGACGAGTTGAATGTGTCTTGTCTAGAGGGTTGGAGGTTGGTTAATTGGGCTGTTTGTTTGGCTTTGGATAAGAGGGTGGTGGGGAGACTTACTGAGGCGAAGATGAGAAGGGCGATGCTGGAGGCGCCGAGGGTGAGGAGACTGGCTTTTAGAAGGTGGGGAGAAGAAGTGATGGTGAAGATGGCTGAGCCGAGAGCTACGGCGCTGGCGAGGCCGAAGGCGATGATGGTAGAGCGAGCCATGATTACTATATTGTTGAAGCTGAATCTATCTCCCTTGATTTCTGATGGACACGTTCATCTAAGCCTCCGTCGTTAGAAACCCATCAAGTAGTGAGTTTTGCAAGGGTGGCAGCGGCTTACAACGAGTGGGGAATCACAAAAGAGACATTTTTAACGTGTAGCAATACGCGGGATCTTGTAATTTCAAGATGCGGCGCCTGAGTAAAACCAGTGGTGAGAGTGAGAGCTGTGATGTTGATTGATGATGGTTCAAGTGAGGTGAGGTCCAAAGTACAGAGTGCATTGTACATTGTGCCCCACTCTCGTGTACCTCTTTCTTTCTTTGCAGTGATTCAGACACCAAGACAACATCACTTAAACAACAACAGTCACAAATCACGACTCAATGATTGAAACAACACATTGTGATTTAAATTCAGCATGCCTTATTCGGCAGTTTCAACTTTGAGCAAACCCTGATTTCAAACATGGCCATGAAAAATTCCCGGTGAGGCGCAGGCTAAACAGCCAAAAGCAAAGAAGCGTCTCTCACCAACATGGCATCAAATCAAGGGCTGCTATCCTATCCTTCTTCAAGCAGATCAAATCAAGTCCTCCCAAATGTCCGGAGATTCACTCAGAAGCCTAGTTCGACTGCATAAGCTCCCAGTTTAGAAGAGGCGTCTCTTGCCGGGCGCCATGCGCATCATGCGAGCAATTATGATGGCTCGTCTGGTCGCTTCGGCGCCGGCTTCTTCGATCATCACGTCCACTCCTTCGCCGGTCTTGGCAGAGCACTCGAGGTAGCGGTGGCATCCGATACGACGAGCGTACCACATGGCCTGTGAGATGACCTGTTAGCACATTGTTCTATCTTGGAGCTCTGCAAGAAGACCTACATCATGGGGGATCACGCAGCAGGTGGGAAAAGGCGCATATGAAGGATCAAAGGGGCCTTGAAGTCGGTGGGCCTCATCAAGGCACTCAGCACGCTGATCCTTCTTCATGCCGATGAGGTGAAGAAGAACCTCGCTCTGTTGCTGGCTGAGGAAACCGCCCTGCACAGCGTTCTGCCACTGTGACAACCTTCTGTTAGTTGGTCTGCTCTGCTCTGTTGGATAGAGGCAAAGATGTTTTGCGATACTTGACTTACCCACTGAAGAATAGTGTGAAGAGAATTCTTCTCTTTGATATCAAAGCAAAGGAAGATGCCGTCCCACTGCACGTACGACAGTCGCTCAACCGTGTTCAAGTCTGGTGCGCCCGAGGTGTCCTACATTTCGACGCGGACCGGCTGAGAGTAGTACATGCGGTGGTTGGTGTACGTCTCGTAACAGGTGCGAGTGATGGCGCTCGACTGTCCTGTGGTTAGCATCTCGACTTGTCTTACGGGTATACCTTGACTGGTATCATCAGTCATTTCAATCTTACGTCGGGGAAATGACCGTAACGAGCACGGCTGTCTCATCGTCAGCACAAATCTTTTCATATCGCAGGAAGCTGGAACGAGGTTGGTCAAGTCTCACAAAAGCAAAGACGTCTGTCCAGCACCCTGGGCGCCGACAAACAAAAAGTGAAGGGTCAAGGGCGTATCGAGGACAACCGTGGGAGTGGGCGAAGGACTACGGTGCTTTCTCTTGCGACCAAACAGGGCAAAAAAGCCTCGGATGGGGTTCTTCGCCTCAGTCACCGCTTCGTCCTCTTCTTCGTCCCGAACTCCCAGGGCCGTCTCGGGGCGTTCCATGAGGGATGGCTGGAGCGCGTTGGGGCCGTTGGAGCGGCGGAAGAGCGGGATGGCGGCTCGCATCATGGCGATGCGGGTCGATGGACGGCGAGCAGGAGGCTTCTCCGGCTCACGAAAGGTCTGTGACACACAATGAGAATGATAGATTTGGTGATGGTGATGGGAGTACTTACGACGCGAGTCTCGGGTCGAGGCACGAAGCCATCGTTGACGAAGGGATCCTCGCGCTCCATGCGGCTGGGGACCGAATGTCTCCAGTTGTCGATGGACTCGGCGAGTTCTCCCGGCATTTCCTGAGGAACATCCTGAGGAGCGTCTTGCATGATTGCCTCTGGCTCCTGATTCTCCATTTTCGCTTCCATGATGAGCAGGTTGATGGAGCGAGGTTGTGAGATTGTGTTGTGTTGAGTTGCTGCAGGAGAAGAGGGCCGCTCTAGGGAGTGGCAGCTAGTCGAAATAACGGGGCCGATGCGAGAAGAGATCACTCTAGAAGAAAAGTAAACAAAGCAGCGTGTTTGACGTGTTTGACGTGTTGACGCGTTAGCGATGGACGCGACCAGCTGGCAGCAGAGTGATGGCCAGGTGAATTGCAAAGACGCGTGTAATGGTATAGGGGCTAACCTACAACTCGAGATATGGCAATGGAGATGCACTTTTGAAGATTGTTTACTAATATTCAGAAACTATACATTATGTATAGTCGCCTATTTAACCGGAGAGAGCGGGACAGAAAGAGAGGGAGAGTTGTGTTCGTTGAAAAGGGGGATGTGATAGAATATGCCTACAGCTTTGGTAAAGAGCAACAGAGAGTAATATAGCTTGAAGAGATGAGCAGCACTAACTGCACCATTTACTTCCAAGTAATCTGAATGATTTTATTCTTTAGATACAAAGATAGACAGGTAGAAAGACAGATGCCATGTTCTCACACTTTCTAATGAGATACTACCATCTAGTAAACATGTTGGAGCTACACGATGCTACCATGTACTGCAATAGCTATAGTATCTATGCAGACTTTGAGAGCTTCTACTCTTCGTCCTCGACATCAGACGTACTATAGGCCCCATCATCATCTCCATCATCATACAAATCGTTACCGAGCCCCCATTCCCAAGATCTAGCAGCGCCAGACAAGGCTGCAAGTCTAACAGCTACCCATTGCACGTCCAGAGCTGCCTTCATCTTCTCGGCATCCTCCTCGCTAGGAAGTTGAATCTCAAAAATCTGCCCTGATTTCAGCCCGTGAAAATAGCCTTCCTGCACATCAGACGCCATAGATTCCAGCATTGCGCTGGTAGCTTTGTCGTAAGGAGGCTCGACCAGTTGGTGAGGTCTGACAGAGTTCATAGGCATCCAGTGAAACTGTATCTTGACGGTGAAATGCTCACCGTTGGAGTCGACTCCCAGGCACTTCAGGCCGAATAAACACTCCGACCACCACATGCGTAGGAGCGGGTGCAAACAAATCATGTTCCAGCTTTCTTCAAAGGTATTTGGAGTTCCCCTGAGTAATATCCTGCCAATTTTATATCCAGACCGTCCTAATAAATCTGACAAAAATACCGGTGTTATAAAGGCGGAAATTTCTGCCTTGTTTTCGGCAACGGAAGAAGGCATGATACGGCACACGTCTGGGTTTGCAGCCTTGGTTAGAATGCAAGTACGTTGGTCTCGGAGCTTGCACTGTTTTAATAGTCAGTAAAATATTGAGATTTGACAAGTTAAGACAGAAAGCAAATCTACCCTTTCCCGCTCATCTCTAGAGCCACTAGATATTACAGCCAGCCCTCTTCTTCCATCTTCGATGCTATCTGCAGGGTGTTTCCATCGGATCACTAAACCACTGTTAGAATGACTCATTAAATGCCGTAAGGGGCCCATACGAATATTCAACCAATGCTCAGGATATAGAACACTGGGAAGAAACTGCTTTGGGTGAAGAAACTCTTTAAGAGTTTCGGTCGGCGTTAGGCAGAGCGTCGCTAGTTGAATGTAGGAAAAGTGAAATGGCTTTTGAAAGGACCATTGCTCCTCATTTTTGCGTAGTTCTTCGATGCTTCCAAGCTTGACGGCAAGTTCTTCTGTGGGAAGAATAGCATTAGGGGCCGAGTACATGTAGCTGGACTGCGCTCTGAGGAATGTGCACAGCTGTTTCTTCTGACTTTCAGTCCCTTGTGCAAGAAAAGCCGTGACGTTGGCCAAGATGGCTGAGTCAGAAATATCGGAAGTTTCGTCCATAGGAATTGATCGTCGTTTCAGAAAATGGAAGATTGTCTGAATGGTGGGATAATAGGGGTGGGATAACGAGTCGTTATTCAAGATGGGAAATAGAAAGGAAAACACTGAAGAGGGTATGGGGCCAGTTAAATAGGCAGCCAACAGAGACTTCCTCTACGCCACCAAAGGCAAATTTACACATAGTTGTTTAAGATTAGCGATAAGAGCAGATACAAGAAGAAAATACCTAAATATTATAGCGAAACGTATGAAGAAGTTAGCAATAGGACCGTATATCAGCAGTAGGTAGCCGTAAACGTAGACAATGTGTTTACTTATGTATTCAAAATGGCTAGAAATACTTGATGCTTCTCGGTGTTGGAGGTTCATGGTCAAAGTGTTCATAAATTCGACCTTCATTTGTTCTTGTTTAACTTCCTTTTATATCACTTCTTATTTTGTCAGTAAATGTGTTACGTGGATCCGTTGAGACACAAGACAGGTGTGCTTATGTTACCGAAGAGCACAGGAATGGACTACCTTTTAATTTCCCTCTTCCTAGCGTCGATAGGATTAAGCACACATATTTTGCCATTTATTGTTTAGCATATACCGTCGCTAATGTTTCTAATCATGCTGCTATCACCATCGTGGCAGATGGGTCTGGCAGGACAATAGGGCCATCTTGTCACACTATTAGTGGGCTCCGATCAGTTCAATCTAATTGCTGTATTATCAACTGGCTATCCAAACTATCCAACTATTCAAGCGAATATGAAGAAGCGAAGTCAGATATCCAATGGATACTATGTTTAGTTGACTTGGACTTGCAGCGATCACCCTTATTCGGAGACGCTGATTGGGCCATACCTAGGCTTGGAGTTGTAGTCTAACAGCTTACTACCTGCAATATTGCAGCCTCTTATATGCCTTGTACATTGGCGCCCTGAATTGGTGCCTAGAATCTTACTGCCTAATTATGTTGCGGTATTATTACCTCCACTTCATGTTGTTGTAGTATTCGCTTCCTTCTTAACCCTCGTGTAATACTTCAAGCAAGATTCTCTCTTCATAAAAATAAAAGAAGAAAATACATACCTAACGCAACACCAAAAGTCTACAACATGCGGCTACTATCCGCAAAGACTCAAAAACTTGTCGAATTTTTTGGCGATGCGATACCCCCGTATGCAATATTATCTCATACATGGGAAGCCGAGGAAATTACTTTCCAAGATATTACACAAGGGCATTCTTACCGAGAGTCCAAGAAAGGCTGGGCTAAAGTGATCAAATGCTGCCAACAAGCGATTAAAGATGACTTCGAATTCGTGTGGATCGACACATGTTGCATCGACAAGTCAAGCAGTGCGGAGCTTCAAGAGGCAATCAACTCCATGTTTAAATGGTACGAGATGTCGCTTGAATGCTATGTATATATATCCGACTTGAATCACCCTGGCTTGAACGCAGAGCCTCAAGAGATAAAAGAGACTTTGGCAAGATATACCTGGTCACGATGGTTCACTAGAGGTTGGACGCTTCAAGAGCTTCTCGCTCCGGCATCTGTTCGTTTCTTTGACTCTGCTTGGTTGGAGTTTGGCGACAAGATTTCTCTCCGGGAGCAAATCGCTAAGGCAACTGGCATTTCTCAGCAGGTGCTGGTTGACTCTGTTATTGATGTGCGCCGGGCCATGGATTTCATCAGCATCGCACAACGGATGTCCTGGGTGTCGCGCCGCACTACGACCAGGGAAGAAGACATAGCATATTGTCTCTTGGGCATCTTTGATGTCAACATGCCGTTGTTGTACGGCGAAGGACCTAAGGCTTTCCAACGCCTCCAGGAAGAGATAATTAAAAAGTCCGACGATCAGTCCATCTTGGCATGGGGTTTCGGTTGTGAGGACAGAACCTTGTGGAAAGTCTCTACAGCCCTGGCTCAATCGCCCCTGGATTTTCTCCGCTGTGGAGAGATGGTATCAACAGGTGCAGCAGCTCCTGGAGATGGCTTTTCGATGTCTCAGAGGGGACTCCGAATTGACCTGCCAGTGCTTGGAGACTTTAACGATGGAGACATAGTCTACTGCCTTTTGAACTGCACTCTAACAGCGAAGAGCACAAAGGGTGTCACGACTCGTCTACTTGCTGTACCGCTTGCTCGATGCACCTCACGGGCAGATGGAGCGAAACCCAAGCTGGACGAGTATTATCGGCTATGCAATCGAATCCCCCACTGGGTAGAAGAAAGTGAGGTCGCCGCAAGCAAGAGGATGACATTATATATGCCGAGTTTTTATCGGCATGGAGACGTGATTCGGCCTAGATTGAACTGCCGTCTGGAACTTGGATCTCTGCCTCCGGGTTACTTTATCGCAGGCATGTTCCCTCCCGAGAGGTCTATGAATTCCTTACTACACCTTACGCTCCACAACGACAATGGTACCACTTATTTGATCGTCCATATTGCAACAACCCTTCAACAACCGGGTTATCTCGTTGTCATCAAATGCAGACTTGACTCGAGCCATGACGATCCTGCAAGCTCTGGTGCATTATACCAAGAGAAGTCAAGTCCAGACAACCTGGACTCAAGCAAATATCTTCTCCCCTTGAACAGAGCCAAACTCAAAGAGTTAATCATCGAGTGCATTGCCGTCGTGTTTCATTTAGAAAAATCTCAAGTCAACGGTATGTCTTCATTGCTGGAGCTGGGTATCGACTCACTCACAACCGTTGTCCTCCAATACCAATTAGAGGAGCGCATTGGCATTGAATTTCCAGTGGATATTCTTTTTGGCTCAAAGACTGTTAAAGACGTGGAACACAAGTTGCGGTTTGCCATGCAATCCCACTTTCGAAACTCTCTAGTCTTACAAAAAGGCCAGGTCAAGATTCCTCTATGCGAAATCGACAGCCCTCAATTTGCTATAGTAGAGGTAGCACCAAATGCATCATTGATTCAGCTGCTAGAGAGAGCAGACTTGTTCAATACTGCGCAATATACAAACAATACTTTCGAAGCAGTCTTACAGCTGTCGGAAAATTTATCATTAAAAGCTAACTTTCGGAACCATAGAATAGAACGTTCTCTCACGTTAAAATTTATAAATGCTTAAACATGGCTCTTAGGTCACGCAGGCATCAGGTTGGAGTGGAGCGCTATTCTAAGATTGAGGTAAAGAGAAGAATGTAGAAGCTGAGGACAAGATGCGAGATACGCAATGCCACAGTAACGAGATGAGTCCCTCAATGGGCTGGTGGCGCTATGGAGAAATAGGCGCTGGAAGTCAACGATCTCGCGGTACAGCAAGATAGCCTTGGGAAAAGAGCCTTGACATTACGACGTGGGAGAACAAGATAAGCAGGCGGATACCTACATATCCGCCTGCTTGTCTTTGAAGTTAATGATGTAGTTAGCGCTACTTATCTCTGTAATGTAGCCACTGATGTTCTTTACCTCGGCTAGTAGTTTCTTCTTCTACTTAACGATATGGCTTCTTTCTTATACTCTTTGAGACTGTAGTTACTTTATTGCAGTGTCTGCAATGATAGCTACTCTTAAGTGACTAGGTATCTCTGTGTAAATTTACCTCAGTGGTGTAGAGGAGATCAGCTGTGTCTGATCGGAATCTTGCAGACGCAATTCACTCTACCCATTAAAGCTACTTAACATTCTCTGTTTGTTATCCTATTTAACTAGCCACATCCTCCCTTCTATCTCTTGATTTTCATCTTCCCTTTTGAATGCAGATTTGCCGCTACAGCTCTTTTTGCCCTGCTATTTTAGCAGTTCTTTATCAATCACCATGGACAACAATTTCGCTATTTCTGACCAACAGGTCTTGACCGAAGTCACAGCCTTTCTAACCCAAGGGACTACAAATCAAAAGAAACAACTGTACAAATTCCTTCGAGACCAACCAAGATATGTGCCACTCGATTCTCTTCTCTCCGAGAAAGAACTGCCTCTCAAACTCAAACTCATAGAAGAGCTTCACGGGCGTCTAGGGGAGGACTTTAGTACATCTGAGGAGCCATTTCACTTTTCCAACATCCAGATAGCAGCTCTCTCCCTGATGTCTATTGAGACTCTGCAGGATCTTCGTCAAGATGCTACATCTATCATGAGTGTTTCGGTTCCCCATTATCAACTATCTCTTTGTATGTGATTGTAAACGCATAGATGATGTTGATCTCTAACAACGGCCTAGTGGTCAATGGGAACCCCCCACCATGTAAAGACATATTCGTGTCGAGGGCAGTAAATGAAACGGTATAAGACATCTCCTTTATCGTCATCCTATAAGGGTACTATCTTTACTAATTATTTATATATTATTAGTGGCTTCTTAGAGATGATATAGTCTGCCCCTTGACTGGTTTAGTAGAAGCAGAACCCTACTATATTGCTCCTTCTCACCTTACCAAAGGCCAGATGAATATCGCTGCCTTTACAGATTCGACATTTTTGAGTCAATTGATGGGAGATGTTTGGGTGCAGATTAGCCGCATTATGGCTATTGATTCTATCGGTGCTTTTGAGAAAAGTTGGAACATACTTTATTTGCACCCGATCAGGGGTTTATATTGGTCCCAATGTCTATTCGGCCTAAAGTATCTCGAAATGGTCACCAATAGCGATGGAAGCACTGTTGTTCAGATCCAATTTCACCGGATGCCGAAAAACAAGGTCATGTCCCGTCAGAGAGTCAAACCGCCTTACGATAGCGCCATCGATGCTATGCTGCAAATTGCTGTTGTTACAGACGAGGAAAGTCATTTCGGCCATTACCTAAAATCAGGGACATCTTTCGGGGTTACACTCAACAGTAAGGAAGAGGCCCTCAAAATGAAGGCGGCCCTTGAACTTCAGTGGCTGGCCGTTAGACTTGCGGCCATGTCTGGTATCACTAAAGGTTGGGGATGGGAACGCGAATGAGACTTATATAAGGATCTTGTATAAGGATGAGGATGAGGATCTTGATATGTTTGAATGGCATATAGGGGCTATAGCATCTGCGATTAAAAAAAGTGGCAATCCTGGTATAAAGGATCGGTGGAATCGAAACTACAGAAACTTACTAGTAGTTAGAGAAAATCGTTTCAGTCCTCTACTCTTCGGCAATAGACATAGTCAATCCCCCTTTATACATTCATCTCACTCGATTCTCAATCCCTCATCAAATCTCATTCGCCAAATTCTCCAACCGCGCCCTCCTCAACCTCCCCCTATCAACCCTAACCTCCTCCACCGGATACCACTCCCCCAACCTCCCCCCCGGCCTTCCCACGCTCTCCTCCAAATCATCCCCTTCCTTACCAAGTATCATAATCGCCACAGCAACACCGCTCAACCACGCCCAAACCATGCCCTCCCCATTAAACCCAGCAGCTATCCACTCTCCGGCACCCTTCTCAAACCCTCCTCCAAGATTTTTCCTCAGTCCCCCGGCTTCAGGTGAGAGACTTCCCACAAAGGGAAGCACATCGCCCGTGAAACCCATGATTCCGCTCCACGCACCTTTCAGTTGTCCCCCAACACCCCATTTCGGTTCGAATACCGTGGGCATGCTGCCTCTGAGATGCATCAATGGGAAAGCATCCACTCTGGAATCATCCCACACGCCAATCTGATCCAATCCCTCATCTTTACTCCTAAACAAGCCTCCTCCAATCATCAAGTCACCCGGGGATCCATCATTTCCATCTGGCCGCTGCGTTATATATTCGAATCCTGTCCCGTACATTATTGACCAAGACCGTCCACCATGACACACGGGTGCGAATTCAGCTCCTGGTTTCTGCGCAGTCATGTGTCCGAGTACTCCTGTCAAACAGCCTCGAAGAGCGGGAACAAGATGACCTGTGTAAGCATTTGTAGCATGGAGGATATGCCGTGCACGGATTGTGCCGCGAGAAGAGTGAACCGTATATGGGAATGATAAAGAGTCGTTTGTGCTGATAGATGAGACCGGTGTGTGTGTGCTGATGGTAAGATTTGGATATCGAGTCATCAAATCGTTCCATATGCTCGTAACAAGACGATACGGCCAAAGAGCCCCAGCTTGATACGAGATCGCACCAACAATATGGCGATTCACCCCAAACTAATTCTCAAAATCATCAGCATCTTCGTCTCTCAACAAACCACATCAAACATCACTCACCTTCTCCCTCATCCTCTCCCCCTCCCAAACACTAACCTCCACCTCCCCCATCCACCCCCTCATCTCATCAACCCCCCTCCTCACCCTCTCAAACCCATCCTCATCAAGATACACATCCACAGTCTCAACCTCCCTAACCTCCCCCCACGGCAACTCCTCACCAACTTTCTTCAGCACATCCAAATGCCTCATCTGCATCCTCACAATCTTCCTCGCACGCTCTTCTCCCAAAGTCTTGCGCAGCCGCGAAAACTCCTCGTGGGGGGCGCACTTTATATGCCCGCCATTCCTCGCCGTCGCGCCGCTACACAGCTGTCTTGCCTCTAAAACCACTATTCTCGGCGCTTTCTTACTACCTTCATCTCCAGAAGAAGAAGAAGAAGAAGAAGATAGCTCGCATAACGTCTTCACCGCAGCAGCGCCTGTAATCCCGCTCCCTATAACAACCACATCCGCCTCCTCCGGTATCTCACCCAACACATCGCCAATCTCCGGAAAGGGAGCGTCCCGCATCCAATATGACTCCGTGGGGTTCTCTACTGGAGTGAATGGCCCTGTTTCAATGCGTTGTAGGAGGGCCTGGTATTTGGCGTTGAGCGTGGAGATTGTGCGGATGACGCTTGTGATGGCGGTGATGCTGCTTTGGATGCTTGAAATGATGCCGCCCATTTTTCTGGTTGGGTTTTTCTTTTATTATGATAACGATTGAGGTGAAGAGAATGGGAATTTGTCGTAGATGGAACTGTGTTTGAGATAGAGACCGAGTTAATGCTTCATGGTGAGTAAAAGAGGAGATGCGTCTTTGGATGATGCAGCGGCGAAATTAGTGAGTTGGCCAGCTGCAGCTCATCGGACTTCTTGAGCCGCCACCACCAAAAAGATGAATAGTTCTCATGTTTCCAGCTACACCAAGGTTTTCAATCACCGTCAAAAGACTCAAAATACAATAGCAAACAATTCAATTCAATTTTTATCTACCATTCTAAGCATCATTCTCATTCCATTCCAGAAACACAAATAACAAAAACAGTAAAAAAACAATTCGCAAAAAGAAAAAAGCTCAAAAAGAACCTGCGCCCCTTGTTATTCGCCCAATATCGTACCATGCCGTTGCCATCCGTGCCGTGCCCATGCCGTCCATCCGCCTGTCCGCCAAAAAAGACTTGAAGCATTTAGAAAGTAAAAAAGCACATAGTAAGACAGTCTGATTCCACGCTAGATCAAATGTCGGTCCGACAGTTTGTCTAAAGGCTAATGGCATTATAAATGCGGAACCGGGAATTGCTTCGCCCTTATCCGTACAGTAAAAAAGCACAGTTTGTTGGTTCGTGATTCCTCGCTCATCTGGCCATGAATACCATCCGAGTTGATGTATGGATTGCCTTGGACGACAGAAGAAGAAGAAAGAACGAAAGAAGAAAATACGCAAATAGTATACTCGGCATTACAAAAAAGCTTCGTGGGTCGTCGTCATTGGCTTAAGCGTCCAGCAGCTGATGATAGGTCTGGTATGCCTCATCATCACCATGCTATCCACTCAACCTGGTATCCGTTGTAGACAAGGAAAAATCATAACGGTGCGTCGTAGAAACGTTAGAAGAGGATATAAAGAAAAAGAAGGGGAAATGAAAAGTGAACAAGAAATGATTAAAGCAATGAAAATCAAGGAAGAAAGACAAGAGGCGTTGTCATGCGGTTGAAACATGCCCTCACGCTTCCTCTGTATGGAGAACAATAAGATTACACACTAATCATTCCGTCGTCTTCTTCATCGTCCATGGCATCAAGGCCCTGGGATGAGCTCCATCCGCGAGGATCAAGCCCCAATTCGGCTCTCGTATCTCGCTGAATCTGCAAAAAGTACTTCTTCAGGCTTCGCAGCCCCTTGAGGAAGCCAGGATCCGGTTGGTTAGGGTGCTGAGGTGGGCATGGTTTGTCTTCCACCTTGTCCAGCGGCGTGAGGCTGTTGGCAAAGTCTGCTACTTTGAAATCAATCTCACGCTTATTTCTCTTCTTCCGGATCGTCTCCTCGGTATCAGTCGCGGCGTCTGTCATGGAGTCATACGCCGTCTCATAGCCTCCGTTCTCGTCAGAGGTGTCTCCGTCGTAGAACATGAGCAAACTCGCAGCGTAGAAGCGATAGCCGCGTAGCTCGCTGACAATCTGCTCCAGCTGTGAAAGCTTCCTCAATATGACTGGGATATGATGAAGGATGGAGTGCAAATCGACACCGTTGTACAAAAATTTGGTAAGGGCGGCCTGGAACTCGTTGCCCGCCTGGACTTTTCGGCCAAAGTACTTGTCCTGAAAGTCATATGTCTGTGTCTTGACGTTCCAGACTTGCAGTCCGCAGATGCGTACCCCAAGCTCGTACGAGGTGGTCGTCCTGCACTTTTCTTGCTGGGATCTCTGCTTGCTAGGAGACGCTTCAACGCCATATTGGCGCGTTCCCATTTTGAGGTCCATCATGCACGGTCGCTTCATGCCAGCAGTGAGATCCTCCAAGAGTAAAAAGTATTCCACCCTGTCGCGCTCAGTTTTGGCTTCCTTGGGGTTATTTGGTCGAAGCACCTGCGCGAATTCCACCGATGGATGCTGAAGGGCCTGCTGGACAGCCGTCGAACTGCTATCAGTAGAGTCAGGCTCCTGGTTGGTGCTAGATGCAGTTGCAGTTGTAGTAGCGGCCACCACCATATCGAGGGGTTCGTTGGCAGGAGTTGTAGTCGAGGTAGTAGGGGCGGTATTTTGTTTGGCTCCTTCGCCACCATTGTTACCATCTCGGTCGCGCTTGTAATCTGCATCGTCCGCCTCCTCAAAATATTTGAGATCTCCCCTCGAATCTCGGACATCCTGCGGCTTGCGCCGAAGACCGCTTCCAGAATACCTACGCTTCTTTTTGGCCAGCAAAGGATTGGCCGCCAAAGTCTCTGGTTCGGGAGCACTAGTACCCGTGACATCCTTGACCTCAACAGGCTCTTCCCGTTGCTCGGCGGCGAGATGGTTGATCTGAGATTCGGGATCGCTCATCTGCTGTACCAGTGGAGTCAGTGGCTTGAGAGGGCTGGCTGCAACAGGTTTGCTTTCCGCATTGTTAATACGCTTCTCAGCAAGGCTGGGGTCGGAGTTGCTGGTTCGGAGCAGTCGCTGAAGATTTGGCAAAGGGACGGGTCGCTGATATGGGCGCCGGTGTTTCTGAACTTCGATTGGCTGCTTAAGGAATGCGTCGTTGAACACCTCGTTGCGCAGTCGCTTGTTTACCGTCGTTGCTCCCCAACTGTTGGGGCGCTCTTCCATGGGAGGCCGCACCGGCACCTTGGACGAGAGGGGCGACGCGGGTGATATCTTGGAGAGCGACGTGCTCCGGCGGTGCGCCGGATCCAGGACGGGCGATGGCTGGAGAAGGTTGCGAGGAAGAATGTGCCAATTATCGTCGAATGTCACGGTGGGAATGGGAACGTTGGAGCTGGCAAGTGATTGGCTAATGACCCGCGCAGGGGTAGATGTTGTCTGCTCGGCCTCGTTACTGCCATTAGACTCCGGCTGGCGCTTATCCGCCGTCTCATCTTTTCGAACGGTGCTCTTTCTCCGAGGCTTCCTCTTGAATGTCACATTCAGCACCCCAATGTACCTAGACAACGAGACGATGTTAGCGCTTGTCATTGCCAAATATAGGGGTAACAAAAGGGGCAGGGAAGAGAGAGAGAATGTAGGGTTTCGAGAAGCAAGCACAGCATAGAAAACTTACCGAGGAAGGAATGGCAGTAAATCACGATGATATCGTTCAATGGTTTCATAGAATTCGTTTTCTCGGTTGCTGAGCTGCTTACAGACAGCTCGGCGAGAGAATCGCCAGAGCGTATTGTGGCCGCCGACCTGATGTTTGTATGGAATGAGTTCAATGGCCTCTAGGGGTCGACGGGCTTGGTGTTGGTGGTCATGGACATGGTCTTCATGATGGGTCACGGCTCGGGAGATTTTAGTAGGGGTGATTTGGTTCACTTCATTGTCAACGTCCACGGCAGCTTCGGTCGGGACTTGGACCTCTGCCGGGGCCTCTGCACGACGTGAAACAAGGCTCTCACGGGAGGCAACATGCGAAACCTGGTAGGAACTCTCATCCTTATTCTCAATCTCGGGCTCAGGCTCGTCGGCCTTGACTAGCCAGGGATGACTCTTGGTCTGTGAGCGCGACCTCGGCCGTCGCACCACATCAATGTCACTACCCTCACTCACGCTTGCACGACCGTCATCCAGTTCCTGATGGGGGTGGAAGACGGCGGATGAAATCTTTTCCTCGCCAGACTCGTCGGCCTCTGCCTCCAAGTCAGTGTCCGCGTCAGAGTCGGTATGAGCCTTGCCATTAGCGTGGTCATTTACGTGACCGCTGACCCGGCTCTGCTCAATGGCCTTGGCATCGGTTTTGGTTTTGGTCTCAGCATCATCGATTTTGGCTTTGACATCAGCCTCGGCATCGGCAGCTGCGCCTCCATCCTTGTGTCCGGAGGCATCAAAATGGCCGACCTCGGAGTCATGTGACGTCCGCTGCTTCTCCACCTCGGCGACTTGAGCCGTGTCCGGCCCCACCTCATGATGAAGCGGTGGCTCCAGCTTGGCCTCGTTATGATGAAGAGATGATTGCGGTGCAGAAGGCCTTTCGCCATCTTGTTCCTTTTGCTGCAGCGCAAAGCTGGTCTCTTCAAGGGGCGAGGCGACCAGAGGCAATACATCAGAAACCCGTGCTGGAAAAGACTCGGTCCTAGTCGGTTTTGCAGGCGCTCTTGTGTCTGCTGTCGGTGTTGCCTTTGCGGTTTTGTGCGACTGTTCTAGTGGCTGTTTCTCGGTTAAAGTAGTAGGCTCTTCGTCTATCGTAGCCACATGCTTATCGCGATGCGAGGTTCTGGTTTCCTTGCGCCGTGTCTTGTCGTCTGGAGGAAGTCCCTCCTTGAAGAAGCGCAAGCTGTAGCTGGACTTGCGACTGCGTGCATTGTGTTCCACACCCGCAATGGCCTCGGCGACTGATTGTTCCACTAGACCATCCTCTTCGCTACCATCGCCAGAGCCAATGGACCAAATCTTCTCCGTCTTCTCGGTGGCAGTAGGTGCTTTGTGACGATCATGGTGAGAGTCTTGTGAATCAGTCTCGTCTCCCGCATCGGTGGAGTGGTCAGGGGATACTACAGCACTAGTGTAGCTGCCGTTGGTGGGTGTTATTGAGTCGTTGGGGGTTGATGAGTGGGAATGTGGGTGATTGTGTTGGTGCGGTAGTCCCGAGAGCTTGGGATCTTGGTCAAGCGATACAGAGGCCCTACTTCGGGTACGGTCGAGGAATTCGCGGTGCTCCAAAAGCATTTCGTTGGCGTGGGACAGGATCTCGGACTTGAACGACGACGTAGGAGCAGCACGGTCTCGCACCGGGAGGGTAGAAGTCATTGTGGCCATTGTGGTGGCCATTGTAGTGGATTGCGGTTCGCCTCGCGTCAAGGCGCCGTCGACGTCGATGTAGTCTGATGCATCTCGCGGCTCAGTCCAGGGGGTGGCAGGCGAGGACCGAACAGGCCTCGTATTATCAAGGGCAGGCGGAGTGACGGCGGCAGTGGCAGGTGTAGATCGGGTCGACTTGTCTGGCTGGCTGGGAGTCGAGTTGGTGCGCAGGATGCCTCGAGCAGATGCCAGGGCCTGTGAAAGCAGCGAAGGGCCCTGCTGGCGCTGGCGGGCTGCGACGCTAGGGGCAGGCTTTATATGAGTTGCTGCCGGTGTGTGAGGAGAGGGAGAGGGCAAGGAGGAGGAGGGTGAGGAGGAGTCCGCTCCGCTCCCGTCCGTCTGGTACTGGGTCTGGCTTTGACTCTGGCTGTGGTCCTGATCCTGGTTTTGGCTTTGGCTGTTCTGGTTTGGGCTCGGGCTCGGTTTCAGGCCCTCCCTGGCAGCAGAAGCGGCGGCCTCACAACCCGGGGCCGGGGGTGTATGAGTTACGGTACTCGTGGGTGCGCTCGTAGGTGTACAGGTAACAGGATCGACTGCTGCTGCATCGACAGCAGCATCGGAGCCAACGCCTGCATCGTCGTCGGGCTGGACTTGGACATGGGCCCGGTCGCTCAGCAGCGCCGCATGTGCGGCATTTTCGGCGTGTGAGGGCGAGCTGGACATGGGGAGGACATCTGGCACGGCAGAGCGTCTGCGTGGGAGGATTGATTCGTGGCAGACGGTGACTAGCAGTCTGGGAGCTGGAGGTTGCAGAGGTGGAATTGGAAGGTTTTCAGGCAAAGATAGAATGGGGGAACTCAAAGGCGCGCCGCCCTCTTTGTGGTGGTGGAGCCCCAGTACCAGTACAAGTACATGCGCATGTACCCGTGCATGTACTCTTTCGTTTTAACGTCCACTGATTGAACTGATGGCAGTGCAGTAGCGGGTGACAGCGCTATACCGGCAGCCGCTACGGGCCCTCTGCTGCAGGCTGGCCACGAGCTGCTACGGCCACTCCCAGCAGCGCTGCCACAGGGCACTCACCCCCCAGCTCCTTTTGCCCTTTGCCCATTGCCCAGTGCTGGGTTCAAGCTGCCGAATCACCCCCACCGCTGAGCAGCACGTTCAAGGTTGCATGATGGCGACTAGCCGCAAGTTTTCAGGGGCGGGGCGCTGCCGTCAGTGGGAGGGGGATGCTGAAGCACACGGCGGCTTTGCGGGGTCTTAGTGGCTCAATTTCATTGATGCTTGATCGATGGATTCCATGATTCTTTCATCTTGAATCGTGATTCATGTCAGTGGATTTGCCATGCGCTGACGGAGTGCAATGCAATGCTCGACAAGGTCCGGAAGCACTGGACTGGACTCGGACAATTCCATGCTGATTGCTGCCGTAAGCCTACATGCCTGTCCGTATGTACATGTACAATCGAGGTAATCCTCAGGAGCCGGCGGAAGCATATCAATGGAAGGGAGAGAGCCGAAGCTCGCTTACAGGCCGGACTGTATCACTTCCAATGCTGACTATCTGCTATCGACGATGCCGGTTTCACTGCTCGAATGCTTCACTGTCTCGCCAAGAAGAGTCTTGATAACAGCCAATAGCCATCTACAGCAGCCAGAGATGAGCTGGGCAGGCTTGGGCGAGGGTCCAGCAGCTGCATTTGGCATGTGAAGCTGTCAAAGTACATCCATTGACGTCGTCAAAATAGATACATCTGGATGTCAACTTGGAACTTAAAATACCTCCATCAGTACCTCCTACAGCAGCACAGGGCCTTATCTCGCTCGAGTACATCAATACCTGCGTCCTTACTGCCTTAGGCACCTGCGCCGCTTGCTATCGCCGCCCTGATAGCGGGGCTTCCCCTTCTGTGCAACACAACGCGGAGAGATGCAACCCACATGCAAAAGATAAAGCATCGGTGAGGGCCAAAAAGCGAGACATGGCAGCATCCTGTACTGAGTTTGCATGCTCTGCTTCACTGTGACAGACTCAACTCTGCTGTGCCAATGGATGTTTGACTCTGTACCACTCCGGGCAACGCGGCGTCTGGCCTCGTGCAACAGCCTGCGCTACTCGAGATGCCGTTTCTCCCAGCTTCGGCTCACCAGCCAGTCGAGCTTCCATTAGCAAACACGAGCCTCAAACAGACAAGCTGGAGCCACTAGCCATCGCGGAATCTCTTCCACTTCCGACACCCTGTGCGGGACCGTGACGCCCTTGTTCCCTCTGTGATACGAATCCGATCCCCGGCCTGCTTATGGAGGGCGGCTCTCTGATAACTGATAACGCCTCATTCTTTTGTTCTCTCCTCTCGCTCGAGCTTATCAGGCACGCACGATGGTAACCAGGTACGGAACATTACTGTATAATCTAACTGCTAGTACTGCTACTCTGCTGACGCTAATTCGACCTTGAGAGTTTGAGAGCCCAGCACTAATACGTGGCTTGATGGCGCCGGTGCCCAATGGCGTTGCCGGCTGGATTCCATGTTTTGTTTACACCTTTCACCTCTGGCGTTCTTATCCTTCTCGCCGCCGCCTCAGACCCGCAATCTCTTAGTAGCATTCCTCAGACTCCAGTGCATTGCTTTCAAGAAAACTGAAATGACATCTGATTGCTTCGGCAAAGCTATCAGACCGCATGATCCAGCGCAATGGTCATGACACGCACGGGGCGCTGCAATCTTTCACATCTCCACCGCTTCAGGTCGTTTTCCAGAAGCTTGGACGTCATGCTAGCCCACGTGGAACAACCAAAAACGCCCATCAATTGACCTACGACTTGTTCTCTCACCGAGGACAAAGGGGTTGATTAAGTGGGCTTGCTCGGCATAGTCAAGCCTTCCCCGGAGTTCTAGCTTTCAGACAATCTCAACGACCGGGGCACGCCGTCGAGAGCCAGGGATTCCGGATGAGACTGCAAACTGACAGCCGATATGCAGCCCTACCTATGTCATGTCGTACGGCATTCGTGACATGCTGTTACAGCCTACTGTACATTTGTTTTGCAACGCGAGCTCACCGGTAACGCCAAGTTACCAATTGAAATGCAGACTGCATATGCATCTACGCTTCACCACCGCCGGGCAACCAGACCACTTCACTCACCCCGAAGAAGCCGGGTGACCACGATACGAATCATGGTCAACCATTCGTGAACAATTGCATCACCGACACTCCCGAAAAAAAGGAAACCAGCAGAAAGGGAGAAAACAGATGACTCTGCAAAACTCAAAAATGGGGTGCCTGGATTTCCAACAATAAGCTGCCTGCTCAACGACGCCTTCTCCCTTCTCCCACGTGTGCCTCAACAGTACCTGACTGGTGTATCCCATAACAACGCCGCCCATCATTACGTATCCTCGAACCATCCACGTCACACATCTGAAGCTCAAGAGTCAGACAATGCGGACTCATTCATGCCGCGAGCTACGATCCCATACCGAGCGCGGACCACCAGACTTGCGGTGTCCCCGATCTCCTGGATCTAAACAGGGATCTCAATTCCATCTAAAGCATCACGCTTAATATTTTTGTGCCCCCAAATAGGCAGTCAGGGACAGCTACTCAAACGTCGAACACGTCCCTGGTTACCGAGAGGCAAGGCATCTAGACCTTGATTTCTGGCTCAGATAAGCGATCTGTGAGCACGTGGACAAACTACGCAGTCAAATCGCTTCACGACTTCCACCACGTGAGGCGTTGGTGGACAGTGTTTCCTTTTCCGATGTTCTCGTACTCGTTTGAATGCGCACGCCTTGGTGTCAAGCAAATGACGTCTGCATACCATTAATGAGGCGAGTTGGTCTCACGGGTAACCCAAGGAATCCCTTTTGGTTCATATCAAATGCACAACGACACCACACAGAATCCTCAAATGCTACTGGACGTTAATTAGGGTTAGGTTGGCCGAGACCTGTACACACCCCCCAAGGTCTGGAGAAAGGAGACAGGTCAAAAACAAACCGGTTAGGGGGATCTACATCTGCCAATAGAAGATGCAGCCTCCTCCTTTATTTCGTAACAGATTGCGCCCTCCCTCCTCCTCAGGTCGGATGTCGTTCCACTCGTCGGTTCGTACCTAGGCGACGTCACCAAGCGTTTTGCTTGCGTTAGAGTTTCACTCGGATATTTGCCTGCAGCTTATCCGGCGTGCCTGTGAGAAGCAAAGGCTGCAGTCAAAAGGAGATTCTCCAATGCGTCGATTCGGATAAAGCTCCTTCAAAAAAGACTCTCTGTGAGTGGTTTGATAGACCAATCTCGACACATGGCCCGCGTCGATTAGGTGACATGCTCCCACCACCATCCTGCTGCATTACCCGACAGGACCCCTTGCTCCCCAAAGGAAAGAGACACACATTGGGTAGGTAGTAGGCCAAGTATGAGTATAGGCTAATCAGGTACCACCTTGGGAGGAAACGAAACAGCGGGCAGTGAGACAAGAAGGACAAACAGCAGACGAACGTCGTCGGGCCAGCAGAGCACGCCACGTTCTTTGTCCTACCGCACCCATTGGACCAAAAGCCAAAAGGTCATCTTTTGGGGGCAGGGGGTCCACCGCCAGACGCAGGTATCTGGCTATTATGTATGTACCTTGACTGTGCCTGTTGCTGGTATGCGGCGCTATTACAGCGTTCCGGGGGCTCTCTTTGCCTGCCTCTGGCCATTGATGTAAGTGAGAATTTGACCAGGTGATGGTGCTGCCGCCATTGCATCGCTGCCCATGTATACCAATGCAGAGCGTGCTTTAGCTTCGTTTGTTAGTCTGGCTTAGCCTACCCTGGAGAAATCTGGCGGGTTGAAAAGTTTAATAGATTGGTGTGGCTTTACAACGTCGGTGAGAATTAGTATTTGATAATGAGAATTGAAGAAAAAGAACGAGACGAGAGTAAAAGAAAGGTTGAATGATGACGTTAAAAGGTTGATGGGCTTGAGTGGTGTATTCGCCTGTCGTCAACCCCAAACATAGACATCAGAACAGGAATACAGGCCTCGCAAGATAATCTCACAACCGGCATCTATTCAACCCAACATGACTTGGGCGATTAAAACTATCCATGCCATCAGGGTATATTTCCCTCGTATCCACAAAGGCTACATATAATGTCTAGCTCGTTCCACCGCTCAAAAAAAAAACAAATTCATCACGAGTTCACAATTGCCTCCGCTTCAAGTCTCGAAAGCCATTGACGACAACCTTGAAAGTAAAACGCAAAATACACGTGGGCTAACGAGAAATTCGTACACGCAAAAAAAAAAAGAGGAAGTGGAAAAAGAAAAAGATGGCGAGAAATACATCACTATGTAGTACTAACCTACTACTATGCTATGCTATATCTGAAAACAACCTTTCCTCATACATTTATGAGAAAAACTTCAAGCTCCAGCAATGAGTTAAAAAACAGATGATGATAAAAATAAGACAGGCGGAGACGCCGTATAAGCGGATACCGGCACGCTATGCTCAATGACAGTTGGATGATATCATGGGGGGAGGGTTTCTTGTAGGTTTTAGTGTATAGTCGGAAGAAGGATTTTTTTTTTCAGAAGAATTGTGCAGCAATGTCCATATCCATACCCATATCCATGCCGCTAATATCCATGTCGACGTCGGAAAGAATTTCAACCTTCTTCTTCTTGCCGGTAGTAGCCCGTTTTTCGGCTTTTCGGGCCTCGTCAAGCTCAGCGTCGACATCCCAGACCTGCAAAAAGTCGTCCATCTCGTTGAATATGTCTTGCACAATGTCTGTGGGGTCGTTGTCGTCGTCCCATCTGCTGCTGGTCACCTTGGTCACCCCCTTCTCCCCGCTTTGCAGGTTCAATTTGGAGCCATTGACTTTAGTCGGACTGACGATTTGTACTGCAGTGGCAGGGGCTTGCTGGTCGGGGCTGCAGGATCCATGGGCTGATGTGGTTGGTACGCTCTGCGGTTGTGTGCCCTTTGAACGATCAGCTACAGCAGCAAAGTGGTGACTGAATTTCATGTCTCTCTCGGTGGGCGAATCAGAAGCGAGGCTTGTAGATGGCGGTGGAGGTGGTGAAACTGCTCGGTCCCTGCCTCGTGACAAGGATGATGACGTGTCCGTCCCTGACGAAATCCTCTCGCCAGAGCCACCCGTCTCTTCATGCGGTAAGGGGGCCCAGGAAACTCGCTTCTTTGCTGTTGTGCTTCTCCACGCCCTGTTCTTGCTGGATACGAGGATACCATGTGATGTAGAGGCGACGTTGTTGTAGGTACCACCGGTAAAAAAGCGTGTCTGCCGGCGATGGACGGGAGAAGGCGACATGAATGACGAAAAGGACGTAAAGGCAAACCGCGGCTCTGGTGTGGATGGTCTCTCTGACACGGTTTCGGTCCGCAGAGGTAAATCCTCACTTGATGGCTGCTCTGTAATGACACTTTGTGGTGGTACAACAAAGCTTTTACCGGCTTTGGTAGGTGTAAGGGTTGGATTCTCTTGCTCCTGTAGAGGTGTCTGGCCATGATCATCTGCCAAGGTGGCTGTCAACTGGGGATCGGCTGCCTTTTCTGATGTATGCGCCTCAAACATGTCTAGACCTGCATCCACGTCTGTGGGAAGTAAAGGTTGCGTCTCAGCAGAGACCTCCTCTTGAGCAAGACTTGGTTCTGCCAACTCTAGTGAGTTAGGTAGCACATTGAGGTGGGCGGTATTATCTATCTCTGTGGGCGAGGCGCTTTCAATCGGCAGTTGGCTGGAAAGAGAAGCTGTTGAGGCTGCAGCGTCGCGAGACATGGGCTCTTCTTGAGATTTGTCCACTTTTGGAAGATTGTTTTGGCAAGTTAAATCGGGAGCAATGGCACTCGGGCTGGGCTGCGACATCGGAATACTGGTCCTCATGACTTGTGGTAATGAATTATCTTTGGCCTCTCTTGTCTCGACATTCTCCTTTGATTGCTGGCTATCTTCCTCTTGAAAGCAGATCGTCTTGTTTGAAGCTGCGGGTGATTTGAGTGGCGATGAATGATAAGGTCGAGCAATCTTGTTGGAAGCAGGTCGCGAGTTGATTCTACCATTTCGAGGGCTCAAAGACTGGAGAGCGGATGATTTAGTAGTACTATTTGTCTTTGTAGGACTACCGTTGCCGGACAAATCTTTGGAAACATTGGCTGCTTCACTCCGACTAGCGGGCTGTTGTGCGTTTGATAGAGCTGTGATGCTAGAGTCAGGAGGCAAGTCATCGGATCCGTCAGCATCATCATATATAATTGGATGCGCCATTCGTGTAGGTGTTGTAGCACCGAAGCGCGGGATGAATCTATCGGGGACTTTGTAGTTTGCTTCCAGACCATCCATAAAATTATCCTGGGAATTATGAGCTGTGCTTGCATCATCTGAAGGCAATGTAGGTTCATCAAGGTCGGCGCCGGTTGGGGTAGTTGCGCGCGGAAGCGATTGCGTACTGGCACTCGCCCATTCGTTGAACTCAAGTGGCGAACGTTCTTCCTCTGGTGAGTGAGACTCTGGTGAGTGAGACTCTGGTGAGTGAGACTCTGGTGCAGTGGTGTTGTCGTCAACATGAGCTTCTTCATCAGCATGCCTCTCCGCGCCTAGCATTTCTAGATCTGAGAGGTCAGATAGATTTGTCGGAGCTTCTGATAAACAAGATAAACCACTCGAAGACCGCGGGCGGCTGGGTGATTTGCTGGGTGATTGGGTTGCTGGAACTCTCTGCTTCGATGGTGTTTGCGCTGGGGACATGGAAACGGGGGATAGGGCCCTTAACACGCTGGGCTGGGAAAATGGAGACGATAGCGAGGAAGATGGATTTGGCATATTTGTTGAAGATGTATCAGCTGATGGACCAGTAATGAGAGATTCATCATCGTCGGAGTCAAATGTATCGCCATCTTCGCTGGATAGGCCCTGCCTTGGAATTTTCGAAGTAAGCTCCCGAATATGCGAATATATCGAAGTGTTTTGTAGACAAGCTTTTGCGTGTTGTTCGCCGGCACTCGTTGTTCTAGCCCGCCGTCTTGCTGAGGTGGGGGTTTTGATATCGAGTTCTGACGATGCAACTCTACGACGCTTAGGCGATGTGCTATCCGCACCAATTGATGGTTTTGACTTCCTTTTACTCAGCTTCTGTAATGGTGAACTTGCTGCCCAGGAGTCGTAGCCATCCTTGGCCGGCGAAAGAGATGTAGCATCATCTCCCCAACCATGCCGGCCAGAGACTTGGCCTTGTGAACGTGAACGTGGTTCAGTGAAACGTGCCTGCTTGAGACTTTCCGGACTAGGAAGAGCACACTCGGCATTTTTCAGGACCGCCTGCCTCTGGGCAACTGGAGATGCAGACGCAGACGCCGCAGGTCGCCTGAGGCTATACTGCGAGTCTACAGGCTGAGACTCCGGCCGGCGTTGCGAATTGGTAGTGCGATTCTTAGACCGCCACGGGTTCACCCAGCCAGATTCCTCGTCGAAGGGGCCTTTCAAGGTTGCAGAGAGCAGCATCGGAACTCTGCCGGCAAGGAACTGCCGTCCAGCGGCCTCATACCTCAGCCTCCGCGCCTCCGCATTGTCGTAGTCTTCGTCTTCGGACCCCTCATAGTAGATGTCCTGCGGCGAGAAGACCGCCTCGCTGTAGATGGAATCTCTCGGCAGCATTGGGGCTGTGGCGGAGATTAAGGCATCAACGGATTATCGGCGGAATCGATGGCGGACTAGCTGGATTAACGACACCAAGGGCGCAGGGCCAGAGACGTAGAAGGTCAACTCCTCATCTGTGTCTTGGTGGTGTCGACAATGGCGGACGCAAGGGCAGGGCACGAGCTGGTGGGAAATTGGAGGTTGGAAATGTCTTGTCGAGAAGTTGCACTTATCGCGGTCCGCACATGACGAAAGACGCGTCCCGCGCCGTCACGTGAGCTCGCGTAAAGAGCGGATCACTTTTGGGTCACTTTTGGGGGAAGCTGCAGGATGAAGATGGAGATGGAGATGGAGATGCATGGGGATTTTCTTGACTAATGTGCGTGCATGCATATGAAAAGGAGTTCGTTCTAGTTGCGGTATCTACAGGCTCCGTATAAGGAGTTCCGCTACTCCGTACATCTACAGCTACAGTTACAGCTACAGCTAAAGCTACAGTAACCAGCTAACGGTAATGCCCGGGTCATGACAGCATCATCTTACGGCGTGCTAAAAATACAGCGCTGCCCATTTCAACTTGGCTGCAAGCTAAATGACAGCAAACTTTGCGAGATTTCAGCTCATCTTAAAGACATGGGATCTAACGTCCAGCACCGATTTCCAGCGACAAATGCACGTGATTTGCCTGCCCCATCCCAGTTGGCACAGCAACCCCGCTGCGGCCAATTAACACCCCTGTTTTGTTTTTCCGTTTCAAGCTCGCGCATCATCGTTTCCTACAGTTTATCATGTCTCCCGCCAGAATCCCCTGCATGCGCTCCTATGCCATCACCAGGTAAATACTCGGCCTTCATCTTGTCCTTTGTCGACATTTGACCCGGCATTTCTGCCTTCTCAACCCCCCGATCCCGCCCAAGTATATCTTGTCCCTGCGCCGCCTCTGCGTGATTCCTTTTCGAGTGCGCGCGCATCAGTCGCATCACTGCCTCTGCCTGGACGCGAACCCCGCATAGAAGCTTTTCTGTATACTTGCACCCTATCTATATCTATGGCGTGAGATTCTTATCCCCTGGGTGCATCATCTCTACCGGCCGTCACCATGTCGTCGCACGCCTGGCTGGACTCGTTGACCGAGGACTGGGTGTCGGAGCGTGGATCCTCGCCCGCGCCTCTCTCCCTCGTCAGATCGTCCAAGAAGGGCACACCGTCACCGTCGCCAAAGCTCACCCCGAGTCGCATACCGCGTTGGAGGCATCCTGGAGTGGTTCCGCGGGCGTCGCAGAAGAAGAGCATGACCATTCTAGAGGGCGACCGTAGCTCCGACGAAAACAACAAATCCCCTAAGAAGCGCCTCCTGAAGTTTGTAAAGGATCGCAAGCCGGCGCACAAGGGCTATCTGGAGCGCTCAGTCTCCTCGACAACAACCGGCTCCGTCGTCGTGCATAAGAATGCCCGACAGCGAGCGCCTGCCACGCCGGGGAAATCTGACACACCGGAATGGAAGCGACGATTGGTCCAGGGCAAACTTGATTATGGAGAGCAGCGCGACTTGTTCAGCTCAGCGGCCGTTGGCTTGCAGGACATGTTTAAACCGCCGCCATCAAGCGAAGCCGGCCTCGACTCGCCATCCCCCAATTTCGACTCTCCCTCTCCCAACTTCGATTTTCCGTCTCCATTGCCCGACTTTCCATCCCCATTGCCTAGTTCTCCATCTCCCGATCGCGAATCTCATCACCTCGAATCTCCCAACACTGCAGATTTATACGAAACAGATATGCCCTCAAGTCCTCCTGCACCGAGGCACCCGACGATAATCTTGGAGTCCACGGAGGAGCTCAATGCTGATGAGGAGGGAGGCATGTTTTCGCCGAACGAGATCACACCGAGTCCGAGCCCCAGGAGGCCGCAGCGAGAAATAAAATACAAGCTCAACGTTGAGGACGACCCCTCGGATCTATCCACTATGAGCAACGATGGTCCTATGAACCCCTCTGAGCCCCCCACGGAAGACGAGGAAGATCAACAAGATGAGCAAGAGGCTGAGCAAAACGCCGAGGAAGAAAAATCGAACCAAGAGGAGTCAGAACAAGAGGATTCAGAACAAGAGGATTCAGAACAAGGACACTCAGAACACGAAGAACCAGAACACGATGGAGATGAACAAGAGAAATCCGAACAAGACGAAGGAACATCCCAAGACGATAGTTATCTCGCAATTCCCTCCTTGATTGATGGCGGATCTAGAAAAGCGAGCGGCCAGAGCTACACGAAAAACGAAGACTTCAGCCCCATCTTAATCGGCAAGCGCAGTGACGAGGACGGAAAAGTCGAATTTGCTCCGCTTGAAATGCCCACGGAAGAATTGCGAGAAAAGCTCGAGAGGCTTCAGCTCAATCAAATGATTCTAGACCCGTCACACAATGCTTCCGACAGTGCAGTGGACGTGAAGCCTACACAAAACGAAGCAGAAGATGATGAATCCTCACTTAAATACCATTTCGATACCTCCCATGGGAGCGATGAGTCGGCTGAGGGGTCCCTGCGACATCATACCCTGAGTCCTGATTTGGGCGAGGATTGGTCAGAAATGCTGCCCGAGGACTCGATGCAAGCAAGCACGCCCAAGCAATTCCCCACCTTGCGGACCCAAGATGCTGATTCCAACTTGTTTGGCTCCTTTTTCGGCACCCCGAACCTGCCTCAAGCTCCATTCCCAAGCCCTGATAAAAAGCAGATCCGCGATCCTGGCAATCGATCCAACTCGAGTCCCTTGAAACTCTTTGGGCCGTATGACACATTTACCAACCAGACCTTGCTTCGGCGCATTAGTCAATTCGAAGAAGACATGTCTGGTAGGAACTCACGAGAATCCTCACCTTCCACACCTTCTAGCCGGGAACCCAGCCAGGATGCAAGCAGGAAACGGTATGTTAGTCATTTTGGGGCTGGTGAATTGGAAGGGTTCGAATTCACAAGTGAATTGTCTCACCTGGCGGGCCAACATTCCAGCCTCCTTTCCAAGGATGACAAGGATGACAATGAGGAAAAGTCGCCGTCAGATCCTCCCTTGGCTGTCAAGGGAGCCTTAAAACTCGTTCCTCCACAATCCTGGTTCCCTGAAGATGCTTCATTGTACGTTCGTAGGAGCCGTGGCAAGAGCAAATCTCAGACTCCTTCGGTCAACACTGGTGCTGGAAACGATTACATGTCTAGTTCGCCTGAAAGTTCCCTCACCCCCCAGGATGAGGCTTACGATCTGTCCTGGGTCGCAAAGCGAGATTATGGATCCGAAACCAAGCGACCCAGAGCGTCTCCTTCCAAGCACCCGACGCCAAAACGCCGCCGAACGCTCCACCGATCCGATGTTGCGTTTGGCAGCGAAAAGCGACTCCGCGCCCTGGGCAAACAACGAAAGCGGTCCCTGTCCGAGTACTCGGATTCTGCCGACGACCAAGATGAGGAATATGTGTCCAGACGCGGGTCCCATTCTTCAGGTCACACTTCGAGGTCGCCCACAGAGGCCGTTTTCGGGGCCAAGGCACGTCGATCAGCAGCGAGGTCAATGCAAGAAGAAGCTGAGCCGGACACAACTGGCAAAGCTGCCGAACGCAAGCCTTCTATAAGAACGCAAGATTTTGTAGACCAGGCCGCTCAAATCATGGCCATGATTCGCAGCCAGGTTAGTCAACCAGGGCTGTCAAGCCTTGAAGAGTCTGAATTGGAGATCAAGGTGCCATCGCATAACGCTACACTGGAGGAGTCCGACAACTCTACGGCAGAGCCATTCTCCCGACCGCCTAGTCGAGATGGAAAGCCAATCCCCAGACAGGCGCGACAGCAAGAGGACCCCGAGGTCGTAAAACGACTCAAGAAGTACCAGGAGCTGAGCGACATGGGCGATGTAATTTCTTCATCAGTGAGATCCATGAGCCTCGCAAAAGACGCAATTCGCGCGGCCAAGGAGGTTGAACGTATGGTTGATCGAGCCAGCCGTACTCGGACCAATGGCCATGGCGGTGGCGGATCGAATTCTGAGTCGGCAAGCGAAACGACAAGTCCTGTTCATGACTTGTTTTCCAGCACATCTGGTCGCTCTACCAGCCATCTGTTCCCCACCTCTTCGTCCAGAGGCTCCGAATCACGCAAAGTCATTGCTCCCGAGAGTGTTTCGCACCTGATTCCGGACAAGATTGGCGGCATGTATTTGGACAAGCAGAACAACATTTGGATAAGAAACAAAGAGTCCAAGGACTCCGTAACGTCCCATGCCTCAGGATCTGACGACAGCGAAGAAGATCCATTCGCAAACATTCCCGATTTGTCCGTGGATATGACGGAGGAGATGCAGCATCTGAAGCAAACTCCCCGAGGCCAGGGCGTGGCAAGCAACAAAGACAGCACCTCTCGCCCGAACTCTGCCCAAACACATTCACTTAAGAGCTATACTACTCTGGCGGCTTACGAGCCCCTCGATCCTGAGGTAGCCGAGAGGGCTAGAGGGGAGATTGAGAAGCTCGATGCTCAACCTGGAGATGGTTCCAAAACTGCAGAGGAGGCCGGCAAGGGTTTGCACGTTCTCAAGGCCAAGACAAGTAGCGATGGATTGTCTTCAAAGCGTCGTAATATTACGATTTCCTTTACATCCCCCATTGCTTCGATTATTCTTGGCGTGCTGCCCGAGGATATAGAGGGTCTAGAGGACGATCCAGTGCCGGGCGAGTCATCCGAATCGCCTCCTCTTCTCCAAGCTCAATTCAGCGGCGCTAAAGGTGTTCAAGGCTCTCTACAAGCAATCCGTGCTTCGTCGTTGTCTGGATCCAAGTTTACACCCAGGCCAATCTCACGGATAGAGGAGCGGGATGAAGAGAGTACCGTAGAGTTGTCGAAGGGCCAAAGTCAGAGTCAGAGTCCAAACCAAAGCCAAGATCAAAGTCAAAGTCAAACCCAAACTCCAGCACACCCCCAGCGCCAGCGTCAAGTCAGCTACCTTGGCGACAATTCAATGTTGAGCCTCAAGTCGCTGGAAGGGGGCTCAGGCTTTGGGTTCCTTACGGCTACTCCCAGCCCAGCGGCCCATGGCGTCTCACTGAGGGCTGACGATAGTCTACTGATTGGCCGAAATGTGGGAAAACTTTCGCTGAGCCCGCTCTCGGAATTTACAGTAAATCACGAGGACAAGTCGTTTGGGCTCGAAGTCAGCTACGTTATGGGACCCAAGCGATTGGCAACAGGCGATGGCTCGAAGAAGGTGCTGTCCATGACGATACGAGACCTTGTGGAAAAGCTCTCCGAAGCCGAGCCGAACGAGCCGTTCTGGGATGACATGACTTCTCTCACTCTCCAAGACAAGCAGCTGACTAGCTTGCACATGCTGAATGAGTTTTGCTCCAAAATCACGACATTGGATGTGTCGAAGAACTCGCTGGCGCATCTTGAGGGTGTGCCTGAATGTGTGCGACAGCTCAAGGTATCCGACAACATGCTGACGGAGCTCACCTCGTGGGACCATCTCATTCACCTGCAATATCTGGACATTTCCAACAACGAAGTTAAGAGCTTATCGGCGTTGAAGAGGCTCATCCACTTGCGCAGCTTGCGCGCAGACAATAACCTGCTAACAACTCTTGACGGACTGGACTCTCACGATGGACTACTCACCTTGAGGGCACGCAACAATCTAATTGAAGAGCTTGATTTTAACGGCATTAGTTGGGAGCGCTTGACAGAACTCGACGTGGCCTCGAATAGTATTTCATCGGTCCAGGGACTTGAGCTGCTGCCTGCGCTTTCCCAGCTGGACATTTCTGACAACCAGCTTGAGTCGCTCGTGTTTGACAAGGCCAACAGGACGTTGCGGAAGCTTGACATTAGCGACAACCACCTTGAATCATTGGATATTCGACACCTCAGCAGCTTGCAGACACTTCACGCCGACCGAAACTGTCTTAGCCACCTCTCCGGCTTCCGCTACGTTCGTCGGTTGGACAGCCTCTCCCTGCGCGAGCAGCAAGGTGAGGTCCCGCTCGAGTTAGATTTCCTGACAACTGCCTGCGAGATAAGGAAGCTGTTCTTGTCTGGAAACTACCTGGGAACATTCGAGCTGAAGGCAGACTTTCTCAACCTGCAGCTGCTTGAGCTTGCAAGCTGCGGGTTGGAGGAATTGCCTGATGAGTGTGGCCAAATGATGCCCAACTTGCGTATATTGAATCTCAATTTCAATGCCCTAAAGGACCTATCGGCCTTGCGATTCATTCCGCGACTGAAGAAGCTGCTTGTGGCTGGTAATCGGCTTTCGGACACAATGGCAGTGACGGAGCTGTTGACCGACTTTCCTCATCTCACAGAATTAGATCTGAGGGATAATCCCATTACTCAGGGTTTCTATCCTCCAGTCCAAATGCTCATCAGCCCCGATAACATGGGCAGCGCTGACTCCTTTATGATGCCGGATGCGGACATGGAGAGAGATAAGACTTTTGCAAGGCGCCTGGATGAGACTACAAAGCTACGTCGCCGTCTCCACGAAGTGGTTTACGTTGCTAGCTGCAAGCGCCTCCGCAGGTTGGATGGCCGCGCCATAATTAGGGAGAAGACGCTGGCCAAAGACGTTTTGCTACAAAGACTCATCGACGATGGGCTTGTACCAGATCTGGAGGACACATTGATTGCTGAGTCGGAATCCGCACAGCAGCAAAAAGAAACGGCGCCAACACCTTCGCTCAGCACAAATAGGGGGTTCGCTGGAGAAGCCGGCGGACGAGCGAGCCGCAGTCGGTGAAACACAGGAGTGTGTTGTTAATAAGGCACAAGACAATGTGCAAAAGGGAATAAAAAGTAATGATAATTTCTGATTTTTTTTACGACTAGGCGTTTTTGGGGATATCCACGAACAAAGGTTGCGTCTTGGATGTCATGACGAAGGCAGGACGGAGAGCCTAGAGCTCAGGCGGGTGGCGTTTCTTTGTTTTTTTTTTCTTTGTTTTATTTCAAAGAGGATTGGCACAAGGCCGGAAAGCAGGCTATGAATTTCTTGCGCTTTTTCGCTTTTTCTCTTTTTCTCTTTTTCTTTGTTAAAAAGCAGTACTCCCTTTTTAGTGTTTTCCTTTTTCGGTCAGATCTTGTTTCGATGGTCTAGGAGTTGTAAGAATACGGAGGGGGAGGGACACAATGATGATATCCATATCAATTTTTAGTTATTTTTAGGGTGCGTTTCGAGCGTGCGCCTTTTCTGTTTATGACTTATAGAATTTTTTTATTCTTTTATTTGTTTCTTTTTCCTTGAGTGAGTGATTGGACCTTGTGAAGCTACTTCTTTTTTTGTAATCGTGTCCACGGGTGTGATTTGTTGTGTGTCAAGGGGCGTTTTGGGAGGCAACAACACGCTAGGCAGCGTAATGCAATGCGTGTTACTGCGTTTCAAGTTTGTTAGGCGGAAAGGGAATGAATGGATTCCAATGGGAGTGGATTACAAAAAGACTAAAAACTGGAAGGCCAGTAAATACTGTAAAATGGAAAGCTTCAACAATAGTACGTGGGCCTGGGAATCACATGTTACTGCAAATGGTAGGTGGTTGCATATTCCGAGCTTGACGCAGCTTATTTGGCGTTACTGGCTGTGGGTTTGATAGGCGAAAGGCAAGGGAGGGATATGTACTCCGTACATGTAAGCTGTGCTGCCGGCTGGGCTGGCATTTTGGTTAATTGGATGCGTTAGGTTGGGTTTCTTTTGTGGAGTGGGAGGGAGGAGTGCATGAATGACTCTGCAGTATCTTTGGCGTGTGAATGTCGAAGAGTGGTGAGATTTATTGGCTGTTGATGGAGTATGTTTGATGCTGTATAGGGGTTGAGCTGAGAGATCATGAGTACTTGTGCATGTTCCTACCTATACCTGCTTTATTACTATGAGGATATAAAGTACCTCGTAATAGTACCTACTAGGTAGGCAGGCAGCAGTGGAATGTCTTTAAATTGAATATCTTATTCTCACGCGGTGGCCTAAAAGAGCTGCAGCATCGTGTGAATCGGTACCTAATGAGTAATATCCAATGGAGCCATGGAAGCAACAGGCACCAGCACGCATTGAGCCTTTGGGCAGCTGTTTTGGGCCTCAAAAACAAAACAGCTCAAGCTAACACTACTGTAACATCCAATTGATCCGTCTCAGCTTTTGATTGCCGTCCTTGATGCCAATCCCCGTCCAATTTATCTTAAGCGAGTGCCTCATCTGGCCTAAGCCCGCCAATTCTAATTTTTCCATTTGCCTGGCCGCATGTAATAATCCATGTAAATTTGATCCAATCTTTTTGGGGGGCGCTCGTGACGTCTTGTCAGAAGGAAAAAAAACCGCTGATGGGACACAGCACACAGACAGGCGCCATCCACTGAGTGTCATCCGTCCGTCCATGATTTTCGCCCCTCCCCGCCGCCGTCTGAAATGACAGCACCGCAACCTCACCTTTTTTTTTTTCTACTTCTTGCATTTCTCTCTCCCTCTCGCCATCACACGAAATCTGGTGCATTCTTTGCCAGCTGCCAACTTGAGACATTGCCATTCATCGTTACAACAAGAAACAACACACACACAGTGAGAGCCTGGGATTTTCTTCATTTTACCCTTTGGATCTAGCGGCACTATCGAATTTCCAGTAATTGCAACAAGCTATCCAACTATCCTGGACCCTGGATCGGCCGCTAAGGCTTCCCCCCCCAGTAAAAGAGGCGACAGCACCGCAACAGCTTCTCTCCCCCGTCCATCGTTATGCCCCTCGGCTGTGTCTAGGGTTGGTTTTTGGGTTTTGCATTCCTCTGGGGGTTTTTGAGTCACGTCAGCGCTGCTCTTTTTTTGCATCATCTTCTTGTCGCGACACAAAGTAAAGATACCCTGACAAAGGCGGAGAAAAACGACAAGATCGACATCGACAAACGTCATCGACTTCGAGAGCGGTAATCGACCAGCGACAAGTGACTCGACCCGACTCCGATAGAGAGACACAAGAGTCTGAGCGAGAGAGAGAGAGACCCAGAGACAAGACAGACGGGAGCCTCGGTGCTGTTCGAGGAGGATGGACTTGTCCGACTCCGTCCCTGTGGCTCCTCCGTTAGAACGATCCGTCTCGCAGCAGAGCAACGTCTCGTATCGCTCCCATCGCAGCATCCGCACCGGCAAGAACCGCGCGTTCCTCAACCACAACCATCACCACCTCAGCAGCTCCGCCAGCAGCATCGCCGAGAGCGACAAGTCCCTCACCAGCTTCCCCAGCTTCTCGCCCGAGCTGCCCGGCACCGACCGCTTCGGCGATGACAACGCAGACCACAACCAGCTGCACGCCGCCATCCGCCAGCCCGACAGGACGGCCCGCGTCAAGGAGCTGAGCGGCGTGGGCTCGTCCATCGTCGACAGCCTGACGTGGCGCAACTCGGCGCGCGAGGCCCTGTTTGAGGATGCGCCGCTGTCGCAAACCGTCCCCGGTGCGCTACATAAAGCCGATGACAAGCATCTGGAGCGACTGATTGCGAGACACGGCGCCGTGACGCTGGTGAGGCAGATTGCGGGCGACCTTGCGCAGAGAGACGCACAGATAGCGACTCTGCGGCGGCGGGCGGATGAGCGCGAGAGGGCGCTGAGAAAGATTATACGCGAGTGTGGACTGTCTAGCCTGGAGCTGGAGACGAGGCTGCGGGTGGTGGAGGCGGAGCTGCGCAAGAACGGACACTTTCAAAGAGATGGTGGAGGACTCAGTGATTTGATGAGTGACGCCATGCGAGACACGGTGACGGAGAGCTCGGGCACGACCAGCAGTACGATTCGCGCGCACGCCAGCAGCGGCCCCTCGGCGTCGGGTGGCAGTCCCGAGAACACCAAGGGAACCGGCACGGCCAAGGGGTGGAAAGACTTCCTCTGGGGTGGCACGTCGAAAAAGACATCATCGTCCAACAGACCTACAGTGATACGATCACACTCCAGCCTCGGCCAGCGACCACCGCTACAGGACGACCTCTTCGACCCCCCGACGACTCCGACCACTACTGGCCCTGGTCAGAACTCTAGCCGGCCGTCTAGCATACACTCGGCCAACACTCCGGAGCGCAAATCAATCGCGAGCTTGACGCTGAGACTCGTGGCTGGCGGCGCTGTCGCCAGTCGTGAAGCAGAGAGAGGACGTGCTGCGAGCAGTGCTGCCCGGACGGAGACAACCAGGGCCGCATCGGCTGCTAGTAACCAGACCAGTCGTTCATCCCGAGCCGTGTCTGTTGCCGGAGGCCCCAAGGCGCTCATGGCCATGGGGAGATCCACGCCGACTGCTGCCTCGGCCAGCGCGAAACTGCAGACCCAAGAGGCGCGAGGGAGCGGCTCGGGCAGCTCGCCTGGCGGAGGATCTACCCTGCGTCCGGATAACTATGGACCCGTCGAGATGGACGCCATCCTACCTCCAGAATCTCAGCCCCCGACACTAACTCAGATGTACAACAACTACCCCAACAGCGAATATCTTACGGACCGATTTGGCTTCATCTACGACCAGCGGCGCAAGAAGCGACAGCGAGAGGCTTCGCAAATGGCCCAAAACATCCGGAACGGCGATCGCAGAGAAATGATTGGAAACGGCAACAGGACGGGCATCTCGCCTAATATGCTGGACGCACCACCGAGCCCCAAGATGAGCGTGTCTAGTGACCCCCGGCCGGGCAGCCCTAGCTCTCAGGAGGAGAGAGCCGGTGAAGAAAAGGCAAAGAGATGGCAAGACTACCTAAAGATTGCGACGTTTCCCACAGAGTTGTTGAGCCACACGCCTGGCATAAGCGCCACGGCCGTGTCTGTGACTGAGGGCGCTGACGATCGAGCAAGTACTACGTCCAGCCAGCGGCTGGTTGAGCGCTCTGCCCGATCGCCTGCGATAACGCCGACGGAGTCAGGACTTGTTCCCTTGGCAAGCACAACGACGGCCGTCGACAATGAGACTACGGTCACTCAGCCACCATCGGAGCAGCAGGATTCGACTTTTGGGACCCTCGTCAAGGAAGATGCTGAGCCGGTCAAGCTGCTTCTTCAGCAACTGAGTGACTTGCACGACTCTCTCCAGCGGGACAAAACTACCCAATGGAATGAATTTCTGCGTAAAGTCAGGGCGGAGAGGCATCGTGAGGGCGAGGCCGCCATAGCTGCAGCGACAGCGGCGGCAGAAGCTCGGTTTGAGAGTCCAGGCATCATTCTCCCAGAGGCTCGGGTTGCAGACGGTGAAATGATTGGCATTTCTAATCTGGGCAACAAGGGCAAAGTCGGACGAGCCAAGTGGAACGGATTCAAGACGCTGGTGCTCGGCGGTATCCCCGTGCTGTTCCGCGCAAAAGTGTGGTCCGAGTGCTCAGGGGCAACGACGCTGCGCATCCCCGGCTATTACGAGGGACTCGTATCCCAGAGTGGCGAGGACGACGATGCTGCGGTTGTGAGCCAGATCAAGATGGACATTAACCGGACGCTGACGGACAACATTTTCTTCCGAAAGGGCCCGGGGGTGCAGAAGTTGAATGAGGTACTCTTGGCGTACTCGCGACGAAATAAAGACGTGGGTTATTGCCAGGGGATGAACCTGATTGCGGCCAACATCCTGCTCATTACGCCGTCGGCGGAAGAAGCCTTTTGGATTCTGGCGTCGATTATCGAGAACATTCTGCCGCACGGCTACTACGACCATTCACTGATATCGTCGCGGGCTGACCAGCAGGTCCTTCGGCAATATGTCCGCACGGTACTCCCCAAACTGTCGGCGCACCTTGATTCGCTGTCGGTTGAGCTCGAAGCTCTGACATTTCAGTGGTTCCTCTCTGTCTTTACAGACTGCCTGTGCGCTGAGGCGCTCTTCCGGGTGTGGGACGTGGTGTTGTGTACCAATGACGGAAGCACGTTTCTCTTCCAGGTTGCGCTGGCCCTGCTCAAGCTCAACGAGAGCAATCTACTGCAATGCGACACGCCGGCGGGGGTGTATACTTATATCAACCACCACATGACGGAACATGCCATTAGCATTGACGGATTGATTCAAGCGAGCGAGGGGCTGAGGAAGGTTGTTCGAAGGGAGGATGTTGAGCAGCGTCGGGCCAAAGCGATTCAAGCTGAGAAGGATATGCACGCTGGTTCGAACAGGATAGAGACGGATGCTGTATCGGACAATACGGATGCGACGGAGACTGGAGATGCTGATGAGGGTGATGAGGATTCGAGCTGAGGCGTGTCATGACAGGCGGCGTGGAGTGTTGTGGATGTGCACGCAATACGTGAATGCGGGATATAAATTGATTCGGGAGTAAGAAGAGAGATGAGCGAGTGTCGGGGAGTTGAACTGCTGTATACGCAGAAGCGCTGTCGGTGTTGGAATAGCGGAGGGGAAGAGAAGGCAATGTAGCGTGTGAAGTCAGGGTTGGAGCATGTTGAATATGATACCCACCACAATGTAGCCAATGCTGCTTTTTCCTTTTTTCCTTTTTTCCTTTCTTTCTTTGTGTCTATCAGTTATACTCTCTCTCATTAGATTTATCATTGGTTTGGGGGTGTAAGGGGGGGGGGGAATATTGAATGTTTTTGGAAGGGATAGACTCTGGACTGATAACAAAATGGCTGGGGTTCTCACGCGTTTGGGTGTGTGTATGTGAGTATTGAGAGAGAATCAAGCATATTAGACAGGAATACAAAACGCAAACGACACAAGCTACAATGATTACCAGCTGGGCTCTGCCATTATACAGTGATGTCTGGTGTTATTCATTATACAGCCGATATATATGGCCTTTCTAGTTTTATGTAGATATTTTCGTTGTTTCTCATCCTCACAGCTTCGCCTTATTCTCCTTACGCCACTGCTCAACAAACACCTTTCCAAACTCCTTCCTCTCCGCCGCAACCCTCTGATCATTCGCAAACCTCTCATTCTCCGCCTCCAGCCCCGCGCCCTTCAACTCCCTCACCAAATCTTTATAAATCTCCGCTTTAATCGTGCCATACACCCCCTTCTTCGGCTTCTCCAACAAATTCCTCTCCATAATAAACTTGATCGCATCATCTACACCATTGGGACACAGTCCGTCTGCGAGACCATCGGTTACGGCTTCCGCGCCGGTGAAGCGGTGGCCTTCGAGGGCGACTTTGCGGAATATGGCGTTGGAGGGGAGTTTGGCGCGGAAGAGGGATGCCATGGGGGGTTGGAGGGCGGCGCCGAAGAGGACTTCGTTGAGGCAGAGGAAGCCCTTTGGGGAGGGGGCGAGGCGGTAGTCGTGGGCCATGGCGAGCATGAGGCCGCCGGCGTAGGTGTGGCCGTTGAGGAGGGCGAGGGTTGGCATTGGGAAGCTGATGCGTGTGTTAGTTGGCGGTGTTATATGTGAATTGATTTGAAGTTATAGAGGAGATTTCATTACGTTAGGAGTCGGTTCCAGACAGAGTAAAACAGGGCCCAGAAGCCGGGCGTGTCAATGGCATGCTGCAGGTCGAGGCCGTTGCTGTAGAATTTTGGGATAGCGCTGGTGGTGATGAGGACGCCGGGCGGGTGGCCGCCGGACTCGAGGAGGTCGAGGGCGGCGAGGAGGGCCTTGCAGACGGCGGTGGTGAGGCGGTTGTCGGGCGGGGAGTTGAATGTGAGGAGGTAGATTGCGGGCTGGGGCTCGATGACGGTGATGGAGCCGCCGGGATGGGGGCCGAGGGGGGGGATGGGGACGGTGAAGAGGGTTTTGGACATTTTGAATTGGATGCTATATGAATGGGTGTTGGCGATGAGATATAGATTGAGATGAGATGGAGATGACGGAGATGGAATGGAAGGGGATGAGTGAGTGTGGAGATGATGGGGTCTGGGGTATTATATAAAAGAAGTTAAAGTAAAGTCATATGTAAGAGTTATCTTTCGACAGTTGATGCTGACGATGGGAAAACGTTGAAATGTGAAAAGGGCGGCAACGCGGTAAAACTAGTTTACGTGATGAGCCTCGGCATCTGCGCGCCGGTATGGGGAAACGGGCTTGGAGTTAGCTGGGGGAAAGTTTGGCTGGTAAGGCTGATGCTGTGCTCGGGACAAATAACGGCATGCGGCGGGATTGTCACAAGAGAAAGAGAGAAAGAGACAATTCCCACTCTGTCTTCGGTACGGCTTTGTGATTATTAAACACGGAACGGCATGTCATTTGGATGGGGCTGTTTGTTGTGTCAGTCACATGTGATTTGATGGATTGAATTGATTGAAGTTCTCTACAGACCTAACTCGGTGTAGTCTATTCCAGGTACGTACTGCAGCAGCTAGACATTCAACGCTAAGCCATCTCCAGCCTAGCCCCATCTACCCCACATTGTACCTGTTACCAGCTGTTTGAAGCTCCTCCAAAAGAAAGCTCCGCAACTTGTCCACTTCTCGCAGCTTCAATCTCCAAACGAACGTCCCTCCATAAACACAAACCTGCTGCCCGCCATGTCGCCGCCGAGAGACTTGAACCCTGTCTCGGGCTCGCCTCAGGGCACAGTCGTGTTTTTCCATCCGGATTTGGGGATTGGCGGCGCTGAGAGGCTGGTTGTCGATGCGGCGGTTGGGCTGCAGGAGCAGGGACACCATGTGGTTATTTTCACGAACCACTGCGATCCGAGCCATTGCTTTGACGAGTGTCGTGATGGTGAGTAATGCACACTATTGTTGAACTCATATTGCACTCTTCTTCTTCATAAACATGAGCTCATAACAGTTTCATAGGCACCCTCGATGTCCGTGTCCGCGGCGCATGGCCCATCCCCATGTCCATCCTCAACCGCCTCACCATCCTCTGCGCCATCCTGCGCCACCTCCAGCTCCTCGTCCAAATCACCCTCTCCGGCGAACTCCAGGCCCTGAAGCCCCGCGCCTTCATCGTCGACCAGCTCTCTGCCGGCCTCCCCCTCATGCGCTTCCTCTACCCCGACACGCCGATTCTCTTCTACTGCCACTTTCCGGATCTCCTGCTTGCCCAGGGTCGGCAGTCGGCGCTCAAGAGGCTGTATAGGGTGCCGTTTGATTGGATTGAGGAGTGGTCTATGGGGTTTGCGCAGGCGGTGGCTGTGAATTCGGAGTTTACAAAGGGCGTTGTTGCGAGGACGTGGCCGAGGCTGAGGGAGAAGGTGGATACGAAGGTGGTGTATCCGTGTGTTGATACGACTGTGAAGCAGGATGATGCTCCAGCTGAGGGCGATGTTTTTCGTAACGGCGACTACAAGATTATTCTTAGCATCAATCGGTTTGAGCGAAAGAAGGACATTGGGCTGGCTGTCAAGGCGTTTGCTGCCATTTCTGAGGAGCAGCGGAAGGGACTTCGTCTTGTCCTGGCAGGTATGTCACATACAATGCTTCCCACCACCTCCGTTTCTCTACAGGTCTAATTCATTTTAGGTGGCTACGATCACCGTGTTGCCGAAAACGTTGAATACCATGCCGAACTGCAACAACTCGCCTCTTCCCACTCTCTCAACCACCACACCGCCACCTCCTTCGACGCCGCCTCCCTTTCTTCGATCCCAAGTGATGCCTCCGTCCTCTTCCTCCTCTCCATACCAAACTCTATCAAGACATCACTCCTCCGCGCGGCTCGCATCTTAGTCTACACACCCTCCAACGAACATTTCGGCATTGTGCCTCTTGAAGCCATGCTTGCCAGAGTGCCCGTTCTCGCCGCCAACACGGGTGGTCCCGTTGAGACGATACAAGATGCCAAGACAGGCTGGTTGCGTGACCCTGAGGACGTAAATGATTGGTCCAGCGTTATGGGCAGCGTACTTGACATGGCTGACAGTGATCTTCGTGAGATGGGTGCTGATGGCGAAGAACGTGTGCGATCTCTGTTTGGTCGCAAGAACATGGCTTTGCGGTTGGAATCGTCCTTGAACGAGATTCTTGCGAAAAAGCTTACTCGGCCGTCATTATTTATCCCTGTTGCTATCATTGTTTCTTTGGCATTAGCTGCATTAGCTGTCTACGTGCAGTTACAATAGGCGTACCGCTTTTCTGGTTTCTTTTTCATTTTGTGTTAACTACGGCAATTTCAAGGCCATATATGGGATTTTTGAGAAAAGGAGAGCAATTGATAGATACCTGTAAGATCAAGGGACTGATAGATATAGACTGTTTAGCGGAGAATAAACGCACTTTTCATCGTCTTTGACTGTTTCAATTATATGCGCGAGGCTATATATGGGGATCGAGGGTTGTGTCGTCTCGCTCTCTCCTTTTCTCTTCTTCTTCGACTTACACACAATCTTGAACACTTCGGAAATTGAAAAACTTCTGATTACTTTCTTCAACTACTCCTTCTTTTCGTTTCACCACCAACCACATACTCCCAACTCGGCCAACACATCCCGCCCAATCACCGTCTGTCTCTCATGTCCGTCATCTTGCAGCCATATTGTGCTTAGGCACCAATAATAGATGGCTTGACAAAGTTCCATCAATAGCAGTTTTATGTAACTGCTGTGCCCAAACGCCCTAAAGCGTCACAGGTGATACAAGTGGCTCAACAGGCACTGTCATGCCTGTGCGACAATACCTCCTCACTTCTCCCCCTCACTTGTCGGCAGCCCGACCAAATAGCCATCTCCCGAGTCTGATTGTTCTCTTCATACTCTGATTCTTTATTCTCTACGACTCAGTGAGTGATCGTTGGTTTCATATTGCGAAGAGTTGGAACTGACAGAAAGTGACTCAATTTAGGATCGACATTCCACAACCTTAAAGATATGGCTTCTCCTCCAGACACGACGATAGATGCATCCGCACAGTTGGAGAAACTCAATATGGATGCCATTCTAGAATTCACGCAATTAATACGGGAAAAGAGACGAGCAAAAGCAAAAGAGGAGGAACTGGGAACCCAATTGCAAAGCCATGAGCGTCATCTACAGCTCATAAAGGGAAAACGAGAGGCTGTAGAGGAGCATATTAAAGAGCTTGACGCCCGACAGAGGCAGCTGATCGAAGAAGAAGGCCATTTCGTTTCAAAAAGGCACGAACTATTGACGGACCAAACAAATGCCAAGGATACCCAGAACGACATTCGCAAAAAGATGCTGCAGCTGACGCACACGCACGGTAAATTCGAGCTTGACAACTGCTATGAGGCCAAAACAATGTTTCGCGAGGCCGTGGAGGACGGCGATGCAGCAGTGGTGAAGGCTATTTTATATGCGGGAGCTTTGAACGAACACGGATGGATACCGTTGATTACAGCATCGAGCAGAGGGGATATTGACACGGTTAACAATCTTCTCCTTGCCGGAACCGAAGTTGATGGCAAGGATATTGTATTTGGCCGAACTGCGCTCAGTTGGGCCAGTGCTGGTGGCCACAAGGATATCGTACAGCTTCTTCTTGACACAGGCGTGGATGTCAACTCGGAAGATATCGATGGATGGACGTCACTGCACTGGGCTTCTGAGAGAGGGCACGAAGACGTAGTACGTCTTCTGCTTGATAAAGGTGCCAAGATTGGCTTTCGAAAAACACTTCACGTTCATTGTAAATCCGTCAGTGCCTTGGCTTTCTCTCCTGACGCAAAGTTTTTAGCAATAGGCTCGCACGAGGGTGTCATCGAGATCTGGGATACCGCAACAGGCCAATACCAACAAACTCTGCAGCATCCAGATCTCGAGATATCACCATTGAGACACGGAATGCCGCTACAGGCCGTGGTCGAAAGGAGAAACATCGTTTGCTCAATTATCTTTACACATGACTCGGAGCTGGTGATTTCAGGATCAAGCAATAGTTCGATAGCAGTCTGGAGCAGGGAAACAGGCGACTGTCAACGAATACTGGAGGGTCATACAGATTATGTCCAGACATTAGCCCTGTCGCATGATTCGAAATCGATGGTATCAGGATCAAGCGACGATACCATCAAGATATGGGAGACCGCAACAGGCACATGCCAAGCAACACTGCAGGGCCATAACAGATGCGTTTATAGAGTGGTCTTCTCCCATGACTCAAAGCTCATTGCTTCAGGTGCATTCGACGGACACGTCAATATCTGGGACAGCGTAACGGGCGAGTGCCTGCAGACGCTAAGAGGCTGGCAAGAGGAGGAAGTATTTACATTGGCCTTCTCGCACGACTCAACGCGCATAGTATCAGGGTTGAACAACAACATCATCAAGATCTGGGATGTAACACCCGGGCGATTTCCACTGCAGACGATGTGCCATGATGACGGCGTCAATATGGTGACCTTCTCGCCTGACTCAAAGTTGGTGGTATCAAGGTCGAACAAGAATGCTATTTACGTCTGGGATAGTACAACAGGCAAGTGTTTGAGGAAACTACAAGGCCCTGATACTTCCCGCGGTACGATGGCCTGGTCGAAAGACTTGAAGTTTATAGCTTCGTCTTCATATGACAAAGACGCAAGGAGGACCGAAATAGTTAAGATATGGGATAATTTCGTGCTCAGTAGTGTTGTCTGCCCGTCAGGGAAACTACATGTAGTGGAAGGAGATGAGTAAGGGTGTGGAGGGGAAGCAGAAGGAGGCACCGAGACTGCAGGACCTGTTATCTTCAATCAAAACTCTTTTTTTGCTCCTCAATATCATAATCACACACTCCTCTTCGAGTCTGATTGATAACGCAGATCGTCATCCAATCAACGCCTAAAACTCATTATGAGCCGAATATAACATGGGTATAGGCATAGCCTCAGCATAGGCACCAATGCTGCAGAATCCCCCCACTCTGTGGCAGCCTAACCCACCCGCATCTCGGGATTCGTTTACTAGAATCGAGTTCTTGTTTCATATATGTTGCTTGTTACATGAGATCTTCGATCGGATAATACTGCGACGAGGTCTACCATTGAGAAGAATCACTCTCGACGTGATCCATTATGCGCTTGATCAACACGCAGACGTTCAAACTGAAGGAATTCTCACATGAAACCATTCCTCCATACGCTATTCTGTCGCACACCTGGGGAGATGATTCAGAAGAGCTCACGCTGCGTGATGTCGAAAACGGAAATATCGATAAAGCAGGTGTTGGATCGATCAAACTCCGAGGATGTTGCGAACAAGCCCAGAAAGACGGCCTCGAATATGCCTGGATTGACACCTGTTGTATTGACAAAACCAACCTGGTGGAGCTCAGCGAAGCTATAAACTCCATGTTTCGCTGGTACAATTGTGCTTCAGCTTGCTATGCCTACTTGTCGGATGTTCCCGAAGATGACAAACCCTCCGAGCGCGGATCTAAATTCCGGACCAGTCGGTGGTTTCAAAGAGGGTGGACTCTACAAGAGCTTCTCGCCCCTAAGAATTTGCTTTTTTTCAACACGAAATGGCAGTTTATTGGCACCAAGGGCACTATAAGCAATGTGATTAAAGACATCACCCATGTGCCTCGACAATTCCTATTGGGCATCACAGGATTGCACATTGCGAGTGTTGCTCAACGAATGTCATGGGCTGCGCAAAGGGAAACAAAGAGACCAGAAGACCTCGCATACTGTTTGCTAGGCATCTTTGGCATAGCAATGCCAATGATATACGGAGAAGGTGGCGAACAGGCCTTCATCCGACTGCAGGAACAAATTATGAAGTCGACGAGAGACGATTCTATCCTGGCATGGGGCCTAAGTGACGGGTCTAATAGTTCGCTCGTTAGCAATGAAGCCATTACAGATTCCATTCTGCAAAACAAAGCTAGAAGTGGGAATGTATTGGCGACTAGCCCAAAGCATTTCGAAAATTCTGGACAGATTGTCTGTCGGGAGCAGACACATAATCAACTACAATCACTCGACATGTTTGGCGGTAGCCTTCGCATCTCTCTGTCGCTATTTACCAGTGCTATCACTGGAGAAACACTTGGAATACTAAGTTGCGGACCTGAGTCAAGCCCGCATCAAGCTGTTGGTCTCCCGCTTGTCAGAACAAGCTCGTTAGCATCTAATGAATACGCCAGACCATGGGGGCGGTCGTCGATACTGCGGACGGTAGTTGCAGACGGTGCTGCTCCCCCTGAGCTTATCTATATCAAGAGTGATGGGCAGAAAGATGTATCTATCGAGACGACTATCCAGTACTGGATTTACGAACACGAGTTGTTTTCCCGAATCAATCTGACGTTAGTCGGCGTGGAGCCTCCGGTCTGTTGGGATAAGCAGACGAATCTGATTTCCCAGACAAATTCTGGCGATACTGATAAGAAGCCAATTTTGCTGCGATTACGCCATAACGAATCGGAATCTCTGGACTTTGTCGCAATCCTCGAAACGTCGCAACACGACTTTGACTCAGAATGGTCGCGCGGTTACAGGATGTGTAAGGTCTTTACATGCACCAGAGATGAGTCACTACTAGAAATAACCGAAATTGAAAGTCTTCGAAGTCTGTCTCCGAGACTTATAGGAGGATTAGGGAATATGAGTGCTCGCAACGAAATGCTCCAGTTACTCATTAGGGTGGAGCCTGCTGAAGGGGGCATCATGGTCATCATTCCCGATGCAGTAGAACTAGGGGCTGATGGCACTACCAAACCGTTCGAGGATGCCGAGTTGATTCTAGACTTTAGGCAGCTCCTAAGAGACAGGAGCGAATTATATCCAATATCCGAAGATATAGAAGCCAGATATGAAACCTACGGCGAACGCTTGGAACGAGCCAAAGAAGAGCGCATAGAGGTGGAGCACCAACTCAGGGAACTTGAGGCGAAAAAGAGAACTCTGGTGGAAGAAGAGAAAGACTGCGCTCGCGAGATGTACTATCTAGGCAAAGAAAAGGCAAAGATGGAGACGAGACAGCAGTATTTGTCTATGCGGATGAAGCATGCATATTCTCATTTGGGTAGACTGGTCGTCGACGACAATAACCACCAGCTTGGCAGGAGGATATTACAGGGGGCTCTGGAGAATGGCGACACCGAAGCAGTGGAATCAATATTCTGGGAGGTGGATGATATGGCGGCCGTCAACGATGGATGGATACCGCTAATTACGGCATCTATCAGAGGTGATGTCGATGCGGTGCAGAGTTTTCTTTCAATGCTTGGGTGTCAGGCTGACGACACGGATACCATATTTGGCCGGACAGCTCTCAGTTGGGCGAGTGGAAACGGCCATGAAGCCATTGTCCAGCTGCTTCTCGATACAAACAAAGTAGATGTCAACTCTCGAGATTACAACGGCTGGACGCCACTGAAATGGGCTACTGAGAAGAAGCATACGAAAACAGCGCAGCTCCTGCTTGATGAGGGTGCCACAATTGATGGACCACTGCGGGTTCACCGCGGTGTCATCAGGGCAATGGCCTTCTCGCACGATTCAAAGCTTATAGTATCAGCGGCAAGAGACGAAACCATCAAGATCTGGGATACTTCAACGGGCCAATGCCAGCAGACGCTGCAGGGCTACAGCCAAGGAAATGCCTCTTTGGTTGTGTTTTCACACGACTCGATGCTAGTGGTGTCGGTGTCTGGCTATTATCTTATGAGGGTCTGGAATAGGACGACTGGTCGCTGCCAGAACATACTAAAAGGCCATACAGATTCCATTACCGCAGTATCGTTTTCACATGACTCGAAATGGATAGTGTCTGGGTCAAAAGACAAGACTATAAGGATCTGGGATAGCGTAGCAGGCACATTCCATCGCCGACTACACGATGACACCGAGAATTTCTCACTCGCCGTTTCACACGACTCAACCCTAGTAGTCACTGGCTCTCGCAATGGTACGGTGAAACTCTGGGACATGATAACAGGCCAATGCCTCCAAATTTTCAGGGGCCACAAGAGCTCTGTTTTATCCGTGGCTTTCTCTCATGACTCAAGACAAGTCGTTTCTCTTGATTCCAACGGTTTCATCAAGATATGGAATATGGCAGCCGAAGGCCACCAGGCCCACCAGACAATACAAAGCAAGCTTAAGCAGCTCGTTTTGGTAACTTTCTCAGCTAACTCGACGTTGGTGGTGTGTGCATCCGCAACTGCAAATGCCGTTGAGATCTGGGATACTATAACGGGTCAATGCCAAAATACAATTCGAGGCCCTGATCTTCATACCCATTCGATAGCTATTTCGCAAGACGCACAGCTCATAGCATCATCGGTATTGCACAACATGGAAGGGAGAATCAAGGTCTGGGATAGGATAGTTTTGTGATGAACTCTGTTGTTGACCTAATACCATAGAAGAGCACTAGAGACTTGGGCAAATAGAAACCGGCAGATGGAGGTGTAGGAAGGGAATCAACTGTCCAACGTAAGCGCTTCACTCCCTTGAATGCAGGGTATTCCATCTGCTTGACTCAGGGTTCAGTATATGAATACATTTAGTAAACAGTTCGACGTTTAGACATTACGTTAATTCTTTTCAGCACGGTTGGTTGCTAAAATTGCACATATAGGGCTCAACTCGCCAGCCGCTGGACCCCGATGAGATCATGGACGGGATGTGTAATCCTGCTAAGTAACTGATACAGTCTTTATGAAAGTGTTTTATAAGCGCTTCAGTGAGGTTTTTAACTAGGGCAATCATATAACTACTCAAGCAGCTACACAGGCATCACAAAGACTCAAGACCAAGGCTTGAGCATACACATGCCATTTACAAGTAATAAAATTACCACCGTCTTCTGTTTCTTCGGTAGCCTTCTCTCGTTACTCAAATCGACTGCTGTCTTGTGATGACATTGGTATTGTCATGATATGGGCCATGACAGGGCGATGCCTACAAGCGATTTGCAGCCATCACTCTGCCAGTTCGGTGGCTTGCTCGCCGGACTCGAAGCCTGTGGTACCCAGATCAGCATCGAAACATTTCGTTCACGTCTAGGACAGTATAACAGGCGAGTTCATCCGAGAACTCAAAGTCTCTGATGACGTTGCCAATTCCACAATCTTCTCGCAAGACTTCAGGTTGATAGCATCAGCGCCAAAGAGCGAATATAGAGAAGTAGAAGAGGAGATTGAGGCGTAGTAGTGAAGATAGCGATAGCACACGGACATCTTCATAGGAATATAGATTCAACAAAAATAAGTTATCACAAAAACTCAAAACCAAGAACTGAGCATACACATGCCATTCATAGCTAAAAACTACCTCAATACCCATGCAAACTCATACAAATTATATAGCTATATATATGTCAACATCCTCCAGAGTCATTCTATCCCATGCAAGGCATTCCAATGTCAGTCATTCACCCCTTAAAATCCCATAATGCTCCATGCTCCATGCTCCATATAAGCATACCACACCATAATCAATCTCATGAAATAGTAAAAATGCAACAAAAGCACAAACAAGAAAAAAAAAAAAAAGACCCAATCTAGCTAAGTTCCAGCCAAATTCGTAGCGAATACAAAATAGAGCCGGAAGAACAAATTATAAAAAAATAAAACATAAAGACACTCCGAAGGTTCCGGGATATAACGGGCGTGCATTTGCCGGCAAGCCATTATGCAATGCAAAAAAAAAAAAAAAGCAAAGTGTGAAAAAGATATAAAACGCCCACCATTGTTTCCCATCGAGCAAAAGGTGATAATAATGAAAAAGGCTTCCAGCCTTTCCTTGATAGCTCCGATCCATCCCCCGCAAATCATAATGATGATGATTTGATAATGCAACCAGGTTCGTTGTGTGTGGTCGTGTTAGCCCATCCGATACCTTTTCCCGCTTCGATGATTCCGCTTCCACACCAGTTAATTAATTCTCGCTTAGAAGTAAAAGCCCCCCTGTGAAATAGAAAAGAAACTGGCTAGGCGTATTGTTTTTTTCCGCTTCATTTCATGCTGTGACTGGTCGCCAATAGGACAAAAGGCGTGTCTTGTCGTATCATGCTTCCGGAGAAATGTTGACTCTCCTGGCAGTTTCGTCACTTGCGGTGCTCATGTTTGTGTCGCGCCGCCTGGCCTCAAAGGGCCGGTGCCTAGTCGTAACTGGCGGTCGCTTCTTAGCTTTGGCCATCAACAAAAGGCCCTCATCACTATCATCGTCATTGTCTTCCTCGTCGTGCTTGCGATGCTGATGGCTTGTTGCATGGTTGTCCGAAGCTGGTGGGCCGTCAATCTTGACTTGAAGCGGCACGCCTTCCATGGACGAGTGGTGAGCAAAGACTTGGTCAATGGGAAAGCCACCGACCGGTTCCTTCCCCAAGGCGGGGGGAGTAAGCGAGTCTTTGGTCTGTAAGAAAGTGGCCTGGGGGTCTACGTTTCCCGGTCTGAGCAGCAGTTCACCCTCCAAATCAGCCGAAACAGAGCTGGCGCCGCTAAGGAGAGCCGGCAGCGAGGGATCGGATTGAAAGACTAGCATTCGCTGAGATGCGCTGTTGGCAGGCGGGCATGCGGCGACAGGGCTAGCTGTTTCGCTTGGGCTTGTCAGGGGCGTTCCGAGATGATCCATGGAGTCGGTACTCGCAGTCTTTGCGATTTCCACAGTGCCCCTTCGTGAGGGGGCCTCGGATTGCCAATCTTGATGAGCAATACGGGACCATTGGCTACCCATATCAGCCGAGCCATCTTCACTCGCGTACGAGCCATAAAAGGCTGGTTCAGGGCTCATTGTGACAGGAGTCCGGGTGAGGGGAGACCTGATATCATTCCCGTTGTCTACACGGTGGGCAGTAGTAGGACGCTCCTGGTACCGACTGTGGAAGTTTGGATCGGACTGAAGATGCCTGTGATGATGATACGACGAAGGGGGTATGGATTGAGGAGACGAAGACAGAGGGGAGGACGACAGCTGCGTGTATCCGTATCTATTTCTGCCCAGATCAACAGAGCGCATCGAGCGTGTGCTTCGCAAGCCCGGAATGTTCCCCGGTGCCACGGCAGTATTCAGACCAACTTGAGGAGCGGCTCGTTTGTCGTTGCTCGCGAAAAGACCACGGTCCGCGGAAGGGGAGCGGACTGAATCTTCTCTCAGAGCGCTGATCTCTGACCTCGCACTTGGTAACTCTGGACGGAAGGGGGGATTCCTATCAAAAGAAGGGGTAGGCGGCACCGTATGAGGCGTCAAGGGTAAGAATTGTGCAACGTTTCTAGCACGTATGGTTCCCCCGTTGCGGATGGAAACGCCATTGGTAGAAGGGCGAAATTCGGACGTTGATGCCTCATCCAGCTCGCTGTGAGAGCGCCCCCGGGTCACGGTGGCCGGCTGGGTGGTCAGGGGCGGCAGGACTGTAGCCATTGGATCATAGACGACAGATTCCACGCGACTGCTAGCGGCCCCGGACTCTGGAGAGCGTAGCTCTATGCTTGACAAGGCGTCCCTGGCTGGCAGGCTGGGAAAGTAGTCTTCTGGATGAAGGCTGCGGCGCCTATCGAGGTAAGGAGTAGGAGGATTCGTAGCTGGAACAGCAACGGGAAGAGCGGGGAGCTTTGGCAGGCTATCACCGCCGGAGCTGGCGACACTGCTAGTAGCCCGTCGACGTGATCGGCTTTCGCTACGGTCGACCAAGGGATGCATGACTCTTCCCACGGCCTTTTTGACAACAGATCGGGCCCGTTCAAGAAAGGTGAGTGGCACGACGGCAGAGGACAGGTCCCTCTCGTCGACCTGGATCTTGCGGCCACTCGATGGCTTGGCAGGGTCAGTTTCTTCTGCCCATGATCTCGGGTTGGGAAGGCCTTGGAGCACCCAGGGGTGTTTCTTGATATCCTTGAGGCGGATTCGCTTTTCTGGATTCTTGATGAGCATCTGGCGCAGCAAGTCATACAGGAGATTATCCACGTCTTCGTATTCGAGATCATTGTCATCGCGATATGGATGAGTGTTTTGGCGTTTGTAGAGAGAGGTTACGGTGGGCGAGGTTGAGGGATCGACGGGCTTTAACCTCTTGCGCGGGATGTACACGTCCTCAGTGGCAATCTTGCGGAACATCTGAAACTCATCCTCTGCCAGGAAAGGGATACGGGCATAGATGAGGCAGTAAAGAGTCACGCCGAGAGACCACACATCAATCTGCTCAGACACCTTGGGCTGAGCCTGGTCAGGGTCGGTGTAGCAAAGCTCCGGAGCGAAAAAGGCCGGGGTGCCAACAGTCTTTGAAAGTTCCAGGTCGTCATCAAAGTCCTTTGCCTCGGACTCAGACACTAAATCGTCGGGTTCACCGTCACGGATAGGTCGGCCGAAATAAGAAACGCCAAAGTCGGAAATCTTGACACGATGGTCTTTGCTCCACAACAGATTGGCAGGCTTGATATCACGGTGAACAACGCCCTGGTAATGCAAGTATTCAAGACCTAGCACAGTATCGCGAAAGGCAGACCGGGCTTGATCAAAGGTGAAGCAAGGGACATAGGAGAAGTCGTCAGCAAAGGGGTCGTGAGCATGAACGTTGTAGTCGATGGAGGACATGTGGGAAATAATGGAGTCGGCCATGCTGGGAGATCGCTCGCGGTAGCTCATTCTGTCATCGTTGTTGGTATAGGCCCCAAACATGGTTCCGTCGAGCGCGCTTGTGGAGAGGGGAGGCTGCGATGGGGTGGGACCGGGGGTGGTATGGTCATCTTCATGCCATTCGTCTTCTTCCCTCGTCACAGGCGAAGAGGAAAAGGAGTAGCCTTGTGAGGGGGCAAGGGAGGAGCGGCGAGAGATGGGCATGGATACGGAACCGTCGGTGGCAGCAAAGTCTTCCCTGGAGGAGATACGGGACCAAGGGCTTAAGGTGCTCGCGTCGTCTGCGGGGCCGTGTTCATTGCTCCAGTACTCATGGCCGTGGTTGTTGTTGTTTTGGGCCATCTTGGCCCTCTTGAGTTCCTTGATGATCTGTCGGCGCTCGAGTAACTGATCCCACCGCATGTCATCGGCGGTAGCGGGCTCTCCATTCATCTCGCGCTCGGATCGTCTCCGTTCGTACGAGCAGATATGGGGTAGTCCCTTTTTACGCCACACAATCTCGCCCAGCTCAACGTGTTCCAGTACCATGTAAATCTTTTTAAGCTCGGGATCGTCAATGACTTCGAGTAAGGCGACAACGTTGGGGTGTCTGATCTTCTTGAGAATGGCGATTTCCTTTTTGGTCTTATCCTGGGGGGACATGGCAGTGACCTTGCCAAGCCGTCGTTTCTTGGAAAAGCGCGGAATGATTTTGATGGCTACATTTTCACCGGTCTCGAGGTTGCGGGCCAGCTTGACCTTGCCGTGCATGCCACGGCCAATCTCCTCGATAATGTCATACTGATTGATGGACTTGCGGCCGGTGGCAGTGTCGGAATCGATGAGAGCCTTATGGGTCCTATTACACGAAGAGAAGAAAGAGAGAAAAGGTTAGTTGACTGGTCCAAGAAAGAATGGTGCTGGGGTAGAATCAAGCAAAACAGCCCAGCCAGTCAAGGGTCATATGTGGCGTTGAACGACCATACAAGCCACAGACAAGACAGGGCGACTGCAACAGGAACGGAAAAAGAGAAGAAATCCTGGTCAAAAACATACTCTCGGACTCGGTGGGTCTGCAGCGGGTGCAAGTAGGGGCTGTCGAACAAAGGGGCGGGCGTGTTGCTCTCGGAGAAGGACTGGGTGGGCATATGGGCGTGCCTGGCGACGGGACTGAAGAGGCCAGGAGAAGCCGTGGGCGTGCTGTTGGCGGTCCGCAAGGGAAGTGACGACAATTGAGACAGATGGGTGTAAAGCGCCGGCTTCGGCTGCGGCTGCGGCTGGCCGTCCATGATGGGCGGAGCAGAGGAGAGGAGAGGCGGGCGCTTCGACGGGGAGACAGGTTGAGTTGTTGCTGCTCTGTCGAAGGCGAGGCGGGGAGAGTCGATGGAGAGGAAAGGCCTCGAGACTGCGAGTCACAGCGCTGGTCGAGGCGAGAGGTCTCACGGCAGCATCGTCTCGCGTGCAATTCTGAGTCGAGGGGTTGCGGCTCGTCGGAGCAACGGGGAAAGTAAGTCGAAGGGCGGGCGGTCGATGGATGAGGTGGATGAGGCGAATGCGAATCTGAATGAGGGCGGATATGAGAGTGAGAGGGAGACAAAGAGAAAGAGAAAGGAAAAAGGCAAGCTGACTGAAGATGCTGCGATGTTGTCACGCTTCCCAGTTGTTTGAGGGCTTTGGAGTTGCAAGTTGATTCTTGCTTCTGCCAAGTGGGCAGTTGGATTGGCTATGGGGCATCCAGGCGAACCAGAAGCGGCTTGAAGCTGCACACAGTCTGATTTAAAGCGGGGGGTGGCCACCGCCTACGGAGTACTTGGCGGCGACGTACTATCCCGGTTAGGGATGCCTGGATTGCTACCAGACAAGGTACAAAGGCGGTCGGCGCGGTACCTGGCGGCGACGTACCGGCGATAAGACGGAGCGATTGCTTGAACTGACTTTTTGGTGACTCTGGGGGGAGGCGATCGACGGTGGGAAGATAACGGACGGGCAGAAAAAAAAGGGGGGAAAGGTGAGGATTGATTGGAATAAAGAAGAGAAAAGTTGAAGTCATATTTGGATCGTCGACACTTTTCATCAACCGGTCCCAACAGAACAGCGCCGCTTCGTTTCATCCGCAACTCAAATCTTACCTTAAGCTTACTCGTACGGACATCGTGGTCGTCCCCCATCAGATTGACACAACTACTGGTTTTTGGTGGGGTTGTTCCAAGTACCTCTGCTACTACTATTGCTCTCTAGCACCACCAAAAACCAGATTATTGATTGATTTGATTGATTGATTGATTGGCAACCCGCACAGTACTCGTCAATACATAGCGCCCAGCCATGCGCAAAACGTCACCATCACCGGCTATTCATTAATCTCGCAGCCCGTCGTCTCCCAACCACCCAATCACAGCCCGCCATTCTCACTTATCTCTGCCTCGCGACCATGGCGAAAGTCGGAGCGCCAAAGTGGGACAGGCGATAGAATTAGGTAAGGCAGAGATAAGTGACGGGCCCGCGTCCAATTGGAAGATCGCACTGTGACGCCGATATGACGAGTCACATCTGCTAGCTGGCATCCGCGCTGTTGGTGGTCCCGCGCATGCAGATACCCACAGTGCGCGTGTGCCGCCTCCACTGTGATGCAGGGAGCAGCTGCTGGAGCCCTGGACTTGCCTGGAGCTGATGCTGGGACGCGCTGAATAATCTCCGCAGCCAATCGCCGCCCGCCATCCCGGATACCCCTCTTTTTTTTTTCTTCAACCTTGGATCCGGAGCTTCTCCCGGCTACCCCGACTTTCGTCATACCCTACAAGCCGGGAGTCGTTGAACCCAATCTCTGTTTTTTTCTTTATCTTTACTTTTTCGGCCCAAAGTCCAACCATCACCAACGATATCATGGTGAAACGAGGCCGGCCGTCTCTCAACCTGACGCCCGAGGAGCGCGTTCAGCGCCGCCGGCTGCAACTCGTTGCCTCCCAACGCAAGCGCAGGGCCCATAAAAGGCTCGCCCAGCAGCCCAAGGCCACGGAATCTCCCGACTCGCTCCCGGTGAGGCCGGATGAGGAGGCGCTTTGTCAGTTTTACGATGCCATGTTCTCGGACGGTGACGCAACCAATGCCAGCGCCGCTCGCAAGATGCCATCATCATCATCATCGGATCCTCACCCTCACTCTCACTCTCACTCCTACTCGCCGCCCACAGTCTGCCACAACTGCGGATCGGCACCGCTGGACATGGCCGCCCTGACTGCGGTCGTGTCCGCTCATTCACCGGCAAGTCTTATGAGGACTTCCACCCTAAGAACAGATACTTATGCTTCATCCTCCAGACTCGCCGGCCCGATGCCGTCCTCATCAACATGGGATGAATACCCGTCCACGACGACCGCGCCTGACAAACCAGGCATCGACCAACACTTCTTCACCGACGAGCATCTTGCGCAAGCGTACAACGGTATGCCTCTGCTGGACTCTATACTCGACTCATTGGAGCCACTTGGCATGGGCTTAGGCGGCAACTCTTTACTGGGTGAATTGACTCCAACCTCCAACCCGGAGGCGGAGGGAATCAGCGCGCCAGCCCCTGCCAAGGAGACGGAGAATGTCTTTCTGCTCGGCCGATTCAGCACAGTGAACAACGAATGGATGCCGACGAATGGAAACGAGACATCGTATGCCGTTGAAAAGGCTATCGCATCCCGCCGGCCACCGTCTCCATCTCCCGAAGAAGATGATGACCCAACGTTATCTGGCGATAGTGTCGATCCCTTACCGCCATGGGCGGGAGCTAAGCAAGTAAGTCTTGCTCGCCTGACCTTTGAAGCCTCAAACTTAGTTTACGACGGCCCGATGTCATTTATACTTTGCTCGGAACGTGGTGGCTAACATCGTACCCTGTTAGTTAATATTCATGGGGCTCTAAAGCAACCAAAGAGTTACTCTCTCAATCATGATAACCTCGTCTACTACGAATGGCGGATAGCTCGATAGAGTTGTTTTATATGTATATACAAAAAGCCTGTTATATGAGCGCAGCGTTTATTTACTATGGCGTTTTGGGAGGGATGCTACTCTACGGCCTGGGATTGGCCGTCGACAAAAATCATCAATTGATAACTTGGAAATAGAGGGAATGGAAGCCTGATTTCTTTCACACACACACATACACACTGTCCTCCATTGCTCTGCTAGCACCAAAGCAGAAGCTATTTTTAGGCGCGTGACGGCTTAGATACGGCATACCAGTAATACGGAACGGGCGTTGTCGGGGGCACAGTATCGTGCACGGTCTCACACAACGCTATTGGACTCATTGTTAGCTATAATGAATTGTTACGGGGGGCCTTTATTGGTCTGCCTTGGATGAGCGAGAAGCCTGAGACAAAAAGATGATTTGACGAGAAGCCGTAGACAAGAAAGATGACTTGGCCTCGGAGTCACGGTTCGTTCGCCTCAACGACCGGTTTCGTGGCGGCGTCGTGACACGGATTGTCATACCATGGGCGAACACGTGTGCAAGGTTTTGCCATTGATTACTTGGCGTGAGAGCTGCGCGGACGCGAATGCGGAAATATGATGTGTCTTAAGGAGTTGCACGACATGACAGGAGGAATGACTGGATTCTCATAGGTTCGGCGTGGAATATCACAATACGAGATGCGATATATGTTCACTCAAAGCGAACTAAGGATTCTTGTTTCATTGTCTTGGTGTATTTTATACTTAATCATTCCTAATCGCGTAAGAAGATGTAACGTTTGTTCCAATTCTTCGGCATTACCTCTTCATCGCGAGTTTCGTAGTTTTTGCTCTTCCAATTAGATCATTTAAGCTACTCGCCCGATTTCATGCGTGTGGCGAGTCTGCCGGACACGAGTCACGGAAATTCGTCCGCCCGACTTATAACAGCCGGGCCATTTTCGCTATAATTAAGGCACTTGTATACAATTGCAATGGAATCACGATTGAGAGGCTTCGACGATCCACTTTGTCTATGCGTGACGGCTGTGGCTACAGTAGATAACGAGTCTTGTGGGTGATGCGGATGATGTGGACGTTGAAGTTCAACCAGCCGCAGCATTGTCTTGGACAATGAACTTCCAAGATGATCTTGGTATTAACCACAGAGGTTTCTTCGGGGTTTCAGAACGGCCTTCTGAAGAAAATATGTGGTCAATGTTCAGGGTGTCTGCTCAGGTTATTTAGGTTAGGGACTCGCAACTCACCACCTCAAGAGCAAACGGACCTTGGGTTCCAAAATTTAGTATCCTAATAAATAAATTGATACCATCGCCGAAGAGACTTCTAAGGATAACATAGCGGCATCAAATGGGCACTGACGAAGATGACGAGTCTTGAAAGACGAGTGAGGGTAATCACATGAGCCAATTATATATTCATCGGCGTAGAAAGATCATTTCAAGATTTTTTCACGTTGTCGACGCGTCTCTTATACATAACATAACGTCGTTCGTAGTATATAAGTGGTGAGCTGTGTATGCACTCAACCATTAAAGACGGGTGGTTTCATATTCACATACACGTTGTTAGCGCCACTTGTGCAAGAGAATATTTACTCAAACTGTCTCGTCTCCCTATTTATCAGAGCTTGCTATATGGCGTGGCCGCAAGGTATGGTAAAAAATAAAGGATATAAAACACATGCATATAACATGCGCACACATCTCAATTGGCTGCGATGTCGATATTAACGGTCAAGCTGCGGTCAGAAGAGGGGCGGACCGTCAAGGGTATATACAAGTACCCCGGCTAACTATTTGCTCACCTAGATACATCAATGTACACATATATCATCGTTCTGGACTCAATCGCGATGCACACTTTCATGTTACCGTTCATATTGACCAGTAAAGGTTCCATCCAGGGCATATAAATGATCTCGCGACGTGTTTCTCATAATTTCAGCTCACTCAACTCAAGCCTCAAATACTTAACTTTCAGTGTGAGCAAATAATGTCCATGGCATGGCAAAAGCACAGAGAGGAAGGGAATGGCCTGCTTATTTATATGGCATTCAAGAAGAAGAGTTAGCACTTCCAACATAGATACATACCAACTTCCATCTCTTTTACGATCGAGTTATTTGGGCAACAGCTTGATTAAGTAGAGTACAGAGGATCTATTCCATGAGACAATCTTGGTGCTATGTATGTTGTTGTTCTTAGCACTACAGCCTCATACTGAGCATAGTACCCCTCGACAGATATCTTTATTATTCTCGGCCATCGACTTGCCTCTCGTTCCCCAACCTTATACTGCGCAGTTTTGCGTTACTCGTATGTAGCCATGGGCTCGCGCACTAGACCAATTCTGTTGGTCGTCAGCTGCAGGAGCATGCGAGTACGTGAGATCGCGCATACACGAAGACGCGCCCGTATTGTTGATATCCTCTCCTGTATCTCATCGTTTCGCTGTCATTTCTTCAGTGAGAGTTTGGGTCCTGGGTGACAAACGAAATGATGAGCACCGATTACGAAGTTTCTTCCAATGCCTTTGGGTCTAACACCCAGATCCATCAGGGTACATGTAATACAGTCATACACAACTACAGTTCAAACGCGTCGCGTAAAGCCTACTTCATGCTTCCTTTCCCCCCCAACGAAAATATCATTCGTCGTCCAGAAATCTTCACCAAACTTGACAAGCTCTTGGCGCGTTCTAAGGACGGTCACTACTGTAGTGCTGCTCTATGGGGTCTTGGAGGATCGGGGTAAGTGCTGTGTTTCGTTCACTCATATAATCGCTTCTGCTTGGTACATGTACTCATACAATGGCCTCTCAGCAAGACTCAGATCGCCCTCGATTACGCCTATCGCCGGAGCCATGAAGATCCTGCTTGCGACATCTTCTGGGTGCATGCTGACAATGAAACAAGTTTCGCACGAGATTATCAAAGAATTGCCAGGACGCTCAACCTGGACTATAAAGTCAACGGCGAAGAGCTGTTCCTCACAGTCTGTGACCTTATTGGCTCGCTTCAGCGTTGGCTCTTGATCCTCGACAATGTAGACGATTTGACACTCTTCGGTGTTGATGTTGGCGGCCAAATCAAGAGCTTGTTCGAGTACATACCACACGGTCCTGAAGGAACTGTTTTATGGACTAGCCGGGATGAACAAATCGTTAGTCTGGTCGGCCCGTTAAGAGGTGTTCAAGTCTCACACATGCTCATCGAAGAGGCCGAAAGTTTACTTGCTATGACGAGAAGAGAGGATATTAGAGCTGATGAGATCGAAGAAGCCAAACTACTGCTTCAAGAGCTTCAGTGGCTCCCATTGGCCATCTCCCAAGCAGGTACATACATGCAGAGGACTTCGACGCCTATCAAGAAATATTTATCAAAACTCCTGGAAGGGAAAAGCAGATGGGATGTGTTGAAACAGTCTCAGCATGACAGACACAGGAGGCCGAATGTATCAAACAGTGTTCTTGAAACGTGGAATATTTCGATCTCGCACATTCGAAAAGAGAGCGAAATAACTTACAAGGTTCTCCACACTATCGCGTATCTTGACAGCGAGAGGATTCCATTGTCATTTATCTTGGCCGCATCAAGCGACAATAAGCCAGAGAAAGAGACGCCATCTCACAGCGAGGAGGAAGTGCTGAAAGTGATCATTCCTCGACTAAAGGACTTCTCATTCATCAGCGAGCGCAAAGAAGAAAACTGTGATGAGCCTAGCTTTGATATGCATAAGCTGGTACAATATGCCATTCGATACCAGCTTAACACAGATGATTTTACTCTGGAGACATACTTTGCAACTGCTGCTCTCAGAGTCGTTACAAGTCTATTCCCCAAAGAAATCACGATAGAGACAATGCGCTTATGTGAGAAATATGCAACGCATGCGATACAGGTCAGCTGTTGGGCGGATCTGTCCGAGAATGTAACCACAACGTCTTCATTCTTGATAGACGTGACAAAATATTTCGTTTACTGCGGAGCAAAGAGAAAGGGAGAATATATGGCAAAAAGAGCATTCGACCTATTGAAAAATAATACTGGCAAGACACACTCACTAAATATGATAGGTGTCTTACACGATATCATCTATATGAAGATATGCCAGGAACGGTGGGAAGAAGCAGAGAGAATGACATTAGGAACAGTGGCAGGGTTGGAGCAAGTGTTTGGCAAGAACAATTTCATCGCCATTGCCACCAGTGGGATTCTCGTATCAATATATCGTTATCAAGGCCGGTATAAAGAAGCTGAGGAGCTTCAAATAAAGACGCTTCATTATCGACAGAAGTTTTATGGGTGGGAAGATAAATCGACGATTGATGCTATGGCAGAACTTGCATCAATATACAAAGACCAAAAACGATATGATGAAGCTCAAAAGCTCAAGATCAAAACCTTAGCGTTATATTCTGAAGTTCTCGGTGAAAGGCACCCAGAGACACTTGAAGCCATGGAGAGCCTTGCAGAAACGTACATATTGGCAGGAAACAGCAAGGAAGCTGAAGAGCTTGACCTCAAGCTTCTCTCGCTAGGACAAGAGTTCCCTTGGGAAGAATATCCCAGGGGGCTTGATTTTGCGACGCTTGTAACAACCTTTTCCGCATTACGCCTGACCAGAAAAACCAGGAGTATTCAGAAGAGAATCCTTTCGTTATTACAGAAATCCCTAGGAGATCGAAGCCTTTTTACTATTTGTGCAATGACGTCGCTTGCGGCGTCGTACCTTTGTCAAGAAGACAGGGAACTTCGATCAAAAGGCATGGAGCTTGGTCTAAAGGTGGCTACCGTCATTCGTGAGGTTCGCAGGGACAATGACAAGGAACCCATTGAGTCCATGGCGCTGACTTCAAGTATATGTCATTTCGGTGGGCTGATTGAAGAGGGTAAACGACTTGAATTGGAAGCCATGTCATTGATGCAAAGCACATATGGAGGCACATCTGCGCAGGAACTTGTGCTCAAATTTAACAGGGTGACCACCATTCGCAAAAGAAAGTCTGCCAACCGGTGCAGGCTTTGCAGACTGCTGAAAATGCTGTCACCTGAATTGAAAAAGGGATGGCCTCGTTGGGTGCTTCTCATCTTATGGTTGATCAGTAACGGCCTCAGTGTATTTAGCAGTTGGAAGTTGTCGGTACTACTACGGGCACCTAGGTTGACGAAGGGATACCCTGATCAAGAACGTGAATGTGTACCCATCGTCGAAGCGATACTCAGTCACATCGTCACATTCGCATTTTGGAGGTTTGCTACCGTTCAAGATCCGCGAACATAAAACTATAGAGTTATATTATAGAGATGGTTGTGGCATACATTTGATCTGTTTGGGGTACATCAATCATGGTATCAAACTAATAGTGTATCGATTAAGTTACTTGATTTACATTAATCATGGGTATTGGCCATTGATGATGCTGGCCTTTTGGCTATCAGACATTGGGTCATGAACCTTTTGGATAGGTTATGTACATGCAGTTACATGTAGTAATGACCTACATACGGCTATGCGTGTACCTGTGTATTGCACCAACTTTTGCATCATGAACAAGGAATGACAACAAAATGAAAACTTATTATTTGCAAAATATTAATGAAAGAAGAACTTTCAACCACCATTCCACAACACAACACACAATCGTGTTTTGATTTGACGGCTATTTCTCGCTAAACCTGACTGACCGAAAGTATGAGCTGATTATTTCCTTGGCCACAATGTCCCGTCCATCCTGGATTTTCTTGTTGATTTCAGCAAAATTCTCCATTAAGATGTAATCTTTACTCTCCTTGGCTAGCATCTCTTTTAGATGATTCGTTATAGTGTTCTCCTTGTACCTCTTATGCTTTTCATGCACTGGAGTGCTTGGGTAGACGTTCTTTGGAGAGCGCTCCTTTGAAGAAAACTTCTTTGGCTCATTCTTGGCGATTCTATCGCAAGACAAGATCAATGAACTCAACCCTGCAGTAATGGCTGTAGCGACAGAACTTCCTGAAATATAATCATCAGAGTCCAAAAAGGGAATGACTCCTGCCGCCACCGACTGGCCCTGGACTTTATATTGAAAGGAGCCTGTATCATTTGGGGGTCCGGGGCGAAGTACTTTCCCATAATCGTCGCAAGCAGTAATTGTAATGGTGTTATGAAAGCTCGCTGGATATGTGGTGGAAACTCCGAGGCCTTCATCATGAGTGCTGCAAAGCAAAACAATACCGGCTGCGGCTGCGGTATTGCAAGCGGCTTCAAGCTCATCAGTCTTCTCTGAAATAGCAAAACTCATCGAAATAATGTCAACGTTTCGAGAGATTGCCCATTCGATTGCCTTTATAACGAGGCACTAAGAGTTAGCCTCTTACTCAGACTACTTAAATTAGGAAGATATGGATTGAACATACTCTTGTAACCCTTGCAGGCATTATTCCAGCCTGGCCATCGGTAACCTTGGCTACGTAGAGGTCGCACCAGGGATCGATGGCACATATTAGATTCGCCATCTGTGTTCCATGTGGATTGGACGCGAATAACCATGGGCTAACTCGAGAATTGTCCTCCACAAAAGACTTGCCACCCTTAATGCGAGACCATAAGGTCTTGTGGTTTTCTGACTCTTTTCTAAAAATTGACTTGTTATCATTACTTTGGTCCTTTGAGTCTTCACCTTGGTGATTCATGTTGGAATTCCGGAAGCTGCCATTGTTCGATAACTTGTCGAACGTATATATATGATTTGAGTGATCCCAAAGATTGTCAACTCGTGGCGAGATGCTTAGAACTCCATTATCGATTAAGGCGACCTTTATTGGCCTAAATGCATATCCTTCGTTTGTTTGTAAGTCACCGACATACTTTCGATAGCTTTTTATGAAACGAGACAGTTTAGGGACAGCTCGTTCGGATCTGGAGGCAATTAAGTGTCAGTCATATACCATACGGCGATTACATGTGCACAGAGATGACGCTTACATTTCCTCTAGGTCTGCCAACCTCATTTGCGCAGGATTCCATGAATCAGACGTGCAGCTCACTTTTAGCTCATCTCGGCCATTTTGCCCCCTCTTCTTGTTTATATCATTCACTAAGGCTTCAAATTCTCGTTTGATGAATTGAGTTGTAGAGGAGCAATTCTCCTTCGTCATCAAGTCCTTACGCACAAAAGTCAGTCATTTAAAACAACAGTGTTAGTAGCAATCTCCAAACCTCTATGATATGAATCTCAAGCTGTGTAAGCTAATTTAGATCGCTGGTTAGCACATTTCAAAACTGAATTATCAACTCTGCACTCACATTGGGAAGCGTCAAGATACCATTCTCACTCGTCCAATGGCTGATAGCCGCTCTCTTACCACTTGCGTATAAATGAAGCTCTTTAATCCTGTCTTTTGTTTCTTGGTCAGGGAGCACCGTGATAGACAGGTCTAGGAACCGCCAATTGAGAACCTGGACTTGAAAGAATTTCACGTAGTTTCCTATCTTGACTTCGTTGTGTGGATTCACAAGTCTGTCCGGCACTGTGAGCTCAATTATCTCGCGAACCTTTTTATCGTTTCTCAGCCAGTCGAGGATAAGAAAAACTTCGGCGTGCTCATAATGAACATCGTCACCGAATATTTCCTTCTCGTCATCTTTCGCGTCCAAATTAGGAAACTCGGCGTATTTTAGAGTATGCTCGTATGACAACAGGTCTGGGTTGTCTTGGTGGCTGATGAGTGAACGCACAAAATCAGACACTAGATATTTCTTCGAGTTGAAACGGGAGAGGTCAAAGCATAGTTCTTCAACTGCAAACGATTAGATTTTGCTAAATTGTTGGGATGGGATCATTATTCATGACAAACTCACCATGTTCTACATTGCAAGGTCGCTCGGCGGGCTCATTATTACTTATGTGATTTAAACATATGATACAAAGGATAAACATACATTCAGAGTCTCGGAAAATTTCCAAGAGCTGCTGCATCCCCAAATCTGGATTCCCTTTGATGATTTTGGTGACCAACATTTCACGAATGTTGCGATTTGCCTCGCTCTGTAAATCCTCCATGCTTCAGCGTTGCTCAGGGGCCGAGTAGTTGTTATAGATATGCCAAAGGGCATATCTATTGTCAATTTGTTGCAAGACTGACTCCGGATATTCATCCATGAACATCTTAACAAACTCGGCGTTTTGGCATTGGACAGCGATATGAAGAAATTCAGAGATTTCTAGCTCGATGTTCTTATTTCTGCTCTCCCACACGCGCCTCAAATTGAGTTGGATAATTTCCTTGACAACCTCGTCATTGAGTTCTTCCTTTGTTGGAGCATGGCTGATCAGCGTGCAGACGACCTTCATATAGCTCTCTGGTGGATCTCCTTGTTTTGGCGTATTCTTACTTAAATACTCCAGCGCCAAAAGAATATTTTTGGCTGTAATAAACTCCTTTTGTAATTCCTCGTATTCGAAGAAGGCGTCCACGATGCCATCCTTCCCTTCCTTCAAGCTTGTCTCAAATGTTTTGTCGGTTGGGCTCATTGCAATCTTTGGATTATATCTGAGAAGCATTTCAACGGTTTCCATCCCATTGTTATTTATCGCGGCGAGACCAAGAGCAGAAAGAGAACTCAAACGGTCCGGCTTTGGCCGCTGTAGAATCTTGATGAAGTCTTGAAGATCCCAACCGCCACCCGTGGTGGAAAGGAGGCTGTCCCCCCGGTTTAACATATGCGCAACTATCTGGGTGCGTTCATCTTCGACAGCAGCGTGAAATGGCGTTGTTTTTTTATTCCGACCGTATGAATGATTCGCCTTGCACCGCTTCATTACACTCTCTTCACCCCAACCACGAATTTCATTCGCGGGCTGGAGACTCTCAAACGATAGATGCGGTACTATATCCAGTATGATGCGAATAATACGGAAATTTGGATTGTCCATGTCGCTGCTGTCTTTTTCTGTAGGCGTTGTATTTTCAGCTGATGCCGGTACAAACTTCTCCACAGCACTGATGAGTATTAACCAGAGTATGCAGTCGTCTATATTTTTATCATTCGCATTCTTTAAGTAGTTTCTGATCTGGTTTTCTGTCTCGTTTGGTATTTCTCGCTGGCCTTGGTCTGGATCACGAAGGATACGGCTGTGGATCTCAGCGTATAAGGTATCGGCCAGAATGTTCAAGTTGTGTCGGTGGCCCTTGGGGTTTTCCAATTTTTCGTTCATTTCCTTTTTAAAGGATTCCATCTTTAAGTCTTTTGACTTTGGTATGGTGCTGTAATCCATAGATGTTTCCAGAATGTTGCTAGAGGCAGTTTCGGGCATCGCAGGCTGGCTGGGCATAATCGACACAGTTTGGGCGACTTCTCTCTCCAATTGAGAGTTTAATTTCTTATGCCTGTAAGTGAGATAATCATTTACAATACGAAGGATCAACGATCAAATCCACGGATTTGTTGCAAATATATTGCTTTTTTGTTTAAGAAAAAAAAAGCTATATGGAGGTCTCCAAATCGTTATATCTGAAAACCAATACAAACGTCTAATACGGCATCAGGCGCTACCAATGTTACGCTTTGAAGTAGTACTTGGGCATCTATCCGATGATATAGTACGTATAATACGGTTCTTCATACGGAGTACTTAATAAATATATTAAAGGACCTAATGCAAGTATCCTATCAGTTCCCGAACCTTCATCTCATTGGCTAAGTATCTAAATGCCAAGTCTACGATACCTCAAGGCCGCCAGCCACGCCCCTTTTCCAACAGTTCCTGCTGCAACGCGATAATCGTAGAATCTTGCTCGTGTAGCCGAGCGTCTAGCCGGGTCATTCGCTCTTCCAACCCTGTCAGCCTAAATGGGGCCCTGTTGTACATCTTCTTGAAGGACACTCGGACTATGTTCGCTGTTGTGCCTTCTCGGGCGATGGACAGCATTTGGTTTCTGGCTCTGACGACGGTTCCATATGCACTTGGAACACAGCAACAGGAAAAATGCAACACAAGATCTCAGCTTTCAACCACTATGTGTATCTTATCGCTTTGTCTTCCAAGGGACTTCTGGCTGCATCAGATGGCAGAAACCTCAAGATTTGGAATACCAACACAAATACGCTCGTGGAGATACCCGATGGTATAAATTTATTGGGAACTAGCCGTCAAGTAGATGACTTGGCTTTTTCACCTGACGGAAGCTTGCTAGCAGTGGCATCATCCGGTACAATCACCATCTGGAATCTAGCGGAATACAGCAAAGTGGCCCTTCAATGGACTCCTGCTTCAAGTATACAGTTCTCCAAAGATAATTTGCTGGCAACTGTAATTTACAATTGCGTCTCAGTCTGGGAACTAGACAGTGAGCATGAAGAAATCCGTGAAACCGCTGCAACAACCGAAGCAAAATTCTTTGGCGTTAAGCTCTATGGGTTGAAAAGGATACGTGATTTCCCTTTACCAGATGGAACAAAGGCACAGTTTACTAGCAAAGTGGCTTTTTCTCCAGACTCGAAATATATAGCCGCTGAAGCCCGGGAGATTTATATATGGGACTGCAAGTCCGCCACAACGATGGCCATTCTTAGCGGCCATACAGATGAAATCTGTGGGCTTTCATTTTCTCATGATGGCTTATTTCTAGCATCCAGTTCGAGAGATCGAACAGCCAGAATATGGACCGGACCTTGGGAGGGCCATGATAAAAAGCCATTGTTGACATTAACGGAACACTCTGGGGCTGTGTTTGGTCTGTCATTTTCCCCGTCTCAAAAGCTCCTCGCTACTTGTTCGGGTGATAAAACACTTCGCATTTGGGATTATGAGACTGAAACAAAACCCGATGCTGGGGCGGAAGAAGAAGATCAACATACATCAGTCCATAAACGACCGATTTGCATGGTATCTACCTCCCATGACGGAGACACAATCGCCTCAGGTTCGGAAGATGGCCTAATCTGTCTTTGGGAAGGGAAAACTGGCATCCTTCGGCGGGAAATTCGTGGCCATGAAGATTTCATCAGATGCATCAACTTCTCACAAGATTCCAAAGCCCTCGTTTCGACATCTGATGACGAAACTGTACGAGTGTGGGACGCATATGATGAGAACAGATCACTTACACTGAGGGGCCATGAAAGTTGGGTGAGATGCGCAATATTTTCGCCAGATGGGCAGTTTGTTGTATCTTGTTCTGACGACAGGACGTTACGTGTGTGGGATCTCACAGCTACGATCAAAGATGAAGATGAGGAAGAGGTGGTCAGTAGTCAAGTACTCCAAGGACATGATGACTACGTCATGTGTGCCACATTCTCCCCTGATGGCAAATACCTCGTGTCTGGTGCAAATAATGGCCAGATATTGCTATGGGACTTCTCAAAGGCTCATCAGAAGTTACCATTGACATATAAGGTCGTGCAAAACGCAGACTACGACCCAATATCTTCATTGGCGCTGGTTGACAACTCAACACATCTTATCGCCTCGACCTCTACTGGATTAGCAATCTGGGATGTTGATGTTCAACCATGCGAACTCAAGAAAAAAGCGCCTTCTGATGTTACAATCTACACACTTTACCCAAATGAACCGTTCCCAGAGTATATAATAACGGGTATAGGCCCAATCCTCATTGAAGGCATGATGGACAATAAAAAGGTCCAAATCCAGCCTACAAGCTGGAGCCCTTTTGGCTTCAGTTCTGGCTGGTTTGATGAATCGGATGACCCTGAAGAGAGATGGATCACCTGGATGGGGAAAAAGTTGATTCTTCTGCCAAAAATACATCGCCCAACTTGGACAACCGCTCATGGGCACACTGTTATAATTGGATGTCAATCGGGACGATTACTATACTTCAAGTTTAAGGAAGATGCAGACTTTCGAGATCATTTCGGATCTCAGTAGTGTCACATAGGTAGTTCAATTGACTTGGTTTCATGATCTTACTCTTTGACTCGTTTGGCCGCATGCCTTACTCTCTTGAGAGATTGTGAACAGCTGTGCCTCTCCTTCGCAGGTATTAACTCTCTTGTATGCTTACCCATTTCAATTTAGGCATAAAACTCCGTGTCTTTTTAGTAAATACAAGTATTGTTATGCAAATGTGTAGAAAGGCGCGATTAAGTTCATTTGGTCGGCCAGGGTCGTAATTGTGATCCTATCTATCACACATCTAATACTAAACATGCATCTACCAAGCTATGTTACAGATCTGTTCATGAATATGCATCCAACAAAAATTAGTCCCCAAAGTGTAAAAGACTTCTCTCACATCTTGGTATATTCAGTGCCAAATATACCGTTTAGCCAAGCCCCTGCTTCCTTGCTGAGGGTGCCCCCGAGACCAGCTTGTGTAAGCGACTCTGCCCAGTCGTCAATCTCCCATATGAAAACTCTTTGGAATATAGAGGCATCTAAGGCGTCGACAGCAGCTCCATCACTATGCTTAATGTTCACCTCATTAATGACGCCGTGCCTAGCAAGAAGACTCATGTTCAACTTGAAAGACCATGTTAGCCAATGGAAACAATGAATTACAAAGCTGGAAGTAATATAAGAATAGATGCTTACATCGAACGGCAGCTCTGGACGAGGCCGGGGATCCTCTTCCGTGGGATGCGTTGAAAAGGTAAATCGCGGCGTCTGACCCCAGATCCAGCTCTTTGACTGAAGCTCCTGATAGCCTCGTCGGATTTCGTCTACCTGAAGCGCCGTGTCGTCGAATTCCCCTCGGAAATGAACGTCTCCGTACATGCTCTCAAATTCGCTCACCACAGCATCCTTGAAATCGTCATTACCGACATCAATGTTCTTTACTGGACGGCGCACGCTGTCGACGCCTCGGGCATCTAGATAGCCAAGCGCAGGAGATCGCAACAAGCCAGAGATGCTCGAAAGATTGGGGCTCCGGAGAAGACACGTTCCATGGTGCAGCGATCGCAGACGCGTGAGCTTGTAAGCCGAGCCTGAGATTTTATACGTTGCTGCTTCAGCTTCCGACGTCACATCCATGACGATGTCATGTCTCTCATTGACACGCGTGTTCGGTCTTCCCAGCGCTTTCAAGGCGCGAACTACCATTTCAGCGTGCTTGTTCCGATCAAAGTGCTCGGGAGGGCAAATAACACTGAAGTTGACATTGCCGACATCGTGAAATACCGCGCCACCTCCGGATCGCCGTCGTATCAATTGGATAGGCGAGTCCTTCCATCTGGCAGCGGATGGATTTTGAGCAATTTGAGCTAAGCGATTTAGGTTGATCTGGAGCCACGGATTCTGGTTGCGGCCAAAGACGATGCTGGGGGAGTTGACATAGAGCGTGAGGATGGTTGAGTCAGGAGGCGTGATTTGGAGGAGGCGATGCTCGACGGAGAGGTTGAGGAAGGGATCTGTTGATTTGGAGAGGTAGATTTGGACTTTATTAGAGGGGTGAGAAGCTGCGTCTGTCGAGAATCGCGATGTGAGAGGGTGATGAAGATGATATGAGAATGTTGAGGCTCGTAGACGATTGGTGGCTCTACGGCTTAGTAATTGTGGGATTTTCATTGTAAAGAGATAGATGAGGATAAAAGAGGAGAGTAAAGGTTTTTATAGAGAGCGTATTGAGGGTATCATTGTGGTGGAGGCACGTCGTGAGTTGCGGCAATGGAAGGTTGAATGAGAGAAATTGAAGCTTGTAAATGTTTTTGTATCTATGCAAGCCGAAGCTGGCCGGCAGTTGTTTGTTTAGGTAGCTGCAGCTATAAGATCGATCCACTAGCTATAGACATGTTGTAGTCTATCGCACAAGCCATGTACTGCCTGGAGCAAAATTGTTTACGGCCAATTGCACTAACAAATGGTTTATAAGATGAAAGATTGAATCAATTATTCTCAATTATTCAGCACCATTGCAACCAAGATGCATCAATCATACAAAATTACCGATTTTCATTGCACAGGTCTAGGGTAAGACCATTCCAATAGACTTCTGCCCCTCCCCCGCCAAAGAAATGCAGTCAGTGGCAGCCACCGAAATCGGCTTATCATATCAGCGATTGCGCATATGCAGTCATCGCCCGATGAATTTTGCTTTTGCAACTCTTCCATCTCAACCTCCCTTACAACCTCCCTCCACTCCAACCTCTCCCGCACGACTGTCTCTCTCAGGCAGAACTGATTGAGATTCCTCTTATTCTCAATCCGTGTTTTTTATTACATCTATCTCTTCTACAGTTCCTCAACTCTCCAATTTCGCCCATCATGTCTACCTTTGGCCACTACTTCAAGGTCACCACGTAAGTTCAACACCATCCTATAATCGCAACCTCACCAATACCCAATTGCTCGACCAATCGACTAAAACTCCCTCTTCCCATACAGTGCCGGTGAATCTCACGGCAAGTCCGTCTCGTGCATCATCGAAAACTGCCCGCCCAACCTCGCCCTCACCGAAGCCGACATCCAGCCCCAGCTCAACCGCCGCCGCCCCGGCCAGTCCTCCATCACCACGCCCCGAAACGAAAAGGACCGCGTCACCATCCACTCCGGCACCGAAGACGGCCTCACTCTCGGCACCCCGATCCTCCTCACCGTCCCCAACGAGGATCAGCGCCCCAAGGACTACGGCAACCAGACCATCGACCTCTACCCCCGTCCCAGCCACGCCGACTGGACCTACCTCGAAAAGTACGGCATCAAGGCCTCCTCCGGCGGCGGCCGCAGCAGTGCGCGCGAGACCATTGCCCGTGTGGCCGCCGGCGCCGTCGCCGAGAAGTGGCTGCGCGAGGCCTACGGCGTCGAGATTGTCGCCTTTGTCACCTCCGTCGGCACCATCAAGCTCTTCGGCGACGCTGACGCCATGAGCGCCGACCCCGGCTTCCTCAGCCTCGCCCAGTCCCTCACCCGCGCCGACGTCGACAAGTTCCTGCCCGTGCGATGCCCCCACGAGGAGACCTCGCGCCGCATGGAGGACCGCATCGCCGAGCTCAAGGAGCAGGAGGACAGCACCGGAGGCACCGTCACCTGCGTCATCCGCAACGCCCCGGCCGGCCTGGGCGAGCCGGCCTTTGACAAGCTCCAGGCCACCCTGGGCCACGCCATGATGTCCATCCCCGCCGTCAAGGGCTTCGAGATCGGCTCCGGCTTCCTGGGCTCCGAGATGAACGGCTCCAAGCACAACGACCCCTTCACCCCGGCCCCCGAGCAGCTCGTATCCGCCGCCGAAAGCAAGCTGGGCATCCCCCGCTCGCGCCTCGTCACCAAGACCAACCACTCCGGCGGCATCCAGGGCGGCATCTCCAACGGCATGCCCATCTTCTTCCGCGTTGCCTTCAAGCCCCCGGCCACCATTGGTCAGGACCAGACCACTGCCCTCTACGATGCCTCGGGCGAGGGCGTGCTCGCTGCCAAGGGCCGTCACGACCCTTGCGTCGTGCCCCGAGCCGTGCCCATTGTCGAGGCCATGGCTGCCCTGGCCATTGCCGATGCCGTCATGGCCCAGCACGCGAGACAGGTGTCTATCCAGATGCGCAAGAGCTCATGAGTTGATACATGACCATATCGAATGAAAAACCGTTAAAAAAGAAAGAAAAGAACAAAAGCAAAAGCGGAGTTATGGAGTTGTCAATTCATCAAAAATGCACGAAGAGAAAAATACAAAAGCAACGGAGAAAATGCTTGGGAGATATCACGGGAATGTTCAAACCCTTCAAACCCACCCCAGACAAAAGTATATACATACATATATGTAGTAGGATCTATCTATATATAACGTCGTACCTAGGAATTATAGAGATGGCAGAAGGTTTCTGTATTATCAAGATCAAAAGCCGCTGCAATCCTTTTCAGCAAAATTGGTTCGTTCATTTTTAGTTTTCCATAAAACTTCATCCGAGATTTGAGGCCGCCCCATCCCTGTATGCACGCGTATTCAAGCAAAAAAACGTCTAGCGCCGTAACTTCAACATGTACTCCGTACAAATCCTGCTTCTCATAAGATCTGCACGACGATCCGGACACCAAAATGATTCTAATAAACCCACTTCCCTATACACACGCCCCCATATGATCCTTAAAATATCACCATACGTCTGTATCGAATCAATAAAACGTCATCACTGGCCACAATGATACCTGTAATCCCAATGTTTGACATAAGCCAAGTTGTAATGGTACACTACCTTAATTCACATACAACCAAACCATGATATATGTATATGAAAACATGATCAAAAAATGATATCGATATGTATGTTTGTATGTTGTAGACATTATATAGTATGAAAAGAGATGGCTGTCCCCGTATTCCCAAAACACCCCAATTTTTTTAATCGCTAACATGATACGAGCGCCAAACAAATGGTTCAAAAAAACAGAGAAATTATTCCAGTCATAGCCTCCCAAATCGCTAGGTTGTCCAAAACTTATGGAGAAAGAAGGAGTCGACAGATGGCCAGCCAATAACTCCATATCATCTAATGACTGCCCTGGCCGGAATCTTGATGCTCGTCAAACAATCCCAGCACATCGCTAGGCATATATTCAAGCCAACCACTCATCAAATCTGGCTGCTGCAGCCCAAGAGCCTCAATGTCAATGTCTTGGCTGTCAAACGTAATGGCATCCATGTTCCCCATGATAGGACCCCAAGCCGCCTGGTACGGCATGTTTTGCGCAAAATACATGTTGGTATGTGCAGTTGTCCCGGGAGCACTAGTTACAGCCGCAGAGCTCACCATGCTGTGAGAATTGGGGCCACTGGTGGGCGATACACTGTAGGTATCGTATCGCCCAGATCCTGGCCCAGAGGTCGCGTAACCGGGAGGGATCATTGGCTTTGCTTCGTTGGACTCTTCCGGGATGCCCTCAAAGCTCATCATGGTTTGATTCCGTGAGTTTGCACCGGAAGAAGTCATTGGGTTGGTAGCATACGGCCGTCGAGAAGAGTTCCGAATGGCAGACATGTTTGGCTGTGGAATCGGCGACGAATACATGCCTCCCACTTCTGGCATTGCCTGCCTGGCAGGTTCGTAGGTCACGTTTCCAGGCGAACCGCCAGATGGTCTAGCCATGGGCTGCGCATGCGAAGTGAAGCTAGTAGGTGGCATTCCACTTGCATTGTTAAACGCCTGATACATGAGCGTAAGGCTTGAATTCGGCGAATTGGCCGTTCCTGAAAGACTCCACGCAATTGGCGAGCCAGCAATCTTTGGCGACGACTGCTTCTCGAAGCGAGAGAGTTGCTCACCAATGGAAGGCCGAGGAGGAGGTAGTTTGGTGCTCTCGTATTCCTCCACCGTATACGTCTCGCAGTCCCACGTGCCTTTTGACTTTTGGTCCAGGACGGTAAGAATGTATGTTACGCCACCCCAGTAGGCTTGTATTTGTTGGATAGAATTGTAGCATCGTTGATAGTTTTGGTTCGCGGCCGACGCGAGAAGCGAATGCCGAGACTGCTTGCTGTTTGGCTTTGGATGCCGCTGGGAGCGGCTCGTCTGATTGGGGGGCGTGCCCTCCCTAGATGAACCCTCAGATCCATTGGACGAGGCACTGGATTCCATCAAAAACGCACAGGCGGCGATGTAAATGGGCTGGTTTGTGAATGGATTGCCAATGAAGCTCTTTGGATCAATCAAATCAGCAAAGGACAAGATGTCGCAGATCGTTTTGGCGCTGCTCATGCTCAGCTCGCGGCTGTCAGAAAGAAGCTGAAGCTCGCTCCGAAGTTCGCAAAACGGGGTAAGCAAGGTCGGCTGATGCAAGATGATGAAGAGTGCGTGAAACCAAAAATGAAGGAGGATGAAATTGGTGCCCTGCCCCATGCCAAGATACGTCTTGAAGTTGCTGACATTGAACTGGAGACGCGGATCCCAGTGCTTGTACATTCTCGTGAGCCTATGTTCCATCTCAGAGAGCTGATCCCACTTGTCCTGCGTGAGGTCTTGGGCGTCATGAAGATTGTTCAGCACATCACACACTTGACCGTAGAGGTTGATGATTTTGAGAAAGACGGGAAATGGGTTAGGCCAGCCGGTAGCCAGGTCTTTGTTAGATTCGGGAAAGGCGAGCTCGTAGTCGCCGTCTCGGATGGTTACGGGCCTTCCAGTGCCAGAGGAGATGACTCGATCCAGGATGAAGACGGACCAAAAGGTATCAATGCGCTCCTGTTCCACCTCCTTCTGCTCTTCCAGGCTAAGGGCGCCGATGCCCTCAACGTTGTGTGTTTCCGGGCTCTCATGGTCGTCGTCATTGACGCGGCTTCGGTGTCGGGTGTAAAAAGGATCCTTTTCGCCTTGATATTGGATCCCGACACACTTTTGAAGGCCGAGGTCGATTGCCATGCGTATGGCTAAGCCCAAATACATCCACAGCGCGCTATCCTGGTTGGCGCCAAAGCTTTCGTACGCCATGAGCAGACAGGCCTGAACCGCACCAACGGAAGGGCATGGAAAGGTATCAACAGTGGCCTGTCTGGCTCTCTGCGCAAACACTTGACCCCTCTCCGTCCGGGGCATTTTGTCATTGCCACCCGTTAGGATAGGGTGATCTGAGAATCGCGCGGCGATGGCGCAGACGGCGTCAACCAGCATTGACTCGACCCGTTTCTCCTTGACATGGCGCAGGAACTTTTCTTTGCTGATAAAGGGGTAATTGCATCCCACGTGGATGAAGAATGTTGTGACCAGCTGAATTATGAGGGGAGGGACGGGAGAAGAGCTGTTGGGGTCGTATGACGGGATGTCTTCGCGAACAATGTCACTGTCAATGGCCGAACCGCTGGCTATCACACCGCTGGGAGTAGACTGAAGAGAGGCTCCGGAATGTGAACCTCCAGTGGAACGACGCCTGTCGCGGACAGAGACGACCATTTGCTTGAACCCTGGGACAATGGCTGTGGAACCGAAATAGCGGAAATAAGGAATACGACGGCTGGGCGCTGATCGGCGCAGGGTGGGGGAGCTAGGTAGGTCATCAGACGTGACTGAGAGATGAGCCTGATGGTGCGGGCGAGGCTGGTGTTGGTGATGATGCAATACGGGGGACTGTTGCGCCTCGGCGTCACTGGGGTTGGTATCGGTGCCGAGTTCAATGCTTGGCTCGATATTGCGCCGCAATGGCCGTGAAGCAGCGGAAGCAGAGGCAGCTTGCACGTTGCTTCTCCCAGACGACGCCGGGCGATTCTCGGAAACGGTAACAGGATGTTTCCTGGCCACAGCGACGTCGTCTTCTTGGTTGAAATCCTCGATTGGCGCTCCATCCTCGTCACCTGGCCTCAGGCCCGAGGCCTCGAGGCCATCTCTCCTCTCCTCTGGATAGCCCAGGCACTGGTGGCCATTCTTAGTGCAAGTCGAGCATAGTGGTCGTTCGCCGGCGCATCTCGTCTTTCGCCTTCGACAAGTCAAGCATCTGTGTCGCAAAAAGAGACGGGCGGTTAGCTTGGAGTGTCTATTGGTAGTGGTCTTGTGCCTGGGCCGGTGTCGGTAGACATATGTCTATGCCATTCGCCACCAACAATGACGCAACGAATCGGAAAAAACAGAAGCAGAACCGCGAGACTCTGGAGGAACGAAACGTACGCTGCATTGATCCTGCGTCGCTTGGACGGCGGCTGGCCCTGGTTGTGCACAAATCGAATCTGCCGCGGCGGGGGACCCGAATCTGGCCTGTTGTTGAGCAGCGTTGTCATGGCTAGACCACGACCATGACGGAGGGCGATGCGGAGCAGCAACACACAGTCGCATGCGTGGGCTCTGCAATCAAGCGGAGTCGGAAGACGGAAGACGGAGACCGGCAGCGGGCGGGAAGTCGGCACGATCTGCTCGGCAGTCGAAGGGAGTCGAGTTCTATGCCATCAAGCAACGGGATCCCGAATTTGGTGATGCTTCCGTCTGGGTCTGGAGGGATGTGCAATCGAAGGGCTCTCGGTTTGATCGTAGAGGGCTCGGAAGATCGAATTTAGATACCCGCGGGTCGGTTAGTCAGCCGTCTCGAAGAGTTTCCGAGTCAGTAACGATAGAGTAGGATTAGGGAGTCAGCAGCTAGCGAGTGGTGGCAGTAGGGCATTAATCGTGGAACACAAAAATACGGTAGGGCTATGCAGAGGCACCGTTCGGCTGGGCTGAAATTGTCGTGGGATGGAGGTTTGGAAATGGGGATGGAATTGCTGCACTGCAGTGGGTAAATTGGAGGTACCGAATGCATGTACTGCTCCCCAGACTCTCCGTTCCAGGAGCAAAAGAATTGGAGGGAGGGGCGTGCCTGGAGCAATGAGAAGTGAGTGCAGTTCCAGCGGCTGCAAGGTACCGGTACTCCGCAGTGGACAGGCGTGTTGCGGCAGGCTCAAGTACCGGATACCCGCACCAAACAGCTCCGTCCATCTGCAAGCTCCAGCGCTGAACGGAGCATCTCCTTCGATGCTTGTCCCTGTCACAAGGTACATTCGGAGTACACATAAACTCAACAAGTCTCAAAGCCTAAGCTTCTAGAAATCTTCTCCCGGCTCGTCGCTCTTCTGGCCCTTGCTCGATACTTGTCGTCTTACATCTCACGTTCACGCACTGCCGACCTTCTTGTAACAGCATAGCCAGATTGCGGGCATCGAAATTGATCCCTTCTGTTTAGCACCTAGAACAATCACCGTACGGACCTTTGTCTACCTCCGATCCGAGATGCCCCCCAGATCTACCCATGCAGCTAAATCGAAAAGAAAAAAAAGCTTGTCTCGGATAGGGCGTCGTCTTACAAGCACTACAAGAACCCTACAAACAGCTTCTCAACTATATCATATGTACAATCTCACTCAAGTTTTCCTACTCACTTCATAGGTTCTTGGTCAAGTCGTACGAGCATCCCGCAGCTTGTCCTCAGAGGCACAAGGCACACACGTAACTAACTCCTGCATCCTCGTACTATAACCAACAAAAACAAGCCTTGACAGGCTCCACGACACTATTTAGCATCCCTCTTAGCGCATGGCCCCGAACACGATGCAACCCCCCGCAATCCTACCAACGAACGGGCCACAAACTCCGAGAAGTCAAAAAATCTAGACAGCATGGAATCATCACGGCTCTTCCCAAAAAACTCCCCTCAAACAATCCGAACTTCCTAATTAGGCAACGCCCAGCATCAAGATCCTACAATGCACACGCAACTCCATGCGATCAAGATATCCCTTGGGATCGACAAACAAAACAATTCCGCCTGCCCCGAACTCCGTCTGGCTTCGCGGACCGACTCTTTTTGTCTCGTTCAGGCTATTTTATCCTAGCTAACTCCGAACTCGATAGCTCAGAGTAACAAATCGGATTACTTCGCTTGGCTTCCCTGCCTTCGCTTTATTCGTCTTTATTCGTCTGCCTAAACCACTACCTTAGCTAGTTTCTTCTCAACCCATTCTATTCTCTTCACGGCCTAAGCTACCGCAATTTCCAACCTCTTTCTTCGAGCGGGTACTCGGGTACCCATCACTACCTTGATTTCTAAAAATTCTCATCTCTAACCTAATGCCCCTAAAAATCAAAATCAACATCACTCCAGTTTTGATCGCTCATCTTCTTCATGGATGTCCTGGGCTTCGGGTAGTCTCCGAAGCCGTCCCCATGCAATGCAAATCCTGCGCTAAAAGGCTACCTCTCTCCAAAGCAAAGCCAGGATCAAGCTTCGTTTCTCCATCTTTTCCATCTGATCCTGTGACCTCGGCATCCTTCAAACGTGCTGTGGGGATGGCACTTGCTCTAGCATTCGTGAAGGGGGGATGGCACTTGCTTAGCATCGTGAAGCGTATATTTCCTCAGCAACAGCAGGCATCTTATACGCCTCTAGCACGTGAAAACCACGGCCCGTCTCCGCCCCATTAACCCCTTTGCGTCAAATCAATATGCACTCCAACGCCTATTTCAGGTGCCTTGATTCAACGTAGCATTTGGCCTTTGATATCACGCCACGACCTGCCAAGCAAAGGTAAGTCTTAAACGTAATTCCCTCTTCCTATCTCTGAGTCTCTGACAACAGTGACAGGTATACAGTGCTCAGGGCCCACTGTATCTATCCTAACACCAGATTAGGTAGTATATATCTTCATTTATTGTTGTTTCATGCTTGGCCTGCATTGCTCCTGGTGCAATTCGCCATCGGCCCGATATCATGACGAGTCAGATGCCCAAGGTTCACGTAAAAAGTATCATATTCATTGATATCGATATTGTTGGAAACCCACCCATTGGGTATTTCCTCGCTTTGCCCATGTGATAGCATCCCCAATGCCTCACCTCCAGAACACCAAACATCGCCAGTAGTAACCCCATAACATCTCCGTACGCCTTGTCCAGCTTGTTGTAGTCTGAAAATAATCAGATAGTCACCGGCTTGATTTTCCTGCCGCGAAACAAATCAAGACATCCCATACACATAACTTGTAAAGCAACGTAGCATCCAAGACTCAGATAGTCCATTGTGTCCTAACCAAAGACAACCGTTACGCCCATGTCTTGGCTGACTCTTCTCCACAAATCATTCTTTTGCTTGGCAATGTGCACAATCTCATCCTCGTCATCCTCGGCATCTTCGCCGCTGTCTGCTCGTCTCCAGACCTCTTCCACTATGCATCTTGCTCGCTCGATATTAGTCATGCCTTGTCGCTGGTTTATAGCCGCAAATGTCTGCCTGGAGAGCTCTCGGTCGTCTGCATCAATGGCTTCACACGATGCCACAAACAGCGGCCAGAGCAAAGCCCCCATGGGACCTTTATTCCTCACTGTTTCCATACAATGGGTGAGACTAATGTGAGTGTGGCGTTGTACGACGGTATGGCGCCGAGAACAGCCGTAGATGGTACGGTAAAGGTAGACGAACCCGGAGTGTCGATACGCCATGGCGCTATTCAAAATGCTCTCCATTTGCTTTTTCGCAGGCACCCCAGCCATGATGGGATTATCTGTATCCTTGGGCAAGGGTTCGTCTGGGGAAGGCACCCATTCTTGCAGAGCAAACTCCACCGCAGAAGCCGTAGTCTCAAACTCCATTCGGAGCTTTGCCGTCTCTGAATCATCACCCCTGAGCTCGGCTTCGAGGAGCTGCCGTTTCAGGCCACCTAGAGTAGAGAGCCGGTAGATGATGGGCCATAGAGAAGTGGCCATTCCCAGTAGCGTGTCGACGTTCCCTGCAGGCACAGTAGCGCCGCGACAGTCAACTGAGGGGAACGGGGCGAAATTTTCACAGTCCGGCGTAGGTAGAATAGGTGTAGAGTTGAATGATAACGCTGTTATCACATCATAGAATCGGAATGCCTGTTTGGAAAGTGTTGCCTTGATTAGCTGAGGAAATAAGTGGTGAGCGGGGTGTCGCAAGGAACTCACCCGTTCCAAGAAAACGGCGGTTGGGTCAGCCAACGCTTGGGTGCTGCCCATGATCGCCATGGCTCCCTTTAAGTGGCCATCGACAATATTTGAACGTCCACGTTGAACCAGCTATTGCGCCATTAGCATCACAACAATGACTACAAATCAACTGGATAGCGCGCGTAGCTCACCACTTCGTAGTATATCAAGAGGATGATGGCGGCCAACAGCTCATTTCTATTCGCATCACATCCCTTTGCTATCAGAGCAGCTAATCCATTGATCGCTTTGTTGTGGAAATAAACGCTCCGCTCGCTGTTGTGTACACCTCGGTGCTCCAGATGGGCTGAAGCCAGGGCAAAGATGGAGTTTGAGACCGCCGTGCTCTTCTGAGATAGTGGCAAAACAAGCCGTTGGAATGGGTTGCCCTCGTCTTCGCGCAAAACGATGAGATGTGACAAAACATTGGTGAAGTGGTCAATCAACGCTCGCCTGTTAGCCTGATCGGAGAATTCGGCAAAGGCAGGTATGATGAACTCTATAGTAGGAGATGGAACCGACACAGGGCCAACCACGGCGAGAGATGTGTTTTGTGAGGCAGTATCGGAAGAGGCCGTTTCATCGATGGGAGGGTTGTGGTTGCTGTCGTCATCATCGTCGCCTTCTTGCTTCAGAGGGTCATTGGGTGTGATAAAGTCAAACACATCGGCGTCTAGGCAGGCATCCTGCGCTCTGGTATCGGCGGCCCATGACGTGAATATTTCATCCAAGACATCTTGGTTGCAGTCGGCTGCCGAAGCAGGTTGTTGCATGTCTTCGTCCAGCGCAAAGTTGTCATCAAATCCAATGTCAGAGCACCAAAGAGGGGCCTCCCATTGCCCCAAGCTCAGCCGTTTTTGAGCAGCTCGAGATAACGTATGGTGCTCCAAGGCCGTCGATATTTCGGTCAAGGATGAATCGCCGAAAGAGTCTAGCCTGCGGCGCTGGCGAGGCTTGATGGGCTCATATACACAGCTCTGGCCGTGGTCTTGACAGCGGCTGCATATGGGCCTGATTTCATCGCACTTCTTCTTCTATCGTGCAGGTGTTAGACGTGCATAGAAGTGAGATCTGCAATAAGACGAATCAAATTACCTTTTCTTTGCTACACATCATAAAAAGCTTGTGTTAGTGGGTCGAAATTCTCTGCAGCGCAGCAAGGACAAGAAACAACATACCAATAATTGCACCCTTCAAGTTGAGCAACGGAAGCGATTAGCATATTTTCTTTGCTCGGTGTCGCGCAGCGCGACACATTTGTCTGAGAATCAGCTTACCGGCTCTAGAACGGCGCTTTGGCACTTTTGGCGGAGCAAGCCGAGTATACAGCAGCATCTCTGCGACGTTTCTGAGAGATTACTCCAAATTCTTTGGTGGTTCTTAAAACTTGGCGCGGGAGAGGATTGGTGTGGCAAGATTCCTCAATAGCCCATCATCCACTGGTACGGATCTATGATTTGCAACGGCGCCCCAGAGAAAGCCTTTGCACCGGCTAGCGTTTGAGAAGTACGGATATTGATTTTGGCGGTAGAGAGAACAAGAGACACCTGATCGTTGGCCGCGTTGGCATTGCCGCCGAAGCAGTGCCCGGGCCGCGTGCGGTGGTGACAACGAGCTGCCCCCAAGGCGGATAATTTGGAGAGCGAGACAGAGCGCGGAGAGCGTCAAAGGGGATAGCGGCGCAGGGGATTGATGAATGAGCAGATGGAGCGGGCGAAGAGAAGATAATTAGATGATGAAAAGAGAGGTCAGCAGATTTGAGGCCGGCTTGGACATGGAGGTTTAGCCGTTTCTCCAGACCCTTCCACAGTGTCCCACTTTCGCCTCAGTTAACAGTTACCTCACGTCACGCATCCTCGCACCACGATGCTTGTTGGACTCGGCCGGCTCAAGCCACGCTTAAGGCACCAGGCCCTTGGAAGGTTGCTAGCCGGTTGGAGGCGAAAAAGGTGGAGGCACTATGCGGGGTTGGCACGAGCAGGCTTGAAGATCGCTGTTTTAACGCAGCACTGGGTGTGCCCATCAGCTGCAAGGCGGTATGGATATCCGAGCTGGTTGTGGATAGGGAGGGAGACAGTAAGGCCGAAAGGGAGCGAAGGAGATGGAAGGCCTTGATGGACAAGAGCCATCCATCATTGTCTAGTCTTGTGTTATATCGTCAGCTGAGAATCCGGAGACCCTCGCGATGTCTGCTGCTCGGGAGAAACCTGGGGTGCAAGCCAGGCCTCTTCGTATTGGCCATTTCTCCGCAGCAGCGACGGAGATTTGACCGATTTCGGGCTGATTGGTCACGGCCTTTTGGAGACAGAGCGAACAACCCCTGACATGCGCTTGGGAGAAGCAAGAATTTTGAGTCAGGCCAGCCATGCGCGTGTTGGAGCGGGGGAGACGGGCTGGCTAGCGCTTGAAGAATTTCTCCACGTTTTCGCGCCAAATCTACCGAAGGCCTGGAAGGAATCCTTCGTTATGATGCGACGGAGGACGGACGGGGATTGCCATTGCCTGCAGCCGAGTCATTGTTAGCCTGTCTGTGACTTTGCTGAGACGAGAAGGTAGCAGCAAAAGTGGCAGAAGCAGTACATAGCAGCAGCAGTAGCAACACTAACGTCGGCATTGGTAGTAAAAAGGAATTCCGTAGCTCGTACGAGTAGCACGTTGACGAGGCTGTCCACAAATCTTGCCGCACGTCAAATGTCAATGCCAGAGTCTGAGTGGCCCTCCGTCATCCTGACCTGCATGCGATATCGACAGCGGCGGGCCGGGCCTCTCTCCGAGATCTGTCGTCCCAGCAAGACATTTGTTTTTGCCCTTTGCGATCGCGTGATGAGGGCGATCGCTTCCACAAGCAGAATATTTTGTTCTTCTCGCTTTTGACTCCGTTGTCGCGTCATGTCACAGGCAAAGTTGTAGGAACTCGGTTTCGGCATCTCCAAACTCTAGACCAATGGATAATTCTTTTTTTGACCAGTTGTCAGGTCGGCTCTTGAGTTGATCCCTGAAATACCGATGGATGCAACTTTTCTGTGGCTCTGGTTGGGCAAAATGGCACCTTGTGTTGGTCGATGCTTTTTGTTCTTGCTGTGCATCATTGTCGCCTGATTAGATAATGCCACCTTATCGGAGACAATGATGCACCTCAGTGATTAGGCACCTGCCCAGGTCTAGAATTGTCTCTTTCACTCAGCTATCAAAGAGGTAGCTTCTATATTGGACCTTTCATTTCTACCAAGGGATCATTCGTCATCCATTCATCAATCCTCAATACCTAGGTGCTCAGTAACAATCCGAGCACTCTGGGCGAGCCTTCATGATTGATGGCTTCTCTTTCTTCCTCCTGCTTACTATCTGACGGCATCCTCGGAGAGGCTTTTCCAACGCCCAGTCGTATCAGCCGCAACGCTCCTCCATTTTGAAGCCAATCGAGACCGGCCGGCAGAAAGGCAAGGCTTCGGGCACATGAGTCTTCGGATCATGATCTAAATTTGGCTCACAAGAAGGTGGGCTGCTCTGCCGCAGCGTCGTATTATTGGCGGCCTTGTGCCATCAACAGCCAGTCGGTGGGCGGAGAAGATGTCCATTATCACCACATATGGAGGCTGCCATTGGCACATCAGCCGAGTGCCACGCGAACTGCTCTGGGGCAGCCAATGGCGATGAGCGCAAGGTGCAAGGGTCGAATGGCTACTGCTCCCACACTGCAGGACTCAGCACCGAGGCTGAGGTCTGCAATGAAACCATCCATGATTGCCTTGCTGAGGAGTTTGCTTCCACACATTCTCGAACTCTCGCCTGTTGGTGGAATCCAGCGGGAATCTCCACTGCCGGCCCGCGCGTTCGGCGGTAATGCACTGGATCTTCGATCGAGGGCGCTTATTGCGTCCAATATACAGCCTCGATATGTTCAGCCTCGTATCAGTCAGTCGCGGTGACATGACAAGAGCATTTAATCGCCGGCCCCCTCGTTGCTTTTGGGTGGGCCATCAGCAAACAAAGACATTTACGACCAACGTCAAAAGACTCCAAAGTACGCTCAACCAGAAATAACATACAGAGTGACGCCTTGCTGTACTCTCAGGCCGCGCTATCGAGGAGCCTTGTCTATTGGAGCAAGTACCTACAACTTATATCATCATCTTCAACCACTCTTTTTATCCCGGATGCTCAACCAAATCTCACCCCTCCTATCCAAGTTGGCCTGCTACAGGCAATCCTCTGCAGCTTCCACTGGCCATGATGTTTGTGTCTGCGTCTGCAACATACGGGTTAACCCTGTCTGCGGCACTTTATGCCTCAACAGTGGACGCATTGGCCTTCAGACGATATGATGGTATCCATCGCACAGTCAAGTCGCCGCAGATTACACAGCCTGCCATGCTATTGCAGCGGAAAGGTGATGTCTGCGGCGTTGGCATGAAGCTATGCCCGGCAAACTTGGGTGGAAACTGTTGCCCAGAAAACTATGCTTGCGCAACAGATGGCTGCTACTCAACAACAACTATCACCAGCATTTCATCTGTACCATCGCATGCATACTCATGCCCAACCAGCCAGTACCTCTGCCCATCATCTCTCGGCTATGGGTGTTGTCCCAATGGGATGGGCTGTGGAGCCAGTCGATGCTACTCTACTCAGCCAATCACCACGACAGTAACGACGGCCATTACGAGTACAGCGAGCGGCACAATAACCACAATCACGACAACTGCAATCATCGTCAGGAGCCCAAGTGTCCCTACCAGCTTAGGCATGTTGGATGATCGCACCAACGATGATGATGGCATCCAAACAACTGACTCGTCCGCCACTGCTGTCCCAAAATATACGCCACCAGCGGAGGCCGACGGGAGTGATAGCCAGGATAATAGCAGTCTTTCCACGACGCAGCTAGGGGGCATCATCGGAGGAGCTGTTGCACTTCTTGCGTTGGTGGTCGCTGCGGCTGCAGTTTTGATTCGCCATATTGATAGGCTGGGTAGCCAGATGTCGCGAAAGTCCAGTTCGTCTAGGACGAGCTCAGCAACAAAGCAGACGAGTGTGTCGAGTTCTGAAAGCGGAAGTTCCTCCCGAACAGATTCTACTCGCGAGTCATTACGGCATTCACGAGCTCGTCGAAAGCCTCGGTCTAGATCTACAGTCCGTCGTAATCGTCAACGGCGGAATGGTCTGATCGCAACAAGGTCCGGCAATTTTATGACTGAAAGAACGCTGGGGAGGCAAGATTCTGCCGACATTTCCCTCGAAGTTTTGACTCGGACAGTCAACTGCGGTGGTGCGGTGGTATCAGATACAAGGCACGGCTATGTCGTATCACCCACGCCTATCAACGATGTGTCACCAAGGTTACTCAGTTCTCCGTCGCCTATTAGCGATACGGAACTCGAGGCAAGTTCGCTTGCACAAGAATTAGCCGGGATATCGACGGCGTCTACTCTGGCAGCGGATCTACTCATACATTACCCGCAGGACATTCCACCGAGCGACCTCCCGAGGGTAGCCATGAGGCCACCGCTTGCATACCAATGGATGAGAAGCATAGGGCTGCTTAGGCAGTCGGAGAACACTTCTCCTGAGGAGTACTGCATCGACGATGAGGAATGGCACGGATTTTACGGGTCCCGAGACCATATGGCAGGTCGAACAGGACTTGGCATCTACACACAACTTCGGGGAGGTGGGCACAGACAGTATAGATGATCACAGAGCGGCAAAAAGGAGTTGTATCATTTGTGGCTCCATTATAGAGGACTGCTGAGATGTGGATTTTCTCCAAGATAGAGAGGAGGGCTAATCGTTGTTTTTTCCAGCACTGCATGGTATATGGCGTTTTTCTAGCATAAGTACATTAGTACATAATACGAGTCAAATAGGCAGGATGGGTATATAATTAATTAGCATATTCAAAACATAATATGATTCACATGGAATGGATACTCCAAGTTTATATCCTGTTACGGCTCTCAGTTGACGGTTTTTCGCTATCAAAAGCGGCGGGTTATCCGTGATGGCGGCTCTGTGCAAACTTCCTAGTTGGGAATAACGCAGGCAGCTTCCATCAAATAGGCCGTGTGGCTCAATGGCAGAGCGTCTGACTACGATTAAGTAAATCAGGAGGTTGCAGGTTCGACCCCTGTCTCGGTCAGTTTTTTGGTGTTTTCTAGTGGAAATAGCATGCAATTCTTTTGTGAATTGTGTGTGTATTTTGGTTCTATTTTTTCCCCCCCCTATCTATTGCGAGGCCAGTCTATTGCGAGGCGCATGCATCTGGGTGGAATGATCAGCTTACCCTACTTACGGATAGAATAATGCTACCCTCTTTGATATACGCAGTCAGTCGGTGTACTCCGTAAAATGCACCCCAAAGTAGTATTTCATAAGCGAGTTGATGTTCAATGCTTGAAGAAGGGGTTGGTTACATTCTCATGGGTAGTATTATCTCGGTTTCTACTGAGGCAAGGTAAGATGCGTGTGGAACTCAGCCAATAGCCCATCGAAAAAAAAAGAAAAAAAAAGCGAGGCGGGGGTTATGGATGTTCATAAGCTTATCGCCAGCTAGTCGATTCAAGGCAGGAGAGTAACTGGGCCACATGGAGAGGCAGCTGAGTATTACATATCATATTGCACAATCGGGTTCTGTAGTGATAAATGGTCACTCGCATTCCTGATATGGCTTGTCGAAAATGCTGCAGTTGTGACAAGCGAGAACTGCGCCTCCCCCGCCAGTTCTTGTCAGTCTAAGCGACGAGATTACCATTGAAAAAAAGATGATAGTAACGAGTACGTGCAGGTAACATATTCATCATTTATATAATTGTCGTTGTAGGTTAGGTGGGTAGTTGAAGTTTGCTTTGCGAGTTGAAACATGGGAATCTTCGCCGTGTCGGAGCCAATCCTTGAGGCGAATAGCGACGTCGGGAGCACATCAAACAAGGCCGTGTGGCTCAATGGCAGAGCGTCTGACTACGATTAGTACATCAGGAGGTTGCAGGTTCGACCCCTGTCTCGGTCAAGCAGTTTCTTTTTTTGCTCTTTTGTTAGGCTATAATTTGTTCTTGAGTGCAAGGAAGTGACTAGGGGAATTTCCCCCTCTTTTTGTTTCTTTGTTTGTCATTTTCTTGCTTCTTTACTATTGTGCAAGTCTCGTGGGTTGGCCGACAGAAAAAAACAATTTAAAGAGGGAGCTTGCTGGGTCCAGCGATCGATAGGCGTGAGGATTGCCCGATTCGGCTCGGATGCTGCCGGGATGGCGTCAAAGTAATGTATCTGATCATCTCCGTCCCTGGTCGACACTAAACAAACGTCTGGAAACATGACGGAATTATCTGTGAGGTGAAGAATTGAAAAGAGATGAATGAAAGGGAGTTGGCTTGAGTCTATGTATACGTATACAGGTATTAAGGGGTGCATGTAACTCCGTAAGCTGTGTGCCGTTCTAGGCATCTGCGATACGCGGGAAATAGGGAGCAGGAGGTGTGTGAGCAAGTCCAGCTTTGCGATAAATGCTCTCTCCTTGGCCGTGCTTGTGCTGCACATTATTCTCCATCAATCAATTTTACCCAGCGAGAGAGAGAGACAGCCAAGGCCCTAGCCGGCAGCGTTACGCCGACGCGGCCCAATCTAGCCTTGGATGCCGAACTGTGCCGCGGTCTGTCTGTCCGGAGCGGTTCCCCGAATGGCATCGTATTGTAGGTAAGGGTATACGGAGTAGCTGGAAGAAATACAAGCAAGGTATGGTTCTTTGACATCAATCAGTAAACATGTACCTACGTATGAACACTCTCTCTCACTCAGTTGACAAACTACCTCCTCTCTCACGACCCACGTGTTGGTCAGCGACAGATTAAGCACCGAAAGGCCGTTTAGATGCTCTTGGCATATGCAACGACCTACCCAATGCAATCCATGGTTGACCGCATGTCGATTGAACTGTACCAGTACTAGACGTATTTCAGCCACACGCGATTGGTGCTTGTCCCGCACCCTCTCGGGAACAAGTTGCTTGGCCAGGGAGCGGAGCAGCAAGTAGCATCACGCACGGAACAACTTCTCCAGATTAAAAACGGTGGCCCAGCGCTGCTTCCGGTAGGGTTACCACGTGTGAAAGCTACCACCGATTAATTACAAAGAAGTCGGCGATGGATATGGCCATGGATACGGGCAAGGATAATGGATCAATAGGTCATGGGTGAGGCCATGGGTGAGGCCCTGTAGGCATTTGGGACGGCGCCTTGGCACTGGGAACTTTTTGCTGTCGATGTTTCTTCGGGGAGGCGGAAGGGATTCAGCTCCTTATGCTGGTTTTTGTTAGTACACCTCATGTATTCTAGCTGTCTCTTTTTCTCACGCTGTGTTCAATCAAAGTCGCCGATATTGCTTCAAGCACCTATAAGGCGCATTTTGATGTGATGGAGTTGAGGTTGAATTAATTGATAGAACAAAGTGCACGGTTCAAATGTTCTCGATCAACTCAATTTCCGCCACTGCCAGCGCCACCCGCCAATAGACGCACCTGTCAAGAGCGAACGACAGCGGGCAATAGCGGCTGCACTTTAGCGCTCTAGTACCTGCAGTTTAGGGACCCCGCTGCAGAAATTAGGGCTTTAGACAGGCCGGAGCGAGATTTGTTTGCTTTCTGCGCGGCCAATTTCCATCAATCCCTTCATCCCTCCTCCACAGCCTCTTCAGCAGGCTATGCCTACTGGACGCCAATTGATGACGGCATGAGCCCATCCTGAACTTGCATCTTGGCATCAAATATGTACTGTACGGTACAGCAGCCTTTGATCTCTATCTCTGTCTCTGTCTCTGTCTGTGCCTGTACATGCTGCTTACAGAGGATAGGCTGTATTGTTACGCTGTACTGACAAACAACACAGACAGACATCAGATTCAGGTACAGGCACCGATAACACACACAGACATTCAGTGTTGTATTTGTACTTGCACCGGTAAGACAAATAGGGGTCCCCATGCCCTGGAGCTGTCCGTATTGGTATCTGCTCGTACGAGCTGATGGAGGTGGTGCCAGGCGCATGTATTGAGTGTTTTTCTCACACCCTTGCCGGAATATTCAAGTAGTGTCGATGTTTGTTTTGTCTGTCTGCCTGCCTGCCGGTTCCTCTGCTTTACTTCCGAGCATCTGGAAACTTCATGCTATGTGCCGTGCAGCCGAGCAGGAGATGTTGCAGCCTGTGGTTGGATCTGAGGCTCTTCGCAGGATCTGGATGTTGCGGCTGAGACAGACAGACAGACATACAGACAGCTGTCACTTGCATCCTGCTTTGCCCGTCTTGGAAACACAATGCCGGATTTGGCCATTGAAGGAAGACGGATGACTGCATCATAGCCTGAAAGCTGCGTGTACTCGTACCCATCTCATACAATCAGCATACAACAAATACCTGACTTCCTTACTCCTTTCTTCACCTTGCATCCATCCCAATTACGCGTCCACGCAAGACCAGACAAGACAAACACAGCCTGGCCTGCTCGCCTTCGCTCTTGTCTCTGGAAAACGGATCCCACGGGAAACCAGGCTAGGACCGTTCGATTGATGGGACTTTAGCAGCTAATATTAGCCGGGGGCTTCTTTTGATGGACAGGGGATCCCTGGTCCGTCTCACAGGCACAGCTGCCAATAGCCTGGTCGATCCATGGCCGCAAACTCCTCCCCCAATTCCCCAAGCGGCCACCGAACGAGTATCCACGCCAGCGCACTTTTCTCAACTCTCTTTTGCTGTTGGTTCTTGACTTGTTTAGTCTTGAGTTGCGAGTGTACTTGTGATATGCTCGGTGCTAGCAGAAGTATGCTTAACCAGATCGAATCAGTGGCTGGCCGTTGCCCCCAGACAGACAAGCAGACATCCCGCCTCATGGCTCCGGTCGAAGCCCTGATAGGTGGACACGGCCCTTTGCACGCCAGTTCCGGGAACTGTTGCTAGTCTGGCAGGGAGGCCATGCAGCTGTCCTTCGGCTGGTCGCACCGGCCAAGGCGTGAGAGAGTCCGGAAGGATGTAATCCCACAATGGATCTAGTCACTGGGGCCCGGCTCACTCTTCAAGGTTGTTTGTCTCGTCCAGATCTCATTCCTATATAGGCCTGCGGCCTCGCTGCCTTACCTCTCCTTTGGCTCCTCTCTTGCTGCTTTTTCTCCCTGTGTTTCCTGTGCTGGTCAATCTCGTTGTCTCATCCTCAAACTCACAACTCCGTTCTCCAAAGACAAACACCGCAAATATGAAGGCCGCCATTGTCCTGTCCTTTGTTGCCGCCGCCATGGCTGGCGTTATTAATGAGCGAACCAACGGATGCAACGCCGACAACTGCGCTCGTGCCGTTACCGGTACCCGCGATGGTCTCCTGCCCATCACTTCCCGCCAGGCCGACTGTTCCAGCTTCATGAGAGCTACCGTCACCCCCAAGGCTACGTATGTCTTCCTATACAACATCTATATACACAGATGAAACTCCTTTATGTTGACAGTCATCACAGGACCACCACCATCACCATCACTGTTGACCCCGAGGTGACCCCCAAGGCCAAGCGCGCCGTTGCCAACGCCTCTGCCGTCACCGTCTACCCTACCTTCATCCCTGACTACGCCGACAACTGCCCCAACGGTGCCGGCTACTCCTCTGCCTGCTCTTGCTGGGGCATCACCGCCACCACCACCACCGCTGCCACCCCTACCCAGACTGAGATTGTCACCGTCACCCAGTCTTACTGCGAGCTGTAGATGGCTAATGCCAGGGAGCGATGTGTGGAGGAGAGCAAACGGCATGTTACTTCTGCCGTCCGGTTAATTCAATTATGAAGCCTTGACTTCGAGACTATTTAACGGGCAAAAATAACATTTAAGCATTGGGATAGAGAGAAGTTTCGCCGCGCTGAGGAGGGCTGAAGAAACTTTCTAATGCCAGCGATTGACAGCCCTTGGCATTTTATGATGGACATGAGTGAATACGAAGGGACATAAAATTATACATTAATAACTTTCGTTTAGCAAGCAAGCAAATACAATTACTCACGTCCCATTTTCTCATTGCTGAACTGTTCATGATCTGACCAAGAACGATCTCGGAGGATTGCCTTACTGATCCATAAGTATATTGTGGCAGTTAGTTGACTTGTATGGAATTCGGACTTTTGACGATATGTTCGGGATTTGACATGATAAAACAAGAACGGTAGCACAATCGGACTATTTTAACTCCATGTATACCGGTATTAATTGGAAGTGAAACGCAAATTCTCACATGTATACTATCTTAGGAACAGTCTTGTTAGCATCGGGTGATTTGCAGGTATTCTGTATATTTGCATCACTGCACTCGTAAAATCCGACTAAATATCCCATTACGTCTGAACGAGAATGGTCGATATCTTCATTACATCTGCGGCTAGTTGACGTACTGCTGTACTACATAGGTACGTTCGACTTCTAGAAAGCACCTTCATGTTACACACAGCCTTCATGTTGTCCCGCATGGCGCAAGGGAAATCCGAGAGCTTGGACCACGCCAAGTAACACATAAGATGCATGTAGAAATGGGGACAAGCCATCTAGATCTGTATGCAGGGAGATGGTGGTACCTGATCGTCGTTAATCTCAAGTTTCGCACAGCACGTGCCCCCTCTTTCAACTTCATTCCGTTTCCCGTCGATTCCTAGGACTCATTCGCCATGTCCTCTGTAAACGCTGGAGGCTTCGGCATCCGTCGCAGCGACATTTGCAAGATCGGTGAGCAGACATGCGAAAACGAGACATACGTAGAAAGTCTGCCCTCATCGAAATTTGTATTATGCAGGCAAGGATAAGAAGTACTTCGGTAACATCTGTTGTTTGGACAGCTCAAACAGGGTAGCATCTGGAACCTCTATACGTGGAATGGCAAATATGAGTCGGGAGGCTAGTTCTGCTGTGAGCCGAATCAGCAAGGCTTCTAAGTATGGGTTCAAACAGATATGTACATATATATCTATATGTTGGTTGCATAGGGCTGGGAGTAATGGACACCGCCGACTTTATTGACTTGGCGGCAAAGTCGACGAGCGAAATGTACACCACATGGGACCGATACAGCGGATAACATATTGGACCATATCTACGTCTTAAGCACCCAGTTAGCTACATTTAGTATTGCAACGGCAACCTCTATGTTTGTATCAAACTCAGCTATTGCAATCACAGGGGACAAACACAATTGCTCTCCACCAATGGGCAATGTGGGTGCTATAGCGGGTGGTATCGTGGGAGGTGTTGTTGGGCTGGCTGCCATTATGGCAGCGATTTTCTTTTTACTTTGACATTGGAAGCAACAATCACCGCTAGATATGAAGTCGTCTACATCTGAGGCTTCCCTGGAGCATCGATGGACTGAGTATAGAGCGCAGACGTAACAGGCAGAGCTCGATCTCCGGGTACGACCAGGCGAATTGATGGGGAACAATATGAGAAGTGAGCTGCTGAGGAGCCCAATGACCTGGGGTATAGTGTCTCCTTAATAAGCCAAGAACTAAGGGGTGCGTCAAACATACATACCTATGCATGAACGGAGTATTAAGCTTAAACATGCCGAATGCTACAGTAATTAGATGTGAAACCAAAGCATGCACATTCACCTGAAGCATCGCTTCCGTCCATCGCTTCCGTCTGGTCGAAATAGCTGAGAAATGGTGCCTTGACAGGGTAGCCTCATCAAAGTGACATAGCAAAAATTGCTTGCACATGAGTAGTCTCATAGATGACAAAAAATACGCTTAGTCTCCCTTTAGACAAAGATATCAATAACCCAAAATACAGCCTGAAATACCAAATTGAGTTGGCCACAGGTACACCGATGCGATATGATTCGACAGGCAAGTTGATGCAAACGCTTTATCCGGTGACGTTGTTATTAGAATCACAAAAATTCTTCGCGAGCAGCATTCATGGGGGCCTTCTGGCTTAATGGAATAGTCGTACAACTAGATTATAGGAAATGTAGATTCTCTCACAAACAAGCGAAGAGCTGCTGCGAATGACTCATTAACTGTCATTAACATAAGCTCTTCTAATCGCGCCACTATTGTCAATAAAGCCTTATGGTAAGCATTCCTATGGCTTATAGACGAGGCTGTGTGCTTCCTCTGTAGAGGCGGCAATGGTCTTGAGAAAGAAGACACTAGGCTGTTTGGCAACGTCTAGCTACTGCCAGCCTGCTATACCAACGCCCCCGTAGAGATGGCAGCTTCACATAGCCACAGAACATATAATCCGACTCATTATGATCTCTTATATTTGATATTTTGTTAATGATGATGACAGGTAGAGGTAAGTTTAGTGTGTGAATATTGTCCTGTGGGTCGGTATGCTGGGCAGATCTAGGTAAAAGGGAAGGCTGTCTCACACAATATGACAATTCTTGAAGTTCTAAAGGAATATCAAGATGACAAAGAAAGATTTCAGATGATTGAGAATCTCTTGGCTTCACTATTAATATATGTAGGATGTTGACGTGAGACGCTGAGGGTAGCTGATCTGTCTCACCCAGTACCGAGCCGCCCTCCTCAAGACAATGAGCGCCTCCAGATAAGAAAACATGCCCCCGTGATTCCATGCCAAGAGTTGAAAAACGTGGAAATCAGGCCATAAGCCAGGAACTGCCACGGTCGCTTTGTCGTGTTTGGGCTAGTGCCAACGGTGCGCTCTTGGCATCGCGGCTTCAGGGTCTTCCGTTGGCGGAGTCGTGACTGTCTGTGATGAGCCTTATATTTGTTAATTTGCCTTTATGATGATTTCACTATTGAAGATATCAAAGCCCTGAAACTATAGATAGATCCATTAAAAATGAACGGCACTTGTATCAGGTAACCAGTCGTAGATGCATGTAAGTCGGACTAAGTATCACATGTAAGCCAGGATTGAGCTAATGGTGGTTGTTTGAAGCTACTGATCAGCCCAATTGCCGAAGGTCAAGGGGCACGTCAAATATTAAGCTTAAACATGCCGAGCCCTGCAGAATGGGAATTTGAAACCAGCGCAAGCATTTTCACCTGAAGCATCGCATATGATCCTTCTGAACTTGATAAAAGGCCCATAAGCGATGAAGACAAAACAGCACTAGGCTGACTAACTCGCTAAACATCTTCAACGTCTACAAGGGGCTAGATCAGATGCCGCGGACCCTATTTATCCAACAATTTAAGAGAGAAAGAAAAAAGTCTATACAGAGACGGAATATGTTGAATCGTGGAGATTCAGCGCTAGTACAGACGGCACTTTTTCTGCAGGCCGAATAAGAATTTTTCAAAAATTGAGCATCACTGAGCGTCACGTAATATGTAAACAGGTACCGATTCGAATGCCTCATGTTGGATGTGATAGATCAACTATATCTGATGAATTGGTACGCGCGTCGTCTATACTTAAAGTCAGGGCACGCATTGATGCGACGTGCCAATACAAGCTTAAAAAGAAAAGTGTTAGAGACTCGTTTCATGGAAGCTCCCGGGCTCCGAACATGTCAATGTTTCGCGTGCAAGACCCCCAGTTGTTTCATTCTAGTATAAGCGATTCTTCAAAACTGGCAACCAAATCTAGCCATCCGGGACGGCAATATGTCTACAGCCTTGACATTGAGGGAAGAAACACGCCCCTCCTCTCCCAGAACGGTGCATTGGCCATCCTGATTCAAGATGAACAAATTTGATGAGTCCAATGGAAATGCCGTTGTGCTTACACGAGAAGAAAGGGATGTAGTGGAAAGAAAACGCCGAATTGCCGACCAGATCTTATACGAGTACCAAGCCGGCTAGTCCGGTCATTGTTTTCTCACGCTTGGAAAGTGAAAAGCTGAGAATTAACACACTCACCCGCAGCGATCACAACATGAAGACATCGCGGTGGGGATATAAGGCGGATTCTGAAGAGATCTCCAAGTGGACAAAAATCCACATGGTGAGGCGCCAGTATTAGCCGGCGTACTTTCAGCTGTAAGTGGTGCAAAGACACCAAATGACGGCCGCAGCTAATATCCGCTCGGTGCTAATGGCATCCGGCTATGCTCATCGAAGCGACATCAACGATATAATACAGACGCAGGCGTACTTCGACCCAGGAGGCTGCAGGTGGTTTTAGCCACTGCGCCATGACAGCATCGCCAAGTGCCCCGTACTAGACTATCGCTCTCCGGCAATTGCTTCAGCCTGGTGCGTTCCGCTCTAGGGGTTAAGCTTCGAGATGACCTAGTATTTAAAAATATCTAGGCTGTGTGCCTGCGTAGATCCACTGACGAGGGGGTGTGAGGGAGCTGGAAATGGCCGGGGGTGGCCTCTCATATCCTGGATCATTCGCCAGATATTATAAGCTCCGTCCCCTTTCTGGCTGGACTACAATTAGAGCCGACATCCCATCATTTCAGCACTCATTTTACTTACATTTTAACCATAACAAAGTCATAATATCTTTCTTATTTCTCTATTTTAATATTTACACATTCTTAAATATGACTCGCTTTGCCCAATTCGCAGCCGTTGCGCTCTCTCTCGCCGCTCCGGCGCTGGCGTCGTGCGACTACGGAACCCATCTTAACCCCCGAAGCGAATCTGTCCCCATCAGCACCTTTGGCTACACCGGACTCACTGGACCTTTGAACTGGTTCGGCCTCAATGAAACGGCCAACAAGCTGTGCGCCACCGGCAAGAACCAGTCGCCCATCAACTTGGATTCTTCCATCACTACCGCCCATGGAAGCTCCGTCACCTTCAAGGTTGATGCTTATCCCCATGGCGCCGAGTTTGAGAACCTCGGCACTACCGTCGAGGTGCCCGTCAATGGCTCGCTCGTGGCCGATGGCAAGTCGTATAAGCTGGCTCAGTTCCACTTCCACACTCCTAGCGAGCATCGTGTGGATCTTGAGTACTTTCCCATGGAGGCACACTTTGTCTTTTCAGCTGCAGGTGAGTAAGCGTCATGAAATGCTGTGTCCACCATAAGAGAATGTTATTCAGGATCGTGGTTTCTAACACGAATTTGCTTGCTTCGGTGCTCAATAGACAAGTCCACCGCTGTTGTCGGTTTTCTGATCAACCTCGGACTCATTCCTGATCCTCTTCTGGCCTCGGTGTTCGCCTCCGTCGGCATGATTGCGACTCCTGGCTCGACCACCAGCACAGGCCCTCTTGTGTTTGGTCCTCTTGAGAACCACCTCAACTCAAACACCATCTTCAAGTAAGAACAACAGGTTCATCATATGACATTGTGCTTGTTGGCTAACCCCTACTACCAAGGTACTCTGGCTCTCTGACCACCCCTCCTTGCTCCGAGGGTGTCTCATGGTACATCAGCACCAAGCCCCTGACGATTGACGAAATCACCTATCAGCGCGTCAGGGATGTGGTCAAGTTCAACTCTCGTTACACACAAAACTCCCTTGGCGAGATCAATCTGCTCCAGAATGCTGCCAATGAGCTCTAAATAAGCTTTTGGCACAGGGGCAGGTGTATTTTTGTATATGTACGCATCAGTGTTGATCATTGATGTCTGAGCGATTAGATTGACATATTCTGGTGTTATATAAGAAGCGGGCGTGTATAGTAGATGGTTGCGAAGAGGTGGTTAGAGTTGTTTGAACTAAAGAAATACAAGTAGGGCATATACCCGTATATACAAACTTAATACTTATATGATTAAACCATCTTTTACTGAAATGGGTCCTTGCTTTCCTGTTGTATTGTTTTGATAAGTTTTCCGTTGGAATACAGAGTCCATTTTCGAGTAGGATTATCACGTCCTTACATATATAGCTTGGCGGTTACCATGGTTCTGGATATTGAACGAAGGGTTGGAGTGTAGCCTTTCACTGAACTGGCTGTGACAGCGTTGCTGATTTTCTTAATTTAATTATACATATAAGCTCCATCAATGGCAAACGGCGATATTTTATTCCAAAATAATACATATAAAAAGGGTAATACCTTGTCCAGTCCAAGTGCATTCAAGCCATCTAACATGAGATGAGGTACTTGTAGATAAATGGGTACCAATAGTCATCCAAGGGGATACAAGTATACTGCCTACTCGTCCATCAAACAGAAAACACGCGATTAAGCTCAGAATCGGATCATAAATCTACAAGGAATGTTCTACAAAGCATCAGACGCCCAACTATCGCGGTGTATAAGCGACATATATGCTTCATAGGTAGACACAGCTATGTAACCCAGGAGGGCCAGTACTACTGCGAGTAATAGAGACAGCAAAACGACCATGAAAATAAATCACCGCCCACTTTGACACACACCCTTTAACAGATAGACTCAGCAGCCAAGACGCTACTATCACTGCTGGAGCTGTCAGACGCAGATGGTGATTTAAACTCCAAAGTCAAACGGGAGCCGAGCCCGTTGTTGGCCGTGCCGGATTACCTAAAGCGGAATAGCGATGCGGGAGAGGCCGCTGGGGCTCTTCTAAGCAGCAAACGGGGAAGACCCTGAAGAAAATAGAGTTGACAGTGAATGTTGCTTTTTGGCATTTGAGCACAAGATGAAAGAAGACAGGCAGAGTGTTGTTTTGATATGGCGGTGAGGTGTTTGATGGTGTGGTTCACTTGCTTTGTGAGGTTAGTTGCTTGTGCTAGACTAGCGATTACGACTTTACATGGAAGAATTTGCCACTCCTAAGGAGAACAACACAGAAACAGAAACATTAGGGTAATTCTGAGTGCTGCTGCTACGACTAGAGGGCAATTGTTAGGCCAATTCTGCAAATTAGAACGTGACATGATGAGTTGGTTGGTAGAGATTGACAATAGATTCTAATTAGCCGCCCATCTCCAGGTTAACCATCCATTAGCTAGCCACCACCAAAGGCCTCCTGGCGCTGAAGATGCGAGTAAACAAACACCTGCGTCCGCGACATCGTCACTCGTTTCATGTCCCTGACCGCTGGAAATTTGTGGAGCACATCTGTGATGCCATGTACGTGAACGGAGTAGGGCATCGACAGTAGAATTTCAGGCCGTAAGAGCATCCGTGCGATGGCTTTGCTGATAATTTGGCAGCAAACTCAAACTCAATTGAGGCGCCATCGATGCAAGCACTTCCGCATCTGACATTTAAACACTTCAACTCTCGACATGCCTCACCATTGCTCAATCAATTCGAATCAAATCAAATCAATCTGTCCAACCTCTCTTTCCAGGGCCTGTTGCAGCGGTCTTGTACCTGTAGCGCCTAACCATCCCGCGATTCACCCAATCACACCCCAGGTCGACCCGGCAACCAGCATAAACAAACCCACCTTCAGGAGGCTGGGCCAACCATGCGAAGCCACATCTGCACGCACTGCAGTTCTTGCCATATTTGACTATCACATCTCACCTGTGGTCGGGCATCTCTGATCCTTTCCCCCTCGTGCCTTTTTTTTTCTTTCCTTTTTTTGCTATTTGCCCTCGTGGAATTGAATCATCAAATCATAATACATACAGTGGGCGTCAGTTTTGTTGGGTCACTGTAGCGAATTGAGCAATTTGTTTATCCGTACATAATCCAACCCACTGACTTGACTGGACAATATTGATTGTCCCGTCTCTGTCCCTGTCATTCTCTCCCCCCCCCGCCACTTTACTTTACTACCTCCATACAATATCCACTGTCCTTTTGTCTCTCGCTAGAGGCAGCAGGATCCGGATTTTGAACACTCACTCTAGCATGGAAGACTACCGCTACGAAGACGAGAGTGTGAATCCCGACTACGACGACGACACCATGTCCCAGCCCGACGGCGCAGACAACGGCTCGCACGAGGGCCATGACGACGACGTCTTCAGCGACAACAGCCCGCGCAGCTCCATGGGCTCCATGTCCGAGGGCGACCCGCGCAAGACGGGCCACGATGGCCTCCGGTCGCCGCGCATCTCCGACATCCAGCAGCAGTACGACGAGGGCGAGTATCAAAAGGTCACGCCGCGATCGTCGCTGAGGTCTGCCTCGGCCAAGGTCACCTCGCCCACTGAGGGTTCTGGTTCTGGCATTCCTCGCTCCGGCCGTCGCAGCGCCCTGCCCACCGTCTCTCGCCTGGGTTCGCCCAGCCTGTCTGCGCAGTATTCGGCCAAGAAGACGCCGCCGCGCTTCAAGAAGAACGACCCGCCGCTGGTGCTTCTGCACGTCACCCTGCTGCCGCTGAGGTGGGCGTGGGGCGATGTTCTGGACGAGGCCAAGACCAGCGAGCTCAGCGAGGGCGTCAAGACTCTGCGCGAGGCCTGGCGACAGCTGGAGGACACTATCGGCGACACCATCCAGGACCGCGGCGTCCTCTTGCCTCACCCGCAAAACGACTTTGAGGTCATGGAGGAGCGTCTCCTGGAGGCGCTGGAGCTGCCCTTTAAGAGCCGCGCGCGCATCCTCGAGTGCGGCCACTACCTCGGCCCTTCCAATGAGATGCCCTTTGCCGATGAGCATGACAGCGAGGACGACGAGACCACCTACGACGACGATGGGTCTGCTCGTGTAAGCGCGTCCAAGAAGGACACCCATTGGTGCACCACCTGTTCTTGCGAGATTCCCGTTGACGCTCTGGGAGCTGGCAAGATTTACCGCGTCAAGGTCTATGCTAGCAACGGCCTGCTGAGGGCCGGTGCGTGGGAAGCCTGCTGGAAGGAGATGGAGCGTGTCGACATTGAGATAGAACCCATGATGGACGCCAAGCTCCAAGATGAGATGGTGCACCTTGCGGCGCGCCAAGACAAAATCCTCTCCAAGAGCAGAGCAGGCAGGCGACGTCTCTCGTCTCGCATCCAGGACGTTGAGGACGAGCGGGAGGATGAAGACTTTGATGAATCCTTTGTTGGAAAAGAAAGAAGTGCATCGCGACGATCCGTGTCATACGACAAGACCTCTCCCGGATACCGCGAGATGCACGGGGAGAAACAAGACAAGTCGCAGAGCCGCTTCAAGGCTGGCAGCTTCCCCGACATGGTTGTCAATGCCTTTAAGAAGTTGTTGGACGACAAGAGGAACCTGGCCATTCTCCTGCTGAGCGCCCTGACTGTGGTGGTCGCTCTCCGGGGCGGCGTCAACAACAAATTCTACGACGAACTCACCCCCTTCCAGCAACCTGAGCTGACCAACTCCTTTGAGACGCCGACCACGGTTGTGACTGACGGTGTTGGCGAGGAGGGAGAGGCGCAAGAGGGAGATGAGGAGCTTTCATTCTCTCCCTCCTCGATCATTGGCAATCTGTTTACATCCCAGGCAAATGACGGCGAGAACCCCTGTGCTGCCGTGGAGCCACAGACCGTGACTGCCACTGTTACGGAGGTGTCCAACGTAGCTCGCACCGAGATGCCGGAAGCCGATGACGACTTGTTCTTAGATGATGACGACGAGCTCCCTGAGGATGAGGCTTTTGCATCCTCAGACAATTTTTTCTTGGGAGATGGTATCATGGACGAGGAGGAACTCAAGGGTGCTGGAGGAGGATCACAAGGGCAGAGTGACTGGCAGTGGGGAAGCCCCTTCAAGTTTCCCTGGTAATTTCTTCTTTTTCTCTTCTTCTTTCTCTTTAACCCGTTTGACCAGCGATGACGAAGAATACCATTGATGTAAGTAACGAGCTGGAGGATGCAATTAAATATGCCGCAACGAATATTTTATGTTTATTTTGGGGGAGATCTTGTAGTTAGAACCAGGTCAATGCGTATAATACGAGTGGAAAATTGTTGTACAAAGGTGTTGTTGGATGACGCCTTGGTTTGGCGGTTGATTGGCCTTGACCTATGCGTTTGCCTGTCTATTGTTATATAGAGTATTAAAATTGAAGGAATAATACAGTAGTCTTTTATTTTCTCAAGCATCTTGCTTCTTGATTAATGCAGCTTGAGACAGCTATGCATGCAATCGTGTCTTACTCGCCGGTGTTGTGCAGATGCTGAAGAATATCTGCACATATGCAATGCTGACAGCTCCACCACTTCTTATCCCTCCCTACCTCGGCATCCCGTGTCTCCTGATTTTCCGGACGCATACCGTATTGACGCGAAGTACACGTTGCCAAATCGAAGAGAAGCGTGTCTGAAATGTATGTATATTATTTAGTAGAGAAATCGACAAAAATGACAAAGCGCTATATCCACATGTTCAAACCTTGTTGTGCCGCTGTAAAAAAAAAATATGAAGAATGAAGAGCCCAAAGATATTTTTCAACAGTTCCCCCCTTCTAAAGCCTGTCCAATGCACAAAGGTAGATGAGTTTTTTCATTACAATATTTGTTTTCTTTCCGTCATAAAAGCTCCATGTATGTAATTCCCATTTCGTTACAACCTGATGTAAATATCCATGCAGTCGATCCTCCACTCCCGCTTGCCCAGCAAGTTACGCAGCCACTCAACCCCCAAGCCAGTCCACTCATTTCGCAACACGGCAATCTCCTCCGCAGCAGCGCGAGCAGCGGCTTTAGCTGTAGAATTGACCATGTCGACGAGGGTGTCGTTGAAGGCGAGGGCGAGGGCGTGCGAGTCTTGATCGTTGACGGGGAGCGGGAGGGACGAAGGCCGAGGGAGGAACCAGTTGCTGCTGAGGTCGAAGAAGCAGCGGTCGGACCAGTTGCACGAGGTGAGGAAGAGGATGAGGAGGAGGACGGAGCAGTAGACGCAGGGGCGGTTGAGGAAGTAGGTGCAGATGAAGAAGAGGAGGATGAAGGCGGGCGAGGCGTTTGTCGGGATGAAGAGGAGCGGGAGCCAGCTGTTTGTTTGTTGTTGTTGGTTAGCACTTTGTGTTGGAGATTGGCGAGTATTGTATAGAGTGGTGATTGGGGGACGAACCTTCGGAGGCAGAACATGGTTGGTAGATGTTTGCGATTATGGGAGATTTATTGGTGTTTTGTTGGGTTTGTCGTTATGAAGCTCGAAGCTTGGAATCAGAAGCAAAAAAGGTGGCGAGGCTTTGGGCGGATTTTTTATGACGCCGAGACTTGACTGCTGAGCATGTGGCGGGTGGGGAGACAGACAACAAGCAATAATATAGAGTTCCAGCAGCTAAAGGGAATTCTGATGGGAGAAGACAGAAGTGTATGTAAGCAAGAAGGAATTATTAGAATAATAGACAGAAAAGGGAAAAAAGAGGGGATTTGATGTGAATGGATGTGAATTACGAGCAGTCGGTCATTATGGCAAAGCGAGGCAGTAGTTTCGGAATGGATTGAGCGAATGATGGCTGCAAGTTTGATGTTTGTAAGACGAAGCAAAGCAAAGCCGTGTAAACCCGGCAAAACTAGGTGAGGCTGGAGAAACGCAGAAACAAAACAAAACAGAGAGAGGTTGCGCCACACGAGGCTGAAAGTAAGGCCATACTGTTGTCTCCTTTTTCTTCTCAGCCCTTTTCTTTGCTGTTTGAAGAGTTTCCTAAACAAGAAGCTTGTTGTGCTACATGTGCAACATACCGGGCTACATGCGTATCTTATCTTTGTCCCTTGCTATCGGATAAGCGATAACCCAGGGCTGGTCTGTTGGCTGCAAAGTTTTCTCTTCTCTTGTATTTGTCCCTTTTCTCCTCCCTTTATCATGTGTCTGTGTCCTCGGGCTTTGTGGTTGGGCATCTGTGACGTGCTTTAGGTGTGTGTGTGAGCTGGCAGCTGTGGGTACTTGCTAGTGTTAGTGACCGACATATTCTTTCGATGTGGTTTGTGGGTTTATCGTTTGTTGCCTGATGCAAGTGTCTCAGTACGTAGTTTTTTTTCCCCAGGTTTTTCTTGTGCCAGGTTTCATTTTCAAACCTTCCTATTCCGCCTTTTCTTATCTTTTGCTGTGAATTATCACTCTATACCGCTGTAAACTCCGTAAATCTTCAACTCTTTCTTTTTTGAGGTTCCTGGTTCACGCTGACTAACCCGCACACAACCGGCAAAAGCCCGTGCGCACTGTCGAGCCGCAAACTGGTGGGATACAGGCGGCTACTCTAGCGGAGGCTCCAGTGCGAGCAGCCACCTAAAGCCTGAGCACTAGCGCTGTTTAGCTGCCCGTGCAAAAGTGATAGCAACATGAGCCCGGCTGCTCAAGTGAATTGTTACCCAACTTGGGCCAAGTTTTTTTTCTCCCAGAGTACCTTACTTCCCGCGTTCGGCACAACTCCTTAGCTCAACAACTCTGCTTAACCACCGACATTTTCTCTTCTTTCTCTCTTCACCTCTAATCTCCCACCATCCTTTTCCTCCTCCTCGACATCATCATCCATCTTCCTCCCCCGTCAGAGACCTCTTCTACCCCTCCAAATCAACAAAAAAACAATCGCAACAAGGGGTCTCTCCACTTCCGTCCACCTCGCTCTCACGCGCAGCGCGGAAGCGGCAGTCATCTGCATTGCATCGCATCGCCGCGTCTCCCAATTCGCAGCTCGTCTCCATCATGGATCTGCCTCCTGCACCGACTCCGCCCGTCTCTGGCGGCATTGGCCCCAACTCGGATCGCACTGCCAATCTGCTCAACTTGCTCAAGTTTAGTGGCCCCGGCTCGTCGAGGGAGCCGCTGCAGCCGTCGACCCAGAGCCATGGCCAGAGCCAGGGTCAAGCCCAAGCCCAAGCTCACCCTCAGGCTCAGGCCCAGACCCAGGCTCCGCTGCCCTCTTCCTCGTCCCAGCAGGCCGAGTCGTCCTCCCAATCCCACCATCAACCTCAGCCTTCGGCCCAGCAGCAGCAGCAGAAGCCTGAGCGGCAAGACCTCGAGGCAGACGACGACGACGACGACGAAGACGACGACGCAGACTACCGTATCCATAAACATCACCAGATGCAGTCGCCGAACCAGTTCTCGACCCGCATTCACCAGCCTGCCCCCACGGCAGCCGATCCAACTGGCCTGCTCGCCGCCCTTATGAGAGGCGGCCACGACTTTGAAGAGCCCAAACCAGCTCCCACGCCGCCGCAGACTCAGGCCCAGCCTGTCAATCCGTTTGCACGCGAAACGCCGCCTGCAGACAGCACCTCATATCTGCTCAACCTTCTCAGGCCCAAGCCTTCCCAGACCGACCAGCCGCTCTTGGTTGAGGCCGCACGCTCTGTCGACACTCCGCAATCGCAGGAGCATCTGTCAGAGACCAACAGCCGTTACTACGGACATCATTCGCAGCAACAGCAGCAAGGCCAACAGCAACAGCAGCAGCCTTTGAGCTCATATCACACGCAGGGTGGCTTTCAGCACCAGGCTGACGCGTTGGCCGGCCATGGCCATGGTGGCATCAATCCCATCTTCTCGCCCATCCAGAAGGAACCCGCAGATGTGTCGGTGATTTACCAGGCGCTGGCTGGCACGCTCAACCAGATGTCGCCTCACAGCGCCAGCAGTGTCCACGGCTCTGCCCCGCCTCCTTTCCACATCTTGAAAAAGGACCAGAGCTCACCAGCGGGCTCCAATCCTTTTGGTGGCAGCGAGCGGAGTCCTCTTCAGAGCCCTCCTCAGCAGTTTAGACACGGCCTTGACCGAGCTTCATCGCTCCATTCTCATCACTCGCACCACTCGCATCACTCTCAGCATTCGCATCACTCCACCCAGCAGTCCCTCAAGCAGACACCCCCAACTTCAGACTTTGGCAGCTTCGTCAATATTGACAAGAACAGAGAGACTGTCTCCGAGGCTGTTCATGACCTCGCTAGCCGAGCCGACCGCGATGCCCAGGATGCTCTGGATCGAGCTGAGCGTGAGACCGTGTCCAATTATGCTGAGAGCGCTACCATCAAGCCTCACGACGAGAGTGATTGGGTGCAGCCGTCCAACTACTCTGACGCTACTCGCTCCATTGAGAAGCACACCATCGAGGACATCAAGTCTGGCTATGAGCATCGTGGTTATGGCTCCTCCGAAGAGCGTCTTTCAAAGGATGCTCCGGAGCCCAGGGACATTGACAACCACGTCATTGCCGACAGCTGGGAGAGCGCCGACCAGGACGAGATTGTAGTCATTGAGGAGAAAGAGGCGCCTTCTGTCAAGGTCTACAACTTCCCGATGAAGCCGTGGATCTCCATTACGCTTCAGGAGGATACGACTGAGCCTCGCCCACAGTTCCGAGAGGAGTCGATCATGGATGTTGCTCATCTCAAGAAGGACTTTGACCAGATCGATCGTAACCTGTACACCGCTTCTCAGACGTACATGACGCACGGCATGTCCAAGCAGGGTGGCCTGCGTGTCATTCGCCAGGACGATGGAAAGGACGCAAAGGTGTTTAGAGACACCAAGGACCGCATCTTCAACGTCGCAATGTCCGTCACCCCACACGACTACGACGGTGTTTCCCGGGAAGCTATCATCGGTACCGGCATCAGCGGCACCGTCTACTGGGTCCAGATCAAGGACGGCGAGAAGGATCACCTCGAGGATCCCCATCTGGAGCAGTACGGCTTCGCCCTGCCCCCGATCAACTCCCAGGAGGGTGACGCCCCTGGAGGTGCCCTCAAGACTCGCGCCCGTGCTTCCACCAACCACCCCGAGTTTTTCGCCGTCGGCCGTGGCAAGTCCATCCACTTCATCTGGCCGTCCTTTATCCTGCAAAACAACCTGTTCAAGCCTGGACACGATCGCGTTGCCGACACCGAGGCATTGCTGAGCCAATGCTCCCTCAAAATCAACACTGGCAAGGCTGGTAAGGACTTTACCTTTAGCCAGGACGACAGTGTCATTGTCTCTCTGGATAAATCTGGCCGCGTCAAATTCTGGGATGTTCGCGACCTGACCGCCGTCAAGGAGGGCTCGGATCCTCGCAACCCCGCGCCCGCTCACTCGCACCTCGAGGTCAACGAGCCTCTCATGACCCTGGCCAGCACCCCCGAAGGCGAAAAGGCCTGGCCAACCTCCGTCCTGCTTCTCGACAAGCAGCGCCCTTACCAGAAACGGTGTGCGCTGCGGTACATGATTGTCGGCATGAAGCAGAACCACACCCTGCAACTCTGGGATCTCGCCCTGGGCAAGCCCGTCCAGGAGTTCAATCTCCCCCACAGCAAGGAGTCTGACGCGGTCTGCAGTGTCATGTATCACCCATCCAGTGGTATGATCATCATCGGCCACCCCACCCGGAACTCGGTCTACTTCGCCCACCTCTCGGCCCCCAAGTACAACCTTAAGAGCGTGTCCCAAGCCGAGTATATCCAGAAGCTCGTTTCCCAGGACCCTTCGATCCCTCAGCCTGATAGTACCGCTGTCATCAGCGGTGTCCGAGAGTACTCTTTTGATAATCGCGGTATCCTCCGCAGCTTGGACATACTTGCCAATCCCGCCATGGTCCAGGATACTGATGAGCCCACGCTGTTTGAGCTGTATGCCATGCACTCCAAGGGCGTTGCTTGCCTTATGGTTAAGCAGGCTGAGCTCGGATGGTCCAAGGACAACAAGGTGCTCGACCCTGTCGATGCTGTTGATGTGGGCGTTGTCTCAGTGTCCAAGTTGAAGACACCTGTGCAGGCGGACGTCACCAATGGTACCTCAGAGCATGCTGCCGTCCCCACTCCTGTTCGCATCGCTACCCGCACTATCGCGAGAGATCTTGCTCCACCACAGTCGTCTCAAGTCGCCGCTGCTTCCTCCTCGGAAGCTGCTACTCCTCGGGGCATCATTGAGCAACCGGCTGTTGTTACCCCGGCGAAGCCCAAGGGCGACGCCAAGGAGGTCGAAACGCCCGGACAGTCATCGAAAGAAAACCACCCCGAGAAGCCCGAGCGCAAGCAACGTAAGAAGAAGGGCAAGGATGCCGAAGTCAACGCCAATGGATCGGCGCCATCGCATAAGGGCGAGGGTGCCGCCAACAAGGGCGTCGCTGGCAGCCTTGCTGGCGTTGGTGGCCTCTCGTCTGAAGCTTTCGATTCCACGATTAGCAGTCTGGAGACCAGGCTCGGGGCTGTCATGTCTGACACTTTCAAGTCTTCACTGAACAATCTGCACACCAAGATTAACGACACCGCTCGCGCCAGGGACGACAACTTTAACCAGCACCAGCGGAAACTTCTCGACATGGTTTCGGATATATTGAACGAGAACACCCAGAAGGTGCTCGAGACTTTGATCCACCAGCAGTTTACCGACGTGGTCATTCCCACCATTAGCGACAAGACCAGCCAGGCCGTTTCCGACATGGTTCAGAACAAGCTGCAGGCCAACATGGCGTCTTCTGTCCAAAAGGAGATTCAGTCTGCCCTGCCTCATGCTGTTAGCCGCTCGCTTCGATCAAACGACTTCATCAATGCCATTTCTGATAGAGTCAGCAATGTGGTTTCCACGAATGTTCAGCAGGAGGTTCTGTCCACTTTGACTCAGCGTCTCGCACCGACTTTCAACAACATTGCGACCCAGGCGGCTCAGCGCGTGGCCACCGATATCCACAAGCAGTACCACGACCAGTTTGAGCAGATGAAGGCGCAGCACGCTGCGGATAACAACAAGATCGATCAGCTCCTGTCCTACGTTACCCGACTGACGGACATGGTATCCACAATGGCAGCCTCGCAGTCCTCGCTTCAAGCCGAGTTCATCAAGTTCAAGCAACAACCCGTTGAGCTTCCCGTCGGTGTTGCTGGTGGCGTCAACATCCCGCACCCCGCCAGCGTCGCACACAGCGTCGGATCTCATGGTTACGCTAACACTGTGGCCAGCCACCGCCCGAGCTTCCCGCCCAGCCAGCCGCCCAGCCAGGGCCCTGGCCATGGCCAGCAGCAATACGGCAGCCCTCAGTATATGCGCGGATCCCAGCACGTGGCAAGCCCGCACGGGTCTGCTCCCCCTTCGGAGCACGTTGGACCTGTCAACAACGTGACTGCACTTGCCGGCGCCTATGCCAGCCAGATGAGCAAGACTGAGGCCGAGGCCGACAATGACCTCTTGCAACGCATCCGGGTGATTGAACAGGCCATCTCTGAGAACCGCTTGCAAGATGCCATGATCCAATGGATCCAGAGCGGTCGCGAGACTGAAATCTTCCGTCGTTGCCTGAGCCGATACCCTCCTGGCAAGTTTGACGGTCTCCAGCCGTTGATGCTGCTCGTCGTGATTGCCACCATCTCCAAGGACCTGAAGCCGAACCCACGATTGAAGGAAGAGGTTGAATGGATTGAGATGGCTGTGAGGGCGTTTAGCGCCAGCTTGCCCAACTACGTGAGTTTTTCCCCTCTGCCCCTGTCTGTTTGGAAGAACAACTTTAGATTTGCTAACATTTGTCGCTCGCAGAACTGGGATGATGACACTTCTCGTGAAGTCATGAAGAGCACATCACAGACGATGCAGTTGCTCATTAACCGCGTGCAGCCCTTGATTGCTGGCATCCAGGGTGGCTTCCCCACCGATCCCTTCCTGGCCAACCTTGAGAGAGGCAAGCTGGACTGGATTGTGCGAGCATCCGAACACATCCTGTCTACCTTTTACTAGACAACATCAATGATGGGCATTTCTTATCATGTCAATTTACTTTATACGTCTTTTTTTCGAGCATGATTCCCAAGCTATTGCTTTTCGGAGGCACGGTTGATTTTTTTTCCCATTTCAAGGATCATGGTTTTTGAGATTAGCAGAGGCAATACTGCGGTTCATGAAGCAATGTTTTCATAGCCCTGCTATAGTCACTGATCCTTTTAGACATGACTGCAAAGACAACATTTTGCGCACTTGACGATTCGGTGTATATTGGGAGGGATGAGAGAGCATATGCATTTTTTGCGCTGCATAATTTGCACATCTGCAGACTATCAAGTCTGGGCGTGGTGGACATATTCGGTTTTGTTTTGTTTTTCCCCTCAGCTATCAACGGTTCATCTTTTCTCTATTTTTGCTACCTTTTGTCCTTGCTGCTGGATACACGCTCCCCAAGTCTCTTTTGCGAGGAGAGGCGCGGGAATGCCAATGTCAAGCAGTCTTAGGAAAGCTTTTTCGCACTGACGAAATTTGTTCAAGGGGGAGGATGAGGGCAATGATACCAAAAAGTTAGTTTGCAAATCTGCACGCGCGCCGACATGTTTGGATGCGATGGGAGGAGGGCAGAGTTGAACGGGAGTGGAGGTTTCTTTATTTTCGGGGTTTACTTTTTTCGTTTGCCCGTTTTTATTCATGTGTTTTTCATGTAGAGAATTTAGTCACGATGTAATACTTTTATTTTCTCATCTGATTGAGTTTCCGGTGATTTCCTCGTGTTTATCAAAGTCTATAGAGAGGGACATAAAGTGTCGCGTGCCTGATGTCTTGTCTTATATATCATGTAATCATTTATAGTTTCGTAAAATGGCTGCATACCGTTGTCTTATCTATCCGCACCTACAAAAGTCAAAAGTGTTGTGCCGCATACGTAATTCCTCACGTCACGCACCATTTTATTGCCTCTTGTCAAGGGCGTGTCATGTGGAAGCCACAGTTACATTTGTTTCTGGACTATTTCGGACTGCCGGAAGGACTTTCTAGACGCGAGCTGTTCTGAGTCTTGGTGGCGATGGTATCGTACGTCACTGGCGAGTTTGTGATACTTCTTGAATGCTGACTAGATGAGCTTCGTTTCGCCTTATGGAGTATATGACCGAAATGGAGTTGTAGGTAATCTTGCTGAGGTGTTGTCGAGGATGTGTGATCTGGAGCTTAATTTCTCCGGTCGGTTAGAGATACTAGGTAGAAGCTTCCGTGGGTGCCGAGATATGGGCAAGGGGTAAAAGGTAAAGAACGGGCTGAGATGATTTAGAGTTGGGGGAGGTGATGAGGTGTGGTGTCGTCATATATCTTACTTTTTTCGTAAAATGTCCTGATGTTTTTGATGTGGTTTCGTATATATACTTGCATGATATCTCGAGATCTGCGGGATGACGCTTTCTTTTCTCCCTTTCTTTCTCCTTCCTCTTTCTCCTTTTGAATTGAATTCACGGTGGCTACAGTGAAAGGATTATTGAGTAGAGCATAGTTGATACTGCTTTACTATGTCAATATGGGACTATTCAAGAATGTCATTGAACCAGCGTGTAAATCCCCCCTTTAACTGAATAACCAAGGGGTTTGTTTTCTGACGAGAAGAAATAATAGCAATCGCACTCGCTTTCACAGCCGGAACGCTCATAAACCGCCGCCGCCTCAAGCCTCAACGATACCAACGTGATCTAGAATCCATACCTGACTACATTTCCGCCGAGAAGAAGACTGACGATGCGTCATCAGCTTCACATCGAAAGGGAGGCAGCAGCAATAAGGGCTCGAATTCGCTTGTCTTTAGGGTGTTGTCGTGGATTTATGGGACGTTTCCGTTTTTGAGCGAGATATGGTACTGGTTACTTACATATTGGTTCGTTGTTTTCGTCCCCTTCTTGTTCGTATCGTGAGTGTAGAGTCTGATGGTTTGGCGCAGGGTATATCAGCTTAGTCGCGCTTTTACGGCGCGAGCTATTGCGCCGTATCCGCAGATTTATCTGGTTGCGAAACAGCATGCTTTGCAGTTGCTTGCGATTGAGGAGTTTCTTCATATCGACTTTGAGCAGGCCTTTCAGGAGTACATTCTTACGAAGCACGCTTATATCATGCCTCTCCTGAGACATATATACCATTCTCACATCATCATTGGCGTCGTCTTCGTTGTATACATCTACACTTTCCTGCCGCCTCCACTATTCAGACGTATACGTCGAACAATTGCCATGGACAATTTCATCGCCTTCATCATTATTTCTCTCTGGAGGTGTTATCCTCCGCGAATGCTCCCCCCGGAATACGGCTTCATAGATATCCTTCACGAAGGAAAGACTGGCTCCGTATGGACTCACAACCGATTCCGCCTGACAATTGCCGCGATGCCAAGCCTACATTTCGGAACGTCAGTGTTGTTTGCAGTGTGTTTGGCGAGGTTTAGTCCGCATATGGTGATGCGTGTTTTGGCGCCGCTGTGGCCGGTGGCGATGTTTGTGACGGTTGTTGCGACGGCGAATCATTTCGTGCTGGATATTGTTGTTGGTGCCATTATACCGCTGCTGGGGTGGCGGTGGAATAGGGCGATTTTGGTGTTGGAGGGGGTGCAGGAGTGGGTATTTTCGCCGGTGATTGAGCGGATGGATTGGAGTTTTGGGGGGGAGAGTCGTAGAGAGGTAGAGAGGTGATGTTTGTACATGTGTTATGAGGAATTGCATTGGGATCATTATGACCAGGAGTAATATTTTATTGAACGGCTAGGAATTGTCTATCAAGCTTACTATAATCGCTATTTGTGGCGCATGTAGTAAGTCCTTTTCGCAGCCCAGATTCCTGTAGATGAAATGCTGCCAAAGCTTCCAAGCAATATATTCAGAATCATTGTCTTGACAGTTATGTATTCTGTATCACTCATGTTCCAGCAAGTTGTCAGAACTAGCTAGGGAGGACGCAGTCGCGGTCGTAAAAGACCCAGGTTGCGGCACTTGGAGTGCTTGACTCTGCTGCGGACTTGGCAAAGAGCCAGCAGTTGCCATTATCTGGTTTGTACTCGAATGAAAGACACTTGGTATCTTTAATACAAGTAGACTGACAGGACTTAAGACTGCTCTCTTTGCTTGATGTGTAGAAGCTCGATCCATCGCGATTCTCTCCACAAATAGGGAGAGGGCATTCCCGATCATAAAAGAAATAGGTTCCTGTAGTGTCGTTTTTTGTCTTTGCTATGGCTACAGGCCTCTCGTATAGCCAGCATCTACCGGTAGAAGGCTTATACTCTGACGAAGAACACTTATCGTCATTTTTGCAGGCAGACTGGCAGTCCGATACGCCGCCCTTGACAGTTAATGATTTGTAGTATGACGATCCATCGCCCGGTACCTTGCATTGCACAACGGGAGGTAAAACAGGGCAATTGCGATCATAAAAGAAATATGTTCCTGTGGTGTCGTTTTTGGTCTTTGCAGTTGCTACAGGCTCTGCGTACAGCCAGCATCTGCCATTAGAAGGCCGGTATTCGGATGAGAGACACTTTGGGTCTTTGGTGCAAGCATTTTGGCAATCACCAACGGTGTTGAAAGTTGATGATGTGTAATAGGACGATCCATCACCAGGTATATTGCATTGAGGGTCGGTAGATACAACGGGGCAATCGCGGTCGTTGAAAAAGTATGTTCCTGTAGTATCGTTTTTCGTCTTTGCTGTTGACACAGGCTCTGAATATAGCCAACAGCCACCGTTGGAAGGCTTGAACTCGGAGGAGAGACATTTTGGATCGCTGCTGCAAGTGTTCTGGCAGTCACCCATGGTCTTCACCGTCGTTGAGCTGTAGTAGGACGATCCATCGCCTGGAACGTTGCACTGCGGATCGACTGGACAATCGCAGTCATAGAAAAAGTAAGTTCCTGTAGTGTCGTTCTTTGTCTTTGCCTGTGATACAGGCCCGGCATACAACCAACAGCGACTGTTGGAGGATTTAAACTCGGAGGAGAGGCACTTGGCATCGTTCTTGCACGCAGTCTGGCATTCAGCCAAGGAATTCACAGTGGGCGATGCATAGTAATCCGACCCATCACCTGGGATGTTGCATTGCGGGACCGGTGGTGCGGCGAGGCAGTCTCGGTCGTTGAAGATCCAGGTCCCGGAGGTGTTGTTTCTCGTCTTTGCCTCTGCCACAGGCAAAGCATACAGCCAGCAGCGACCATTGGAGGGTCGGTATTCAGATGAAAGGCACTTGGCATCGCTCTTGCAGCGGTACTGACACTCGAGGATGTTGCTCACTGTTGATGAAGTATAGAAATCATCTCCATCGCCTGCCACTCCGCATTGGGGCAGCGAGGTATCAGCGCGAGCAGCAAGAGCCAAGGTGAGCACACCAAAGGCAAATGCTTTCATAGGTTTGCAAATGCTCATTGAAAATAGACAATGTCAATTTTAACGTTCTTATTGGGGAGAAGAAAGATCCCGGATGTTACATTCAATGAATGACGACGAGGACGAGGATGAAATGAGTGAAAAGCAAGTTGTATATAAATATTCATCTTTCAATACCGATACCGGAACCGTTTGGTCACTGTCTTGTGCTCTGATACAGACTGACTAGATATATTATGTATGTATTATGGCTCGTGTTGTAATACATGGCCGTTTGTTCTCCCTTATTACTAAGTCTTCGGGCAGTTTGTTCTAGACAGTACCCGCAGTAGCTGTCTCACTTATAGAGCCGAACCAATAATAGTACCGACTCTACACATGAAATAGATGGTAAATTTAGCGTCCCTTCACCCTTGATATAAGTATCCGTAATAGCTTCTTCTGAATCATCTACACTCGAGCTTAGGTAATAAGGGTGTAAACAGGAGCGGAAAAGATGAAGCCATAGTCAGAAGATGCCAACGCACTGGAAGGGCCTAACCAATACATCTTACCTGGACATTCTTTAATTTCATCGTCTTGAACTTGTGAAGATGACAAAATGATAAAAGGAGAGGAAAAGTTTATGCTCTATAGATTTCTAGATCAATGTTCATTCGCCCTCGGCAGCGGAACTCATTCCGTCTTTGATTCAGAGTGGCATGTAATTTATGAGATAGACCGAAACAAGAATGTCATCCGACCAGCTGGGAAATCTGTGAGTGGCCGGGCTCTCGGTATAGGGACTCAGAAATCCGTACTATTGTCCCGCGTTGTGCCGTGTCTTGGATAGTTTCACATACCTCTGGGGCATATTACAGTAGAAGTTAGAATGAACACCGATGGCTTGGTAAGGATAGAGCAATTGTGGCGTCAAAAGATGTGAGGACCTGAGTACCTGCGCCGGCGATTGATTGGGGTTGTAGGAGGATTGATGGGTGATGTGAAATTTCTTTATGAGACACATGCGAAAAACAAAACGCGTCCATCACTGATGGAGATTCTCAAGGCTTTCCAGGAGGCTCTTGAAGCATACTTGACAGTCTTCATCGTTATTGATGCACTCGACGAGTGTGCGACTTTGGATGACTGTAGAGAGATCATCTTGTCCAAAATGTTTGCTTGTGCCGCAGCATCCAATCCAAAACTTTTTACAACGTCGAGACATATTCCTGAAATATCCGACAGATTCCAATCTGCTCTACATTTGGAAATTGGAGCGACTGAATCAGACATTCGCAGATATATAGATAGCCGCCTGGCCAAGTTACCACGAACATCATTTACCAGCCAAAACAAGAGTTTACAGGAGGAGATTAAAATAAGAATTAAACGCTGTCGTCAGCAAAATGTACGCATTTCAAAAAATCACTTGTTATGAGGTATCGTCTAATTCTCTTGAAAGGTTTCTATTAGCACAACTTCATTTTGACAGGTTGGCGGAGTGCATAACGCCAAAGGCGGTTATGAAAGCTCTAAAGAGTCTTCCCACTGGCTCCGACGCATATGATTATGCATACAGTGCCGCCATGGATCGCATTAACCAGCAAGTCTCAGGTCGAAGCGAATTGGCTATAAAAGCTCTCTCTTGGATCACGCACGCAAGGAGGCCACTTTCCGTCTTCGAGCTCCAGCATGCCCTTGGCGTAGAGGTTGGAGAGGATAAATTTGACGAAGAAAATGTTCCCCAGGTAGAAGACATTGTGTCAACTGCTGTCGGGCTGGTGACTATTGACGAGAAGAGCAAGATTATCCGGCTGGTGCATTACACAGCGCAAGAGTTCTTCGAACGGACCAAAGAAAAATGGCTTCCGGATGCAGAGACCTATATTGCTGATATTTGCAGCACTTACCTCTCATATTCCACTTTCGAAAAACCATGCGAGCCGTACGGGTGCAAATTTCGAGGAAGGATGAAATCATATAAACTATATACGTATGCCGTCTTGAATTGGCGACACCATGTTACAGCCTCAAAGTCCAGCCGAAATCATGTCAACTTTCTCAAAAAGACATCCAGCTTTTACGCATATCTTCAGGACTATCAATCACACGTGGCAAGACGTCTACCATGGTCATTTCGTGATTTTAAATATAGTACCAATCTTCATTTTGCCGCAGCGCTAGGGTGGAATAAGATCATTACACATTTGCTCAGAGACTTCGCCGATGCAGACGTACGGGACGACTACAACTGTACACCTTTCTATATGGCTGCTAGTGGTGGCTATTCTTTGGTTATGGAAACATTGCTAAGCTTTGGCCCAGTTGATATTAATGTTATATCGAGTTACTCCAGATATACGCCACTCATAAGTGCTGCCCAGGGTGGCCATTCTGAGGCTGTCAAGCTTCTGTTGGACACTGGTAAAGTCAATGCTGGATTTGAATGCATAAACAAGAAGACTGCTCTTTGGTACGCTGCTGTTGGCGGCCATGATACCGTCGTTCAACTACTATTGGACTCACGGAACTATGATACAGACATGATCCGTGAGATACATTCGTCGGCTTTATTAGGGGCTGTTATCATGGAGAAAGAAACTATCGTGGATCTAATTCTCAACGCAGGAAATGCTGATATCAACGTCCAAACCACATCATTCTACTCTCCATTCTTTTGGGGCCCTCGCTCTAATGACAAATGTTCAAATGATACAACCTGGGTGTATCCAAAAAAACAGGATGGTGGGGTGGTTTGAGGATATTTTATGTCCTGATCCTGCAATTGATTCACTGAAACAATTTAAAATACCGTCACATCTTGCAGCAGATGGAAGATTTGATATAAATGTTAGGGACGAAGGTCTCCGAATGCTCCTCATGCGTGCTGTATCAGCAGGGAGGAAAGATGTTGTCAGATATCTTCTAAACAATCGCGCACTTGGTATTGATCATGGAGACCAAAACGACAGAACATCCCTGCATCATGCCACTGCTAGTGACCGCCGTGAAATAGTGGAGTTTCTCATCAATGCCGAAAACGCCAATATTGACATAGCAAACGAAGCAGGTGATACTTCTCTATGCATTGCAACCAAACATGGTCATAACTCCATGGTACGACTGTTACTCAAAGCCCAGGGTGTCGATACAAATGTCAAGGACAAGCATGGTAGAGATTTATTATCTCTTGCCGTCGAATGGGGGAACGTTGATACCGCCAAATTCTATCTCGATACAGGGAAGTTTGATGTCAATACTAGGGACCACTACGGCCTCACGCCACTTATGTTACGCACGAAAAATGGCATTAAAGGCCCTGAAATAATCCAGCTGTTGCTTAATACCGGTAATGTCGATATTGATGCTACCGACTTTGAGTATGGACGAACAGCGCTCTTGTGGGCAGCCTATAACGGGTATTTGGAATCTTTTACAGCCTTATTAGAGACAGGCGGGTTTGATATAAAACACGAGGGATGTGTGCGGCTTTACCGCATTTACAATTGCTACCAACCGACAAAACACACGCATCGTCGAATTCTTGCTGAATCTAGATAAGGTTGATCTCTATACAAGGGACTATAAGCACAAGAGAACGGCGCTTATGTGGGCAGCTCATACTGGCTGCAGCGAGGTTGTTGTCTTGCTATTGAACTCTGGCAAATTTGATATCGGCGATGTGGATGCAAATGGTCTTGACGCAATTGAGACTGCAGCTAAGCGAGGAAATCGAGAGAGTATCAAGTTACTCAAAGATGAGCGGGATGCTCCGATAAAACAGCCGTAGATTTGTGTGGGACAAAATACTGACATCAATGAGAAGACTAAGTCGCAGGTAATATGATGTTACAATCGGGGAGATTAATCGATGACCAAGACGAATAAACAAAGAGGTAGAGAGACGAAATTGCTGCTGAGGTCTCTCAACCATCTACTGGTAGGTAAAGGATTAGCATAGCATCGGGCAGATAAATGGATATATACAAGAGTTCATGTACACCATGCCTGGCTTCATTTAATATATCCCCGCTGAATGTCGTACATATTCTTATATACCTCCATATTTTTCTTTAATACTCTCAGTTTTGAAGATTTGGACTTCGCTATTGGCGAAACACCAAACCAAAATCATTATTAATATTCATCCACGCTGCATAAAAGATGTCATTCCCCTTAATGTAAAGGGGGCGGCAATTCACCTAGCAGCGAAGCATCACTCTCCTCCCACAGATAATCTTTCTTAATCCGCTTTATTAATTTTGCAACCTTTCCACTTCTTAGACTTATATTAAATAAGAATGGTTTCAGCTTTGCAATGATACCCGCCTTGAAATAGGTTTCATCCGTCACCATTTATGCTGATACCCCTGATTTTAAAGTAGGAAACCAGTAAAGATTTCAGAAAACAATATAGCTCCAATATTGATTCCGGTCTTCCACGAAGTTATATCACTATTATACACCCCAGTTGCTGCATTCGTAGATGTTGGAGCTGCAGTCGCAACACAAGCAGCGCAAACAGCGCAAACAGTCGCCGAGGCCATCGCACTCACTCGTGAAAGAGCGCTTGGCGAAGCAGGCCCGTCACCGGTGCACACACTGACTCCCATTTCATCAAAAAGGCAGTCTTGGACCTCAGTGCAATTTGGACCATTGGAAACAATTGGGCAATAGGCACCACATCCAATAGTATCGTTGGTGTAGTACTGGACGACAGGAGCAGGGCCGCAGCATTTTTTGAAGGCAGTGACCATGGAGGTGGGATCAGAACTGACGATACTGCATCCGCCGACTGGAAGAAAGCCATCGAGTGGTGTGCAGGCCATGGTCGAAAAAATATTAAAATCCTGATAACGCAAGTAGAGATAATGAATATGATTAGAAACAGAATTAGAAAAAATACTTTTGATTTATTTGCCAGTGTTGATGAAGGTAGTTCTGGGACAGGCAAACATATATATAGACTTTCAGAACACCGATCCCATAAGTTTGCTTACTCTCGAATAATACAACTCGAATAACAAAAGGTGCCATATCATAGTAATCTGTTCGCCTAAAAACATCGTGCGTTGTGCTTACATCGCGAATTTGAAAGCAACAGGTATCTATAGTAGAAAATACTCAGGGGGCGCTGGCTGGGTGCCAACAGGGTTCCAAGGTACCAGAGGTGCCAGAGGTACCAAACCAATCAGCATATCTCTACACCTATACAAAGAATAAAAGCAAGAATCCCTGAGCGACTTCTAAAACAATCTATTGATAGCAGATACTTTATAGTGATCCAGATGAATAGATATATCCATTGGGCACCCAAGAATTGCCCTATAACTACACCAATTCACCAACTCGGCTTTAGAACCACGCCGCATTTTCTTATAGTACGGGGTAATACTCTCATGTCTTATTCTATCGGAGTTATATTGCAAAAACGATGCCTAATATCCGTGACATATACTCCGTATGATCCTTTCTTTCATCGGAGTTATATTGAAAAAAAGATACCTGACATCCGAATTCCCACCCCGTATATACCGCCGTATATACCGCCGTATGAGGCCAATCCGCATGCACCACTGCCACAATTTCCTCAAGGTTAATTCCCGTATCTAGGCATATTATCCCTATAATCCGCCGGTGCCCCTGCTCCCTGCCCACGCTGTTCACACTTCCTGCTTCTCGTGTTCATCAGTACACCACTCCCTTCTAATTCCCTATCATCTAAGCAATGGTAAGTAACAATCAATATAAAAATAATTCTGGTTGCGTCCACATGCTATGAAAGATGCCGTTCTCCTCAATGTGATGGAGGCGGCAATTCACCGAGCAGAGAGGCATCACTCTCCTCCCAGGGATGCTCCTTCTCAATATTCCTAATCAACTCTACATGCCTCTTACTTCTTGGTGTAATCTTGAACGGGAATGGCTTCGGCTTCGCAATAATGCCCGCCTCAAAATCCAACTTTGGCTCAATCGCGTTGCCCTGTTCGTCTGTCGCCTTGCTGATGTCAAAAACGGCTACGAGGTACGCCAAGTTGAGAAACAGCGAAGAGTCGGCAAGATATCTTCCGGGACACACTCTTCTTCCAAAGCCAAAGACTGTCCATCGTGGGTCGGGCTCGTTTCGCGGCGAGAGAAAGCGTTCAGGGGCAAACGTGTCCGGGTCAGCGTAAACAGCAGGGTCGTGGGTGAAGCTCCATATGGATGGAAATATGTAAGCTCCTTTTGGCAAGTCGTAGCCTTTGTATGTCATGTCCTCAGCCATGGCATGAGGGACACCCATTGGTAGGATTGGGCACCACCGAAGTGCTTCAGATACCATCGCTGCAACATATGGCATCCGATCCATGTCAGCAAGCACAGGTATACGAGTGCCGCCAGTCACTCTATCGATTTCCTCTTGGGCTTTGCGTTGGGCTTCGGGGAACATGGTCATGGCTAGGATGAAGCCGATGAGAGTTGAGACAGTGGTGTCCGCTCCACCTCCATATAAAGCAGCAGCAGACCATTTAATAGTATATGCGTCAGCTTCGCTCGGCTCATCCGCATCATCAATACACTCCTGAACAAGCCTCGCGACATATGAACCCGTAAGATTATGGTCAATCATTTGTTTGCGTACAAATTTATAAGGTTCGTTGATGACGGCGCGGATTTCTTTGCCATACTGGTTGGCCTCAGCCTTGAAGCCTGTGCCAGGGAAGCCATCGGGAAGCCATTTCAGGGCAGGTATAAACTCGACAAGTCGTGTAAACGGAACGGAAGCACGCGAGAAGTTGGCCATCATGCGGTCAATCAACCCAACTAAGGGGTCGGATCCATGAGGGTTGACGGTATAGCCGTATACGATTTTGAGAATAATCGCGCCGGCTTCACTGTAAGTGTGGATTAGTTAGACCATTCACGGATATAGACCTCTCACTCCATCTTCCAAGTTGTATCTGGGTATGAGTGCTCTCTACTCACGTTTCAAAGTGCTTAACAATCTTCTGAGGATCTTTTAGTGTTCGAAGCAACAGCCGTCCAGCTTCTCGCTCTTGTATTTCCGCATACTTGGTCGCCAGAACCTTGGTACCAATGGCCTTGTGCATAACTTTCCGCTGGGAAGTAAACCGCTTTTCCAACTGATGCAGGGAGATAAATTCTCCAAAGCCACAATAATTGGCAAACTGTAAAACAGGGCGTCCGGAAGATGTCTAGGACTTCTTTTCCATAATCTCTTGTGCGGCCTCCTTGTCGGCAATGAAGATCATGGACTGTCCCAGGACAGTGACGGAAGCAATCGGTCCATATTTATCGTTGATTGACTTCCAATGTTCATGATCGGGGGTGCTTTTCGAAGGGAGATCGAGGATATTGCCGATTAATGGGAGGCCTTTTGGCCCAGGGGGAAGATTCTTCTTAGATTTCCGGAAAACCTGGTGGTAGACAAGAAATCCCACCAGAGCAATTAGTGCCTGGATAATGAACGTGTTTGCCATGTCCACGAAAATGTGGTCAATCGAGGCCAACAGACATTTAGTGCCAGAGATGGAGCTAAGGAGCGGCTTGCTTTTTAGTCAAAGAGACGGCAGCATTTGTAACTAATATCCCTTCAGCTCTCTCCTCGTCTTGGTTACCACTCCTAATACAGCATAACTCTTATCGCTCTGCATGACATGCTTGCTAGTGGCGGATCCTCGTAGCCGGGATGACAGGATACTATGCCGGCTGCTGACGTGAATCGGGCTTTTTGAGGCGCGTCGACGGACACTTGCAGTTTCCCGGAGGCAAAGCGAGTTGTGCTGTTCTCAAGTTAACTGGGAATAAGATGGCGAGCATCAACAGTCAGATTCCGAGCCCAACAGCCTATAATTAGAGGCATACGAGTTAAAGTCCTACGAGGAGTATCGTGGGAAGAAATGGGCTTCCATAATGGGTAAAACTGCCGAGTTGCAGTATCCGCTGCCACAACTGGAGCGGTCAACGACTCTTAACAACAAGACAGTAGTAGCAATACTATGATTATACTGACTCGCTACTCTTTCAATCTCGTACAAAATACCGTTTAAAGAGACATGGTGGATTCTCTAATAGGGGAAGCACGGCGGGTCCGGGACAAGCTTCATGCAGATGATTTCGACTTCTTAAATTCTGACATGTACAATCTAATCCCAACTTGTTTACAGCTCTGCCGCCTGACGATCTGAAGCGTCATATGTCAACAGGGATCGGAGCAAACCTCCGCCTCCTTGTAAAAACGCGGTATTCCGTATTATTTTAGTACAGAAGCAGTGGACTTCCGCCGTAGGGAGAGCGGGTTTTTTCCGCCAACTCGTCGCAACTCCGGGCCATTTTATGTTGACTAAACAGTTGGTGATGCATGTGATGATGCTCATTCCTGGTTGAGTCTAAACAAGTCTCTGGAAATATGCAACCAGGCGGCTGCTAGGTCTAATTTGGCACAAGGGTGATGCGCTATTCAAAGGACCGGACCGTCGAGCTTGTGCGAGGGAAACCCCGCAGTGAGAGCGGGTGAGACGAGCCGTTGTTGAGACTAATCATGGGTGATAAGTGACGAGATTGTTTAGTGATGAGTTATGATGGATCGAGGATACGTCGGTAGTTATAGTTGAGAGAGGACAGGAGCATATGATGGTAGTGATGTTGTCCGAAACCTCAAAGGCGCATACAACACATACATCTTGATTAACACCATGTCTAAGATACGATCTTCTATGCATAGTTGTGGAGCTCTGAGCTGAGTTGTTCAGTCTACTCGCAGACACGACTTACCAAATCAACTCCATCCTCCTCCTGATCTCCCTCAGTCAACTACTCTTTATCACCCTCCGCCACCCGAATCACAACTTTACCAAAGTGCTTCTCCCCCTTGACATACTCCATCGCCTCCTTCGCCTCCCCCATCCCAAACACCTTACACACAACCGGCCGTATCTCCTTCTCCTCATAAAACCCCACCATCTCCTCAAACCGATCCCTCCCCCCATTCACCAACCCCTTCAACGTAACATTCTTCCTCAACGCCAAAACATTCACATTCAACCTATTCCACCCCTTCGCCTTATCCTTATCATCCCCATTCCCCCCATCATCACCTCCCGTATCATCCTCTTTACCAGAGACATACCCGATACAGCTGATCGTCCCTCCAAACGCAACACTAGCAAAACTCTTCCGCAGAGTCTTCGTCCCGCCCACTTCGAGAATGTAGTCCGCGCCATTCCCGCCAGTGGCCTCCATGACGCCATCTTGCCACTCCCAGTACGTGCGGTAATTAATCGTGTGGTCTGCGCCGAGCTGTTTCGCTGCTTCGAGCTTTTCGTCTGAGGAAGAGGTGATTATGGTTTTGAGGCCGGCTGCTTTTGCGATTTGTAGGCCGGCAATGCTCACGCCGCCTGTTCCTTGAAGCAATACAGTCTCCTTCTCGTTATCCTTCTTTTCATCGCCGGTTTTTCCGTAAAGTTCTAGTTCTTGGAAGGATTTGCCGATGGGTCTCATCCAATTCAAGGCCATCCACGCTGTCACACTGGAGATCGGCAAGCAACTCGCCTCCTCGTCCGTCATGTATTTGGGCGCCTTGACCAGCGCCCTGGCATCAAAACACCGATACTCAGTCAGCACTCCCGGCAAAGGGAAGCCCAATCCAGATTCCAGATCAGATTGCTTGAGAGCGCCAGCGAGGTGAGTCTGCAGAAAGACAGACATGACGCGCGTGCCAGCCTTGAGAAGCGGGGATTTACTCTCCACGACAGTGCCGCACATGTCAGAGCATGGAACAATGCCGACGGGAGAATCAGTAGGCGTCTGATGGTGGTTATAATCGCCGTTACAAACTGCATCAAGTCAATATCATTGTCAATTCCTAGCTTCCAATCTAGTCGAGGAAACATACCCTCCAGGTCTCGGTAATTCAGGCACACGGCATGAATCTTCACCAACACCTCGCCATCTTTTGGCACCGGCATCTCGCCCTCTACCAACTCCAATTTGTCCACGCCATCCAATTTGCTCACCCACTGCCTGTTCGTCGGCGCCATGACGACTTCCCAGTCTTCAATCTCGTCTTGCCGAGTGTGTTGTATCTGAACGTCTCTGCCTTCTGATGCGGGGATTCCAGTCATAACCCCTCTTGTTTAGTCAAAACCCGTAGATGTGCTATTTCACACGCTTTTAAAACAAAAAGGCTTCCAAGTTTCTATCCAGAGAAAGAATCAAGATCTATGATGCCACGCGTCGGATGGGGAAACAGTCTCCTTGTACTACAGACGACAGAAACCACCAACCAATGGCACTCCAACGGGAAAAGGAAAACGTACGTCATCCGTTCGAAACTCTCCAAACCAATCAAGTAGAATCTCTCTCCACAGTTTAGCGGCTCCAGCTCGCCAGGAACCGAGTCAGCTAGTATTTGGCACCTAAGCTTAAAACTTCGATCCGACACATGGAAGCATCTCCGCCCAACCAACAGAGCATAGGTAGAGACAAGTCACACGACACAGGATCCAAAGCTGCAGTAAAATAAGATAAAACATGAAAATATCAAAATGGAATTCCTTATAAAAATAGTAAATGATAAAAAAGCTCTTGATGGCACTAATACAACAACTACAGTGGTCGAAGAAAAAAAAGATTTACAAAAACTAACCAAAAAAACAACGGCAAAGAACAAGAGAATAATTACTCGCCGTGTTTCTTCTTTTTTTCCTTCTTTCACAGATCCTGCTAAACCGTAGCCCTGTATGAGTTTATGAATTTGCCCGTCTTCTGGCATCAATGAAGATGCACCGAGTTGTTTCCCATCACCACCCTCCTTGTCTTCGAGAAAATAAAAATCACAAGATGAAGATGCATGTTCCGTAAGCAAGGAAAATGTCCAAGATAACATAGCAAGCCCAATGCTGCCACAGTAAAACGCCGCAGTAAAACCAGAAACCTCCTCTCAACAAACCCGTCCTTCTCCATTCACGTGAGAGGGAATTGCCTCGGCAACAGAGACAAGACGTATTAATCAGCGCAAACAAGGACTTGCCCCAGTCAGAAACTCTCCCAATCATGCTCCAAACAGGGTTATATCTTTTTTTTTTCCCATTTCTCTTTCTCTCTCTTTCTCTCTCTCTTCGCTTCCCATCAAAAATGTTATCGAACCAACACACAATCATTTCCAACAAACACATCTCTACTCTCTCGTCCCGGCCTCCAATGCATGTACAAGAAAGCTGGGTTGTCTCAATTCGTCGTCGTCACGGTCGTATCTGGACGTCAGACATGTGGGTATTAAAAAACGGTTTTTTTTCCTTTGGTTGGGTATAGGTACTGCTCGTCATCGTCGCCGAAGCCACTCCACTCAGTGCTTATGTGATGCGAAGCACGACGAGGTAGATTCGCTGCAGCTGTCTAGACGTAAAAGTCGTGAAAATAAATGTCATAATCGTCAAGAATCGGTCGTAGATCTGGTTGAAGGATTACGCTTGAAGGGGGGGATATTCCAGGCATCGCGCTCGGAAACGAGTCGTGACGTTTTCGTAACGGTTGCCCATTTGTCGAACAAAACTTTTTTTGTATCCTGATCCTGTTTTCCACATTCTCATCGGGGGTGGCATCATCATCATCAAAAAAACCAGCTACGGAGCGACGGAGAGTTGGCCTGGTAGACCTCAGGGCTTTCCACCAACTTTGGGGGAAAATGTACATCGCCAATGTGGTAGATCGTCCTGAGTGGTTTACCAGAGACCAAACCACATCCGTCGTCCTGATGAAAATCAATATTACAAATCGTAAAAAGCAATGGGTTGAGTGCAAGGCGAGGGATGCGACGCAGAGAGCCTGGTCTAACCCCCCAAAAAGGCAGTCCACCAACTCTCCCAGTAAGCCACAGGCATAACACATGGGAGAGCCAGTCAACGCGAATCAAACTAGCTTAGTGGTATCTCGAAGCATTAGTGGAGCTGGTGCCAACACGAGCTCCATTGTCCGAAGAATCTAAGCCTCACGTTAGTTTATAAGTAAAAACTAGTTGGACTCAATCAACATACCACTGCCGCGCTGCATGTGACCATTTGCTCGAGTACGACCAAAGCCGTTGGACGTCTCCCACTCAGGGCCGCGAGGCTGCCTCTCAGGGGCACCCTTAGTTCCGTTTGCGTTTGCGCTGGGCCGCTGGCTGCCAATAGCACCAGGGGTGCTGCGCTGTGCTTGCATTGAGTTCGCTTCAAAGGGAGACAGGCTCAGTCCGCTGAGACCGCTGACAAGGCCGTTGTCATTCTTTGCACCAGGAGTGCTGGGATTGCCGCTCTGCGACTGGCTGCCATTGCTGAGGTAGTCGCCAAATCGAGCCGTGGAGGTAGGGGTAATGCCGCTTAAGCCGCTGCCGGGAGCAAGGTAGCTCGATGAGGCCTGAGACGGGCTGGGGGTAAATGAGCGAAGATCGGCAAAGCTCTTGGCGGCTCGGAGGTTGTTGGGAATTCCACTTCCATCTGGGCTTCCGGGAAGCTCGAGCGTGGGACCGTGTCGACCAACGAGATGGCCATAGTTGCTGCTAGCTGCGCGAGACTCCCTATCGGCTGCAAAGTCAAATGTGGCAGCTCGGCTCAGGCCACGCTTGTGAACGTCAAGGCTGCTAGCAGGAGGCGTGTGGATATTGGCCGTGGGCGAAGGCTGCTGTCTCTTCAGCACCGTGAGCTGTCGTGAATCGGCCTCGCCAATAGACTGGTGCTCAAGTCCCATGTGGTGGGCGAGAATGTGAATGGATCGGCGATGCTCAGGGGCAATTCCCGGGGGGAAGACCAAAATCTCTCGCGAATCGTCTCTTCGGAACATGGCGAGTTCTGTGTAGAATTCAAGGGTCTGGGGGTCATTCATATCAATATCACCTACAGATATACTCATTAGCATGTCACGAACAAAGGCACGGTTCCTTAAAGTAACTCAGAACTTACCGAGAAGAGAAGTAGCGGGAGCGGGAGCGGCGCTGGCGGTGCGAGGCTGGGACTGGGGCATGCCACCCAGAGATTGAAGCGAGCTCTGGTTGTGCAGCAGAGGGGCGCGGTGCTGCTCCTCGAGCTGTCCTCGGCGCTCCCTCTTTTCCCGTTCGATACGTTCCCGCTCAGCCTCGGGGAGCATCTTCTTGTACTCGACTCGCAATTTGCGGCCGTGAACATCCATTCCGTTCATCGCCTCGATGACAACGCGAGTATCCTCGGCGGATTGGAAGTTGGCGAAAGCGAGACCTCGGAAAACACCATTATCAAAATGGTAGTTGAAAGCATAGGGTTGGGGAAGATGCATGTCCAGCATGATGGAAGCAAGCGTCTCTTTGCGGACGGCAAAAGGGATGTTCTTAATGACAATAGCGGTAGGGATTAGCTGATCAGCATCGTTGCCAACGGACTGGAGGCTGTTGGGGGACGGGTGAGATCCAGGGTTATCAACACGAAGGCCACCGTTGTTCATGGATGCGCCACCGAGGCCGTTCGAGTAAGACTGGAGGTTAGGCATTCCCATCCCGCCATGTTCAGTCCAATTCTGCATCTTTTTAGTCAGCACATTTGTCTTTATTCTCGGGAGCAGTTTGAAAATAAACATACAGTTGGCAAGGCAGCTCGCCGGTTGACGCTTCGCTGCCTTCCCGGGCCATGCACTGCACCGCCAACAGTAGCCACGCCCGAACCGTTGTAGCTCCATGACTGGTTATTATCCATCATGTAACCAGGCATGCCGCCGGCGCCACCAATAGTGTCCATGCCTCGGCTGCCATAGCTGCTGGCCAGTCTGTCGGAGGAATAAAGGCCAGACGAGGGGAGAGGCGCATCGAAGGGTCGTTGGGTCTGTCGCGGCATGGTGAGGCCAGAAGCAAAGTTGGAGTAGTTTTGTCTCGAAGAGCTGGGGGACCGGTTGGTCGCTGTGCCGTAATCAAGGTAACTCATATCGTGAGGCTGCTGAGCCATATCGCAAGATGCCGCAGAGAATGGTTGCCGCTATGCGACGCGAAAATCCTTCCAGAAGATGTAATGATACGAATTGAAATGCGCAATAAAACGGGTGGAGAAGGAACACGTAATCGACGAGGATGACGATGTTCCAAAGCTGCACCAGAAAGATATACTCAAGAACGCGATAGAGACGGACGGTTAAATGGCAACATAGATGATGCACTTGGTCGGTTCGTTCAGTCGTGACGGTCGTAACGTGTGATGGAGGAAAAGCCCAGGCCAACCCAGCAAGAGAGCAGTCGTGCAGAACGTGGAGCAAAGCTAGCTAGCTAGCTTCTGCAATACGGGATAGGGAGCGAGATCTATGATGGGAGGGGATTCTGGAATCCACGATCCTTGGTTAAGCGCTAGCTTTTTTCTCTTTTCCTCTTCCCTTCTTCCTATAACAGCGCCGCGTCGGAGAGTGTGCGGATCAGGGCAATCTAGAAGAAGATGACCAGGTCTGAGTCCTCGGGGGGGTTATTTCCAAAAAGCGTGACTGAGAAGCCGGGAGCGTGTTGATGTACGATCGGATCTTGACAGACGATGAAGCCGACAAGATGCGCGAGAGACAAAATGCAAAAGCCGAGCTCTATGCCTTGTAGTTTCGGAGCGTAACTCGGCGGAACCCGCGTCAAGAGATGTCCAGGCAAGGCGGCAAAGCTGCTCTTGATGGCTCTTATGCGTCGCAGGCAGGGCGGAAGCGAACGGGACAGGAGAGATGGCCAAGGAGAGGAGAGGAGAGGCGAGGCGATGAGGAAGAAGCAGAAGCAAGAAGCAGAAGCTGTACGACCAAAGTACGACCTCCGGTTGGCGAAGAGGGAGAGTCGGGTTGAAGAGCCAGGCTAAGGGAAGAAAAATTCCACGGCAGAGCATACCTAGTAATAACCTACTAGGGGGGAGGCTGTAGCCCCACTGGCGTAGAGTTGCCAGAGGGCCGGGGTACAAGCTGGATGATAGGGGCGGCCACCAAGAGGCAAGGTAGCACTGTTTTGGTGCATATATGACAGATTACGGCCAATGACAGTGCGCAGGCCCCTATTCGCAGTACAGCACAGTACGAGGCTCATGGTAGGTACCTTGCATGCATTGCCTGCGGCCTCCTTGATACGCCGCCACCTGAGCAGATGCAGTAGTATCGATGCTACCAGACTGCTACTTGACCTCTACAGTAATAGCAGCTGATTGATTAGGTACGGTACTGGACTAGGCAAGGTCGCTGCTGAGGTAGCCTGTCTCTCGCATTGTAACGTTTGAGGCATGACAAGCTTCAGACAGGGCAGGCTCCATCTGGTTGTATGGGATATCTTCAATGCTATACAACTCCTCTTGTATTCTCTCTTTACAGTGCTTATTGAAACTTGCATATTGTTTCATTCATTACTCTCCTCTTCAAGCTGTTATACCCGCCGCCACAGTGTTCCCGTGCCGCTTTCTTGTGTCTCTGCCCAGCTCACAATGGCTGAACCCTAGAGATGATGCTAACATTACGGGGCTTCTCCCCAAGCTTTATCGCCTTTGCGGGACATATTCTACTAACGAATCTACCTCGTCCTACGCAGCAAAACAGCGGGGTAGAGCTTGTACCTACATGCCTGACCTTACCTGTACCTTACCAAGACCCAGCACTCTGTTTTCGCTTCCGATTCCCATCTCATTTGGCTCTCTTGATTTCCGCCCCCTGAACTCCATGCATCGACGTTCTAGAAAACCGAAGCCCGCCCCTATTTTCCGCGCCCGGTAACTGCTGCGAAATTGAATCGAAACCCAAGGCACTCCCATAGCACTGCGCGCCCGATATTTGATACGGAGTCTTCATGGAAGGCGAGGAGAAGCCCAAATGGAAGAAGAGGGCACTGTGTCATGGGGGGCTTTGCAAAGTATACCGTGTGCAATACTGTGAGTCTTTGGTGATGGGCTGGACGGGATACACACACCTTCAACTTTCTTCTCAGCGGGCGGTGCAAATTGGCTGCAGGTAGCCAGGGTTCGTCGGCCACCGGAGCCTTGCAGGAGCCAGTTGTCGTCGTCATGGTTTATTTGTCGTAGATTGGGGATTGGCTGAGGCTAACATTGGGCGTGTGTGTCAATTCTCGAATCGTATTGACGGAGAATTTGCCTGCCTATTGTTTGTTTGTTTGTTATTAAAATTTCGAAATCCCCCGGAGAACGCGAGTTTACAGTATCCTATTTGCTGCTCGTATTTGTGCCCACGGCTTTGCATCAGTTGACCCGCCCTTGCTTTGACGGTTGACTTGATCGAGCCGCATGCAACAGGCATTAGCCATTGGTAGCACCCAGCTCTGGTAAGGTAGCACAAACGAGTGCTCATGTACATGATATCGAAGACACGGGCAAATATCGCCTCCTTGCTTAGCCCATATGCAGGCGCAAGGGTTGCCCAGGTTTGGGTAGCCAGGCTGAGTCAACAAAACACCATCTTCACGCTGGCCATGACCAAAATATCTCTTTCGAGGCAGGGAGAAGCTCCGCTGCACGCCACATGCACACGAAACACAGAAGGAGATTTGATGATAACTACTGTATGTCTGGTTTTTGTCTCTTCTCCCGTATAGTACGAGTACTCCATGTTACCAGGCCCTTGCGTCGAGGCTGTTTCTCTCTCTCCTCTCACTCTCACTCTCACTCTCACTCTCCTTTGCTTCTGCTCCTTCTCTCTCCGTCTCTCTGCTGCGAAACTCTTGGAATGCAACCTGTGCAGCGATTTGCGCCACGTTGTAGCCATCAAATTTCGGGATATCTGGGCACACACGCTCGATCTAGCGGCATCTGGTATGGTCTGCCTCTGCGCCCTGAAACACGATGGATGAGTGTAATAAGACTCACCCGGCACTAAAGGGGGGAATGAGCAGTAAACGGCAGTTCGAAAAGAACAACCCCTACAGCGTTTCTGACAGGACAGAGACCAAGACTGTGGGCTAAACTCGTATTACGAGGCAGCACTGGCTTTCGTGCCTTTTTGCTTTCTTTAGGTTAAGCTGAAAGCCGCGGTGCATGCGGTCCGGCCGGTAGCATTTGCATTTGCGTCTGCATTTGCGTTTTGCTAGTCAGAGTGCATGCATTTCAGCTCTGCTTGCAGCCTCCTTCAGTGGAGAGGGGAGGCGATAACTCCAGTCTTCACCCAATCGTCACCCCGAACCTGTCACACAAGATGATCAATATTGCCGCTTTCTTTTTTATTCTGATTTTGTGTGCGCGGGCAACTGTTTTAGTCTCTTGGTGGCAACAATGGAATGACAGCCCTGGGTCGTTCTAGTTGGAGCAACGGGACGGCGTGGCGCTCACTAGATCCCGGGTTTCGGTTTCTTATCCCATCGATGGGGTTTGAGATTCACCTCGAAAGAATCACCGACGCGGCGGTTTCTCGCTGTCCAGAGAGCCCTGCATCGGATAATTTACAGCCTGGTCTTCCGCCGAGAAAGGCTGGAAAAAGGGCCTTGTCAACATGGGGTCGTGAAATGTCTCTTTCTCTCTCTCTCATTTCCAAAACGTCCACCAATTTACCCCCTATTTTTTCCTCTCAACGGTGCTTAAACCTCTCTCTCTCTCTCTCTCTATTTTTTTCAAACCCACAGCTAATTCTGACAGCATGCCCCCGAAAATAATAAAATATGGATCTCTGATGTGCCCACCCAAACGATCAGGGTTCCGCAGCGAATCGGAATTGTAGCTGGCCGAATCGGCAGGGATCTGGCACCTCTGCTCGTTGCTTTTCGCTCAGTCAGGCGACTAAGGCCACCATCACCAGCCGCAGACCTGCTGAAGAAGGGGAAGCCTCACACGTAGAGTCACGAGGCAGCTTCTTGCGTCTCTTTCAGCCCACGAGAACAACAGGCCAGCTGAGCGGTTTCCCAAAAGCCACAGATCTGCCCGCCCGCCAGTGCGCGAGAGACTGTGTCGACCGCCTTCAGCGAAACTTTAATTGGGGAAATGCAACTATCAGATATTTGGCGAGGCCGCACTGTATACCCGCCCATAATCCAAGTTTTTTCCTTGCTTCTTTTCTTTCCTTCTTTTTGGACCGTCCACAGAGATATTGAATTCAGCCCCTTTCTGCGCCTCAGTGGCCAAGTCGGCTCCTCCTTGATCTTCCTGAATTTCCGGGGCCAATCTCGTTTTCCGAATCCATCTGCCCGGGTTGACTAAGAAAATCGGCATCCCGAAAGCACCGCCTTTTTTTGGGCGGATCCATTCGGTCCCCTGACAATGATTGACGGACTTTGTACTTTTGGTGCTATTCTTGTGCTCCGGACTCCGGATTCCGGACCCTGTAGTTTGCAGTTTGATATGCTAATTCCCTCCTCTTGATATTAAGATTGTCGATAGCCAACAGCTGTAGATGGCGAGATGATGATTTTCTTTGCTTTGCTTTGCTTTGGTCTGCTCTGCTTTGCTCTACTACTGTATGCAAGGACGGGAGCGTTGCCATGCCGTGGTGCCATCTTACAAAGGGGCGATTTGTCTGAGACAGACGAAATCTCTGCAGCCGCTGAAGACGTTGCCGGTACCAGAGACACGCAGTCAAATTAAAATTAACTCGACAACGTGTTGTCTGTTTTTGCTCCATAATAGCCCATCACCAAAGTTCCCACAGAGCACGAGGTGGCTCCCCAGTGCCCCTTGCTACGAGCTCTTTTTTCCCCAAGGAACATCTCGATGCAGGCAGTCGTCATGGCTCTCGAGCTGCCAGTTCCTTTCGTGTAACAGTGGCCAAACACACTGCAGACGGCTTATACCCACACTTTTGCGCTCTTTGCTCGTAGGACATTGGTCAGCTTTTGGCTTCCCCTCCTCGTGCACGCTCGATCATGCACGTAAGTACCTGCAGCAGCCTGCATATTGTGGTGGCTGGTTGGCTCGGCTCTTGACAGTGAATACGGAGAGGTCTCTATGTACCGAGGCCTTTATCCTTTGTACACTACTGCTCTTTGGGGGAGCACAGACAAGCGTTAAGTATGCACTCGCGAGTTTAGTTGCTTTGGTGGTGAGCCAATGCCGGATAATCGAACCCGAGCTATGTAAGCGGCTGCTGCCGTTTATTTGGCTCTATAACGTGTAGACAGGTCAAATATCTACTAGCTCTATTAGTACTTTACGAGTTAAACGATGTATTTGTAGACGTTTGTAAAATGCTTGATGTCAGATGTGACACGTCACTTATACCCAAATTCCTGGAGCTAGCCACACTTCTCCAGAGAGCACAGCCTCTATGCTAGCCAAAGTTGATGATATCTCATCGGTCTGCATGCTTATACAGTCAATCATCGGCTTGTGTGGCATATAATGGCAGATATCCCCTAATGGCGATTACTTGTTGTAGGGTAGATATGGGCCATGCTCTCTTTGCGAGGCATGCGGAGGAATGGGATAAGAGGAGGATTTTCAACTTCTATTTTGTCCACATTGTAATCAAATTATCAATCAAGATCTGATATGAAAACTGAAATAAGAACAAGGAGGATTATTATATACACTCCGTATGCGCCCCACGAATGAGCCGCTTCAAGCTTCAACACCATGTATGAGTATGCCTTATCCAGTATGACAGCTTGGCGTACCGATTCCGCTACTCGCATCTATTGAAATCACCAATGAGACACGATATATTCAGCGTCTCCTAAAAGCTAGGACTCGGTGGCTCCGACGCCAGCCTCATCATCCTGTGGGGATTGGCTCAATATGTTCTCTGCGCCCATCCCCCTGGTGGCTTTAACAATAGGCGTTTTCCCATAATCGGCCCTCTCCAAGCTGTCTAGATGCATATAAAATGCCCGTAGCAAGCAGCTGTTAAGCGAGAACGGCGGTGTGTACCGGCCGAGTACGTGTATGGAACTCCATACATGCATGCTTTCTGCAGTCAGAGAATCCACTTGGCGGGCCAGTTTCTCCTGGGCTATGTGCAAGACGAAGTTTCCCTTATCTGAGCGGCGTGGCCGTTGGTTAATTCTATTTGCAAACATGACATGTCTTGATTGGTGCTCTGTGCTGTTTATGCAGAGTGCTTTACTTGGTATATGCTCGTGTGATGCGGTGTGGAGATTACATATGGCTAAGCCTGCACTGGATTTGCTCTCTATTTACAGAGTACGCGTAGATTTAGTTGGCATATATATGGTGAATCGCTTCTTATTGTGAACATAGGTAGCTCTGTACACTTGGGATTGAATAACCGATCAGCTGCCGAGGGGCATCAATGACGAGTCTCCAAGGCCCCTGTACACTCTAAGAGGCAAAGGTAGCTCAACATGTCAAAAAGGTAGCATCTATATGATATCCAAGTAACAGTAAAATTGATGAAACGAGCTGCCTCTTTTCGATATCAAGCGTCGACATCGGGTTGTTGTAACAGTGCTTCTGCTTGACGACCCACCTCCAAACCCAATGCCATCACGCGGAGCTGCCCGTGAATCTATTTTCCAATTCCAATCTTACCCTATGGAGCTGACAATGTTACGGTAGCAAACTTTCGGAAACGACGTGTAGTTTACAGGCGATCCAAATAACAGACCGAACAAGGATTGCACTGACAACAAGGGTCGGATTGTGGTTGCTGCCAAGATTCCGTACATCACCTCAACATCTGATAACTATCTCCAATTGTGTAGTCTGTCCAGTTAGCTCAGCTGGCGTTGTGCATTAGCCATTGCCATTCTGCTGCTGGATTTCGCCCTCTGCAGAGCACCATCACGAGTCTCCTCATGCATATACAGTAGCATTTTCGATGGAGAATAGCATCGCTTGACCAACTCTGCAAATTGTGGTGCGGTGCCCTACGTTACTGACGTCATTAACAAAATATTATCTCCAAGAGCAATCTGCAGGGAAGAGGGAGTTGGTGACCATTCAATGCCTTGACACTGGCAAACTGTCTTATGATAATATAAACTACATGATTTACCGAAGTACAGTGTACGAGTTCAACGTTTTAACAGGGTTGAATCACATGTATTAGTATACGCTAACCGCCGATCTCCATTAAATGTTTGATACATGTTCCAGAAGCTGTTGTCTGCCAATCCAACTGACATTTCCCCCAACCGCGTTTGATGGGTGACAGCTCGACATGGCCCAAAGTCCCGGTTTGCTTGCCTCTACGGTGTACATCATTTGACATGTCATATCTGCATGACCATGTCATGTCCCGGTTTATGCCGCCTCCATGCCAATAGGCAAAGGCCGGAATAAGTCTAGAAGTATGAATCATGACCCCTGGGATGTCCTCTTTAGAAAGAGAGTGCCAGTCAACTATGCCTCTGTAGTATTCGTACGCCTGAATGTAGACGGAGTCAGAATAAACAGAGTAATTGTATTAACCATGGCTGTCATCATGATGCCAGTTGCTCAACATCATTCCATCGACCCGTGCGCATCGGGTCCAGGGTCCGCAGCTTCGACAGGAAGACCTGCAAGTCGCCAGCCTCAGCGCCATTGCTGTCAGTGCGTTGTAGTCGTTCCAATGCGACGGTATATTCTGACAGAGCTTCGTAAATCCATTTGATGTTGTCGTAATCCTCTAACAAATCTTTAATCTCATCAATTTCATGCTTCAGGTAGGTAATCTTCTCGTCGACAGTCAAAGCCGGCGTGATGCTCGGCTTATTTCCGTCCCCCACGATTTGGGATACGAGGAACTGGTGATAGTACCATAAACTTTGATCTTCGGGGCCAACGTTGAGAGCATCCCGCACAAGATCCAGTTCCTCGCCGAGGAAAGCTGCTCGGGCCTTGTCATCAGCGCCTCGTTGCTCCAAGACTTTTGGAATGAGCTGGCTTCGGTTATGCCACGCAGAAAAGTTGGACAGGCTCTGTCGGATCATCTTGGTTGTGTATGCAAATTCATCCTCAGCCATGCTCTTGCCATCGAGCTCGGAGCTCTCCAGTTGAACCACCACAAGCCTCCTGTAGCCCCAGGCATGATAGTTGCGCTGGTCCTTGTTTAGCATCTTGGACACCAGGCCGAGTTCTGTCTCCCAAATCTTGCGAGCGACCGGGAGAGGCAATCTCTGAATGGCTTGTGCTAGAAGCCATTGCCGAAAGTTCCAGATCCAGTAGCACTTGGGAAATTCCAGCAGCAGCGGCATAGTGAAGGCGATTTCGGACTGCAGCACTTGGCTGTCTGAGTCCTGGTTTTTGGTATCTGATGTGCCATCTTGAGCGGCTGATGCCGTCTGGTCTGCTGCTCCGGATAACCGACAAGATATTAAACAACGGCGTCGAATGTTCCATATGGTGTAGTATTCGGGGTTCTGACGAAGGAGCTTGGTGGTAAGCTCGAAGAGATCTAGGGTGTAGGTTCCCGTGGCGACTTGTGTGCGTATCTGGATCTCGAGATGGCGGTATTTCTTGATCTTTTCGAGGTCTTGCAGCCGCTGTTCTTCGGTGCGAGTCCGAACGGTGCGAGTCACGCCATGCTGTTGGCGATGGTAGCCTTGCGCATTAGCAATATGCACAGAGGTAACATGTGACAGGAACAAGACGAGGATTTGGGATGGAAGAAGATAAACTTACGCTGGCCATGTTACTGGAATTACAGGCCTCTATACGGTTGATGTTTCAAGTAACGTGAAAAGTTGCTCAGAAGAGACAGATACAGGTCCAGCACTGCCCTGCGTAATTGCTTATCGGGATAGATTGCTGATGAGGCTGTCCCGATGATGCAGATAGGGTACAAACTCACAAGTACAGTTCGTGGCGTCTGGTGCTAACGCATGGTCTGTGCGCTGCACTTGGAGTGACATCTGGGTAAACCAAGCTAAACCAAACACGGAGCTTTATTACTATGAGAGCGGATAGCCGCGGATGATCTGTATGCTGCAGCTCCCGCAAACAAGCTTTATTCCTTCCAAGTAGAGCTCTGTCGAAGCTTCTGTACGTAATACCGCTTTTACTTTTACTACATTTGCTAGGCATCCTGCGGGTGTTTTACGAGCAGATAGGAATGCAATGCTGACATAAGTTAAAATAGTGGCTTGGAGCTCTGAGACATGGCAAATAGCCGGGTCTTAGCCATTCGCATGCGCCACAGGCCAGCAGCCACAGCGGGACATTGCCAACTCTAGTCTCCGAGTTGAGAAACGCCTTATTCATGCAGACAAATGAACTCCAGACTCACCAAGGCACAACGATGCCATGTCAAGCTGGCAACTCTCACAAGCCCAGACGGGCGAGATGAATGGCTTGCCATGATTCTTCTCTTTGGACTTTTCATCCCGCACAACACTATGGGGTAACCCAAGGCATTGGCGCCGCTGCTTTGTTGGCAGTTGAGCGCCTTGGTCAGTATATCCTCATGCCCTGGGTCGTCGCCAGCAGAGCTTTCTGTGCTCTGGAGATGCCTCCACGATGACTCACCGAGATTGAACTCTTGGGGACATCTCAGCCGTCATCCTGCAGCATCTTTTTTAGGGTGCCTGCTGCCTTGGAGCCCCTTTGGCTGATGGCCAGCGCTTCTCTGCCTGCCACCATCTCCAGCTGCCTGCGATGCGCCAGTGGCGGCCAGCCTTTCGGATATACTCCGGCTCTGCTGGTCTCGGAAGCGGGCGGCTGCAATCGTCAATCGTCTCACTAAGCAAGCACAGCAAGCTTTCTAGCGCCGTTAGCACTGCGATTGAGGGGCTCTTGGAGGAGGTTGGGGGGAGCTCATTCCGCTGAGACTCGGACGGGCGCGACGCAATACAGCGAGGCCAACAGGCACCAGAAGGCTGTTCCTTGCAGCGAAAAAAAAAAACCTAAACATGCCAGCAACTGGACCGCCCGCTTGCGTCGATTTGCTAAATTTCTGCCACCACACCAACACTGGCTTGAACCAAACATCCCACTTCTCGACTTCATCACCGCTCAACCACGCGCATCAGCCTCTGCTCTCGCCGCTCGCCAGTGCAGACACTCGCATTCCATCTCGACGCATTTGCAACCATCATCATCCCGTATCGATACGCCAGACGCAATGGCCGGAGGCAAGGGCAAGTCATCTGGAGGGAAGAGCTCCGGCGGTAAGACGAGCGCCGAGGGATCCAAGAAGCAGCAGAGCCACTCGGCCAGAGCTGGACTTCAGGTGAGTTTTTGAATGTTCGACACCGGCGGAAGCTTGGTTTTCGCTTTCGCCGGCCCTCGCCCGATTCCCTCGCCCTGCTTGATGCCCAAACGATTTGCGCGCATGCACACCCACCTGCACATCCTGCGAGTCCCGCTTTAGCTTCCAACCTCCCCGCGATGGCCCTCGACGAGTTTTCAGCCGGACGCGTTGGTCATTTGCTCGCCGCCGCCCGCTTCGACGACCTGGCATGGGACCGCAGAGTTGCGTTGGCGATGGATTCCGCAAGATTCAGGCCGCGCAATCGTGTCACCGTGCGGCATCTCGTTGCTATGCCATTCGGTGTCCAGATGCCTAGTCGCGTAGCCGGGCGCAGGGAGGGGGAGATGTTTTTTTATTTTTTATTTTGCTCAGCGGTCACATCATCCGACAAGATCTCTATCCAACCATTTTCCTCAGGCTGCTGGGATTTCAATCAAACGATGGACCGTTACTAATTCCGGTGTTTTCTCCGGCGCATATAGTTCCCTTGCGGTCGTGTGAAGCGTTTCCTCAAGCAAAACACCCAAAACAAGATGCGAGTCGGCGCCAAGGCCGCAGTCTACGTCACGGCCGTCCTCGAATACCTGACTGCCGAAGTACTGGAGCTGGCAGGCGTAAGTTGTTCCCTTTGCTCGTGTTTTCGGTTGTCGTGCCTCAGTTTGATACTAACCGCTACGCAGAACGCCGCTAAGGACCTCAAGGTGAAGCGCATCACCCCTCGCCATCTCCAGCTGGCTATCCGAGGTGACGAAGAGCTCGACACCCTCATCCGTGCCACCATCGCCTTTGGTGGTGTCCTTCCTCACATCAACCGTGCCCTCCTCCTCAAGGTCGAGCAGAAGAAGAAGGCCAAGGCCTTGGAGGCCTAAGCAGCCCAACCTACCTCTCTCCTCCCGCGCACGAATTGCTCTCGCTCTATGTTAATGCTTTGAATACCTTTTATTTCGGATCGCGGGGCGATTGCTGGGATGGCCTGGGACACTGGAACTGGACGCTTTTTTCTTTCTTAATTTTTTTGTTATCTTTCCTGCAGAGGAAATCCAAATCTGTCGTTGGGCATGGAATCTGGGCATGGTTTGGACAACTGTGTGGGCTCTGGACGCACGGCAGCTTATGAAGCAGGGTTGGAGGATGGCTTGCACTTGCACCGCCTTTAGCTCTGTTTTGTTTTTTGCTGAATGGCAATGAGCCTGTCGTGTGAGTCATGTACAACAGTTGTTTTCGTTTAGTTTTTTTGTCTGTTTTGGTTTGACGCTGCTCGATGATGTTTGGAGATTGATGGCGACGCAATTGAATGGTGGACGAAAACAGCTTGTTGGGCGGCTGACGTTTGGCAAGATTATCTTAGGCTACTCTAGCATAAGAAGAAAAAAAAAAGGAGAAAAAAAGGGCATGATGTATGGTTCTCTCATTACGTGCATTTGGTGTTTTGATTCATTCTCGTGAAATTAATTCGTGGAAGTCGGATCTTGTATAGCCATGCTGCCACTCTATATCAGTGTAGAGGAACAAGCATCACGATGTAGCGAATGTCTAACTAGAATGAGTCATTGGTTTAGTCTGTCATTACCTAGTGTTATTATATATTAGGAAACTAGAGAATATAGTTAATAGCACCCTCTTTCGGCCCCTTTGCCCGATTCACCATCTCGTCCTTTTGCCTAGGTAGTTCCGGGTAGGACCTTATATCCTCACCACTTGACTTGGAGGTCTTCCACCTTACACTGCAGAATTCACCCAGAAAGAAGAAAATAGAGAATAAAATGCTCGATGGTACATATCGCATTTGGTCAAGATATTCTAAGTTCAAGTATCGCTACCTAGTACTCGATGCGTGTATTCGCGTTGGTCGATCGGTCTTACCGATACACGAAGTGATTGCTTAAGAGGTACTTTGTTGACAGAATTACGAACAGGAAAGACAAGGAATGTGGATGTGAACCATGCTGAGCTCACATTATGCATAACAGGGACTTAATTGTACAGAATTTACAGGCGAGTCAGCAAGTGAGCTACCTAGTAAGACGAAACTCATCCGAAAATGCAGCTGATAGTGATGATGGCATGGGATGGCGATCTGAGCCGCCAATCGCAAAAAGATGTACATTTTCGTATGTTATTCTACATAGAATCGCCAGACCTCTGAACTCTTGGATTCCAGCTCATTTGGGAAATCCCGTCTGACATCCGAGTACGGCCTCGCCAGGTTGAGAATTCGTTTTACGTCGCGAGGCATCTTCTCTGTTGTCGCTTACAGCGACCTTCGCCGTTGTTCTTGCTTGGCTGTGTTTCTGATGGTGTGAGGTTTGGAGTTTGGTTCGGGGTCTTTGAGGTAGGGTGTGTAGATGTGAGGTTGTGGGAGAGTTTTCGGAAGAGTTTTTGGGGGAGTGTTTATATTTTCTCGAGGTAGGGCTAGGGTTTCTGGAGTAATGCTGCAGTGAATTGAGTTCTGAGTGGGTGAGGATATTGGGACAGTTTGTCTATCTTCAAATTAACATATCTATCTACCTTTGACTCTTCATTTCCCATTTCGGGATCGTCCTTCACACCTACTCCCTTGATGTTCGTAATTTCTCCATCTACCTAAGAATCGCTTTCGAGCTGCCACACTTGGCTTAGAGGAGACGGCTTCTTCTGGAAGCTGTGACGTCTTCTTGGTCTATGCCTCCTCGGCATTGTTTTGCTTAGCTTATCCTTTTTGCCCAAATTTGGAACTTTTAGCTTTATCCTTGCTGATGATCGCGTTGGTGGTGCCCATGCTGAGGCTTGTTCTTGTTCCATTCCTCTCAGCTTTCGGACGCAGTAGCCTGGGAAGATGCAATGGTCGAAGCAGCTGTATGTGCCGTTCCTCAGCATAGTCCTTAAATTGAGTTTCTTGACCGTGTTTTGTGGCTCATCTGCCTCTGAATCTTCTGTCTGTTCAGCGGGGGGGTTGGCTTGGTCCTCCGTATTGAAGGCCCTCTGCTCTTGCATTCGGCGGCGCCATCTGATGTACTTTATCCAATGGCTATAATCAAAGGATACAGTACATCCCGGAGTCTTTTTTGAGTCTCCTTCATAGGCAAAGCAGAGCGTGTGGCCGCAGTTTAGGCATCGCCGGGTGCAGGAGAGGCGATGCCGACAATTGCATTCATGGCACTTCCACCTCCATGGACGGGGCTCCTTGGGAGGACTTGAAGGTTGTTCCACGGGCGTGGGAGGTGATGAAGCTGCGTTTTCCATCGTGGCTGATAAGAATTGTTGTGGTGATGACGAAGAAAGAAAACGATGCTGGTAATGGCAAAGACGAAGGTGATGGTTAGAGTGTTGATGTCAATTTAAAAAAGTTGAAAGGCGAAGAGTAATACTTTGTCGAGAGCCCTGAAGAAGAAGGAATCTTGGGAAAAGAAAAGATTTATAGAAGGGCAGACAGAGGGATAGCAAAAAGGGGAGCAAGATTGGAAAAGTATAAGGCTTGTTCAGAACCACCCACCGATACATTTATGGGAAAAGATTTAAAGGAGAATAGAAAAAGTTTAATTCTTGACCAGAATGACCCGCTGACTGATTTGTGAAAAAAGTGACTTGAAAAATAAAATAAAATAAAAGCAAACGGGGCTATGATGAAGAGCTTTGGAGACATAGTTTGGTTGACAGCTGGCGGGAGACAAAGCAAACGAATGGGGAGGAAGGGCATCAAGATGCATCATTACTGTTCAAATGTTTTGCAGTTGGAGTCTTTGTTATATAGTATTGACTTGGAGTGTAAACTTTAAGGTACCTATCTATGTATTACAGTGACAAGAAGCGAAATACTGTACATGTATCTATGTCAAAGGCTGTGATGTGGCCCCCTAATTCGCAGTACCAGGCACCGCACTCCTGTCGTTCAGGGAAACTTTATCTGAAAGGGCCTTTGACCATGTGTCAAGTGTTCACAGAGACCTTTTCAGGCTGATACATTGATTGAGGAGAATTTTCTATTAATCGTAGCAGGACATGAAAGTCCTTTAAGCTGCAAACGCGAGCTGATGAAGACAGTTGCACCGTGCACTCTATTATGTATCCAACCAATGTTATCCTTCTTTCCTTTTTTTCTCTTCCCACATAAAGTGACTTATTTTCTTTCATCATCAACTGGATACATTTTCTGGCAAAGATGCTGGAAACCTTTGGATCCCTCAACAACTACGCTTCTTTATTTCCACCCGATACCTCTTCTACACTGGTGATTTCTGTAACGTTTTCCCCCATCACCTGCCCACTGACAAGATTGACGCGAGGACCTGTAAAGTTCTTGCGGCCGTCAATGATCCACTGGAAGAGAGAAATGGCGATGATGATGGCGAATGCGACGATGCAGTAGTCTATGTCACAAAATTAGCACACACAATACTTGAAGTCTCAATTACAGTCAAAGCAGGGCTGTGACGTACTCATATTGCTACCGGTAACAGGCAGGACTGGAGGGAAGACGAAAAGAACCGTGGTGAGCGCAATGTACGACAGCGAGATGATGTCCGCCGTCCAGCCAAACCAGCTGGGCAGAACCCATTTCCGCTCAGGCAGCTTTCGGCGTCCTTGGAGGCAGTTTACCGCAATGGGGAGGCCGTAGGAGAGATCGAGCGTGACGACGGAAGCAGAGATGATGGCGTTGAAGGCGCTGGTGTGGTTAGCCCAGGAACGACTTGGGGTTTCACTGTCGTGATGATATGCTTACCTCGATGAGCCTAGGAAGATGAGGCCGAAGATGATGACGACCACGGAAGTGAGGATGAGGGCATTCAGTGGGAGTCCGAGCTTGGGGTGCACGCGAGCGAAGAATTTGGAGGCAGGGAGACCGCCATCGCTAGAGAAGTTAGCTGTGTTGCTATGCTGATATAGCAAATGAGAAACATACCGAGCGAATGCGAAAATCATGCGGCTGCTCGTCGTCATGACACTAAAGGTGGCGAAAATAAGGCACACGAGCGGAAGCCTTCATGGCACAGTCAGTTTCCAGTCTGCAAACCAAACTAAGGGCAGCGGTCTATCTGCCGCTAGGAAATACGTACATGAGAAGGCAGATGGCACCCGCAGTGTTGCTCGTGGCGTGAATCAGAATCTGCAGCAGAGGTCCTGCGGCCGAGCTGATGACCTCGTCGATGTTACCGGCGACGAAGAGCAGGACAATGAGGAAGATAGCGCCGGTGAAGGTGCCGATACCGACGCAGATGACCATGATCTTGGGGCCTTCTAGGGCGGCGTTGGGGATTTCTGGTTGGATAATTAGTATTTGAGAGCAAGTGGCCCGATGCTACTTGCGAGAGGTTTGTTTACCTTCAATCATGTGGGCGACGGCATCCTGGCAACAGTTAGCTATCGTGATTGGGCAGAGGGAGTTGACAATTGACATACAAATGCAGTGACACCGAGACCTCCTTGGAGGAGCTGAGGTTTGTTAGCAACTCTTCATCTTCTTCATGGTTGAATACATGTACGCACACCAAGCAGCCAGGCAATTCCATCGGGCCCTGATTGAATTTTTAGCATGATGACGAGTAACAGCAAATGAAGAGAGAACGTACATCCTGTCTCGTTGATAAACTCGCGAAACACGAAATAGGCCGTGTTATAATCAGGCGATGCACAGGCAAGAACAGTGATTGACACGAGAACGAAGCCACCAATGGACCAAATAAAGGCGCCACGGTAAAGGAGAGGTAGGAAAGAGTTGAGAAAGGCGTTGATGACGAATGAGGCGAGAGTGAAGCCGATGTAGATGAGAAACTGGTGCCAGCGCTGGGGTGAGTAGTCCTAGCAGACTGTAAGAACACTCTGTCATAGAATAAGGGAGGAGAAGTATGTACAGGATGTGTGGCGGAGATGATGCCAAGAATGAGCTGGCTGGACAATAGAGCGTTTGTGGCGACGAGAGCGACCTGGATGCATGTTGTTAGAGACTGGTGTCGTTGATGGATGGATGGTGGTTATACCCAGCCGGCGACGTTGACCCAACCCGTTACCCATGACAGGACTGGTACCCATTTGGGCCAAGAGACTATATGATGTTAGAAGGGAGAGATGATATGAACCAACTGTGAAGTCATACTTGCTGTTGCATGTCAGTAAGTATTTCATATGCATCAGGTCTGAGGACAAGACATTCTTACCTGCAACCCAGTGGTACTGTCCACCAGCACTGGATTGTCACCACCGTTAATACAACACATCTAAGCATGTGATCCTTGATCCATCTGTAGACTTACGTTGGGTAAGCCGACAGGAACTCGGCTAGAGACGCGGCGATGCAAAGGTTACATATGCCTGCCGTGACCAGGCCTGTTACATCGCAACGCACACATCCATGTTAGCCAAGACAAGGCAATACGGGGCTAGGGGATGCATGTGAAAAGACTTGTGCGAACGCATCTGCATAAAGGATTGGTGACTGACCCCAGACAACTCCGGTACTACCTCCGGAGGTTAAGCTGAGGGAAAGACTTGCAGAGAGGGCGGTCCATGACTGGAGGAGAAGAGGTTAGTCTTATGCGAATCCTTTCTTTTTAGGGCAGCTTTCTTGTAACATGCTATGTACTTACATTTAACACTGCAAATGCTAGTCCCAGCATCGATTTAAATACGTGTGAGCTGAGTTGGTCGCCTCTTTGTCACAGCCTTGGCTTGGTTTGGCTTACAAAGTGGAAAAGTTGCGATTCAGCTCGGGCTGGTGACCCATGGCCGCCAGCTGAGCGTCATCGCTATTCTCGTGTTTTGTATATTCTTCGCTCATTGTGTAAGGCTGTGGTGATGTCTCTCATCCGGCAAGGTTATTTGGAGATGACGATGCGACACACAGCATCTGCATCGGGGAGTTGGTGGGAAGGGAGAAAAAGAAGCAGCCAGTAAGCGTGTGAAAACGGGAACTTGTTATTTTATTACTACAAAGGCGTAGAATGACCTGATGAGATACGCAGTGCTACCTTGCATCGGCCAACTCGAACCACGCCGTCATCGTATACTGGGTCACATTTCATTGTCTTTGAGCGAGTCAAGCACGGAATACGATATCTGGTTTCCTTGGATCGGCATGGGGGTGAGACCGAACTCGGCGTGCGGAGGCAGCCTTAGCAGCCTCGGGTTCTGTTACTAGTACCGGGAGAGGCAATAAGTCAGAGAGACGCGCAGATAGACGGTTAAGGGGGAGATTCAATGGAAGGCAGCATGTGCTATTGGAGGAGCTAATTGATAAACGGCAATCTCGCATGAGGCTGGGTATCCATAAGATAATAACGGTAACTACATTATCAGCTAACAGCTTGTGAGACCCATGCAAGCCGTTTAAAACAAGAGGCGTGGAGACGCTTTTGGAGCCTCCCCGCTCACACAAGATGCGGGGAAGTCGATAAGCTGGCTCGAATAGGCTAGTTAATAGCAATAAAGATGAAAGATGAAACGGAGAGCGCCGACGTTGGCTTTGGTTGATTGCCGGTTCTTCCTTAGTTGGGGTGGGTTTTGGTGGTGAGGCTTGTTTATTTTGTCTTGAAAGGGCGCGAGAGGAGAGCCAAGTTTCCAGCCTTCCCAGCCTCGGCTCTCAGATTATGGCCTTTTTAGGTATCATGTCGCCGGATCTATATCAGGCTCTCCAGCCTTCTCAATGAGCTGGAGCTAGGGGCGCTAGAGCAATCAATTAGATAAGGGCGGGTGAGATCAAGTGGAAGTGGAAACGTAAGTGGTTCTCTATAGATACGAGCGGGTACTCGCATGTGCACGAGACTCCACGCCTTGTTCGGCGATGTTGCATTGACAGGCCATATGGAGAAGGCGATCGCTGAGTTCGTCAATGGTGCCGCGGCCTCCCGGCACGAGGTGGTGGATATTGCCTCGTTTTGTATTCAGCTCCTCACATGTTTGTTGATGAGTATGTGATGATGCTCGCCTTGTCTATGCAGAAACCATGCTAGACGTGCATAAATGCGGGATCATTGTTTAATTATTGACTTGATTGTATGCCGTGAGGAGTAGATACGAGGTGGGAGAGCTATTGCGAGACGATGGTTGGTCTATATAATGCGACCTTGAACATGTCGTAGATCCCGAGATATTATTTAGACACTTCGGAATAAACAGCAATGGCGCCAAACAACTTTAAAATCGGTGTGGTTGCAGTGCTTGCGGGATGGATTCCGTCTATTACTGCCGCACCAGTTAGCAGCAATAGTGATCAAACATGTAGGAAGACGTCCGTGGCGATATTGTGAGTATCTTTGAGACTCAACGAGTTGAATGCCAGATCCTTGGAGAAACCATACTTACATGTCTGTAGAGGTGCGGGAATGGCAGGCATCACCGCTGCTGTAAGTCTTATCATTAGCTACTACGCTCTACAGAACTAACTATCTATGAAGCAAGCCCTACATAATGCCTCGGTGTCGGATTTCGTCATTATTGAGTACAATGATCGAATTGGTGGACGGGCGTGGCATGGCGACTTTGGCAAAAAGTCAGATGGAAGCCCATATGTTATCGAGTATGGATGTAATTGGGTATGTATTGTTCCGGAACATGTCTTTTGTTGATAAGACGAAGTGCTGATGTGAATGTTTAGATACAAGGTCTCGGAAATCCTGGAGGCCCAGGTAAGTGGCTCGTGATCCATGTCTCTACAAAAAAAATAAGTCGCTGACAGTGTACAGAGAATCCCGTGTATACACTAGTAAGTGATGTTTATTAAACCAGTCTTGAAATAACTTCTATCTGTTTAGAGCTTGTCTCGCTAACATCGTATGTAGGCTAAAAAATACCATCTCGCCAACACCTACTCGGATTATGACTCCATCTTGACTTACGATGAAACAGGCTTCACAGACTTTTCTGGCCTCATCGATGAATATGGAACTGCATACGACAAAGCTGCCGCAAAGGCTGGTCGCTTACTTGTCCAGAATTTGCAGGATCAGACGATGCGTGCTGGCCTATCCACTGCCGGATGGAATCCCAAACACGGCGACATGAAGAAGCAGGCAGCTGAGTGGTGGAACTGGGGTAAGTTTTTAACAGGAACAATCTGGTTATTGCACATGGAATTGTGGGATGTAGATTTGTGGTATATGCGTATACTGACAATGTTTTAGACTGGGAGGCTGCTTTCCCACCAGAAGAGTCATCCTTCATCTTTGGTGTTGCAGGCAGCAACCTCACCTTTAATCAGTTCAGCGACGCCAACAACTTCGTTATTGACCCACGCGGCTACAGTGCCATCATTGACGGCGAAGCTTCAACATTCCTCACCAAGAACGACACCCGCCTGCTCCTCAACACTCGTATCACAAACATCACCTACTCCGATCACGGCGTCACAGTGTACAGCCACGACGGTAGCTGCGTATCTGCGGACTACGCCATTTCGACCTTTTCACTGGGTGTGCTTCAGAGCAACGCGATTGGATTTTCACCACAGTTGCCGGGGTGGAAGCAAGATGCGATTCAGAATTTCGCCATGGGCACGTATACCAAGGTCTTTTTGCAGTTTAATGAGGCTTTCTGGCCTGAAGATACGCAATACTTTTTGTATGCTTCGCCTACTACGAGGGGCTATTATCCTGTTTGGCAGTCCCTCTCGACTGAAGGCTTCATGCCGGGCTCCAACATCATTTTTGCAACTGTCATTGGTGATGAATCTTATCGTATCGAGCAGCAGACGGATGAAGAGACCAAAGCAGAGGCCATGGAAGTCCTCCGCCAAATGTTCCCTAACGTCACCATCCCGGAGCCAATCGCGTTTACATATCCTCGTTGGGCCTCTGAGCCGTGGTCTTTTGGAAGTTACTCAAACTGGCCAGCAGGTACTTCATTACTAGCTCACCAGAATCTGCGGGCTAATACTGGACGACTGTGGTTTGCGGGTGAGGCTACCAGTGCTGAGTACTTTGGGTTTCTTCATGGAGCTTGGTTTGAGGGTCGTGAAGCAGGTGCACAAGTTGCGGCACTTTTGCAAGGCCGGCCCTGTGTGCAGTATGGAAATGATAGGCTTTGTGGAGAGAGGAAACATTATGACCCATTGACGGGGACGTCGCCTTTAAGTCAGTATACTTTGTTGAACGGATGGGCTGTGAGCAGTCTCTATGAGAGTGGCGATGATTGAGCTTGGCAAGGCTGGCGAGGCTTGCATCGATGCATGAGAGCGAGGATTTGTATAATAGTAACATCGTATGTATCTTGAATGGTTACACTTTATAATTGGGATTTGTAATATGATGACTGAAGAGTGTGTTCCTCTGCTTGATAGCGGTGATTATTGAAGTAATTGGACAACTAACATGTTGTGGTAAAGCGCGCATCTGCACTTCAACTATTTATTGGATCATATTACTGTCCGCCCCCAACTTCAGTAATGCTTCAATGCAGTAATGACGTCAATTGGCACTGAATCAGCAATTCATATTGTGGCATTGAGCTCAATAGCTTTTTCTAGACGTTCGTATAGACTATCACACAAGCTCTCAATCTAGGAACCTACGAGTCACAACGATCTAATAATTGAACACAGCGCCAGGTCGTACGAGGGGCTTGACTGGCCTAGATGCGCATTCCCGGCTCGTGAAACGTAGTAGTTTATATATAGGCAATGTAATAAGTTTCTACGGCATGACTGCTAGTAGATGTTGAATATACGAAGGAGCACGGCAGACTGAGCATCAAATGGGTACAGCCGACCACTTGGTCCACATCGTTAATCCCAATCAACAACCTGCATACTCCCACGAGGCATATATTACAGAAGGAAGGGTAGCGGAGCCTTGTTCCAAAGGCTAGGTAATTATATCCTGCGTCGCACAAGAAGGACGGGCATCTTCATGCAAGGTAAGCAGAGGCTTGAGAGGCTTGAGAGGCTTGAGAGGCCTCAAAGCAAAGGTCTCCTCCGGCTGCAATCTACAGACCGCCTTTGCTAAACCACAGGTACTCTGAAGTCAAGCAAACAATCCCGCCTCGGAGAGATGGGTGGCCGAATCCGCCAAGACGGTTGGCTGCACGAAGGAATATGGGGAAAGTGAGCTGCCGATCCAAATTAATCTACGGAGCCTCTCATAAGCTGTCAATTGAACAGCCCATACGAACAGGTAGAACAAGTCATCGCAGATTGTGATCGGAGATGGGGGCCAGTATTAATAGCCTCTCAGAACCAATCTTGAACAAAACCCACCGGTCCACCCGGAGAGAATCATTTGTTTTCCCTCCGCCGATCCAAAAGTCCTTGGCCTCCAACAAAGGCAATTCCGCCGGCAGGGCATTTTCTACACTGCATTCACACAGAATGGCGGCTCGCTCACTAACAAAAGCCTCCGGCATGGGCCGACCCCCCGGCTAGCCTCATGCCCTATCGGGAAGGTCGCCTGAAAGTGGCAAAGGGCAGATAGAGTTGGCGAGCGGCGACACGGGGATCTTTTGAATTGGATTCACGGAGACCGGCAGCTAATGCGATGGACCAGGGGTATTTTGCTGGCATGCCGGAGAATGGCAAAAGTCCAAGTCCATTTTGTTTGTCTAGGAAGGGCTCTTTGTTCCGCCGGATAGGTTTGATGCGGGCTTACTCGTACTTGGGCTTTTAGGCAGGACGGGGCCTATTCCTCGTAGAGCCTTTTGCTGGGTTTTGCTCAAGGATCCTTTGTTTTCTGGGGCTGTGAAAAAAAGAACTTCTTTCGCAATCTGACCAATCCGATTTCGCCATTGTTCTGCAAATGGCTGATCGGGGATGCCAAGTTTGATGAATGAGCGGGAGATGGGATGCCGGCATTGTTCTCCTCTCGGCAGGAAGCCGAAGCAGAACTCTTTGTTATTGGTGACCAAAACCTGGCGGGCCAAAAAAAGGCGTCAGGTCAGGGATCCGTACCTGTCGTGCCGCCTAGGAACAGGCTCCATGATGCGGAACTTTTTGCCTGTTGGCAAGAGTAGCTAGGCGGGCACTTGTGTGATGTTACCTTGCGAATACAATAGTTCTTCAAGGATCTGTGGGGTACAGCCGGAATTAGAGAATTGAACAGAGGGGAGGAAGGGGTATATAAGTCGCGTCCTTGGACGTCTGCTTTCTTGAGAGGAGAGAGGGAGAGTTTGAGTCCAAGGTGCCCTCTTAGACCAAAATCCGTCAAGATGAGGTCCTCCACTTCCATCGTCGAGCTTCTTATGCTCGCGGGAACTGCTTCCGCCCTCGTGAACCTGGAGATGCGACCTCGCAAGCCCGAAGTCCCGGCCATCAAGTCCTTCACCCAGGCTGACGCCACTGGGCCTCAGCACGCCTTCTTTGAGCAGCTCATTGACCATGACCACCCTGAGCTGGGCACCTTTCAGCAGAGATACGCGTGGAACGGAGAGTTCTACAAGCCTGGAGGCCCCGTTATTCTGATGGGACCTAATGAGAGCGCTCTGGATGGCTACGAGAGATACACGACCAACGTGACTCTTCCTGGCGTCGCTGCTCAGGAACTCGGTGCCGGTGCCTTGATCATTGAGCACCGCTACTGGGGACAGAGCTCGCCTTACGACATCCTCTCCACTGAGAACATGCAGTACCTCACTCTGGAGCAGTCGGTCAAGGATCTCGTCTACTTTGCCGAAAACGTCGTCCTTCCTTTCGACCTGAACCGAACCAGCACCCCCGAGAAGGCTCCCTGGGTCCTCGTCGGCTGCTCTTACAGCGGTGCCCTCACGGCCTGGGTGCAGGATCTCGCTCCTGGAACCTTTTGGGCGTACTCGTGCTCCAGCCCCGTCGTCGAGGCCGTCGGCGAGCTGTGGCGGTACTTTGAACAGGTGAAGCTGGCGATGCCCAAGAACTGCTCTTCGGACTATGCCCAGGTTATCCAGCACGTGGACCAGGTGCTTCAGGGACACAGCGAGAAGGCCAAGCATGACTTGAAGACTCAGTTTGGCTTGGCTGATCTCGAGGATGCTGATTTCGGTGCTGCTTTGAACAATGGATTGTATACTTGGCAGAGCGTGCTGTTCTCGGATGCCGTCAACCCGCTGCTTGAGATGTGCGACTATGTCGAGGTAAGTGAAATAGACCTGGATTGTCTGTGAAATGATTTTTTTACTGATAGTTTGACAACAGAACCAATGGCCTGGCAGCACTGGCCCTGTTCCCGGAGCCAAGGGAGTTGGTCTGACCAAGGCTTTGGCTGGATACTCCAAGTGGTTCACCACCCAGAGCTTGCCTGGATGTAAGTTGTAGACCTCTGAACATCTTTTTGGATAGAATCTAACAATTGAGCAGCTTGTGCCGGTTATGGATACTGGTCCAACCCCAACGACACGTCTTGCTACAACACGTACAACGCATCGAGCCCCCTGTTCACTGATCTCACTGTTGGGAACAGCGCCAACCGTCAATGGAACTGGTTCCTCTGCAACGAGCCGTAAGTCTAGAAGCTAGTCACACATTGTAAAGAGAGCATATCATATTAACACCATCACAGCTTCAAGTGGTGGCAGGTCCGCGGCCAGGGCAACCTCGTCTCCCGCACTGTCAACGAGCCCTACTTCGAGCGCCAATGCGAGCTCTTCTTCCCCCGCGAGGGCAAATACACCTACGGCATCGCAAAGGGCGCCACCACCGACAAGGTCAACCACGTCACCGGCGGCTGGTTCAACGTCAACACCCACCGTCTGCAGTGGACCGCCGGAGAGTTTGATCCCTGGAGGCCTGCTACCGTCATGGCTACGAACCGGCCTGGCGGCCCGCTGCCTTCGACGGCCCAGCATCCCGTGCACATCGTTCCTGGAGCGGCGCACTGTGGAGATTTGTTGGTGAGGAACGCGAATGCGAATGAGGGTGTGAAGAAGGTGTTTGATGCTGAGGTTGCGAACATTGTGGCGTGGGCGAAGGAGTTTTATACGGAGAAGGGCAAGCCGCATTATTAAACGATGTGTATGATAAAGGATCTTGAGGACTTTGGATAAAACCTCAGATATATATTGATAATGATTACCCAATGAATTGATGTAAATTCACAGTGTACTTTCTATTCGTATGTACAATGCCGGGTCTAACATTAGCAAACGCCATGGCTAGGATCCAAGTTCTATACAAAGATGTGCACTCATCTCAGCATCACCAAATACCCGGAATGACTGCCCACCTCTTGCCAATCTTCTCCTCTCCAAACCTCTCAATATACCACTTCTTCCCATTTACCGCCCTCGGCAGCATCGAGAAAATCTCATTCACGAGAAACGCCCTCGCTGGAGCACATCCCCAGCCAGTAGCCATGTAAAACCCAAGCCATTCAACCCACTCGGACAAATAATGCGGATACAGCATGTACCGAAACAGTCCCGCCTGCGGAATCTGGTAGTGCTTCTCCACGCCGGCCGCGTTGTTGCCGCTCTTGTCGCCGGCCTGCTTACGGAGGCGTTCCTGACGTTTTTGCTCGCGACGACGGATCTCGCGCAGCTCTTCGTCGTGGAAGAAGTTTGATGAGAGGCCGAGATAGAAGATGCCGATGCCGATGATGAATTGTGGGATGGATGACACGGAGGACCAGGCTTCGGCGGTGGTTGGGCCGTAGGCGGAGAGCCAGGAGGAGATGCAGAGGGCGTTGCATAGCTGGAAGCCTATGGCGAGGGCCCAGACGCCGACGTGGATGGGGGACATGGATGGCTGGATGAGGGGGAAGAGGACAGCTCGGTAAGAGTAGTGGATGACCTGGGGTTGCGTGTTAGCATACACGTATGTATGTTTGCTCATCCTTGAAGAATCAGTGAAGAAAACATACGAATAGTCCACCAAGGACGCGATTCTGCCACGGCAAGTCATCGATTCCAGCTTTCTGCGGTAACGTGTTCATAACGTAGAGCAGCGTTAAAAATCCGGGACACTCCATCGTCATCCAGGCGAAGCGGCCGGGGAGGTTGAAGACGCTGCTGACAGACGTCTTGCCCATGCCGTACCATTTGATGATCCATTGCATTGATCCAATCTGTGATTTCCTCTCGCATTAGCATGTGACTTCTTATTCTCATTGACCATGTAGTGAGAAGTGAGACTTGCAATGGGATAGCCTATTTGCCAGCAACGAAGGAGAAGCTCATAATTCTCCCGTGAAGGCGGAAACAAGCCCTCAATCAGCGACATGGTGAATCCTGTTGAGCCAAACTCCAAATAATAACAATAACAATAGTAATCATGTACGAATATCAAATCATGGATCTCACAAAAGAGACACTCTATTAGTAGCGAATCGAAACCAAAAAAGCCACAATCTGAGTGGCTGCAGCTCAATGATGTCAACAATCAACAGTGACGAGACACTGCTGATTTCTGCCGCCAAACACCACCTTCCTAATGCTGTTGATATACTCATATAGGCTGCAATAAAAGTAACCCCGATAACTGCATGGTGTGCTGGCGCAATGGTAGCGCGTAGTCCTCCTATTGCTACCCGCAACAGGGAGATCCAGACTAAGGCTCAGGGTTCGAGTCCCTGGTACATCGAATCGCCATTGCAATTTTTTTGCCTTCTTTTGCATTGATATACAGCATGTAATGGGAATTTTACTTTTTGTTTGATTGGATGAAATATATGGCCTCGTTTATGCCATATTTGGAAGCAAATGCGCTTGTCCGCTTAGTAGAGATTCCAGTCGTTTGCCATGATTGGGAATACCATTCAAATCGTGCCGGGAGATAGAATAGGCGGCTTCTCAGACGATATATGACAATGATAACTTGATGATTGATAGTATGTATATCGTTAGAGAAAAAACGTAAGAATACTTGGTAAAACTATGAAATACAATTCTTGTTCGAGGATGAGAGGAAAAGAGCGTCCGTCATACAATCATCACGGCCAAAATACAACGCCTGCAAGGAAAATGCCCGCCTGCCCATCAATAAAAACGCCATTCCTGGCATGAGTAATGCCCCAACTTTATTCATGAATAGCTCCTTCTCATCATCTCGACATCACATTACCACACAGTCTCGGTCCGATCTGCCTGAACCCGCTGAAGCAGGCACTGCTGGCCTTCGAGCTCCTGGAACCGGGGCTCCGGGTCGGCGGCCTCGAGCTGCAGAAGCAGGCGGTCCGCTGCCAGTGTTCACACTCGATCGGGATACTTGTCTGCTTGCTGGGCTGCTTTCGTGGTGGTTGGGGTGCCCCGGAGGAGGGACGTATGCGGGAACCTGGGCAGCCTGTTCATACGAGGGCGGCGGCGGCTCATCCGAGTTATCAGGCGGTCGATTCACACCCTGTCTCCGAGGTGGGACAAGAGGCCGGACTTGCTGTGACACCGATCCCGAATTTGGCAGAGAGCGCTGTGAAGTCGAAGCAGAAACAGGGGCCACATTTGCACTGCTGTTTGCATTTGTGTTGATGCTGTTGGAGGTCCGTCGCGGCGAGGCGAGGGATTGGCTACCGCTAGCTGTTGCTCCAGAGTTGCGCCTTGGGCCGTTGTTGACTCCGGCGTTGCCTCCACCAGGGCGGCTGACGGGTATGGGCAAATGAGCTTGCTCAATGTATTGCTCCGACAGCGTCCGTTCACGCTTCCGGCGTGCCTGCTCCTCACGGTGTTTCTGATCCTCTTCCTCTTGCAGCTGTAGAGCGAGAGCCAAATCTCGATCTTCTTGTTCGGTGGTAGAGCTTGGCTGCCCTACTTCCTCTTGATGCGGAGCCTCCTTCGTCTTGCCACGCTTGTTGCTGACAGTCGTCCAAGTGCCACCGCCTTGGTCTGTTCCGTAATCGCCAGCTCCGGTGCTCGATCCAGTGGTCGCATCGCCGCTTACAAGCCGGAAATCACCGGAAAGGAATTGGTTCAATTCACCATTGACATCCCGCAGACTTTCCCACACGATTTCGTCATGACTTCGGAAACCGGCGTCCGTCACAAGTGTGAGGAGTTGCCGAGTGTGTGGGTGGCAATATAGCGTTGAAAAGTGGTCATTGCGGAAGAGAATGGCAAATGTGCCCGGCCGTATTGCCTTTTCAATCACTTCAATACCCCAGGGCGTCAGTTGTGTAGCTGACTCGTTTAGGAATATCTTGATGGTGATGATGTCTTGGTATAGATCCTGCTCTGCTTCAGTCAGGCCCTCCTCGGATGTAGCTAGTTTGTCTTCCAACTCCTCTTCGCGGAAGAGTAGATTCTGTACGTCTTCGTAAGAGGCAGCGTGCCTTTCCATGGAAGCGCAGACGACATCATCATGTGGTGGCAACCATCCATGGATCAAGGGGATGGAAAAAGTGGCATAGAGGCCCATCTCAGCCGTGTTCTCAAAAGTTCCGGGAATGTACTTTCGCCGCTCAAGAGGATGGAGCTCCGTGAGTGAAGTATGCTCGTATGCGGCGATCACCTCCGGAGTGGGGATGAACCGCGGGTTGACATTCATGCCTGTGTGGAGACTCTGGAGGAATGAGTAGAGCTCTGAGACATCCGGCAGCGAATCTTCTGACGATGTTCTTCGAGGGGACATGAGCTCATCAAAAACAGCATCCAGCAGCAAGCTCAAGCTGACTTGCTCCCGCGAGCGCAGGACCTGCACCAGCGCCGTCTCACCAATCTCCTCGGGCGTCGTCAAAGTAAGTGCGTTAACCAAAGCGACTAGTGGGCAAGGGCCATTCTCATTCTGGATCAATATGGGAGATACGCGGGGATTGTTGGAGGCGCTGGGATCATGCCATCGGATATTCTTGACTTGGTACGTCTCGGCTTTGCCGTCAACTGGTGGGCGTGACGGCGTCCATCGTACCTGACTTCCCGAAAGCCGGGGAGGCAAAGCGGGCTTTTCGTCAAGCGCATCTGTCGAGGAGTCTTCCTGTGGCTGTCTCTGTGGTGAGCTCGAAGGCTCTGAGTCTATCAGGCTCCAATCGTCTATCGGGGCCGCTTGTGCCGCGGGAATGTCGGATGCCTTGCCCTTGCCTTTGGCCGGATCCAAAGAGCCCAAGTCGTCCCAGACTTGCTGCTCACGCATGAGGTCATCTGGTATTGCAGCATTCTGTGGTGGGGAGGCTGGATTGCCATGCTCGCTCGGGAACTCATCATCCCAGGCTGAGCCTTTGGAGTGCAGAGAGATGAGATCCGCAGACTTGGGGGAGATGGGCTCTTTGGCGGGTGGCTCTGGTGTGAAACGAGCCCAGGGATCAATTTCTGACCCGCCGGGTGAGATTGCAATGGGCAACTCAGTTCCATGCAGAGGAGATTGAGTACCAATGGGCGGCTGCCATGGGTTCTGAATGCTTGTCTCTTCCAGGCTCAAGTTGGACAGCGAGGCGGTTGGCGGCTGCAGCGTGATTGGAGGAGCTTGGAGGTTTGTGTCTGAGGGTGTCTGGGAAGGGGTCTGTTTCTTCAGGAATGGATTCGTCTCTGCCCGGTGTGCGCCCGGCCGGAGAGCATCGGGGACCTGATCGGGCAGATTCAGGTCTAACGGCAGGTTTCGAGCCTCGTTCCACACGCTGTCTTCGTCATCCGGCGAGCCGAAGGCCACTTCCGCACCTCCACCAGGTCGCAATGACGCAGGGATATATTGTCGAGGGATGGAGTCCTCTGTGTCACCGGCTGGGCGCTGAGAAGCCACATCTTCCCAAGCACCCGCTGTCTGCTCGTCCGTCCAGTCGTTACTCGTGGGCTGTTGCGGCCTATGCGGAGCAGCTTCGGCGTTGCTGGGAGGCTGATGGATATACATGCTTGATGGAGATGAATCTAACGGAACAGAAGAAGCTTAATTTCGTATTCTTCAAGCTATGCCGGTTTGTTTGTGAATCAATAAGCGATCGTAAGGAGAGGCCAAGCCGTCGATTGTAGGAATCAAGATGAAGATGGAATCGGGTGGGGAGATTTGAGATGTCGTCACTGAATCGGCGATCAAGAACATCAGCGCATGATGGCGGAGGAGCAAAAGCAAACAAACACCGCTGGGAGGTGATGATGGGAGATGCAAGTAATTGCAGGTATTTGGAATCAAGCCAGATAAGAGAGAGAATTCTTGTTTGTTTGGGTGTCGAGTGGAAAGTCAAGAGCAAAGAGGCGTTGACAGGCACAGTGACATGATGCGGGTATCTTGGGAAACTTTGGGGACCAGCTGTGGCGGTGCACGCGTGGATGGGCTGCCGTGGTACCGTAGACGAAGTACGTATGCCTGCTGATTGCGGTATAGCGGGCGCTGGGAGTGACGCACCAGCAATCATCAGCCACGCAATGCACGGCATCGGACGGAGGGGCTGAAGTGGCGATTCCCCGTGTGTTCTTTTGTTTGTGTACTTGTGTACTTGTGTACTTGTGCTTTTGAGTACCTCTCCAGGGAATACGAGACGAGGCTGAATAGACAGATTGTAATTTATGGATAAAATGACGAGTAGTATTTGATGAATCAAGTGGGCACCACATGTGCAAAAGCTTGAAATCCCATGCAACTTTGCGGTGTATCCCCCATACGATACTCGTACCTAACGGATCCTTTATCCGCAAAACTCTCGGCACAGCCACAGCTCCGTCAGTGACTTTGCAGTGCGAAGCCTGGAGAGCTTAGGTACCAACAGCTACAGCTACAGCACAGGTACCAGGTATGATGCAAACAAGTCACCACCGCGACACCAACAATCACTCACGTCTTAAGCTTGTCCTAGCCTCACTCGTGATAATTTATTCCAAAGGATACGATGCGTCTTTGCCCAGATCCTTGTTAGACCGCCCAAGTGAGGCGAGATAAATAAGAGGCTTGCCTATCAAAACTTTGCTTAATGTGCTTACATTGGTCCAACATGGATTGCTGAGCCTCCTCTGAACTGGAAATCCTGTGAAACTCCCTACCTAGGCAGCCTGTGTCACTCTACATCGTCTACTATCAAGACAACTCTCGACATATTTGTATTTATACGATGCCAATGGATCTAACCAGCATCATTTTACTCCATAGTTGCCTCACAAGTAGGGATCGTTGGCCTTCTTTGGACCAGTTCCGAGACAAGCATACAAACATCCAATAAAATCATCGATAACTGAGACACGGAAGCGGATTTCTTCTATCTCAGTACGCTTTGACCCCTTTTCTATGCATTATAAATACATATGGTGTCTGGCGGTCAAATTTCGCTCCCATAAACATTTCTTCTACAGCTTATGGCATCGTTCATCCTCCACCTGGGTTTCAACGAATGTTTTTCCAGAGAACTCCTCTTTAGTAACTCTGTAAAATGGAGCAATATGATGGACTGGTTACATTTTTCCCAGATTCTAAATTTCTTCTTAATCAATCCTTTCAGACCGATAGCGACCGCGTCTGGGAATGGTATGCTACAAGTAATAAATTCTTATACGTGCAAAGTGGCTTGAATAAACTACCGACCACGAACCGCCTCATTCTAGGCACGACAGTAAATTCCAACGATGATTCTGAAATCTTGCCATACCCTTCTATTCTCAATCTATACGCAGGTGGCTGTAAAAACTCCCGGACTGGTGAAGTAAACTGCACAGCGGCCTGTGGAGATGTCAAGTTACTTTTTCAGGACTGGCAGACGCGGTGGAACTGTTTGACTCTGGCAAACATGGCGATCAACAAGCCACACCCTCACCATTTCAATGACACGAATAACGTCGGCGACACAGCCAAGGCCTTGGATCATCTAGCAGTCACTAATCTAATCGAGTTCGATGCTGTTGGAGTTTTGAAAAGGTTTCATGACTGTGCGGGTGAGAGCTGGTTAAAAGAGGAACCAATCAGAAACTTCTCGACTTTCGCCAACTCATCCCACTCTCCAGACTTGCGCCGTTGGGGTACCTATATTTCTCAAGTTTGCCGCTTTAAAAGTGAATCGCAAAATGATAATGATCTTGCTGGGCCCGGTGTGAGTCAACTTCGTCTTACAAGTGTATTCTACGTTTCACAAGTATGTCCAAGATAACTAACCGTAACACCCAGGTGATTGCTTCATATTTCGTCTTAATTTTGCTTGTCTTCTATGCTTGGGCGTGCATCCGCATCCTTCATATGGCAAGAAGCATTGACTCGCTAGCGAGGTTGACAATCTATGGGGGGAAAATCTACTCCTTAATCACCTTTCAACGCTCTCGTTTGGCAAAGCGCCTTAAACACTCGACGAGCGTATTCGTCATCGAAATTCAGGAAGCCCAGTGCTTCTTCATCCTTGCCATACAAATCGGCCTTATCTACGCTAATATTCGACCAACTGAGGATTTTGGGACAGACGACTGGAGCGGTGTAATACGCAGTCGCACTACCATGAACCACCTTACTGTCATTGCGGCTCTAACTCTTCTCTTGAACCAAGTAACGCTCCATCAGTTGCAACTGGATTCCCTTTACTCATTTGCGTTATGCACTACGGTTTTTATCATGTCCTACGGGGCTTCTACGGCTTCAATATTGGAAAACATGGATATTGACACCATCTACCGCATGTCTGCGGACGGCGATAACGAGAAATGCGGCGGATTCGCTAGTTTGGATGACCTTTGTGACGGTCCCTACTTTATTGGAACGCTATACGAATTCACGCCTAGATTTGTTATGAAAATATGCTTCACAGGATTATGTCTTCTTTGGGCCAAGAAAATATGGAAAGAAGCTGCAGGAACTCTATGGCTAAGGAATTATGCAGAAAAAGTCTCTGGGAGAGAGTCTTTGATGCTGCTATATGTGATACAACTGGGCCGTTTCTTGACCGACACGTTTCTTTTTGCTTTTGAGATTATCATTGTCGTCCACATGTGGTCGAATTTCTTTATGTTATTTGGAATTTGGGATGATGTTGGTAGTTTCGACGAGATGAACGACTGGCCAATTGGACAGGTGATTTCGGCGTTAGTTTGGGCGCCGGTAGTTTCGAAATACGTTTACCTCCTCATCTGTGAGTTATTCTTTGTGTGTTCAATATGCGATACACAAAACTCCATCATTTACTTGATGCTGACCAATCATTTATTGAATTCTAGTTGGGGTTGAGAGGGCATTCTCAATCCGAATTTCTCAGGCTTTTGCTGTCGTCAGAAAACCGAGACAGCCAAGCGATCAGGAACATCAAACGGATGAATCTTGACTGTCTTACGTCAGGGGTCACTCATGCATAAACAGATGGTGCTAGCTGTGGATGACCGATAGAATCACGATAGGGAACAGGGAATATGCAAACAGTATGGAGACGATATTTGGGATGTTCTTCAAGAATTTAATTTAATCACAATACTAGATCTTTTGAGAAATCTAAACTTGCACTGTTGAAATTGCAAAAGGGCCGAAAGCAAGGGGGCTGTTGAGGCCTATATATCATTAATTTCATCATGCACCCCTGGACCTACAGTTATATGCCTAATCTCTCGCTGGCCAGCTTGGCGCCTTTAACACGACTCGAGATCTTTTGGAATGCAATGTCCCTGGCAAAATCTGGACTACCATGACTAGGCTTGTCGTCGATAGAGAACGGGGAGAAGCCTATTAACATCAATCCACATTAGTCGAGTGTAAGCGAGAACCTATTCATGGATAGAGATGAATCTCACCGCAATCATCTGTTGCTCCTAGTTGGTCGACGGGAATATATTTGCTTGCAAGCATCAACTGCTCGGCAATTTGCTCTGGGTCTTCTATAGCAGGGTTGAGAGTGTTGATGACTCCAATGAAAGCAACCTAGTTGAAGAGATTAGCGTCAGGTCATTGTACTAGTGTTTTTAAAGGCATAAGTAATTCACCTGCTTGATACCGTTGGCATCCCTGCGAATATGTTGCCCAATCGATTTATACACAGCCTCTTTGTTCTTCTCAGACGAGAGCTCGATCAAAAAGTAGCCCGCATGGATCTGGAAAAGTGACGGTAATAGCTTGCTGTAATCGACATCCATTGAGTGCACAGAGTCGCAGTCGCCACCGGGGCAGGTGTGTAGACCAATGTTGACTCGCTCTTCGGGAGTGAAGCGATCAAGGACTCTGTATATATGTCAGAAAGTCTTTTGCATTTTCTCTTTCATTTATACATACTGGTTGATCAATTTGACGAATGTTTCGAGAAGCTCGGCGTTTGTCCAAGGATTCCTAGGGTCGTGCTTCAAAGCGAGGCGACCTAATGGATAGTATAATGTCAGTCGTTTGGCCACTATTGAGCAATAAGAGCGTTTGTACCTTCTGTGAAGTCAATTGAGACTCTTTTTGCACCTGTTTCAAAGCATCCTCGAATATCCTTTTCGCACTACAATTGGTGCCTTAGTATTTTGCATCATGCGAAATGGAAAGGCCATATTTTGCTAGCTTACCTCATTAACCAAGTCTTTGATAAACTCCTCGCGGGTGTAGCCTTCGAGTTCGCTCTGGAGGGGATATAGAAGATACATCATACTCGGCGCAATGACGGCCTGCTTCATTGGATGAGATGCATAGGGTTTGGACTGTTTGAGGTTCTGCCACGCATAAGTCGCGTATCTGGTTCATAATAATTAGCAGCGCTTCAATTGCCTTGAACATGCAAGACAAACGCACTTGAAAGGTCCTTTGACGAGACGTGGCAGCTGGCGGTGATGGCCATCATCAAAAATAGCCTGCAGAGCCGGATATCAGCTATGTTCTGCTGTTCAGCTCTCAAGAAACCCTACAAAGAATTGACCATCGGCGACAAAGTTGCTAGGCAGACCTGCGCCCTTGAGAGTCCTGTAATCATGTCTTGTAAGAAACACTATTTTGCAAGCAAGTTCATTTGTCGCCAATACTCACTCCACAATTGGATATGTCGCGAAACTAAAATCTCACATCAGTAACTCTCCGAATCGATGAGATGGACGCTTTTTCAACTCACGAGCTGGCACGCTGCTCTCCGTCCGTTACATAGGTTTCTCCAGCAGCCTCCATTCTCTCCACGGAGTCTTTGGCGGCCTTGTCCTGGGCTGCGACAAGGGCATCGTGGGTAATTTTTCCAGCGTCATACTCGGCGAAAGCCTGCTGTAGGTCTATTTCTCTGGTTAGTCAAAACTTTGCTCGGGGCTCAAACACTATCAGAATATCTTACAGGTTGGGCGAGGCAATGAGCCTACGACTTCAGTTGGAATAGGCATTTTGTTATACAATTGTGTCTTCTTTCAACGAGAAATCACAATGACAGTTTTTGTATTTAATATCGGTGGTAAACGCGAAAAAGGTATGGAATTTAGCAGATCTCCAACCCTTTATAACCGCCGAAGATTTTGACAGGTTGAGCCAACCCCGCATCAGCAACGTCAGATCTTGCCAGGGTGGAAATTTGTCTCGGGGATGAATTGCATATAGGGATCCATTTTGTGGCACAAGAGAGACGAATGAGCTTGTCATTAGTGAGTGACAACTAATCCGTTCTGCTGTGGAAAAGTCCGGAAAAGTAAATATACTTTAGGTCCGCCAAGACATGAGTTCGCGAGCTCAGCGGACAAATTAACTTTGCCTAGTTAACGGGAGATCTTCAGCTGCAGAGATGTCTTGCCTAAATATGCTGAGAATTCCAGATGAAAAGAAAGGATGATACTGCTTGTGGTTTCGCAGTTAGGAACTTCTGTGGACAAGAGCTTTACTCTCGGAATATCCACCGTTGCAGCGTGGGGTTGGTAACATGTCAGCTTGGCAATGGATTGACCAATAGTCAGTGCTTCTGCAACTCTTGATTAACCCTACTAAAGCTATCAAATGCTGGAACCGAATTAGCGCATAGTATCGGAGTTCAACGGGGTTTTCGATTCAGTCTATTGTAGAGAGATTTGAGTAACAGTCACCGCTAAAATTTAACCCCCGTGTATCAATGGCCATGTGAGTATCCGCAGTCTTGCAAATCCGCATTATTTCGGGGGATTAGAAACTCAACTCGCTCATATTATCGAAGTTGACATCTTTCTTCACTGCTGTCTATGCTCAGTACAAATGGTGAAAAAGTAATCATGCTTAGCCAACGTTTCACATTACAGGATGCCGCACCATCAGTCCATATACAATTCTGTCCTATGCGTTATTCTGTCATATGTCCCACTTTGATCTCGTATAAGTTGAATATAATATCGCTCAGTTTCTTCCGCCATGGTACCTATGTGACTTATCATATCTTTTAAAAATTAGCTCTTACTCCTTGTGTCTACTATTGGTTATAGCGCTGGTCTTGGAAAGTTTTCTCCTCACACAGAAGCTTTCAGCCTAAGAGCTAACCAATGCTTGAAGTTGGTTTCGCAATTCAATATAGATATAGAGTACGTGCATTCGATGATAATCCGTTCCACGGATTGAAGCGAAATTCGCTGCTGTTGTAGCTAAAATAAACTACCTAGCACACGGTACTATTTTAAGCAGCCTCAGCTGTTGAATGCAGTCTCTATGGGCTCAGTGTCTTTCAACACCCTTTTTAGCTCAATGGCCACAGATCTGGTTGCTGGCAGCTGTGCACTTTTGGCATACAGAATGTGGCCTAAACTCCGTCTTCATTCTTTGTCGACGACTGGCTATTTAGGCAGTCTGAAAGAGTGTGATGAAGTAAATTATATTTCCAATCGTCTTTGAAGCCTTACTCTAACAGTTGTGATCCTACCCTGGTGGCTCATGGTTGAGCAGCTGAGTTGAGGTGGCCCTCCTGCTTTGATCAGTTTTTCGATCGTCTCTTCGTTCGAAGGTACAATCCTTTTTTATTTGTGTTGGTCTGTTGTACCATTGCAAGCCATAGGACAGGTAGTAACCTCTGTATCCCTAAGCTCAGGACCTTTTCCCAATTCTGCTCTATCAAAAGCTGGTGTAAGAGTTGACGGATCGTCTATATTCGCACAGATGACTTCAACTCCACTGGAGGCTGAATCTAGAGCTTTGGTACTTGATGCATTGTAGGTGAGGGTACGAACACGCCAGCAGGGCTCTGATAAAAACGTAGATACCACAGAACCGCACTGGTTGCCAGCGGCGCCAACAACGACGATGAGCTTTCCGGAAGACATGTTATGCTTAGATAAATCGTGATTTATTCTTGCATATTCCGACATTCACAAAAGTTGACAGTTTTCTATTCCTTTTATATTCATAATGTGAATCTCGCTCCAGTGTTTGTTTGGTCTCGAATCTACTTGGTATCACAGCTCCAAGCATTAACCACCGCAACATGAAGAAGATTAAAACTTTTTATCTAGAACTGATGATTACGAATTATCATTAACTCATCTGATTATATAGTGCGATCGTGATGCCTTTTTTTCGTATCTCGACCGATTGATGTCGTAGTTCGCGTTTGGCCTTCTATCCAACTGAAACTCTAGACTCAAGGAATTTCGAGAAACCTTGGTATTATAATTCGTTATGAATATCATTTATATAAAACTATAGGTAATATTATGCCTCACATAAAATTTTGGCTATAAGACCAAGAATCGGGACAGGGCCTCCTGATGACCTCTCCTTTCTGCTCTTATTAGCTGCCGAGTTGAGTTATGAAGTGCTGATCCGCACCATGCTGGTTGGCCGAGAAATAAAACCAAGGATCTATTGAGAACTTGGAGAGAAGAGCTTTGACAAGAGACTATAGTTCTAGGTGGCAGTACCAACTTCGTGATAGGTAACAAAAGGTGAGTCTCATCGAGCAACTCATCTCCTCAAATGAGAAAACATGCATATTCCTAAATGGGTATATGTGGGGTTTAGTGGGGAGGATTATCTACAAAGTGAGGATTTATACCACTGACGTCTTTATGGCGGGAATAAAGAATGGCTATTGGACCGAAGTCTGAGCGAACTCGGTTGTTATCTTGAACTCCCGCTCCAACTGACGCAGGCTGTGAGATCTTGCAGCCGACCAAGCCGAACATGGCAAAGTAAGAGCCCTTTGATGATTTGATCCACTCCTTATGTCGCTAAGGGCGTATCAGTCTAACAATAATAAATTAATAAATTACAGCCAGCAAATCTATCTTTACTTGTGCTGCCATTGTATACAACAACTCAATGTTTCTCCGTCGTTTTGGTTCAATTCGCAAAATGCATCACAAAATTGTCGCTCTGGATGCATGGCACGTTCCTATCCCCCCGAATCTACTCAACCTTCCACCCCCACATACCTACGAGTTGAAAGTCTGCGAGACACAACTTACTTCAAACGATGATATTCAGGAGGCTGTGAAGGATGCAACTATAATTGCTCTGACACTCACACGCCTTGATGCTTCAACTCTCTCAGCAGCTAAAACTCCAAACCTTCGTTTGATCGCGGCTTTGGCATCCGGGACTGACAGCATCGATAAACAAGAGTGTAAAAAGAGGGGAATCAGGGTTCTTAATGCGCCAGATGCGAATGGTGATAGCGTTGCAAATCATGTCCTGGCGATGTACTTTGCTTGTCGCCGACGTCTTTTGTTGATGCAAAAAGTCATCTTGGGAACAGATGAGTGGGTGAGAAGGGGTACAATCACCGACCGATTGAACTCCAGGGACAACAAATTACCGCTATCGTGTAAAGAAGAAACCGTCGGCATTATCGGCTATGGAGCAATAGGTAAGAACTTGGCATATTGAGTATAAAATGAGCGATGGCTAACATCTTGTCAAAATATAGGTCAGCGTGTTGCTCAGCTTTGCCGTGGTCTCGGGATGACTGTTCTCATTGCTTCTCGGAAGAGCGCAGTTTCGGGCTCTGTTCCAACCGCTTCTACACGAGATACGATGAGCACACAAGTTCATGATACTCGGACACCGTTTGCGGAGGTTCTACGTCGATCAACAGTGCTTGTCCTATGTCTGCCCCGCAACCCAGAGACGCTTAATCTCATATCTCATGATGAGTTCCAAATGATGTCTCAAAAGACCATCATGATAAATGTCTCACGCGGAGGTATTATCGATGAACCGGCACTTCTTCAGGCTTTAAGAGGAGGTGTGATCGATGGGTGCGCAACGGATGTCTTCTTAAAAGAGCCCTCTGGTGCTGGCGATCACTGGAAGGAAGGCGATAGCCCCATTCTCAAGCTGAGTCAAGATGAAGCGGAAGAGTTGAACTTGTTGGTTACGCCCCATGTTGCATGGTATGCAAGGGCAACAATAGATGGCTACTTAGGGGCGTACAAGGAAAATGTTGAAGATTGGTGTGCCGGAAAGCCAAAGAATATTGTTGTATAGCAAAGAACAGCAACGCAAGTACAACGGGCTAATACGGGTAGTTACCCGTGGTCAAGAATAACTAGGACATTTTAATAAGCTGCCATTGCTGAAAAAAATGCTCCTTATGCATCTAGAGCCCGTGATAATGTAGAGTGAAGGGTCTCTCATCAAAATTTCATGACACTTCGCTCAATCGGAAGAATAATTACTAATTACAGGTTTACTCTATTTACTATCAGCACAAATAAGATCGCTCCAGCGGTGAACTTATTTATAAACTAGATGACTCTCAGCTTCTAACAATGAGGTGACTCGATCAACGAAGTGCTGACTTCATCGTCTTGCACCACGCTGGTGGCGCCGTCCACAACAAACGCTTCTACCTTTTAGGAAATGGCCAATTTCCTAGTTTGAAGCCCCCACCAGCCCATCTGCCGCAGCAATGCCTCTTTAGAGCGTAGTTCAGCCCAGCGTTTGTAATTGATATTATACGCATGTCGTTGGCGACCAGGTTCCATTTTTACAATCTAGGCCAAGCAAAGCAAATGGAAGAGCCGCCGGTTCCGGAGCAGTATGCTGATTGTAATAAAATGAGAATCGGTATCCTGCTACAAAGATGGAATATATGCTGGTTTGGGCGGAGATGAGCTGGACGAGCCGGGAGTTGCCCCAATCAACTCATGAGCTTACCTTGCGGAAACATGCAGAGCCCTGAATACAGTGACATGAGGCGACAAGCCCAGTCACAAGGCAGATCATGGCAACCTAGAATGTGGATTGTGAATACGGATCCGAACGATGCATACAAATCTTCCAATGCCAAACTCATTCGCTCACATGCGGCGAAAGAGGGTCATTATCGCCAGCGGGAAAGACGTCGGGGCCACCTGGAGGTCCGGCAATATCAACCCACTGTTCTGTCCAAGAAACACAAGCACCATACATCAGAAGGGGGGACTGGAACAAAAACCCAGATCAGACCTCAAACAATCAGCAATCCTGAACCGCAAAGCTCGCTTTCACGTTATCGGAGAGACCCTTTCCAACATCATGCTAGAACAACCTCACATGTGGAAAATGAGCTGATGGATCACTGCAAGTCACTTATAACTATTCCTATACAAAAAACTGTGATGAAGCTCATACTAATGTCTTTAAGACGCCAGATGCAGTGTCGATAATGGCTATGTAAATTGTGGTACTTGTAGTAGCCGCGGAGAGCCATTTAGACAGCCGGTTAATTCGTGTTGGGTCCCATGGTCACTTGTGGACGATGGTCTCCTTGCCGGTCTTCTCATGACGGCATGTCGCAGCCTCGTATCTTTTCAGACACAAAACGAATTTCACGCGACATTACTTCTCAGGTATAAAAATGAGTGTGTTAAAATGATTCGCGCTGCGATATCCAACACAGAGATCGGTGATCAGACTATCGCATTGGCTCTAGTCTTGGCCGCTGAGGAGGTGCGTTTATTTAACTTCCATGCTTATTTTACTGATATGCGGTCTATGAACTGATCATTAACAGTTAATGGCTGGAAATTATGCAGAATATTCTTTACACGGTACCGAAATTATTAAGATGGTCAACATACGAGGGGTCATTAACAATCTTGGAAATGGCTTTTTAGAGCATCTTTTGTATAACCCAGCGTTAAAGATGGTGCAGGGCCAAGATTTGCCACCGCTGAGGAGATAATGATCGTAGAATGAATTGTCTTTGAAGATTTGGGGCATTAAGTCACAAATAGTTTACTGAGAAGTATGCTCCAAGTTGCAGTTGTTACCTGCCTGTCTATTATACACTACATAAATGTGTTTGGTGACAAACGATACTGTACAATCCCATCTCTATAAATACACAATATTGTGAAACAATATCTCTGTCCGACGCAATAAATCTGTCCAATTACCCAACATTGCAATAGCGCTACATGCCTCAAAGCTCAATTACAGAAAGGAGCTCTCGAGCATATGCTGCCGCAGTTGCTGCTGCATAATAATGCCACTCATCATTCTTGTGCAAGTCGCAATAGTCGCAAATGCCGCGGATCACAAGGCACGGTGAGTCATTCATAAGGCCCGCGGCTTCCATCTCGAAGCAAAGTACTCCCAGCTCCGGATCATGAGCGTAAGAGTCTCTAGCTCTAGCGTCTTTCATGAGCGTGTTGGAAGATGCGATTGTGCCGTAAAAGACATCAATGGCTCTGGGCGATGTACGAGGCGGACGCGCAACGAGCTCACTTGAGTCACATCCTTCACAAGACTTTCCGCCTTGGTGTTTGCTATCGGAGCGGAACAACCGATCTATGCTGGGTCGGTGGAAGCGAGTGTCGTTGTCGAATCTCTTCAGATGTTCATCCACGCCTCCATATTGGTCAGGAAATTGATGTCTGCGCTTAATTTCTGGAAGAATGTTGAGTGCTTGGGCTGGAGGAGAATTTAGATGGCCTGTTCGCTGAAATGTGCCATCGATTCGTTTCCCCATATCGAACTGAACAACTCCCCCAATGTTCTTATAAGGCACACTAACGACAACATCGCCGAGACGGATGTCCTGTTCTGAAGTAGGGGCGCCCCCTGCTATGCCAACCATTAAGACAAGCCGTAGCTTGTAAAAGGTGCGTGTCATGTCGACCATAACACGAGCAGCCGCTGTGACGCCGTAGCGACCTGATGGAAGGGATCCAATAACAATACGGTACCCGCCGATACGACCGAAGCAGTACGTGTTGTTATCGCCTGGCTCTTGGTATGGAGGGCCTTCGATCTCTTCGTCTAGCATGGCGCATGCGGCCTCATATTCCTCTTGGAGAGCACAAACCCATCCAATGGTGAAGCTTTCTCGGGATGCCATGATGATGTAATAAACAATAGCAAACAATTGCGGCGTAATAAATTAATGTGAGAGCGCACTTGAGTAGCAGAATTAATAAGTCGAGTTTGTATTATTGTACAGTCGTCTTGTCCCAAAAACTTGAGGTTATTGATTGTCTTATATATATACATCTGATTACATTCAAGCACTCAATTCCACGTCGTCGGCAGCGCGCTTAACGCAAATAGTAACCAGAGCCAATACAGATTTGGTGTGTAGTTTCCGCTTATGCAGGCGAGGCGCGTATAAAATGGGCAGGCCGGTAAGCGCTTAATTCACAGCCTCATTCTTCAGCAATGTGGGATGATGACGCCCCCATTTACGAGGCTAACTACAACACTACAACATAGTGTTGGCCCGTCAAGCATATCTTGTTTCATATCACCTCTGTTGGCAGTAAACTTTCTGGTGTATCTGGAATTATGGGATTAATTCAGTCTATCCTATATCCATGACGAGCGCTTAATTGTGCGAAGCGATCCATTTTAGGGCGTGTCATACTCCGTAGATATACTGGATATTCCTAGTTTTTCCAGAGGTAAAATTAGGGGCATATTCAGTTACATCGAAATCCATGCGTGACAATCTTGAAGCTGCAGCTGAACTTTATCAGCCTCGGGATGAAACGAAACGATGGTGATCAGGTATACCAATATTCTCTTAACATATTTTCTCAGTAGCTGTCGGGTGATCTATAACGACCTCCTCTATAATCCAATTGACTCCACAATCCATCAAATTTTCACAGGCCATCACTGAACTATGTACACGATGTTGGCGGGCATCTTTTCTAACATCTTATCATGCTCTTCGGCCCAGCCTCCATCCGTCATATAGGCCAATCCAACTCTCCGAAAGACCAATTCCGAAGGATCTCTATGCGATAAATCCGGATCGTAGCCCTCGGTATTTGCCTTGTGCCCCACTGGCTCCAGTACCAAGGCGGCAAATACGACCTTCTCGTTTACAGTGGCTTTGATAGGCAGGCGCTTAAAACTGGCCATCGGCAGACAGTAGAGCGATTCAGTAATGACGGTTTTCGTGCTGTCTGGGTAAAAGACAAGTTGCGGCATCTTGTTGACTGCAGATTCATTGCTCTCACCCTCATTTTTGGGGGGTGTGATAATAAGTCTTGTTTGGCGAATCTGTCTTCCGACGGCGCTTTCTTGAAGAATCTCGGCCGACATGGCCCCCAAGAAGTAAGTGTACTCCGGATACTCAGTATCTTTAATCGTAAATAGATGCGGCGCGGCAGTAACCTCCGTCTTCCAGAGAGGACCGGCGAGAATAATTGCAGAGGGAGGCACCTCTGTGTACATGTCATCCATCACCCAATCTCGCGGCTCATCGTGATCGTCAGGCAGTTTGGGAACATTCATAGCGCCTCCTATTGATGCCACCAGAGTATACTGATTGATCACCTCATCGTCATGAAACGGGTAGATGACTTCGCATTCCGGATATGCCCAGCTCCATGATATAGGAACCGCGGGTTCGGGAAGATCCTCTCGCTCTGCATCTTTAAAATATGCGAGCCTCCATAACAGGTCCAAGGCTGTTTCTGCTTGAGGCTCCCAGTCTGCACCCTCTTCACCTCCTTGCAGCTCATCATATTCGTCGTACCAGATGCCAGCGAAGTACTTTTTACCGCCCAATCTTGCATTAAAGTTCTTTGCAAGACCTGCTATGGCGAACAGAGTATCGCTGCGGTACGTGTAGTCAAGCCGCGAATATTCCTCAACAACGAGTCTCCAGGCTTTTCGAAGTTGCTTGTGGGAGGGATTGTTGCCGAGCGTGCGCTGCATATCTCTTCTGCTACTTGCCGAATGCAGTGGAATGTGAATGTTATCCTCCCATTCTTTCATGAGTTTATCACTTTGTGTTTCGAGTTGCTCGAGACCACATTCGCACTTGTGGTGACTTGCGCATTGCCATGAAAGCTCATCGGGCCCAAAAATGAGAAGGCGGCGCGACAAAAGTCGCTCTTGAAACACCCATGCTCTTTTCCAAACTGGAATATCATCATCCTTGACCATGAATGTGGGATGGTAGATGGTGTGTCGATAGTGCAACTCATGATGATTGCCTTCTGCGTCTTGAATGGATACAGATTTTGAACCCCGCCTAGCAGTAGAGTCTTGGAACAATCTTTTCTCAGTGTGAAGTCCATGACTCTCTACTAGGGTGATGGAGGAGTTGGAATATATGTCGCTCATTTTGAGAGAATGTTTCTTCCAGTCGCTCTTGGAGTCTTGTATAATGCACAAGCTGTCGATCCATATATAGCGTATCTCTTCCCCGTACTGGTCTTGGTGCCATTTTGAGAATTTTCGCAGAAATGTTATCGAGTCTTGATAAGTAGGCGAGAGGTAGTCCCACGGCACTTCGTTGCAGAGTGATTCAACATTTTGCTTCGTGGCTTGAGATGTTTCCTTCCCCCACCGATGGCTTAAACAAGCGTATCTGGCCTTTCTACCATTCGTTTGAACCAACTTGACGCCGGAAGCAGTGTCTTTAGCAGCGATGTCGAGAACTCGGTCAGGCATCTCTGAGATCTCTCCAGCCGAGCAATCTTCATGGGTGTCGTTGCATTCACGGAACCAATTTGTAGCCTTTTGAAAAGCTTCCTCAGATGCAGTATTCCCAGATGGCACTGTCCGCTCAAATACTGTTAATCCACGGTCTGGAAACCAAGGCTGTCTCCACGGTGACGGGATCTCTGCGAACATACTTGTAAGCTATCGGGCGTTGAAATATTCATCATTTCCAGGTTCATACCTGTTTTGAGAAAGCTCTCTACACCCCAAGCGTGCGCTGGAAGCTCGCCAGCACCCAAGTGACCAATTCGAAGACACTGAGAAGCCGAACTTCCTCCTGTAGTAACGAATCCCAATTCGCGCATTAACTCCTGCCGCTGCGCATATCCCGGACTAGTTTCCATCATGTAGTCATGGAGGCCACGCCTCAAGGTCACACAAGGTGCAACCTGGTCTCCCGTATTGCGATGTGAAGGACAAGGCTGCTCAAGCCAATATTTGAACGGAATAGATTTGTTCTTGATGAGCTCCGCCTTAACAAAGGATTGTGCCTCTTCGTGTCCACCTTCCTTGAAATTCGGCTCTTGGCCCTCAAGAAGGTCATATACCCTAGCATCGACTATGTCGTTATCAATCGGCATCGTATAAATTGCCTCGATTTTATTCTCATGTTTATGTTTCATAGTCTCGGAGTTGGTAAGCAAATTCATTGAAGAGCGTATTTTACTCCTCGTCGGGCTATTCCGAGGTGCTTCTGGAGTTGTCGGCTTGGGGGGGCTCCCTGGTATAGCTTTGGCGTTGCCACTATCACTGTGCTCGCTTTTGGGACTGGGTGGCCTAGATTTGACACTTTCTGGAGCGTCATCTTCTACGCTACCACGAAACGCAGTTTGCGTAAAGCCAAAGTCGAAACAGATTGGGCATACCAGATCAACTTGTTTCGACCGGGTTGCAGAGGTTGTGAGAAGCCGGCGAGCGCCATGTTGAAGACCAAATCGTAGCATATTGAATTGAGATGAGAGTACTTTACTGAATGGCCAACTGTAGCAGATGATGTTGCCTGGTTTTATCATTTACGATCGAATCAGTGTAGGACCATTTGGGCTGACTGCTGCTCTGCCTCGCCCCGCTTCCATCTCACCCCTGGCACTTGAGATTTAGCGTCCTGAGTCTCAATGCATGAGACAGAAGACATCTCGGACATGCTCATCGAACCATTGATTTTATAACAAAGCTAAATATCGGATCAGTTATTCTTATAATAGATTTAAGCATTGTAGAAAGTATATGCGATGTCCGAATCTCGTCGTGGGTAGGTAATCACCTGTATAACTTGCCATTCTGTGTAGAGTGCTTAGAATGAGGCTGTGTATCTAGGTTGCAGCTTTCTTCTGCCTTGAGGCCTATCTTAATACATTGAAGTAGCAAAACCACCGATAGTTTTGCCTAGTTGCCTAGGTCTATAGTGTGGATGGTATTGAGCTACTCGTTGAATATGCGTGTTAACTAGCATTTGTTTGGAATGAAGCAACATTCTGGAAGATTTCCCTACCTACCTAGGTACCCTATTAGGATCGTGTATGGCGTCGGGTATAACTGAACAATAGATGAATCAACCTTTCCCAGCCTCGAACTTAGGAAGAAAGGTAGAGAATAATTAAGACATACGGCTGTCATAGCGGTATAGTGGTGTTTTCATGAAACGTGCCCGAATGTGCTGTGATTTTTTTTTGGAAATGGTGAATCATGCATCCAGAGTTGCTAAGAAGTTAACGTTTAAGCGTAATAAGCAGTAAGCGACTCTAATGGTATCTCAATCTAGTTGGTGTAACTTGTCCAACAACCATTCAATAAAAATCTGCATCACAACCAACAACCACTTATACATAATAGGATTCCGTCTCCGCAAGTGTGTGTGGAGCAAGGCGGCCCCCAAGGCTCTGAGATCGCCATCGGATTATCGCACACCTGTTCCGATGTTGTAGGATTCTTGAAGGATTCTCGAGAGTGCATATATGACCGACCAGCAATTCATTAAGTAGACACTCCTCTGCTGCAATCTGGCAACTCTGTTTCCCGCCTAAATGCTAATATACCTATCCGCGATTTTCTTTTGTCTCTTATATATACTGCTATCACCACAATCATCGCAATTACCACAACCCCCAACAGAGACCATAACCATGGTGAGCATAATGCGCGATCAGACACCGGGGTGCTACGTGAATGCCGTCTCGGAATTGTTCGCCGAGAAAATACAACTGGGCGAATTCTTCAAACGATGCTTGGCGCACTTCGGGCCGGCAGAGCAGCGAGTTCATCATTTGCCTGATGAAGGTTTGGCTAGCGACTTTGTACGCCCGCTCATGTGGCATGGGAAGCGATTTGGTCCCATGGCAAGTGCAATTAAAATCTGTGAAACGGATCCTCTGATTGCTTCTTTTCCTGGTAAGGGACTTTCTGAAGCTTCGTCTTTATTAGAGCGCATGGATTAACTTGCGACATGTGAGCCAAATAGGTGAGAAATTGGAGCCTTTCTTTTCGGCTTGCGCATCTGGACAAGCGGACATGGCTTCACCCCGATCAGGCAGCCCTACCGTGAGTGCAGCAGATGCCGATCGCCTCTTGACTCTGCCTCTATTCCGCCAAGCCATGTTCTTCACTGCATTGAATACCGGCAATCCTGGTCTAGCCATAAAGATCGCAGATGAAAAGCCCTTGAATTCTCCTCCACCGCCCGAAAATTGGCTTTTGGGAGGACACGTCAAGTTGTTTTATTACCCAGACGAGGAGCGAGAAAAGATGCCACTCCGTGTTTGGGCTGCAGCTCTTAGGAACAAATGGACCCCGGTAGATAAAATGTTGCTTTTCGATGCTGCACGTGGGGAGAACTCGGAAGAAAGCATCGATCTGTTAGACTCCATTGTCAAAGTAGACCCGAATTTCCTCGTCTCCGAAGATTGGTTTCAAAAGACCTCTCTTGAGTTTGCCATTCAATCTGGTACTCCGCAGGTACTTCAGCATCTATGGAAGTTATACAAGGTGCCAGAAGCAGAGCGACTCAAAGACGATCTGTTGATTGTGAACGCGGAAGGCAACAACACTGGGGGACTGACGATGCTGGGGTGGCTTCTAGATCAGGGACTAGATGTGAATTACAGAAGAGTCACGGAATCGGACGAGGAGGTGCCTTATTCAGGAGATCCACGGGAGACTGCTGAACGATGGTATGCGCACAGCCAGAGACCTCTTTCCCGACGAAAGACTGCGCTTCATGCAGCCACCGCCATGAAGAATGCTGAGGCCGTGAGATATCTCTTGTCAAGGGGAGCCAATGTGGATGCCCAAGATGGTTTGGGGCAGACGGCTAGGTTCATTGCTGAGCGAGATGGTAGTACGGAAGTAGTCAAAGTTATCGATGAGTTTGTCAAGGGGACACGCTTATGATGAGGTGAGAAAGATGGATGCAGCAACTGAATTGAATCTATAACCTGCTGTATGTTCCTACGTATGCCTAATAACGCATCTAGAAAAGCTCAATCAGAAGATCCCGAGCTGCTTGTGTCCCCATGTTCTGAACCAATGATGCTTCATATCTCTTCACCTGGAGATAGTGTCGGATGATTCTGCTTTCCATCATGTTTTCAAGCTCTTCAAACGTCGTCTCCAGCTGATTAAGTGCTTCGTCAATGCTTTGAGGCAACATTTCACCGTATTTATTGTCTGAGTGAAGCTCGATCCCGCTGTCTCTTAGGACCAGAGGCTCCTTTGTAACGCATCCAAGTATACCAGCGCTCAGTATTGCTGCTAAAGCAAGATACATATTGGCCGTGGCATCAAGGGAACGAAATTCCCAGTGGCCGGCCTTGACCTTCCGGATGGGTACCGTGCGGTCTTCGGTGCCCCATGACACCATGTTGCCAGCAAATACGGGCTTCACGCGCTCATACGATATCTCGTAAGGAAGACCGAAGGCACAGAGCTGAGGAAGCCTCTGCAACATACCAGCCAAGAATGATTCCTCATCTTGTGGCGGATTGATGCTGATATGAGCATGCTGTCCCGACGATTGCCGTCGTGATGGCAATGGGCGTGGTGACATGGTGGCTACCAGTCCGTGGCGGGCAAATATGTGTTTGAGGGTATCCTGGACCAGGAGTAACTGATCAACAGCTTGCACCGGAGGGAGCGGCCCCAGAGCGATTTCGTACTGTCCCCGATTGCCCTCGCTCTGGAATGCGTCGATTTTGACTCCAGCATCCATCAATGCCACAACAGCTTCCTCTATAAACGCGAAACAAGGGTCACGATACGACGATACCACACAGTTGCCCAAGCTTTTGGCGTATGGAACATACCCTCCTTCGTCTGTGGCCTTCATGACTTCGAACTCGACCTCAAGCCCGACGAGGAAGTCGACGTGGAGTGTGTGTTTTGCCTTTTCCATAACCGTCTCCAAAGCCCGTCGTGGACAGAGATTCCAATTTGGCTGAGTCAAGTAGGGGAGGTGCTGGACAACCTTACACATGACGCTGGCATACAAGGGATCCAGTCGTTGCCGTGTCCGTAGCGATGTCCAGTCAGTCACAAGAACATCGTTGCCCTTGAAATCTGTGCTCGGCAGTAGACTGTTGTCTACAACACCCTGAAATGCCACTGGCCCTACGCGTAACGTCCGCTCTCCTGCTGCTATCGCGAGTGCATGCTCAAGAGGAATAATGCGACCTCGTAAGAGACCAGAAAGATCTTGCCACTGAAAACGAACAAAGCGGATATTGGGGTGGGCACTAAAGAATTCGGCAACACCTGCTGCGATCTTCGTGTTTGGTGCACCGTTGGATGAGCCGTTCAATCTTAGTTTAGTCTCGTTAGGATCCATGTTATTGGTAGAGAGGTTGATGAAACTATGAGAAATGAGTCAAAGAGTTGTTCAAGAACGAAATGTGTGACTTACTTACCTCTTTGTTTCGGTTCTTTTTGTAAAGAAACTGTCGATTGGATAGTGTTATAACGATCGTAGCGACACGTGGGCGAGGAAGGTTATATATATGTCGATGTGTCCACTCCCGGTGCAGAGCCAAGTCTCTCCCAGGCGATGGATATTAGAACTCGCTTTTGTCAAATTAAAACATCTCAGCTCACGATCTCATACAATGCATGACACGTCACTTATTCGATCGCCTCAGGCGTCTATGTGAAACAGACCGACTGCAGCTCGGATGTATCTTCGTGGGTACAGAGACCTACGTGTCTATCTATTACGAGATGGCTTGCATCTTCAATATCCTAAAGCCCGGAACAAGATGAAAATGACGTTCACCGGTATATATTTTGTGGGACTGTGCAACTGCCCCTGCATTTGTTGAACGTTTGGTGTGCTGGCCAAGATAATTAATGCATATTCGGCCTACTATAGTGCTCAGAAAACGCCACCTATGCAGCCGAGCCGTAAGGCGGATATGTTCCGACACACTCGCTTCCGATTACTCTCTCTACCATCCACCCTTGTGGTTCATTGTGTATACTCATGATAGATATCGAGGTAAGCTGGATGAAAGACGTTATGGAGGCATTATAATAATGTGGGATAAAGCTGATTCAGGTCAATGGCATGAGAGACGCAGAGGAACCAGACGGCTTTCTTTGTTCATGGGGTTCTAGTGATCATGCCTTGCAGACAATATGAGAATCTACCGCTAAGACTCTCATTTAGCCTTAAGATGCGGTTCGAATGGGATTCTCTCTTCTAATATTATGCATAAACCGACATGCGATCGGGTTAACCCCAAGGACAAAGTTGATGACTTTGGGTGCAGCAGGCCTTGGGGTTTGATACGTACAGCCCGTAGTAAACATCCAGAGGTACGTCTACGTCTCACAGATATAGATGGCCGAGCCTGTACCCGAAGCGTTTTCTTTCGCTTTGATGCTCGAAATTGAGGCCGAGTGTGCTGTGCGCTTGGACAGTGTGGTTGTACCACGGATGAAGATGTGAGCTCGCGAATAACAAATCCGTGGGGATACTCTTTCTGATCAAAATAACAACAAAGCCATCCGTCATGCTCTCTCTCTTTGTTTAGGCCATTATATTCTCATCACTTGGACGACATATTGTGCCTAATTGTGCACCTGACCACCCTTTTGGCCTTGGGTTGCTGTCCGTCTGGCCACAAAGGAATTGTCCACGGTGGCCTTATTGCCACACCCCTAGACGAAAGTCTAGTTATCTCCATCCAGCTTAATACAGCAAAGAGAAAATCAGGCTTCCACTCTACAGGCATATACGTTGCAGGATCCCTCAATATGAGATTCTTAACACCGCTTACGACGAATGAGGATGTTGTATGGTTGATGGCATAGGTAGGGACTATCCAAAAAGGTAACATTTTCTTAAAGGCTAAGGTGGCTAACTGAAGTGCAAATACTCTTCCCATGGCAGACAGTCTCTAGTTAGTGTTTGAGGGATAATTGACTGCGTAAAGCTATAACGAATGTAGTACCGCTGATGACGGCTAGTTAGCAGGAAGCAATGCCTCATCTCAGTGGCAGTAGAGAAATATTTGTTACATCCACATTAGGCGTTTAACCATGTAGTTGACCGTCTGAGATAGTAATCCAGAGGTGTGCTTACTACCATAACTCATAAAATAATGACCGGGGTCTCTCCAAAGGCGGTCAATGGTCACTAAAAAAAAGACCGCAAAAAGTGATCTCTGAATAAGAAACACGGCACACCAGAGTTTAAGACATGAACGACCTTTCAATTCAATGATGCCTATGGATTCCGTGTGTTGAAGCTAGGATCTCCATGACAAGAAAACAAATACGGCCAATAGCCTTGGCTTTCCAAAATGAAAATAACACTTATTGATGTTTAATACATCCCCATCCAAAGTCGCATCAACGCGGCTCTACACTCAGCGCGCAACAAATCTCCAATGCCTTGGGATACCAGAAGATGCATTTCACGAGATATTGAGGGACTTGGATAACAGTCGCAGCTGGTCATCAGAAAGACCGATATATTTCATGCAGGCCGATCCACACGGCTCTGGGCGAGGGCCGGTGCCGCCACAAGCACCGATCAAGATAGCATTTAGATTCATGCAAGCAGGGGGGATATTGTCGAATTGAACCGCTTATAGTATTTTCTGTTAGCGACTTCATGTGGGGGTGGAAACTTTCCAATGACTGAAGGGCCAAACTTACTGCCAGCTGAGAGAACTGTTCCAATGACGCCAGTGCTCTGAGATTCAAGTTGATCATGGCATTGAGCGAAGTTGTACATGGGAACATTGCAAGCTCCAACACTGGAGTCGAAATGTCTCGAATTCATGCCGACACTTCGAGAATCAATACAGCCAGGACCCGGATGCTTGGAACAATATGTAATGACGGAACCCCCAATTGCCGCAGGGCCGAGGCCAATTAGGCCGATAATGTCCGCAATTATGCCGATAGGCATCTTGTAGTTGTCAAAAGAAGTGACGACGAGTGTTGGAGTTTGATTGACAACAGATATTAATCTATGCGATGGGATTTAAGAGAGACAATCTCTGTTATTTTAACTCCTTCCTTCAGTGAAAGCCGCCGTATTTCCACTAATCACATGCCACCAAATCCAATTATAACATCGCGGTCTGCAGCTTGCCGTCTGAAACTGCTCATTTGAATCCTTTGGGTTTATTTGCCATTGTTTGTGTGTAAAATGAGGCTGCGATCCGACGCCACCATTTTAGGCACCATTGGACGTAATCGAGCTTGAGTTTTCGTATTTTTGATTGCGTGGGCTATTGACCATGGAGATCTCTCCGAGCTGGCATCATCTTGAGGCAGGTTTAATACGGGTAACCGATCTCTCAACGTAGTAATGTTTGTTCCTACAGACCCTGGAAGTTTGATATCCATCGTATGTAAATTCCACTGCGAATCAGACGCTAAAACGATGATATGTTGGAATTTACGAATCTGCCTTCACAGGGATCAATCAAGCGGGAGGCAAAAGCCCACACCCATGTTTACTGGACTTATTAGAGAAGCTCTATAAATGCAGCTGCCGTTCTAAGAAAAATATCCAACGCATTGCTTTTATAATTCATAATCCCGTTTTGGCATACAACGACAGACATTATGGACTCAGTTCTAGATTTCCACCCACTGGTATGGTGTTTTTTCGGGACCGTCTTTTTTCATTTTGCTATTCAGCAGCCACGTTCTTTATCGAGACATCTTCTTGGTGCTTTTCACGTTTCAGTCGTAACAATAACCGTCTCCCCATGGTATGACATCAGCCGCTTTGCCTATCACCAGATTCTGGCCCCATTTATCATATACGGGACTATTCATACGATATCAGTGCTCTATATTGACGGGTATTTTGTGCATTCAGGGCTTGGTCCTGTGTCTGTGACCAGTCGGCTGAGAGACAGCTTTCGGTTGTGCAGCAATATACGCAGGTTGAGCCTCATTGATAGCGGCATGGATAGACCGATCAACAGAAAACGGATACCTTTCGCCATGCGACGGTTTTGTAACGTCGCAGTGGTATGGGTTATGTATCGCCTGTGTACCGTATTAACCATTCATGTCTTACATGAGCTGAATGTTAGCGCTTGGGACTTCACACTTCCCAACCAAAGCATTCTGCCACCGATGACCCCGCGGGATCTATGCCTTCGCGGGGTGATGTCTGTGAATTGGATTTGGAGCTCCTATGCAATTCTTTCTGGAGCACACGGCCTCTTAGCAATCCTGTTTGTGTCTCTGTTGGGCTGTGACCAACCCGAAGAATGGCCACCATTATTTGGTAATATCACGCAAGCCTATTCACTACGACGCTTTTGGGGCATCGTTTGGCACAAGCTTCATACTAAACCTTATGATTCCTTCATGTCACCTCTGTTCCAGCCACAGCGTGAGCAATGGGGTTTTATTCACAAATCTCTACGGGCGTTTTTGATGTTTTTCCTGTCGGCAATTTGCCACGCGTTGTCGAACAGGGCGGTATCTAAAAAAACGCACATCGTCTCCGAGATTCACTTTTTTCTCCTCAATTATGTTCTGTGCTTGACAGAGACGGTCGGAGAATGGACGGTGGAGCATACGCTGAAACTGGATTGGAGGTTAAGGCGAGCAGTCGGTTATACCTGGGTACTATTTGTCTTCATCTGCCTTGTCCCAGGATGGAGATATCCTTTAGTATTAGACGCTGCGTATAGCTTGCCAAGATAGGCAGTATAATGTCTCGTCCAAATGTTTACCATCCCTAGAGAAGGCGATATGGATGAAACAACATTGAAGTCTGTCATTGCTGTCTTAATGCGGAGTTATCCACCATAGGTAGTATTGATCAGGTGTCATGGAGAGGGCTTGCCTACGGCTTAGAATATCTCGTAGGGAGCATGATGCTTGAAATTTGGCAAAGGATGATTAGAGAAAATATGGGCAATGTGTACATAGCGCATCATTATTGGTGATCTTGGGATGAAGTTGGTCTGTGCTAGCAATTTGCTAGCGGCACAGTACAGGTCCTTTTGTTTTCATGCCAGCAACATGCCGCGTTTAACATTCGAATTTCAGCATACTGCATTTACCTTACCGAATCGCGGCTTTACTTTCCATGGCCCTCTTCATACAAAGCATAATCTACTAATGATAGAATAAAAAAGCAAAAAACAAAGAAATGCCGCTTCGCCGTGGAAATTTAAAAGAAGAAATTGCCACTCTGCCACACGGGCCATTTAATGGCCTAATGATATCAATCCGTGAATGAGACGGTCGATATTTGGGCCAACAGCCAAGTGCCAATAACAGTGACGGGAGCAAATAATATCTCAGTTTCAGGACGATTTTAGTGCGATAAATATTTTCCAGCCATCAGAATTGTGATTTGCAACCAGATTTCACATAACTCTAAACCAGCTGTCTCCTGCGAGGTGATAACTCTTCATCTTTTCACAACACTTGAGTCATCATTCGACTTATCGATACCAGATACCATGATTGGAAACCATGAAGGCGTCATTACCACTCAAGATGTATTGGAATACGAACCCAGTCTACCGCCTAACTACTCCTCCCATGACCAAAACGTCCTGATCCCACCGGTATATAGAGCAGCAGCACCACTGTGCTATCGCCGCTTTCCTTCAATCATGACAATAAAAGCCGGATGGTCAAAATCTTTTAGGATATGCGACACAAACTCAGACGAGGTCCTCTACTTGGCAAAATTCCACCCCTATGGTTGGTCATGTCCAAAACCGCTGGGCGCAAGGGGAGGGTTTATATTGCACAACGGAATCAGCCATCAAGATGCCATTCTCGCTGCCGCAGGCGACATAACACTTTTCGAGCAAAAGATTAACCCTTTTAGCAACAAGAGTCACATTATGCTCCCGCCACTGGCTAAAGACGATAAGAGACAGGCGTCGCGAGAGGTGACGGAGACGGAGACGATGACCGCAAAGTCAGTGGCAAATAATGGGGTCGTATTTCACTTCTTCGTTGAAGCTGGGAGAGCCATGAAGAGAGAAAAGTTCGAATGGAGGAGATGTGCTGAAGAGGGAGTCGCGTGGAAGCTCGTGAGATGCCCCAGTTCATCTCGAAAGGTCCCTCCCGAAAGAGAGATCGTCGCCAAGCTATCCTGGGTGCCTGTTTCGTTGGCAACCTTGCTGGATCCATTGAGCCTCAAGTCAATTTTTACGCTCCAATTTGTAAATAGTCTCAAATCGGGCATTTTGGGCGAGCGATGCGCTCTTACTGTAGTCTTGAGTGCTTTGAGATTGTGGCAGCTACGTACAAAGGGGAAACACAAGAGGTCGTATATTAGAATTGGTGAGAGAATGGGAGAGAAAGACATTCAGATGGCGTAAGTAGATGATTCAGATGCTTTGTTTAATTTTGGACAATTCTTTCTTCGTGAATCTGGATTGACCAATCTTTTTAGCATACATATCACAGTAGACATTGATGTTCAAATAGATTAGGACGTTTTATGACTGGTAACATCGTCCCGCATCGCCCTATATTTCGAAGGAACATGTCCTTTCGTATTACCTATTTCACGTGAACGCATCTGACTCGTTCAAGCCGCGCCAATCATACCCAATGGTGACTGCAGCCAACCCCTCACATTCTTGTTATCCAGACAGCTCTGACCTCTCTTCATCGAACATTCTACTATCCTTAAATCCATATCGTTAATTATGGGATACTGCGAGCTGTGCGACGAAAACTTTGGTTCCGTGGGAGCTCTGATGCAGCATCGGCGAGATTCACCCCGCCACAGGTATTGTCTGCGATGCGAAAAGCCGTTCAATTCATTGTCGGCCCTAAGTCAGCACATCCGCGGTTCACCGAAGCATCACCTTTGTCACTTATGCCCTGGCTCTCTTGACTTCTCTAGTTTGGATGCGTTACATAGCCATCGAGAGACCGTTCATCACTACTGCAATCCTTGCAATCGCCGCTTTAATACTTCGGGGCAGCTTCGAGATCATGATATTTCGGAGCATAATATGTGTAGTGTCTGTGGGAACTACTATCAATCTCCTTCAAATCTCAAGGCCGTAAGCCCCTTTGAAGCTCCTCATCGAATTCCCCATCTAACCGCATCTAGCACCTCATTACTCACCAACCAAAGAATAAAGAATGTTTTGGGTGTTACAAGATGTTTTCATCATGGTCAGCTATGCTACTACACATGGAATACGATGGCTGTCCATCAGAAGTGGATGAAGACGAGATAATTGGTATTGCTCTTGAGTGCTATCAATATAAGCGTTACAGGTGCGATGATGGAGAGAATAACTTTGAATGCCCAACATGCGCGTCGCCATTCTTGCATATGAGTGGCCTTTTACAGCATGCTGAGAGCGATGCCTGCCGGGAAAGTCTCTCACAAGGACGGCCTTTGTCAAAATTTCTACACTTCCTACGGATACGACTAGCTTGAGCGTCTGATTTATGTTCTCTGTTTTCTGCGGTAAGCCCAAATGCTTTATGTGGAAATTTTCTGCGAGGATTACATAGGCGTTATGCTCTCCTTTTTTACTTCTTTCGAGTTTTATCCGCCGCGGTTGATGGATGTAGACCCAATAAATTGAGTGGTGCTACATACATATACTGCATTGAGTCAGAATATCCTTTCGATTTCTTGGTACATGACTTCACGTGTCCCGTCGCCCTCTCTCCCTTCAATAGTCCTGCTTCAGCTCCATCCCTCCCCCATGTTGAATCTAATTCCAGCTTATCATTTGTCAAAATTCTACTGGGTTATTTTGATACTAGTTAGTCTATAGAAAAAGTCGAAGACTTCTTGAATGCTCTATCGAATAACCTTGGATTGGTTTCAACAGGTAGCAGTTCAAGCACTCTTAAACTGCTCCTTGCCAAAGGTGCCCACCAAGTCCACTGTCAACTCGTTCTTAGCGACGATATCGGCTTTACGGGCCACCAGTTCTTCAACATCCCAGTTGGCTGCAATGACCCTCCCGCTGAGGAACGCAGAGCGTTCTGCATCGGCTGCAACCCAAGTACAAAGTCCTCCAGTCAACAGAGGTGAATCCATATTAAACTTCTCGAAAAAGGGATGCATCATGTCCGTGGCCACGAGACCAGGATGGATGCTTACAACAGTGAGTGTACCTCCGTATGCAGCATTGAGCATGGTACACCACTGTTGGCTGGCAAGCTTGCTGACGCTGTAAGCGCCGGACACGGGATAAACCAGCCACGCTGCGGAAGATGAGATGTTGATAATCGTAGCAGGCGTAGTCGGAGATGGAAGGCCAGAGATGAAATATTTCGAGAAGACAAAGAATCCCTTGACGTTGATTTCCTGGAATCAGACTAGCAATTAGCGTGCAACATTCTCAATACAGGGCATGGAAAGCGGTGGGTGACTCACAAAGTTCTTCCACCATTCGTCAACCTCGGCTTCATGCAGTATCGGGCCTCCTTCATTATTGGCCGTACTGACCGCTGCATTATGAACCAGTGTATCTGCGTAGCGGCCGAATCGTGCCTGGATCTTGTCGAAGAGCTGCCCCACTGCCTTCTCATTCGTGATATCCAACGCAACAAGCAAAGTTTCGATCTTAGGGTTGATTGCAAGAACCTCGCGCTCTACTTCCTTCAGCTTAGCCTCATCTCGGGCAACGAGAACTAGGCCATGAACCCCGGCTTTAGCAAATGATGGCACGATACCCTGGAAATGACAACGAATCAGCTTGACGGCCCGTCGCGTTATGGGACTAGATTCGGAAGATTGCTGACCCTAGCCCCAATACCTCGGCTTGCGCCAGTAATAATGACAATTCTCCCCGCAAGTGAGTTGGTTGGATTGGTTGGGTCGATAGGGGGATAGACATCCTGGAAGGTCTTTTTGGTGTACTGCAGGGAGGAGACAAAATAATCCGGGGGTAAGTCCGCCATGATTGTGACTAGAGATGCAAATGGTATTGAGTTTGGTCTAATATAGAATATACAGATACGCTGCTGCTATACGACTTGAAGAAACCCATTGCTTGGGCTCTCTTTTCAATATACATCACCTCCGGAATTGCGGGGAGTGGTGGTAGCGGTTTGTAATGATGGGCAACTTTTCGCGCGGGATTTCTCTATGAAGCTTCCACCGAACATGGTGTCCGCCTCAATATTTGATCATTAAGCATTCCATAAGAATTACGGAATCATAACAAAGCTCATCCTATCTAAAATAGATGGATATGTGTACTTCATGCTCACGCGATCGGCCGACATCATAACAGCGTTTTACAACGTCTTACCTACATTGCGGCCGCTTCCTGGTCCTTCGGCCGCTCCCTAGTCATTCAGCCTAGCTGTATTCCGTATTTGAAGAATATTATCTGCATATAGATGCAGGATCTATTCTGAATCTACAGGAACTAATTATAAGGCGTAGATTAATTTGTCGTGGATTTGGGGAGTGGAAAATCGCATTGACACAGTGATGCCCTGGTGCTACGGAGTTAGCGATAGTCGAATTGGGCAACGCTTCGGGACTAGAGTCGCTTGTCAGATGCTCACTTACAACAAGCCGTAAGCAAATAGACACCCCCTAGCTTTATCGTCACCAACTATATCGAGAAAACAATGACGTGCGTGAGTTCAACGTGTAGAGATCCAAGAAATATGTTCAATTGCAAACAAACACTGGGTCGCGGGGCCTCTCGGTCAATTCAGTTGTTAGCAACCCGGATATACGATTGACGCCGGATGTACGATTACAAATCCAGATTCAGCCCCCCTCCCCCTAAAATTTGCCAATCGTTGCTATTGATGCTTCGATGGTTAGCATCTAATAACTCCTTGTAACGAGACGTAACTAAGCTCTTGATGATCTTATAGGTTGAATCCTAGTTGGACTATTCTCTTCTCCACCTACTCAGCTGCGCTGCGTGTGGCCGAGTGACCGAGGATGAGCATCTCGATGGTATCAACTCAATTAATAATACGGAATATGAGCCCGCGACAAGCTTAGTTGCCAGTTATCTCCATTATCTCCACAAAACAGGAGGAAACTTACCCTGGGAAGTAAATACGCTTTGCGTATTGCCTCTTTCAGGGTTTTTACATCTATAAAAGGCATTACATAGATCCTGGACTTTAATTAAGTTATTGTCTAAACCATCTATCACTTGAGTTACCATTTAAATCTCTACCATGGTGTATTCCGGACCAAGACTTGTTTTCGGCACAGCCAACTTCAACACAGGCGCCGCATTCCCTACCGCCGAACAGGCTGCCGAGGTACTCGATGCTGTTGAGAAACTAGGAATCAAGCAGCTTGACACTGCGCAACTCTACGGCACCAGCGAAGAAATACTGGGAAAACTCAAGGCGCCATCAAGATTTACCATTGACACGAAGCATATTGGAGGATGGCTTGATGGCCAATCAACACGAGCAAGAGTTGTCGAAAGGGGCCTGGAAAGCCTCCAAAAGCTGGGTGTTGACAAGGTACTCCCACTCTCTGTTCTCAGTGTGGTGTAAAGGCTTCATTCCACGGTATAAATCACTAAGATGGACGTACAGGTACACATTTACTATCTCCATGCACCCGATCCAAAAGAACCTCTTGAAGGAACTCTGGCTGGCATCAACGACCTGTATCTCCAGGGCAAATTCGACAAATTTGGACTGTCCAACTACAATGTAGACGAATTAAAGGCTGTTCTCAAGATTGTAAAGGAGAAAGGCTATGTCGCTCCTACTGTCTATCAAGGAAACTACAATCCCGTCGCTCGCAGGTCGGAAACTGAGCTGTTCCCTATTTTCCGAGAAAATGGCATTGCATTCTACGCCTACAGCGCAATTGCAGGAGGATTCCTGACCAAGTCATCGGAGCAGTTGCAGAAGGGATCCGGTGGTGAGGGCAGATGGAGCAAAGAAACGGGCATTGGACGGATGTACCACACCTTGTACAACCGACCAAAGTTCTTGGAGGCACTGGATATCTGGAACGAAGCGTCCAATGTGTCAGGCATTCCAAAGGCTGAGCTGGCATACCGATGGGTTGCCTATCACTCGGTACTCAAGGAGCATCTGGGTGATGGAATTGTTCTCGGTGCGAGCAGGATTGCGCAGCTGGAGCAAACTGTCGCGGGCCTAAACAACGGGCCGTTACCAGAATCAGTTGTGAAGACGATTGAGGAGGTTTGGGAGCTTGTAAAGGATGAGTCGCCGATGGATAACTATGACACTCTCCGAAACTAAGCATAGGGATGTATTTAAAATAGGGTATACAATAACACAGTGACCATGCCGTCTTTTGTCGCATGGATGTTACATCGATTTGTGGTGCACCAAAAAGAGTTGGGGGTGTAGGTCGTATTAAACAATAAAATTTCCGATACAACAACCGCCAATGTAACCGACTCCTTTTGGCAATGAACTTTTCCAGACAAGTTCATTCGTCATCAACTCCTGAAACGTCAGAAACAACGTCATTGCGTATTCTCTACTACGAAGCTTGTAATAGTTGCTTACGTACATGAGAGGCTCAGACTGGACAAGACGGTCTGCGCTACGCTCGACGATTTATACATTAATACTCCGCTGGGTAAAGTTCTCTCGGTTCATCTTAAGCTTACAAGCGGCCCCGCAGTTTCAACATCCGTGTATCCCAAAAGGGAGGAGAAGAAATCGGGCTCCGGAGGGCGGCACTAAAGAGACACCGCGTTGCCATCTCCAAACACTAACGCGGAACTTGGGCATGAACCTTGTCAATCAACCATCCACAACTCGCCAACATGAGTACCGCGTCGACGGAAAACGCGGCATCCAACGACGAAGCTGGGACCGTGAGTCCGACTGGGCTAAACCGCACTTGTGAAGTATGTCTTTGCATTGATATTCATCCTCTTCCCATCACGGCGCCTCCATACGAGATGCTCACGTTGTATGATTCAAGGGTTGTCGACAGCGAAAGATAAAATGCATCAATGGATCGCGTCGCTCAGGTGCGCAAAAGTGTGATCGCTGTTCCAAATTGGACGTGGACTGCGTGTTTCGCCCTCCCGCCATTAGACGAAGGCGCAATAAGAACGACACACGGATCAAAGCCCTCGAGCAGAAGCTACAAGAACTCCAAGATGCGATTTCCGAGACTCCGGCTCAACTCAATGCGGAAATTCCATATTCAGATCCATTGAACTCTGAGTTTATGAATGCATCTCTATTCTCAGACCCTCAGCAGCAACCGACTTCTCTGGAAGATATCCTGCCTCCTTTGGCATTTGTCTCAACGGGCGATCCTTATTTAATGTTAGATGATCCTGTGTCGGTCGGCCTAGTTAGCTCTGAGTTCGCTCAGGACATGTTTTCGACATTTTGTGTGGATATGGCACCGATTTACCCTCTGGTGCTTTTGCCTTCACACTGGACGTGGCAACATACCAGGAACATCAAACCTGCTCTTTTCAGGGCGGTTCTATCGGTTGCCTCAAGCAGTCATGAACCGGAATGTTGCAAGATGTTGTTTCGCAATACTGCGAAATACGTAGCTGAAGAGGTTGCTATGCACGGTAACAAGTCTCTCGATTTGATTCAGGCATACCTCGTTCTATCAGCATGGTACTGTCTCGTGGAGGATTTTCAAAAGCTAATGTTCAGCCAATATGCAAATATGGCTGCCTCATTAGTTCTGGACTTGATGTCTTCAAATGACGAGCAGTACAGGATTCCATCGGCAAATGAACCATTTGTCCACTCGGAACAGTTGATCGAAACCTGCAGAACATTTATAGCATGTTACTTTCTTTCTTCGAGGTGCGTTCTGAAGCTGTATCACGATGTAATAATCCCAATACTAACAGGTACTCAAGTATGGCGTTTTCATTCCGACGGCCTTCCGTCCTCCGTCATGAACCGTGGCTCGACGATTGCATCAAGGTACTCGAGACAGCTCCAAGCGTTAATCCGAACGACCGACGACTCATAGAATGGACCAAGCTCCAGCTAATTGCAGAAGAAAGCATGTCAATGACTGGACTGTATAGTGGATCGCGTGTCAACTTCTCAGATGATAGCATCTGCCGGGTTCTGAGATATGGCGTGGATCGTGCGACAGCGTGGAAGCGACAAGTTCTCACAGACATTTTACACAGTAATTCAACCCAATGGGATCACCAAATTGTTTGATTATGGCAGCTAATGACAAACAGAGCCGATGATAATCCACTACCACATGGTTTTGATAAGCCTCCATGAGCCGGCATTCTACGACGGGCACGACATGGAAGATTTCCGGCCGCCGTACAAACTACGACCTCTACCTCTGGCCAAGAATCTGGACAACTATTATTCCTTGAACGTCGCCAACTCACTTGCCCAATGCGTCGCGTCAGCGCAAAAAGTGATTCACACTTTCTTGGACATTCCAATTGAGATTCTACAAATAATGCCAGTCATTGTTTTCACCAGAATCACATATGCGGCTGTAATTCTAATGAAGTTTGATGTTTCTGCCCGGGTACCGCAGAGCGTGGCATGCCTATTGGACGATATCGAATTTAACCCAAAGGTGCTCTTGTTACAGTTGCTCAACAAACTGACGTTGGCCGAAGGGAGCAAGCGGTTTATTATACCAGCTGTCTTTCGTGGGGCTTTATCAAGGATGACGAGGTGGTATATTGACCAGTTTGAGAGCTTGCAAGCGCCTGATCAAGGTGATATTTTTGAGCCTATGATGCATGTGGGAATTGATGCTCAGCGCAGTCCTGATACTGGTCTCAGTCAAGCTGGCAGCGTTGCATCAGATACCAGCGTTCTGCCTTTGCACCACTTCCATAGAGAATTTTTATAGTTTTTAATACGATTAATCACGTTTGGTGGTAAACATACGATACACATATTATAATCTTCTTCAACTGAAAAGTCGCGTCTCCATACGTTTAAAAGTAAATTTTTTAAAGTGATAGTAATGACATGGTATCGAAGAGGTTAAAAGAAAAGCATGATGGATGGATATTTCAGTTACTGCTGTATGTGCGGACGAGGCCAGCGATGTGAATACGTGCGTCCGTTTCTCTCTCGACTTACAGATTAAACGCTCAGGAGGCAGCCTCAAAGAGAAGATTATGAGATTAGATCTTCATTTAATCTCTCGATTCTCTAAATGCGAGAATCAATGTCCCTAATACTGGTAGTAGTTATGCATCAAATTACGCTTGTGGCCCCCAAGTGGCGATTCTACAAGCGCGGCTTTTAATAAGTACCGCCCTCCGTCCAAGTGCGGCAGTGACCCGGACTCCCCCGTCCCGATAACACGGAAACTCCTTAGAATGTCAGATCTGAATTAACTACCGAGCGCCGATTTCAGGTACCAGATGTTGCATTACAATGCCGAATCACATACGCTGGAGGCCAAGCCACTCTGAGCAAGACGTGTTGCCGCGCGTGCTATTGTCGTTTATTGCGTGGCCGTCTTGTCTCTTAATAGCATCTAATGATATATAACAATTGCAAAGGCGCTGTACCTGCATATAAATAGTCTTGTATATATCATCATAACAATTGAAGTACACATACTAACAAACGATCCTCTTACATACACCACCCAGCACCAATTTCTGCAGCCAATATGAAGCTCAGGGAAACCTTTTTGCTCGTCTTTTCCAGCGCAACTCAATTGGTGACCGCCAATCCCACACCTTGCGATAATATCACAGATGCGTCGACGTTGTTGGGGAGCATCATTGACTCAATTGGAGGATCAAAGGCCTTGAAAGAGGTTCAGAGATTGGTCTTTAAAGCGGAAGGGTAAGTAGCCTATGATACTATACTAATCAGAGACATGTGACAAATATTAACAATTACAGTATTTACCGATCTCAAACTCTCACGCAAAACTACAACCTCTATCACTCGGACCAGTCTGTTGCTGAGACCGGCTCGGAAACCTTGTCCTTTGACTTGTCTTCGGGACTACGAGCTCGCATCGACCGATATTACCGATACAATGACTATTGGATCTGGTCCCAACCCGGTCTTGAGCCCTCGATGAATTATACCATTGTCTTGAAAGATGGTTCAGATGGCTTTGCATGCTTCACAAAGGCACAAAACAACTTTTTCGTGGACGACCCAACCCAGACAATAGGATATGTGGATTCATACCTAGCAGATTACCTGATCCACCAGGCACAGCAATTTGCCCTACCTTGGTTGCTGCAGCAGATGAGCTCGGCTTCATCTCGCCTCCATACTTATGACATGATTGAACCTCTCACGAACAATCGATTCAAGGTTTTGGAGCTTGACGGTTCTGACCTGAGCCTGATTGTAAATGCCACGAGTCATAGGCCTTACAAGATACGCTTCTTGGAAAATCACGCGACTTTTGGAAAAGCTACCAATGATCTCCTGCTGTCGAACTACTCCGCCGTGTCCTTCGACGACAAGTCCGGTCACCGTCTTCAATTGCCTTATCGCCTGCAAACAATTTATAACTCCACAGATGTTCTGGAAGATGTTAAGCTAGACAGCATCTCCATTAATCCACCGATGAAAGCCGGCCTTTTCGATCCCGTTCTCTCGCCCAAGGACACAACAACTCCTCAGGCACCGAAGCAAAGCAAACTATACCCTCGCTCTGAAGTCCACGAATTCTTTGAAGCTGGTCTCTGGGGTGGCCCATTTGAGTCCTTCTTCAACACTTCAGACGTTTTTGTTACGTATCCAATCCCCGACATCCCCCAGATTATGGCTGTGTATGTCGGCTACGCAGACTACGTGCAACTGGTTCTCAACTTCACCGATGGTGTTCTCATTACCGATGCGGCACCTCATCGATCTCGAATTCTTATCCAATGGGTCAAAGAAACGCTCCATAAATCGGTCACGCACATTGTCCCCAGTCATCACCATCGCGATCATGCTGGAGGTGTACCCGACTATGTCGAGGCTGGAGCCGTAGTCGTCGTCCCTGAAGTAGCCAAGAAGTATTATTCCAACATCAACAACGGCAATGTTAAATTCGCTACATACAATGAGAAGAATCCTTTTGGGCTCAAAGATGCACACATCCAATTTCGCTCGTTGTGGAGAGATGAGAATCCCCATGCTCGAGATTGGTCGTACGGCGTCGCAACTTCGGCCTGCCCAGCGAAAAACGAAGGAGTGGTTGCATTTGTAGCGGACGTGTGGAGCCCCGATCCTGATGATGGAGGCATGGGAGATGCTGTGCGATTCGATATTGGATATGCAAGACAATGGCTGGATGCTGCTGTGGACGATGGGTTGCCAAGAAGCACCGTGGTGGTTGGAGCGCATGGAGGAAACACCACGATCGACAAGCTGGAGAGTCTGATTAGTATTACCGGGTATGAGTATCCCAACTTGGAGACGAATGATTGGAAGGCTGGTGGTGCCCTTTGCAAGCACCACTAGTTGATGAATAGGTCTTGATGCTTGTCGAAAGGGGACAGGACTAGGTAAGGATTATTCCATTCACCAAGGGATGGGTAGTGCGTTTGTCTTGTCAATGAAGATCAGCCACTCCCTTTTCTGTTTATCATAACTACTCTAAATCATCTCTTTTTTACTTTAGAATTAGACCTCTGTTATCTTAGTATTATGTCATGTTTCATCACAATAGAGTGGTGCTGTAGCTTATACAGCTGATTAAACCTCGATAGCATTATAGAGTGCACCAGGTCATACTTTCAACTATGAATGCGAATGCATATATGTGTAAATACGAAGTGACGGTTATACATAAATAAATCAACTGTAAACGATGAATTTTATACACAAGTATAAATGTTCATTTCACTGTCTACCCTGATAAGCCTCTCCATTCACGGAACACCAGTGAGTCAAATTTCGGCTCTTCGATTGGCGTATTGGCTAGGCTGCCCACTGATCGCCGCCCGAATGCACGGTACACAAAGCCCGGTCGCCCTTGCATGAAGGATTCGACAGGGATGTCATGACAAATTACCTCAGAGAAGGTCAGTGACAGTCCAATGCGTCGAGAGGCTTGACTTGGGCGTCGCACTGAGACACCAATCAACGAGCCTCACCTATAGGATATCTATGTCACATGGCAATATCCGAGCCTCGAAGATGGGTAGTGAAATGTTTGCAAGATGCTCAAGACTGAACTTTGCAGAGTAGTCAAAGAAGCCTACAAAGCGAGAATCGCATCAGTTTATTCCTCGAACGAATACGTAAGAGGTTTCAGATCTGAGATGATGATCGAACTATGTGAATGAGTACAATTAAATTACCATGCTGCGCTAATCAGCCGTCAACCAGCCACCCTCATCAAAAATGCGGTGCGGCTGATCGCCACCCCAAGTAATTGTGTCAAAGCGTCAAGGGAGAGCGGCTTCATCGATGCGGAGATCGGCCGTATCGCGATACAAAGATCCCTGCAGCTCGGGAGAGATGCGTGGAGTCAGATCCTGAGAGCAGTTTCGCCCACTACGGTTATCATGCGTATGTCTCGGCCGACAGGATTGCGTTACCAAAGTTGACACCAATCCTACTATGCTTCACGTGTAAGCCTCATTCAATTTCGCCCGATTGTGTTATGTTAGCCGCAATGCCAAGCCCGACTTTCCTTGTTATTCCTTGCCATCTTACCCTACTTTTTGGCCATATTTTCTTTTTCCTCTCCCGGAACGCAGCCAATCCGTGAGACATGTCTTGGATGGTTGGACGCCCAACATGACGGATTCCAGGTACTCGTCTCCCCGACCCCAGCTCAAGTCAAATTTCTCTCCTTGCGTTGTTGATCCTAAAGGGTATTACTTGATCCCAGCGTGATTTTGAACTAGATGACATGGGATTAAGCTTAAGCGAAACCTCCACGTTATGAGTGCTTGTAGGCAGCCTTCCCATTTTCCCGCGATGTGAAGGAGCTGTCATAAAAGACGGCCTCCGCACACCCATGACCGCCAAGATGATAGCCCAAAATGTCTCTCATTACTCTAGGAAGAGTAACTAGTTGTGACACAGCATTTATTAGTCTGGTGATCAGCAACTCCAGAACAGAAACCTTCTTCCAGGTTTGGACAAGAAAAGACATCCTATGTAAGGGAGGGGAGCAGTAATACTTGAACAATCGCTGAGATGGATATAATGACTGAGACCTAAATCCCTTTCAGCCCCTTTCTAGATTCATGGATCTTTATTAAAATGATTGTGCATTGGATGATCATTTTGAACACTCTCATTATTTAGCATTCACTCGTTATTGCATCTCTCCAAGAGAGGCCACCACTATGGCATCTGTTTACACACTTCCGCCGAGTCCCCCCAACTGGGACAAGGTTGGCGTATTCTACATCTCTTGGTGTGCATCATGGACGACGTTTCTCATCACAGGCATGGTTTTCTGCTGGTACAACAGAAACCTCCCTGTGCTAAAGATTCGCGGCCTGCTACTGTCGTTCTCCGCTATTGCATTTCTGCACATATACTGGATCCTCGCACAGATCACATATCCTATTGGGGCGACCATGCCACTAGTTCTCGCATACGACATTCAATATTTCTTCATGAGCCTCTGGTTCCCTCTGGGAGTCGCACTCTTCCACGCGTCCAATCTCCGCTTCCTTCGCGTGGCAAGACTGCAGAAACAGTTTACTCATCCTTCCCGTCGGGTCGAGCCCGGCTGCAATGGCACGAGAACTTCGTGGCTTTGCCGCCTAAGAAATATGGATCATACAAAGCGAGCCTTGCTTTTCATTGGTCTCGGAATGATTGTCCAGGTGTGTTTGTCTAAGACTCCGCGTTGGCAAAGCGCGAGTTTTCTTCTTCCCTTTGCTCACGTGCTAAACGTTGCATTCAGGTCCTCCTCACCGTCGGTATGTGGGTAGCATGTCGAAAATACCATCCGACATTTGGCATTCCTGGTACCGAACTTCGTGGCGCGACGATTCCCGAGCAGCTGGTGGACTTGGGTCGAGGGTGGGAATGGTGGCCGTCGGTGCTATGGCAGGTTGTTTGGACTTGGATCGTAAGTCATGATTTATAATAAGAACGCAGCGGTGATTAAGTTCTTCGTAGATTGCACCCTTTCTGATTTGGCGAGCATGGGGAATCCGCGATACTATGGGATGGCGCACACAAACCATCGGATGCTGTATCTCCAAGTACGCTGGCCATTTTTCTCGAAAGGACTTTTTGGTATAACTAACAATTCATCTAGTCTTCATGCGACGCCGATGTTCCTAATTTCGTCCTATGTCCCTGCCTTTGAAAAGGTCAATCGATACTTCACACCGAGCCAATGGTGAGTGCTCCCGAACGGATTGAGTGAATGAAGTAAGCTTACTGAAAGCCCATCAATTATACAGGATTCACTTATCCATTCTTATGTTTGAAATCTTCACTGTTTTCGTTCCCGTCTTCGAAGTGTTCAAATTTTGGCTTCGGCAAAAGAAAGCAGCGCGTTCAAATGCCAAATGGGGTACTTCATCTGACGATACGCCGCCTAGCCCATCCTCTTCAGAAAATTGGATTATCTCTTCCAACACATCAAGCCCGAAGGGAAAAGCTATCGACATGTTTCAGGAAGATCTAGGCGATCGCTTTTTGACCATGAGCGCCCTCGAATTGGTCCTCACCGAGGATCCACGCCCTCTGCAGGAATTCTCTGCTTTGAGAGACTTTTCTGGAGAGAACATCGCCTTCCTAACAAGTGTTGCACAATGGAAGTCATTATGGGGTGAGAAGTTGAGTAATGAACAGAAACGCGAAGTATATAATGGCGCCCTGGAGATTTATGTCGACTATATCAGCCCCAAAGATGCCCAGTTTCCCCTGAATCTGGCCTCTGGCGAGCTCAAACGCGTTGAGAATATTTTCGAAAAAGCCGCTCGCGTTGTTTGTGGAGAGCAGGATATCAACCCAGCAACTCCTTTCGACATTGAAGTTGCCCCTTGGCGGTGTGATGCTGATGGTCCGTTTGAACTAACCGGCAGGGTCACTACCAGGGTGAAATATGACGGCGAAATTCCTGATGCTTTTGACGTGACGGTGTTTGACAGCATACAAAGCCATATCAAGTATCTGGTCTTGACAAATACATGGCCCAAGTTTGTAGAAGAGATGCAGGCTAGGAAACGACGGTCGAGCGAAACGGCGCGGACGGTGAGAAGCGAGGGCACGTGGAAGTCTGGATCAACAATCACAAATCGGATCAAACACCTGGTCCATCAAATAATTTAGGTAAAATTGCATATATGTCAATACATGCACCATCGGGCTGGGCCATCCCTTAGTTTAAAGGTTAATAGGTCTGTGGGTTATCACATCATGTTCATGTAATCACAAGGGACATACATCTACCATAGATAGTAATTTTGTAGTCAGCACATGCGATGGAGTCTTTAACACTCCTTGTGGAGCGCATTTGACAGGAACACATGCAAATCGGGCAACCCATACCCCGTAGCTCAGCCCTAGCATGCAGGTCCGTGGAGAGCATGATGTAAATGCCGATGGAAAGGGAGCCGATATTAGAAATGAGGCTTTCTTATAAATGGGTTGAATACCGATGCAGTAAATGGAGATAATAGTTATGGAGCAACGGTGAAATAAACCATTGGTCAGCCGTCTAGCTTAGTCGCAGTTTTTCCGCCTCTGATTCCATAGCTGTGGATATGGGACTATGTTGGACAAGGATGACCTTTGTCTCGTTAGAGTAAAGCTTTAGAGTATTCTCGACCCTGAACCTTGTTTCGGTATCCGCAAGCCTTTTTGGGTTTACCGTGTGGAGTACATCTGAAGACGCGAGATGCGGGAAGCTAATCTAGAGTTACACGGCAACAGCCCTCTCACGTCCTCTCACGCCCTCTCCTACGTAGTAATCAGCCGAGGAATATGTAAGCAGTGTAAATGTTGCCGATGTTTACTAAGGACAGGCTATCGAGTTATTACCAATGCCACTAAGTTACCGACAGAGCGGATAAGAGGAATGGTTTGTCTCGGGATATAAGTATAGCAACTCCCAACAACAATGGCAACTGTATCCTTCAAGTTGTCTGTCTTCTATAACTCAACAGCTCTCCATTCGTTATAATCATCAAAATGCTCTTTCATCGGCTAATTCCTGTTTTCGCTGCTGCCGCTCAGGCACTGCCGCAGCCACCTTCGGCCAAGTGTCGGGATGTTCAAATCCCAATTACTGTCTCGACGCCTCGCTTCATTGTGACTGCATCTCTCAAGGATGATTGGGATGTAGCTGCTCTGACTCTCAACCTCACCCGTCGAGATTCAGGATACTCGGCTGACCCTCTTCCCATCAATGGGCAAACTTCTGCCTCGGTGAAGAGCACTTACACCGTGGGAGCTACATTGTGCGGCAATGGAGGCCCCACGTTGGTGCTCACACACGGTATTATTGAGTCCAAGCTGTAAGTCCTAGGTGCAAAATCTATTCAATGTAAGAGGAAGTGATGCTGACAGCTTTGGTGCAGCTACTGGAACCCAAGTTTCCCAGGAAGTCAACAGTACAACTTTGTCGACGCTGCCGTTGCCGCGGGCTACTCAGTTCTTAGCTACGACCGCATTGGCGTTGGATCATCACCAAAGTAAGTTGATACCAGTACAAATAATAGGTCTCTATACTAAAGAAATTCCATAACAGGGTCAACTCGTTGACAGACGCACAATTCCAAGTCGAGGTCGCCGTCTTGGAGGGCCTCGTCAATTACGCCAAGACCAAAGCCCATGCCAGCAAAGTCGTCCTCGTTGGCCACAGCTACGGCTCCTACATCTCCTCTGCAGCTGCCTCAAACATTGCCGTTGATGGCCTCGTCTTGACTGGCTTCAGCGGAACCTTTGACTACTTTCCTCCCTTTGTTGCCGGAGCTAACCTTCGCGTTGCCAAAACCCAAAACCCCCTGCGCTGGGGAGCGCTCGATTCAGGATACCTGACCACCGCAGATTTGTACGCCGAGACTTATGTCTACTATGCTGCTCCCTACTTTGAGCACAGCGTTGCCGAGTACACCTTCAATGTTGGCAGCCAGCCCTTTGCCGTCGGCGAACTCCCGTCGCTCCTCGCCACGACTATCCATTACAAGAACATCAAGGCGCCGGTTTACGTTCTCCAGGGCCAGTTTGACGTTTCTGCTTGTGGTGGAAACTGCGTTGGCGTGGTGAACAACACAAAGACCATCTTCACAGGCTCAAAGGCGCTTGAATACGTGGAGGATTTGCCTGCTGGGTGAGTACTCTGTCTTGGTCACCTCTTTTACAAGTCATCAATCTCTAACAAGGCTGCAGACATAATCTCAACTTCCACAAGGTCGCTCCTCAGGCATTCCAGAAGATCTTTTCCTTCTTGAACAAGCATGGAGTGAAGCCTTAATGCGTAGGCATCTTTCTAGTATATCAGGGCGATATTTACTCTTCATATAGATAGTTTTAATATATATGCTGAATAGCATATTTATAATCAATTTAGACATAATTTTACCTATCTCATTTAAAAGCTTATTCTAGCGACATCATTGACAAACACATATTTAGAAGGGTTCTAAAACTCCATCTAAACCATGAAGCGTGCACCTTGTAAAACTTGAAATTGCGATGCAGAACTTCAAGTCTATAATCAACCTCATTGAAGTCCTTACATGGTAGAATAGCTAAGGAACAACTCCTGCTTTGTCATGCCGTATTTTCCAAAGCACGAGGATCGTTGGCTTCACAGACTCGCTTTATAATTTACCAGCTGTGGCGGCGGGATCCGTCCTGGCATCGTCTTCTCCCAAGCACTCATGGCTTGTAGAATCTTTCCCTCATCCCCAGCCTTTGCCACAATGACCACGCCGTATTCTCTACCATTGTAGTTGTCAGCATATCCCAACGGCGCCACTCCGGCAGGGTATCCTGCAGCAGCAGCAACGGTGACAATCCGCCCGTCTAATGGTCCTATGAGCACTTCGGCCCCTGTATCTTCATAGATTCGGTCAAATCCGTCATCTTTGGCTATCTTGCGGATGATTGAGACAATATCTTGCCGCTTCTCCTCTGCCAGGTTACTCTTCAACGTATTTTCGAGCTGCTGTTGGCCCGGAAATGCTGGGACGTTGTCAACTTCTGGCTTCTTGCAACGGCTTTTCTCGTTCAGGTGATGTCGCTTACCTGGTGGAAGCTCCAAGTCTTTGTGATCAGAATTCCACTGTATCAGCTCCTCAACTGTGCGTAACGAGGATTCGGTGTATTCGTTGAGAAAAGAGTTGATTTCACCGCCAAGATATGAGTTCCATACCGTTTCAAGGGCATCCTCAACCTCCCAAGTAATCTCATCGACTTGTGGCAACACGACATTTTCCGTCACTTCTGCTCCAGACTTCCGGATAGTAGCTATAGCTTGGAGAAACTCGGAAATCTTTCAGATGATGAATGTCAATATTACAATAATTGGCCTAAATGATAAGCATGGCTTATACTTACTTGTTTTTCGCGGACGATTTCGATCCGGTCGCAAACAGCGGGATGGAGCTCCCACTTATTGGGATCCACAAAGGCAACTTTCTGCCCTGCCCACGTCTTCGTGAGATAAGAAGAGTGATCTTGCTCCATCATAGCTCCGATAAAGTTAGCAAGGTCTCCAGAGCTTTTGGCCATGCCGCCAAGACTATCGGTAATTGGAGATTGTGGCGATGTCCCCTTTGTATCTAATGCTCCAACGGTAACTTTCATTGCGTACAGAGAAGCCCTTCCAGCTGGTTGTGTGATGGATCCGTCAGATTCGGCCCCCAGTGCTATAGGTGCGAACCCAGCGGCCACAGCTACGGCAGATCCAGATGAAGAACCGCATGGAGTGCTGTGTCCTAAAATCTTATCTCCATGCACATAGCCGCCCCTGATATATGGTGACTGCGTCTGGCCGCCGACTGCTGACCACCCGGTTACTATTCCGAATCCTTTTGAGCCAGCCCATTCCTGACAAGAAGAAACACAAGTCAACATCCGTAGCCCAGGAGAGTGGCCTCATGAGATTACTTACAGATAGATTGGCTTTCGCAATGATAATCATGCCAGCCTTCAGAAGACGATCTTTCATTGGAGCGTTTGGTGCCTTGGCTCCAACAAGAGCATAGGAGCCGCAGGTAGTGTCCACGCCGAGTGAAGAGTCGGTCATTACATTGTCTTTGACGACAACTGGAATTCCGTGCAGAGGACCGCGTATGCTGCCAGTGGCTCTTTCTGCATCAAGAAGTCTGGCTCGTTTAACAACGATGTGTTGTGGTACAGTTGAAATGATTGCATTCAACTTCAGACCGTTTTTGTTGTGCTGCTCAATCTGACCAAGATAAATATTGATCAAATCTAGGCTTGTGAGATTACCTGATGTTAGAAGCTTTTGCAGTTCCTCGGCCGTGGTAGTCAACGGATCGACCTTGCCATATGATGCGTTAGAGACGATGCGCTCGGGGACTGGCGGCGCTTGGATATCCATCTTTGAAGAGGCTCACGTAGGAAACGATGGGTTGAGACGGAGGAGCCTTGAGCTTCAATGCCCCCATGTGACGATGAGGTAACCTTTTGCTCATTTATGCCCTAGCAACTGTGTCTGTGTGTAAAATCTCGACACAACGCGGCATTTTCTTTTGCAATAATGTAAGGCATTTTGAATGATCCGTCCAATGCTCTGTGCTGTCTTTATGTAACCGCACATTCCAACACCCAACATCTACCAGTAACATCTAATTATCGGGCCCAGTCGCTTAACATGTGTGACGAATAGAGAGGATAACAACTCGTGAGGTAACTAAAGGGTCCGTGTTTAATCCTCACATGATTTCCGCCGCCAACAACCAGCCTGCTCATCCGATACATCTACACCATCCCCAGTGCCGACCTTTCTAGTGACCAAGAATCGAGCGCTCCAAGGATCATGTTATCTCCGCCATATACGGCCTGCAGTATTTTGCTCTTAATCCTTATGTGCTCTCTGGCGTATTTCTTTCGACTGGCCTGGCCATTTCCGCGGCCCTCGGGGACCCCACGGCGAACGATTGATCTGTTAACTGCAACCGCAGAAGATCTCCAACAGCTCTTGACGACTGACGAGCTCACGAGCGTTGAATTGGTTGATCTATGCTTCGCTCAGATGGATAGGCATGACAATTATCTTAGAGCCGTTCTACAAAGAAATCCACAAGCCAGGACGGTGGCGGCCGCCCTGGACCTCGAACGCAAGAATGGCCACCTACGCGGGCCCCTTCACGGGATTCCCATCCTCGTCAAGGTTTGCTTCACCTTCACTTGAGTGACTCAATCTACCTGTAGATTGCAAGAATAACTAGTTCTTAGGACAACATCGCAACCCATCCAAGTCTGGGAATGAACACGACGGGGGGAAGTCTTGCTTTGCTTACATCGCGACCGTCAAAGAGCGCTGAGGTTATAGAAAGAGTGAGTCGTTGGAGTGTCTAATCTCACCGCGAAAAAAATCCCAACAAAATGCAGATTCTTGAAGCAGGGATGATTATCATAGGGAAAACACAGTTGTCAGTGAGTACTTCCGTTGAATTGGCTATATTTATCATATCTAACATCCAGATCATCAGGAACTCGCTGGGTTCAAGTACGCAACTGACACGGCTTCGTCCAGCCTCGTCCAACTACGTATCTATTCTCCGTCCGGTGACTAATGTTTTCTTGCAGGGGCTCAAACATCATGCCTGGATGGTCGGCTTTAGGCGGTCAAACGCAATCTGCATACACTACCGGTGATGTAGACTTGACCGATTGTATCCTTGGACACTCGGTGAGTAGTGGAAAATGACCACTCATTAGCTGAGACGATATTTGTCAAGAAGATGGCAGACTTGACGTCCTAAAGCACTTACTAATGTTGGCAAACATCTGAAGTCGCCCTCTGGCTCATCAACATGCTCTGCCGTTGGCGTCAGCGCAGGGTATTCCCCTTTGGCGATAGGAACGGACACTGGAGGATCTTTGATCACACCGAGCACCCGAGCGGCATTGTATACTCTCCGACCAACGATGAGCCTGGTCCCACAGGATGGCTTGATACCTCTGTCCCATTTATTCGAAACTGCGGGACCGATGGCAAAATCGCCTGCTGATCTGGCAAACCTTTTGGATGTCTTAGTCACTCCAAAGGAAAGCGGAAAGAGAAAGTTTCATTCTCAAATGATGGCTGGTGACTTTAGAGACTTCAAAATCGGGTTTCTCTCTCCAGCAAAATGGTTCTTTGACTCTGATCTACAGCGCCCAGTGCCAGAAGCCACGGCGCAGATAGTAAGCTGAATGAATGCTGGAACTCTTTACAGACTCACTAAACAAACATCTCCAGAAAAAAGACACTCAGGCTGCTTACGCAAAGATAGCGCTTACGGCAAAGTCCTTCAAAGAAGTAGAACTTGTATCCATCGATGCATTTGAAGTGAACGGGCGGCATAGTTTCTACGACATTCAAGGTTAAACAGCCCTCTTGCTCGACTGTCACTGAAATATGATCTAACTTGTTCAGCGGCTCGGTTTAAACCCACGTTCGAAGCTTGCCTTGGAACCCTCGAGTATTCCCAAGTACGGACCCTGGATGAACTCATAAGGTTCAACCAGAACCATGCAGAAAAAGCACTTCCACCAGGCAAGTCTGCCATTCGTCACACAAGTCCCTAGTTTCCCACTGACCCTACTCAGACTACGACAACCAAGACCAGCTCCAGAACGCCGCCACAATGACAATGTCCGATGAAGAGCATGATTTTCTTCTAAGACACGCGCGCAAAGTTGGCCGAGACATTGGCATTGACAAGACACTCAAAGAATATGACGTGGATCTAATCATTGCGCCAGCTGACTCTCCCGTAAACTTGTTAGTATCGGCTGCCGGTATGGATCCATGACAGCTCAGTTACTCGTAGGCATTTGTTAAGCATTGATAGGCTACCCCTCCGCAACGATGCCATTGTCATACCTCGAGTACAACGGCCGGCCCATTGGTTTGGTTGCATTTACGACTGCCGGAGGTGAAGGAATGCTGCTAAACTTTTTGCGTGCGTATGAGAATACCTTTCCAAAACGACGCCCCCCTGGTCTCCTCTAAATCAAGACGTTATACAATAAGAGGCAGTAAGGAAAGCCATTGCGGTTGTAGTTATGCTAGCACCACGCTTCTATAAGACATAATCCCGTCAAAATACTCTATTTATCAGGCACAAAAGCCGCAGCTATCCGTGAACTGTCAAAGTACTCCCGATACAGAACAATCTTGCCATTCTTAGCGCGGAAATATGACACATAATTCTGCTCGTACTTTTTCCCCGTCATCGTCACCGTTCCAGTCATGGTGAATTCGACAAAAGCAGCATCCTCGCCATCGATGGGATAAACCTTTTTGACTTGGACGTTAAAGTCATCGCCCATACTGCCGACGAAGCCCGCTACTGAAGCGCCAATGGCCTCGAGTCCCTCTACTTTGGTAGGGTGGGGATGAGGCGAGTTTGGCATTTCCACGACGGCATCGGGGGCGTATAAGCTGAGCCATGCCTGTTGGTCGACCTTGAGGGTCTGGAAGTGCTTCTCGACGAGTTGTGTTGCGTTCATATTGGAGAACCTGCAGTAAACGCTATGAATGGGACGTCAGTTAGGCAGAGTGCTTGCATGATATTGATTGAATGTCTCACCTTGATGAGAGCTGGGATGGAACAAGTACGATCTGGTATCACCGAATACGGTACTCTCTCAAAAATATTCTGTGAGAAAGGCGCTGTCACGATTTCTAGCATGGGCTCAAGGGGACTAAATAGTTCTCGTAGAAGGATTTAGTCTTGGGCTTTGTTACTCCTACAGTCGAACCTGAGTTAATGATCCATAGTGGAAGGAACATTGAGTGATTCTCCGCTGGTTGGTCAGAAAATGACATACATGGTCTGGCTTATCCGCTTGGATATGGTTAGGCCAAGATTTTGTGACTGTATTGAGCTTAAGTTGTAAAGCGCTTGTTTATGGTTGATTCTTTTAGCTAAGAAGAGTCTAGTTTAGGGTCCATGGAACAGATCAGATAGCTGGGGGATGATATTGAATGTGTGATTGGCTTGTAATACATGCAGCTAAATCCCAACAGCTGAATCACGCGTTGAAGTTTTGTTCTATCAATACATTTTCGGCTTCGTTTTCGCTTTCTCAATTGGTATGAATGAAGCTGTCGTCTCTGGCCCTGTCGAGACACGATGATGTCATCCTGGAGATTAGGTAAGTCAGGTAGCATAAACTCTGAAGCTGTACAGAATGAGGTACCCGAGCGTGTACAAACTGTGTTGGGCTCATCCTCGATTGTAACACGTTGCACACAAGGCACGATCAAGTCTGAAATAGCACAGTAAAAATTTGCCCAGAGTAAAGCACAGATCGAAACAGGCTCTTCCATGCTATTTTAAGAAGCGGCAACAAGCTATGCTTTGCATTGCACACCGTGTAAAATTCACGTAAATACTGTACGTCGCCCTTGGAGCTTGCTTGCATTTCTGTCCAATGACATGCCAGTCGCGTTCGTGTCCTTTTTGCTGCATCATCCAATCTTATCGCCCCTTCGCTTCTCTTCAACTACCGTCCATCTTTTGATCAATCCTTTCTTATCTCGACGCCGGATCGCGCAATCTCCGCATCTCGTTCTTCTTTTCTCTTATCTTTTCTCTTTCTCTTCTTTTTTTTCCTTCTGACCGCTCACTTTCCGGATCCCGGGGCACCCAATCCGCCGCCATGGTGCTCAACGTCTTTCGCATTGCTGGTGAGTCCGTAGACGTCCCTCGACCTCGGATCAGGGCGACGAGCCGAGATGGATAGATGCAGATGCGCTAACGCAGGAACAGCGGATTTCTCGCATCTGGCGAGTATCCTCATCTTGCTGCACAAGATGGTACAGCTCAAGGTGCGTCTCTCCCATGCTGCCGGCCCTTTCCCTTCACCTCTCTCGAAGCTTGACTAACTCGGCGCCTCGCCTTGTAGAGCTGTTCGGGCATCTCCTTCAAGTCGCAAGGCCTGTATCTGCTCGTCTACCTCACTAGATACCTCGGTACGCCTCTCACCAGCCATAAACAAGGTCCAATGGCAACACAGATTCGAATTCGACCTAGCTAACATAGGGCAGATCTCTTTTCGACCAACAGCATCTACAACTTCGTCTTCAAGGTCCTCTTCATCGGCTCCCAGGGCTACATCATCTACCTCATGACCAACGCCTACAAGCCCACCAACGATGTCAACGTCGATACCTTCCGAGTGCAGTACCTCCTCGGCGGTGCCGCTATCCTCGCCGTCGCCTTCCCCTACTATTACACGCCCGCCGAGATCATGTGGGCCTTTTCCATCTGGCTCGAGTCTGTGGCCATCCTCCCGCAGCTGTTTATGTTGCAGCGCACTGGCGAGGCAGAAACCATCACGACTCACTACCTCTTCGCCCTCGGACTCTACCGCGCCCTCTACATCCCCAACTGGATCTACCGCTACATCGCAGAGCCCAACCATAAGGTGGATTGGATTGCCATTGTCGCCGGCCTGATCCAGACGGTTCTCTACAGCGACTTTTTCTACATCTACTACAACAAGGTTCTCAAGGGCAAGAAGTTTAAGCTGCCTGTTTAAGGGACAAAGGGCTTTTGCTGGGTGCTTTACAAAAAAAGGAGGTGACGCTATTGCCCTGCGACAGGGATTGGAACAGGTCATCACTCTGGGGTCTGTTCAAGGTGATGAAAACTTCACGGCAGACCGTTGTGAGGACTTGTTAGTCACCGCAAACAAGGGAGCTCTACGGCTACGACAATGCACGGGATGAAATTAGTTTTACGGGGAGAGAATGATTGCATCGGCGGCGTTTGATGGTATGCTCGGTTTGAGGCAGTAAGGGAAAGGGCGTCATCTCTTAATATGAGGATTTCGTGAGTTTGGGCCATGTACGTTGTGGACGAAAAAATTAGAGGGCAATCAATTGAATGTGTTTGAATCTGGAACGGGGGGGGGGGGCAAGGTATGAGCTATGTATGTGATGCATGCGGTTATGCGCATCCAGTATTGAATAGAGCCACAATAAAAGATGAGGGCACGTTCAAAAAAAAGAATTCAATTTATTAACACAATTATCATGAAGCTAGAATGTATCTAATATTTAGATACCTGAAATGCTGCCAAAAAAAATACATTTGATGAGGCGATTTAAGTTTCGCGGTTCAGAGGTCATGCCCATCACGTGATAGTCATTCATCATCAACCTCGCCATCTTTCAAGCGTCAACTTTCACGCTCTCATCCCCAGCACATTCACTCCTCTCCCTGCGTCATTTAAACTCGGGATCCTACTTCACCATGGACAGCGACGCGCCGGAAAACGTCGAGAAGCAGATTGCCCCCGAAAACGGGCCCAGCGACGCCGTGCCCGATCCCATAGCGCCCGCCGGCCAGGACCTGAGCAAACTGCCCACGCGAAAGGACGTTTCCCTGCGAGAGTTTCTCAATAAGATTGACGATTATGCGCCCATCGTACGTCCTCTCTTTTGTTGCGCATATTGAGATTGATTGCTTCTAGATGGATTGTGTGTTGCTAACCTCTGTTTTTCTGCCCGTCATAGATTCCCGATGCAGTGACGCACTACTACATGACCAAAGCCGGTCTTCCTCCTCCTCCCCAGACAGATCCTCGTCTCGCCCGCCTTCTCGCGCTCGCCACGCAAAAGTTCATCGCCGACGTCGCGGCCGACGCGTATCAGTACAGCCGCATCCGCGCGTCCAGCAACACAAACAACCCCATGGGCACCCTCGGCGCCGCAGCTGGATTTCCCATCCCTGGTCAGCAGTCCGGGCAGCCGGGCACCAAGGATCAGGGCAAGGGCGGACCTTTGGGTATTCAACGACCGGGTTTTGGAGGTGGTGGCCAGGGAGGAAGCCAGAATAGGACGGTGTTGACAATGGAGGACCTGGGAATGGCGGTTGGCGAGTATGGCGTCAATGTCAAGAGGAGCGAGTTTTACCGATGAGGGGAGGGATACATGGGGTATAAATGATTGCGGCTTAAAGATTATATCGACAATGTTTTACATATGGCGTTGGGGGGATAATGGCGTTGGAAACGGGTTTTATCAGGGCAGGCCTACTAGGTCTTTAGTTTCGTTGGTCCAACACAATACGAGCTGCTTTATTTCTTTTCTTCTTTTTTCAATTTTTATTGTGCCAATGATTCAAAGCATGCAATAAGTCGTGGCATTATGGCGTTGATACAAGTAACTGTACATTTTCATCCTCTCTTCCCCATTCCCTCCGTTCCTCGTCTATTTCCTGTCCCAAATATTCGGTTTCCGTGTGCTATGCCTCCAATTAGCCATCTATGCATAACCGCCAGAAAAACAACATGGTAATCCAATTTACTCACGGCGCAAATTCTCCCAGCTTGTGCCCCACCATGTCCTCCGTTATCGTCACCTGGTGGTAATCCTTGCCATTGTGAATCTCAAAGTTGAGGCCGACAAAGTTGGGCAGGATGGTCGCTGAGCGGGCCTGTGTTCGGACGGGAGGGACTTTATCGTTGGGTCCCTTGGGGAAGACGATGGAAAGGCTGTAGAAGTAATAGAATGCGTGAGTGGGTGGCTTCTTGATTGCTTTGGAGGGGCGGTTCTTACGGGACGAGGTTTGGGCCTGGAGGAAATTGGAGTTAGTGATTGTTGAAGATTTTGGATACTTGGGGAGAATGAATGTTACCTTTCCAAACGGAGCGCTTGAGAAGCGCTCGAGTGGGCAGCATTTTGGCTGTATTGCGATCTGGGATATCGCAGCTGGATGGCTATTGGTGGTGATGATCTCGAAATCTTCAAGAGCAATTGGATCACGTGATAGGAAGTGGTGACATGTGCTGGGTCCACATGTCCAATCTGGCGCGGAATCTCAGCGCTTTATTAGCGGCTCCAGGTATCAATCTAACTAACTTACTGCCATCCAATTCCCTATGCCAACTAACAAGAGAATGATATCCATCCTCTCAGCTCTTAGGCCAGTCGCGTGCTCATTTCCATGATCAACTCACACGCAAATTCTGGTGTTTCACAGATCAGATCCTGAAAGCCTTCGCCCTTACACAAGTCCTCTACAGTGCAAGCACAGAAATCCTTCAACAGAGTACGCAGCTTGTCCTTCTCCAGCGTATTCTGGAACGAGTATCTCACCAGGCCAATAATGTCTCCCATGCGTTCCGGATAGAGTGTAAACTCCTTCAAAGTAACCCAGATCTTATGAGCAGAGAGATCACGCAGCTCTTTGATGTCGTATTTGTCCGCCAAGACGTAGAGCCGAGCGTGGGAAAGGAAGACTTCGCTGTAGTCCTCACAGCTCTCTTTGTTCTTGCGAGGCGTGAAGGGGGTAGTTGGAGATGCATATGCAGAATTTTTATTGAATTTCTCAATCATGGTTTGTTTTTTCGCTGGCTTGATAGATCCGGCTCGACATTGAGAGCAAGTCGTGTACTGCCTTGCGTCACAGTTAGAGCAGCACTGAGTGTTAAAGTAGACATTTCTGCAAGACTGGCACGTCACATTCTGGTTGTAAGTCTCTACCAGCGCGCAATGGTGCCAGGTCTCGTCCTGTGTCTTAAATGATGCGAGAGATGTGGCGGCAGGAGATAGTAGTTTGATGATTTTTAATTTTTTCGCACCCGTTTTAGAAGTCGCAATTTGAGAGGCATCTAAAAGGATTTCCGGTTCTTCAGGTTTGTAATCTCCCGTATAAGCCCATTCACCAAAGCGGAGGAAGGTTTTCTCATCAATGTCTTCCCAGCAAACGCAATGCTCTTTCGACTCTTTCATGCCCCCATTCAAGAGTTTGTCAAGTGTCTTAGAAAGTCTTGTTATCGCAGCTTCGTGCATGATGAATTGCTTCTTCTTAGGCCCGACAACGAATTTGAATGGCTTAGAGGCCAGAATGCTAATCCCAGAGTCAGCATTAAATGCAACCATCATGGCGGGCAATCTCTTTAACAAACCTCTCATACTTGTTATCCATGCTTGTTGGCAGTTACGAGGCTTGTAGACGAGTGGGTACGATGGGTTGATACCCTACCATGCAAATGGTGCGTAGATGTGTGAAGATCTAAGAGTCGGCATCATAATTCTGGGGCATGTGGCTGCTATTTATGCTTCGAGATATTCAACTGTGAAGCCAACAGGAAAGGAATGACGCATCAAAACATTCGCTAGTTAATGTCGTCAGGCAATTTGCAGCTGTGGAAGGCCTACAGTCCCGGGTAGGATGAGTGAATGCAGGCCTCCGAATACAATCACAAGCATGGCAGGACATGATGCGTTAATTAATGATTTGATCAGAAAATTATTTTTTTCTCGATTACGGATATCTGCAGGAGCATGTAACAATACAGATGCACTTTGCTCCAATGGAATTGTGATCAATCGTCATTGTCGGCCTCCCACCTTGGTGGAGTGGGGGATCGATCGCTCTGATAGGAGCAAGAAGACTTTAATGCATAGGCAACCAATTCATACCTGCAGAGCATTTGTTTACATTCTTGGTCCATTCATTAAACGTCTCCATCCGTGATTCTTGCGACCATTCTTTCCCATGGGTAAATTTATTTAATATTTACTTTCCTACGGCCCTGTGAAACAGACAAATAGATCTACAGCAGCGGAAGTTGTACTACATATCTAGGGTGAATGAAGTCACGATATCGAAGGAAGGGCCCTCGAATAAATGATTCAATCAATTATTTAATTTACGATATGGACGAAATAACTCAATATGAGCTAGCTTATCATCTCATATCTACTTCACGTCACCCTTACTCATGGAGCTCATGTACTTTGCTCCGAATCTCATCACCGCGGTGTAGGGTAGCAGCGCATCATCATGTGTACCTCAGGTAGGTAGGCAATATTACTAGATGTTGGGAAGAAAGGTAGTAAAATAGGAGCTTGAGTTACGTTGCAGTAGAAATCGGATCGAATTCATTTATTTTGCAGGTATAAGACTCTATTGTGTCGTAACAAAATGGTAGCGTAACTCTCAAGCTGATATCAACACCCTGGTGTGTCGAAAGCGTCAAACAAAGTCCCTAAATCCCAAACCTATTGACTAGAGACAATTGGTGTTGAGCCTCAGATATTCGTTTACATCCATCTCCTAGTCCCGTTATGGCTGAGAAATGAACCTCCATGCCCCGTCTCTAATGACGAGCGAGCAACTGCCGCCAAGGAGCTCTCCGCAGCAGTAACTGGGTCCATCGCCTTAAAGCCCGGCGCATAATCATTAAATTTAGCCATGATTGCCTGTAAACGTAACGAGTCATCGCTTGATACTACTATCAGTCAGTAGGCTGTCGAATAATTGGGCCGTCCGAGATTGAATCATACAAGTGGCATCACCCTCTGCGGTGTCGACGAGACCAGGGCATATGGTAAAGAACAAGAGCCCTTCATCTTGATACGCAGCGTTGAATTTTGCAAACATGGTGGTCAAGGCGGCTTTGCTTACGGCGTAAGGAGCTGCGTTGGCGAGTTTGAGGCTGTTTATGAATTCTGGGATAAGATTAGCACTAACTCAATCTTCTTATGCATCGCCGGAAATCTTGTGCGATAATATAATTAGCAGACTTACCGATATCTCCCATACCACTCGATATTGCTACAATCTTCTTCAATTTGCCTTCTCGGACCAGTGGAAGGAAAGCATAGATGGTTTTGAGAACTCCCACAACGTTAATCTCGAAGCTCTGCTGTGCATCTTGCAAGACGGCCGGCACATCATGTTCGCTGATTCCAACGCCATTAGCCATCAATCTAGAAGACGATATCGTCCATTGTATGCCTTACAAGTCTTTAAAGTTTTTCAGTTCTGTGGCTTTGCTCACGTACGCGGCGTTGTTGATCAGGACATCTAATCCTGCGTCTCCAAGGAAGCTCTTCGCTTCCTCTGCAGCCTCTCTCAAGGCTTTGTCATCAGTGATGTCTGCAGCTACAATATGCACATTGGATACGTTGTCGGCGCTTAGGCGAGCTCGAGTAGCGGCTGCGTCTCGAACAAGTCCGATAACTTTGTTGACGGGATCTGATGCCAGAACCTTGATCATGCCATACTATCGTATTCGAGTTAGCATTGCGATTGATGCGATTATCCAAGCAACATACACCAAGTCCTCTGCTTGCTCCAGTCACAAGATAGCTCGGCATATTGATTAGAGTAATTGGTTGCTATTCAACGTATTGTGCTGGTTAGGGGATGTGAGACATGAACAGTCCATCCATCAGACGCATCCGTTCCTGAATATATATGTATCGTCTTCACTGTAAAATCACGGATTCTCATTCAATGATACTAGCGGAGTTACTGAATTCCAACTGAATTAATGATTTAATTCAATGACAAATGAGAGAGTTGATTAACTGCGATAGAGCTGCGAAATGCATGCGCCTTGGCTAATTCGGAACTCCGAGTACGGACAACTCCAACCATAATACCACTTACTAATGCCCATGAATTAATGAGATTATAATGAATATGATTTCATTTATGAAGTACAATAAAGAACTGTTTCAAAAAACGTTAGCGCATGAACAGGAAGCATTCAGGTATACAGCAAGATACGTGAAAGTGTTAATGGACTGGTGGCAGACAACGCGGTCTATTGCTTCACATTACGGTGTCATACTCTAGACATACAACTTTTTCTTCATTAAAATCCAACTCGTTATATAAAATTTCTACACTCTAACCAACATTTCTTTACGATTTTACACATCTTTCAACGTAGATCCTAGAATAGTGGTTACAAAGTCGCTGCCAAAAGTAATGGCTGGCGTCTGAAATCCTCCCTTAGCCTTCCCCTCCAAGACCCTTCTCGCAGCCTCGATACAAGCCACAGATGTAAAATCGTATCCATTGGGCGTGTGAAGAACCGCCCTCTTGATGGTCCCATCATCCCCCTTGGCAACCACAGCAGCATGGTATCGGTTTTCTTTCCTCTGCTCCTCCATTGGACCGTCTGGCAGAGCTGCTAAATCTCCTGTCGGAAAAGCACCTCCAGACACATGGACAAAAGTCTTGATGTTGGGACTATTGGTCGACTTCCATATGGTGAGCAGGTCTGGAAGTGTCACTGGAAAGCAGCTGACTGAGCCCTTCCCGTCGTCAAAGTCAAACTCAGCCGTATCTTGGACATTCTGCTCGATCAATTGACCATCTTGTCTCTTTAGACACTCAGCTGTTACGCCTTCCGCTGTGCTGATTGCTGAGCCACGCGAAATTGTTCCGGCGACGAACAGAGCAACATCAATACTGGCCACCTTATTGAGAGTTTTGATGGCATGTCCAGCTAAGCAGCCAAGCATTGCCACGCTGCCGCCACACCCTGGCAAAAGCATAACATCTGCGGTTTTTGCCTCGTCGTTCTTCTGTTCTGCCAACTGGTAGCTGATCAGTTCAGCAGATACGTCGAGATAGTGTACTCCGGATCTTATGCAGGCATCCATTAGAGGCTCGGCGGTACGTGCAAATGGCCCGGCACAACTGAGTAACACATGAATGCCTCGCAAACCATTGTCTACAGCTTGGCGATCATTGACATCGAATGTGCGGTACGCAAACCCAAGCGAATCAGCGAGTTGCTTAACGCGGTCAGTGCTTCTTCCAGCTAGCACAGGATTGAGGCTGATGCTTTTCGAGTATTCGCTTGCCAGGCGACCGGTATAGCCCGTGGCCCCGTAGATCATGAAATCGGACATCGTGTCGAGGTGTCTGTCTGTAGTTGTGTTTGAGCGTTGAGAGGTGTTGGTAAGTGGTTTTGACACAGAATTGAGTTCTTAGACTAGGATTGTCCCAAATATACCCTCCTGGGTCTCACATCTTGAGTGATAGACTGCATAAATGCCCAAGTCTCCATTCATCGTGGCTGCTTCAAAAATCTTTATCATCTTTAAAATTATGGACTATGGTCCACTTTTGAGCCTCTATGTTTGATGCACTCGGAGTTCCGGGTGCAGTGTTGAGACAAGCCCATCATTACCAATGTTCTTTTCTCGGAGATGCATTGCGACTAAACAACATTTGTCAGTGGAGAATTTGTAAGATTCAAATTAATATGAACAACTTGTGCTGTGTTCTAAGTGTTATACGTTTGAACGGGATCTACCTATATATGATACTGAAGATACTCTCATTTTTGACATGATAACTTTGAGAAATTTAGAAAACTATCAAACGACTTGTTCACCATTAGACTCTTATTCATCGTCACAATGAAGATCCAAAATCCAGCTGTTCCTTTCGACTCCACAGTCGTCATCATTGGGGCCAATGGCTACATTGGCGCTGAGACCTGTGACAAGTTCCTTGAAGCAGGATACCGGGTTCGCGGCACAGTCCGCAGCGTTGAGCAGCATCGGGCTTGGATGCACGGGATTTTCGACAAGAAATATCCCGGAAAATTCGAGCTAGTGCAAGTCGTTGACTTTGAGACCGACGGGGCGTTTGATGAAGCATTCAAGGGTATGGAAGCCACTCTCGTACCTGTTGGGTGGGTAGTGAGCCAAGCCGGCTGATTTGTGTAAACATTTAGGTGCCGCCGTAGTCGTCTACGTCTCGACTCCCACCATATTTGGTCCAGACCCGAGCCAGGTGATAGATCCCGTCGTCAATGGCACCATCAACACGCTCAAAGCCGCCGCTCAAGCCAAGGTACAGCGTTATGTATATCTATCCAGCTCTAAAGCCGTCGAGGCAGCCGTCTACAACGTGCCACACAAGATATCGGTAGACACATACAACCATGAAGATCTTCGCAAGGCCCGTGAAGAGCCTACAGTTCCTACGGTAGAGAGAGCCATGGCTGTGTACGGAGCAAGCAGGGCTGCTGCAGAACTGGCTTTCTGGTCCTGGGTGAAAGAGAACAATCCTCCCTTTGTCGCCAACTGTGTTGTTCCTGATGGAAACTTTGGGCGCGTGCTGGATGCAGAACAACCCAATGGCACCTCTGTGGGAATGCTGAAGCGCGTCTTAGACGGCGACTGGAGCCGAGTGATGACTCTTGGTTCGTACCCACTCTCTTATACATGGATCTTGCCGCGAACGATGAATGTATTCTTGTCAATATGCTAACGGTGAGTATTAGCTTGGATTATTAATGTCGAGGACTGTGCTCTCCTGATGGTCGCTGCCGCCGTGCTGTCTTCGATTGCAAACGAGCGTATCTTTGCCTATTACAAGCAGGCCACTTGGAACGAAATGCGCGCCAAGGTTCGTCAGCTCTATCCTGACCGCCCGGAGCTTGTAAAGGGGGAAGATTCCGACGTTGTGGGCAGAGACTTGTCGACCGCGGATGAAGTTGTGAAGCGAGCTGAAGAGGTGCTCAAGGAGCTTGGCCGACCTGGTTTCATCAGCGTTGATGACACTATACGTGATTTCGTGGATACTGTGTACAAAAAAGGCAACTAACTTCGCCATATATCTTCTCCTCATAGACTCAATCTTTTGAGGGGGATCTGAAGCCAATAAATTGTGTGTTTTATTTTGTCGACTTACACCGTGCTTTTTTTCAGGGGCATTCAAGGCTTGGCATTGATAGCGCGGCATCCGTAGTGCTCGTGAAATTTTCGCTGTGATCATCGCCAGTCATTTCACCGAAGCAGCTCGTATACGGTGGCCCGTTAACAGTATTTGTCCGCACAACTCATGTTCTAGCTGATAAATAGATTTAATGCCGTATCTACTCTGCGCCTAAGCTGAGCATATTGCGCTATATGAATGACACCCGGAAGTCCGGGAGAGCCCACTCAGCCAAGAGATGCTAGTTCATCTAGTAGTACCTATTCTGAATAGCCACCTCCGTAGGATTGGACGCCACAAGGCGTGTCTGTTTTATTAAGTAGCCCACCTCTTCCCAGGCATTCGGAAGTCCGAACCCTTGCCCTCTTCTTGACATTGAATCCCATGCATGAGTCGGAGTACCAATAGGAGAATCTCACCTTCAACTCTCCTATATGCCTTTGTTACGAAATTCACTCACGTGTCCACGCTGCTCTCGTCGTTTTACAAGAGGTGGGTTTCCGTTCGTATTGATGTGATAAAGTAAAGGAGAGCAAGGCTAACCGAGTAGCTTGCAGCATCTTCATTAACAAGACACTGCAAGCGCTGTCTCCAGGATATCAAGGGCCCATCAAGACGGAAATCGTGCCGAGCTTGTGCACGTGCAAAGCTGCGCTGTGATCTGCAGCGACCGAGTTGTAGTCGATGTGAAGAGCGCAGTCTCACATGTGAATATTTGTCGAGAGATGGCACGACAATAGTGGTATCAACGGCGGAAAAGTCTAATATTCACTCAACACGGAAAAATGCATCATCTACAAAGTCGATTGGCAAAAATCGGCTAGCAGAAAGCGACGATGCTCTCTCTACGATTGACTACGGACCAGAATCCACACCTCGCTCCCAAGCGGACAACTCACAGGATACTGCATCAGATCGGGATGGCACGGTAGGTTCCGTGACTACAGAATCCGAAATTGGACATGAGGTATTGGAGAATAGCGAAATTGGCAATCCGGAACCGATTGCGCCTGAGTTAGTTGTATCCAACTACAGACGTCGGTTGCTACTCAACGAAGCACGACTCACTCCGAATACCGACCCCGTCGCCAGACACACGATGCATTTCGTGATCCGCGTACTGAAATCTTGGCCTCGAATGATGGGCTCACATCTCACAAGCCAGCTCCCGCCCATGATCCACAGGCTCCAGTTAGCAGATGGCATACCGATCCCTCTGGCCAACTGTTGCACGTTGGCCAAGATGTGGATTATGCACTCGGAGGAGAGCCGTGACTTGGTGCAAAGAACAGTACACAATGAAGTCCGAAGGCTACTTAGAGACGTGAGTCGTGGCCTAAAGCTTTCTACCAATTGATTGATACAGCTAACACGACATGTTCACATTAGTATGATGAGTACAATGCGATGGAACTTCTTGCAGCCGCACAGTCGATGCTCATTCTCCTCATCATCCTCTTTTTTGGGATCGGACCCTCCCCAGCATTGGCTCATCCAATTGATGCACAACTGTTGGTTGACATGTGGAACGTCAAACACAAGTTGGCTAGCACGGGCTTGTTCCTAGAGCAAGAGTCGAATCATACAATGCCATTCTGGAAAGAATGGGCAATCGTCTCCGCCAAGCGCCGCACAATCGTCGGGCTCCATCACCTCGAGTTTGCGTGGTCGCTTCGATTCGGATATCCAATCCTCACGTGCTTTGAGCTGGGACCGTTCCCTGCACCCGCTGCGAGATGTCTTTGGCAGAGTGACGGGGAAGAGGAGTGGCAGCGCCTTTACAAAGAATGGCTAAAGCAGTGGGCTGATGGGGGGAGTTACAAGATGACGGAACTGTTTCGAGTCAATGGTAGCAAGGAGAGTGATGCTTTGGATGCTAGAAGCGAGCTGTGGCTGGCAGAAGCAGACGAGTTTGGCATGATGCTCATGGCGGAAGGTATGTATCTTTTCTGTATCAATTCCACTCGGAGTCAGGCGCATCACTAACACATATAGCGAATGGCATTGGTGTTGAGTTCTAGATAGCCACAGGCAGAACAGATGTGAGATGTCCTTGTTTGTTACATCTCATTTAGACTTTCAGTACCCTACAGGCCATAAAGTTGCGTGTACCGGATATCGAAACACCGATATTAAAAAGAATAGGAAAAACATTAATACAATGCACAGATGATATCTGAGTATGACCATCTCGAACAATAAATGTCGGAGTGAGTGAATAGAAAGGTAAACAAGTACCTTATCACCTTATCTTCACCCGGAGGTACCTTTGGCCCCCAATTTCGCCACTCTGGCTGTAGGGTAGCCAAGGCATCACGTGGTGCAGCGCTATCTCGCCCAAGACCCTCATTAAACCGATTGATTGATTACTATCTAGACAAGTCACAAAAAGTTGCGAAGAGTCGACGAACCAGCTCTCAGACCTTCCAACAGCAGCGGGTCTGTAGCGCTGCATTGATTTGCACGTCTCGACGGCATTTGCCAGCCTGTGCTTATTTTTCGGTGGTCGGTTGCTTTGTCGAGTCTTATCGCTTTGTTCGTTTGGGCTGCTTCTTTTGCGGACTTTCGTTTGCGGGAATCCCATTTTTGGAAGAAGCCAGCTTGTCACTGGGGGGAGAAAGAAAAAAAAAAGAATCGGAAATCCATCACCAGCTCGCTTCAATCAACGCCCTCAACGCCATCGACGTCGTTCTTCGCTCTTTGCTCTGCTCGTTTCGAATTCCGTCCCTCGACTCTCGACTTCTCGCCTCGTTTCCTCGTCACAAATCCATCCAATGCCCGAAGCAACGGCCTCCGGTGCCGACACGGGCGGCGCTGCTCGTTCTCGCGAACACAACCAGGGCAATCAAGGCCGCTCCTACACCGTCGAGCAAAAGGCCGCCGTCCTGCGAATCCGGAAATGCAAGCCCACCGCCTTTTACGACATTCTGGGCCTCGAGACCGTCCGCACCTCGTGCTCCGACTCGGATATCAAGAAGGCGTACAGGAAACAGTCGCTGCTGACACACCCCGACAAGAATGGCCACGAGCACGCCGATGAGGCCTTCAAGATGGTCAGCCGCGCCTTTGGCATCTTGGGCGACAAAGAGAAGCGAGAGAAATTCGATAAGTTCGGAACAGACCCCGACAGCCGGTTTGAGAGCGCCAGACAGCAGAATCCTTTCTCAGGCTTTGGGTCACGGCAAGCTGCAGCGGCAGGAGGTGGTGGCTGGGGAGAGGATGAGATGACGCCCGAGGAGATGTTTGCGCGTTTCTTTGGCGGCGGCGGCGGTCCCTTTGGCGGAGGCTTTGGAGGTGAGTAATTGCTATGAGCATTGGAGCAATGGTTACAGTATTACCGAAAGATGCTGACGATTAAGCGTTTGATACAGGTCCCCAGTTCGTCTTCAACTTTGGCGGTGGCCCCGGCATTCGAGTACACCAATTCGGCGGCGGCGTGCCCCGAGCGAGACCGCGACAGGCCCAGGGTGACGGCCCTCAACAAGAACAGTTTGGACTCCAGACGCTGCTGGGTCTTCTCCCCATCCTCCTCTTCTTCATTATCCCTCTCGTTACCTCCATCTTCTCTGGCGGCTCCTCCACACCCGCCACTCCTCGCATGGTTTTCGACGACCCCAAGGCGCCCTTCACCGAGGGCCGCACAACACCAAACCTCAATGTCAAATACTTTGTCATACCCTCCGACGTCGCCTCATATAGCAAGTCCAAGTTGACTCAACTGGACCGTACAGCCGAAATCAACCTTGTGCGGCAACTGCGGTACGAGTGTGAAAACGAAGTCATGCACAAGAGGCAATTGAGGGAGAATGCTATGGGGTGGTTCTACCAGGATCCGGAGAAGATGGCCGCAGCGGATGCATACAAGATGCCCGCATGCCAAAGGCTAGAGACGCTTGGCGTGAGCCGGTCATAGGATTAAGGGGGAGGCAAAAAGAATTATAGGCATTAATGAGTGAGAAACAGGCATTAAAGACATTGATATGATATTTTATATACTTTTGAGGGGAAACGACTGCGGGGAGTTGGCGTTTTCTTTGTACGATGGCGTGAGAACTATGAACCTTGCATGGCAGACATGACATGAGCATGAGCCGAATTGATGCGATGACGATGGGCGTGCGAGGGATACATGTAAGAGACGGACTCCATATATATATATATATATATATATGTCTACATTTTTTTATACAACACGGGGTGAGATTTGATGGAGGGCTATGGGGAGGGATAAAGATAGGATGAGGTTCTATTCTATTCAATTGAGTGAGAGAGGGTTTACTTGGCCATTTGCGAGTGATTATGCATATGAGTAGATAAATTTTCTTTACATATTCATATAATCACGAGCGACTTGCTGTGAATATTCACCTTCTTTTCGGATGAAGTGGCGATACAATTCAAGGGCATTACTACATGGGGGCCATGCATGTGAGCCAAGCTATTGATTCAGCTGAGGATCACCACAAAGTCTAGCCGTTCTCGTCCCTTCCACAGCCTCTAAACTGCCAAATTCTGGGACCCGCCAGGCCAATATTCGCCTCGAGATGCTACTTGTAGCTTCACTGATTGGCCTGATGCTGCTGCCCCGCCAATTATCCCGCGATGCCCAATATTGGTCTATATTTGCGAACATATAAACTGCCCCCGCTCTGATATTCTTGTCCTTGAATTCTTTTTCTTCTCTTATCGATAATTTGATCTTATATATCTTGATTATTTGCCGTAGAAATGGCGGACTCAGAGGGTAAACCGATTCTACACATCAACTTCGGCGACATCACCGACCAGCCGCTGTCCCTCACCGGAGCTACACCACACCGATACCGCTTTCTCGACGGTGATGCTCTCGCTCATAAGTCAACACTCCGCGTCTTAGAATACGAAGATCTTCCCTCAGTTCCTTATGCCGTCATCTCATACGTCTGGAGAGGCCTCTCTACTCATCCTGATGAGAAATCTTCGCTTCCGAATATTCACGTTACAGGTGCCGAAGGCGCGGATCCGATATCTGTGGACGTTCTGAGACTCGTTGCTCTGGCTGCGGAACAGCATGGGTGTAACTTAGTTTGGCTAGATGCTTTGTGCATTCTTCAGGCGAATGAAGATGACAAGGCGTGGCAGATTCAGCGCATGTATGACATTTACCGCTCTTGTCAGGAGTGCATCGTTGCTCCTGGCGGTCTTCAGAGACTCGTTTCTCTCACGGAGGAAACTTCGTGGGCAAGTCGAGCGTGGACTCTACAGGAAGCAATTGCGCCGCCTTCAGTGCACTGCTTGTTTGCATGGGACCGTGGCGACTGCTATATTCAATCGAACATGTTTGTGGAAGTGAAGGAGATTGAGAAGGGCGTTGCAGCCATTGCGCCGCTAAAATCTACACTGGAAATGGCCATGAAGGGGAGCGGCGTGAGTATGCACGACCGCCAGGGAAAAAAGATGGAGTTGTCATCTGAAGACTTCAAGATTAGCATTTTCGGCGACATGGCTCGAGATCGACCTCGTGTTAGGGAACTGATCGATGCAATGGACATGAAAGGCAAGACGGGCATGTTTACTGCCATCTGGCGGTCCTCGTTTATGAGAGCGGCGAAATACCCTGTCGATACGGTGTTTAGCGTCATGGGTATCATGGGGGTGACGCTTGATACGAGCAAATTCAAGAATGAGGATCGGTTGGGTGCGACGATTGCTTTGATGCAGGGAATTTTGGCGAGGGGAGAACATGCCGAGTGGTTGGCGATTGCGACGAAAACGTTGCCGAATCCAAAGTTGTCGACGTTGCCGGTTTTTCCTCAGGTGGATGCCGCACGGAGACCCATTCTAGAGACCAAGGACGGGATGAAGGATATTGGGGATGTCATGGACAGCGGCTGGAGACTTGCAAACACGCCTAAGGGGATGATAAGAAACGATGGATATTTCCGATTCAGCGCATTGTCAACTTCTGTGAAAGAGAGCAACGAGGAAACGACGTCTGCGTCCGTGTTTAACTCTGATACAACGGGCACCTGGGAAATTGCTCCGTAGGGGAGCGGGTCGCATACGGCTGTCCTGATCGGTCAGTGGGAACAGTACAATAATGGAGCATTCGGGATGATGATTAACCCAAGGAACCAATGTCTGATGATACTGAAGGAACATGCTGCCGGCAAGTTTAGCAACGTGGGATATGCGTTTGTCAAGAAGGAAGTTTTGCAGAAGGGGACTTGGAAAGAGAGTCTGTTTGTAGTTGGAGGACCAAATTGAACGGGGGAAAAGCGAGTCTTTGGAGAAATAGAAAGACGGATCAACCAATGAGCTCGGAGCGGATATTGAAGCGGCACGGAGGCGGACACGGATGTGATGTGGATACGAGAGCGGACACTGCAGATAGCGGAGTTGAATACGCCTGTAGATAGTCTGAGTCGTATAGCGATAGCTGTGCGGAATAATGAGATGAAGAAGGGACTGAGTGATTTTATGTTTGTTGAGACGGAATTATGACTTTGTATTGATAAAGCAATGTGGCAATGTCATTTATAAAGGTTTCTTTTCTTTAATAGTTTTACTTGATATAGGTGGGAATATTTCAGTATTTAGAGTCTTGTTGTTATTAATTACCATCGGGTTTAATGGTCCAACTTGTTATCCGATTCCGAAAAAATTCTTTGACAACTACCTCAGCTTAGACAAGCCTAGACAAATTGAGAGAGAAAATATAACCTTTGTCAACTCCTATTTCTCAGCTAGTTGAATAGCCTCTCAATGCAAACTCTCTTGATGCTGTCTTCATGTATCCACTCCTGAGCGATGCCCCGCCAAATTTTCGATCCCCTCGAGATTTCCCTTTTGGGTAATTATTTCTGCTTTAGCCTTCACATAGCACAAGCGGTGTAATTCCGCATTTGTCAGCCCAAGCTTTACGCCCCAGAACAATGATTGACCATCCAAAAAGAGTACGACATGAAGGGCGGAAACAAGAATAGTTCCAGACTATTCTCTAGCTCTCTATGTCCGTATTGTAACCTTGAAGGAAATGGGCAGACTCAAAATCTGATCATACTTCCGCCCTTCTCAAGTTGGGATTTACAAGCTAACCTAAACTCCGACGCCCTGTCTCTTTTCATAGTTGGTTATGCCCGATGATTTCCAGAAGGATTGTCGATTAGAATTAATAATCTATCAAGATTGTAAATCTGGCCAAGGAAGGCTTCGTGATTCGTTTGTTGTGGATCGTCAGTTGTACGCGATACGAAATGTGGCTGAAGGACCTTGCTACATCGCATTTCATATTGACGCGAGGGTGGGTTGAAGATGGTTGAGAAGAGTATAATAGACGTAGGACGCCATCGCCAAGAATGAAGTTTTGAAACAGCATCAACAACAGTAGTTCAAGACATCAACACATCTGATCATCTTATCTTTCCATAACAACCTTCACAACTTACACAACAACTCAATAAATCAACAATGGCTATCCCAGAGACCTTCAAAGCCTACCGCCGCACCACCGGCGCCCACCCCCTAACCATCGTCCCAACCACCGAAACCACCCCCAAGAACCTCGGCCCCAAGGATGTCCTCATCAAAATCCACTCCGTCTCCCTCAACTACCGCGACGTCGCCATGCTCAGCGGCGTGTACCCGGCCAACGTCGTAGAGAAGGGCATCCCGGCCTCTGACGCCGCCGCCGAAGTCGCCGCCGTCGGGTCGGCCGTGCAAAAGTTCAAGGTCGGGGACCGCGTCTCGCCCAACTTTTTCGTAAATTTCCTCACGGGCGAGGAGGAGGAGCCGGTGCAGGGTTTGGGAGGAGATGTTGACGGTGTTTTGGCTGAGTATAGGGTTTTTGACGAGAATCTTCTTGTGGGACTGCCGGAGTATCTATCTTGGGATGAGGTGAGGCGTCAATTTGTTTGCCAGTTTATTTGTTATTGATTCAAGTGGCTTGGCTAACTGGATTGTATGCAGGCATCTACCATCGCTTGTGCTGGTGTTACTGCATGGTCTAGTGTTGATGGGTTGAAGAATCTGTCGCCAGAGAAGGACTATGCCCTTCTGGAAGGTAAAGCTTTGCTCACCAGTACTGCTAATATCCCTATTACGTATCATCGTATTGACCAAATGCTCTTTCAATAGGCACTGGCGGTGTCAGCATCTTTTCCCTCCTCCTCCTCGTCGACGCCGGCATCAAGACCATCATCACCTCATCCTCGGACGCCAAACTCGCCCAGCTCAAGAAATTGAGCCCCCTCGTCATCGGCATCAACTACAAGACCACCACCGACATTGCCGCAGAGGTCCAGCGCATCACCAACGGCAGGGGAGCCAAGATTGTTCTCAACAACATTGGCCCAGCATCCATTCCATCAAACATTGATTCTCTTGCCACGTATGGTTCAGTCAAGATTGTGGGCTTCCTCGGAGGATTCACCGGGGATTGGAATCCAAGTAAAATCCTCCAACTCTTGTGGAAGCGTGCCAATCTCCAGTAAGTTTTGCCATTTGACAATATATATAAAGAGATGACAAGTCTTGATGGTTCATGGCTAATATGAGTATAGGGGTATTGCTGTCGGCTCGAAGCGCGATTTCGAGGAATTGAATGCTCATTTGGAGAAGCGAAAGATTAGCCTTGCGCCGCTGCTGGATCGTGTGTTTACCCTTGATGAGACCAAGGAGGCTTTTGACCACATGATTGCTGGCCGCCACGTTGGAAAGATTATCATCAAGGTGGCTGAGTAGATGTACCGTCATGCAGCTTGATAAATGTGTTTTTGTGTTTTTGAGAAGCACGAATGCTCCAGATTGAATAGATTGAATAGACTTTGTTTTTGGAACCCACTCATGAGATCGGCAGTCATCTTATACAATCACATATCGAGCATAGAAAAACGACCAAAGGCCGGAGTGTCCATTATCATTTTGACTAACAAAGGATATACTAATATATAGATTTATACAATACGGACGTTAGTTGATTGATACTGCCATTGTTGGCATGACGGGTGATTGACGTGCCGATTGATTGTTGCGGTTTGAGGAAGTCGGATGTGGTAGTCCGTCACCTAACCTAACACTGAAAATATAAGGAGCCAGGTTGTCAAAATTTTCAGATAAAGAACTATATGCAATTTGAAGAGGTTCTCGTTATTCAGCCATCATTACCGTCAGTGTCTCTTACTGATAACATCTCCGTCACAGCCACCACCGCCTTGCGATATTCCGCCGGCTCAGCCGCTACGAGGATCTCATGCATATCACAGGTGACCAAACGACTAGACGGAAATCTTTCGAGAAAGATTTGGCAAGATATTGCGGTTGTATTCGGGAGGACTGGCTCCATATCAGAGACGAGGATACGTTGATAGTGAATATGTACAGAGCCTGTCACAAGATCAACGGATATCAAGATGCGCCGCAAAGGAAGGCCACAAAGGTGCTGCTTCTGCAGGAAAAGGACATTTGGCGGCGCAGAATGAATTGGAAAGTTCGGTGAGTTCTACGCCGCAGCGCATATAACGGACTTGAAGCTGCCGGCTCTCGAGGAGGTGTGGTGCAAAGGAAGAGTGATGTTGGGCTGCATGTATGTGGCGGTCTATGTTGCGGGGGAGAATCCGGAGAAGGGCTCCGCCCTTGATCAACTCCGCACGATTATTGCAGCTTACCAATTCGTGGGGAGCTACGTGACCGAGTTACAGAGACAAAAAGATCCTCATAATTGGCGGGCTGCAAGTGTGCGAGGCCGAGCGCCAAGTGAGGATGCCATTCGGCGATTATGCCATTCGGCGATTCGGCCACGAGCGGCCCGAATGATCAACATCCTGATGTGAGAAGTCAAACATGTCAACTTGACTCATTTCGAGTGAACACGTGGACTCATGACCTGGAATCACACTCTCCGGCTGGATTCTAGACTCCAGACTCATGAGTGTGCAGCGAGCGAAGGGGGGCAGTCGGCGACATGAGTGAGTCCGAGGTGCATGAACATAGGTGGAGAGCTTCAAGTTGGGTGGCTATGCATACGACGCAATACGCAGAGGGGCAAAGAGCTGAGATTGGGTGCAAGAAATGTCTGTCTTTGGGCACCCTTCACAGATGTGTTGCGGAAATCATGGCTTCACTTGCCGGTAGAGTTCGTAGAGGGAGTGGTCGGTTGGAGTGGAGGTAGAGTCGACCGTCTGAGCCCGGAGCAGCAAAGACAACTACTAGAGAAAGCCATCGTAGATACAGATTTGCGACAGCATTCAGAGAACTGGTAGCAACATCGACTGCGCCTGGGACCTAGCAATCCAGTGCACCGCTCTGCGCAATAACAACGGTGGCGAACACCTCTAGGTAAACGCGCGCGAGCTAGTCGTGAGGCATTTCAACGCATCGCAAGAGCAAGAAGGACGAAGAGTTGCTCCGGATCCAGACATCAACGGAGATTGTCCGGTATGTGTCGGTGACGGCCTCATTTAGAGGATTGGTTGGTGGGAACTGGCGTGCTTTCAACGCTGCGTCTGGAGAGCTCTCTTGCAGCACAGCTTTGGACTGGACGAGCCTGCCGACATGTCTCGATGAGGGAATCTTTCCATAGTATAAGTTGCAAAATGAGAAGAAGAAAAAGGTGTGGAAATATTTCGCCTTCTACCATCGCCAGCTGCTTCTAGCAACCACATCCAAAAAGCATTGCTGGGCGGCAACGACGTCATCGTGGCCAATTCTGCGGCTGTATGTAGGGCTATCGAGCTCCGGTGGATCACCCGGCATCACATGATGGTTCCTGGCAGCTGCTTTAATTCAAATCAAGAGTCATGCAGGGCACCTGTTTTTTCTGCTAGCTAGAGCTGCTCGAGGGGAAAAGGAGGACACGAGACAGGGACTCTGCATTAGCGAGGCGTGCGGCGGCGGGATCATCGATCGGGGACCCGGTGATCCGGCTCGGCAGGCTGAGCGGGAGCCAAATCGAGTAACAGGGCCAAAAGCCGGTAATTCCAGGGTTCAATGTTGATTAAGCAGGGGAAAGAGCTTGTGTAATACCGGTAACTACAGTAGGGCTAACTTTGTAAATGGTAAATAGCCATCTGGTAATAATCTGGTAATAACCGGCCAACTTTGCTGAACCGAGGCAATGTAAAAAGCCTACACACTTCTCGTAACAACTGGCATTAACAATTGGACACAGAGGCTTAGTTAATCACACTGGAATGTGTCAACTTTTTCATCTGCTTACCCCAATTCCATCTCGGGGAAATGCAGGGGCCCGACAGCGCCCGACAATTCTCCGCCACTCGTCATCGCCCACTAGCCACGTTGCTACGCCCCAGCCATTAGCCACCAGCCCTACGGCAGAACATCGGGACAAGTATTCCATAGCTGAGGCGGTGCATTCTGTGGCGCAGCTGTCTCTCCGGCGCTCGGGCATCGAGCCCAAAGGAGGGGCCGTCGATGGCGCTAGTCCAAAGACGGTATGAAAAGGGGGGTAGGCAGAGGCCGCCGTGACGTATTACCAAGCACCTGCCGAAGGTGCCCGAATCACCGACAGGGGAGGAGCAGCAGGTCGCACTTGCCGCATCGCTGGAGCGCATCGCATTCGTATTGCACTGTGGGAAGTGGCCATGAGTAATGAGTAATCCCGAGCTGGCAGCTTCTGTGCTGCTCCTTCCTTTCAACGCCGTTTAATAATTATAGCTAGCACCTTACTGTAACTTTCTTTCCTCGCGATTATACGCGTAAATACGGAGTTTCTTATGCTAGCACCAATATTGGTATACGTACGCATCCCTCTTGCCTTATTAAACGGCCCTAGCACGGCTAAATATATATAGCGACGCCTCTGCCTGTCGCATCTCCGGGGGGCATCACCTGTTAGATTTGTCATCAGCAATCTCTCCCTTAAAACAACTCAATAAAGACAAAGGAAATATATATAGGTGCCGCCAGGTGTTTGTAAATATTTATTACGCTTGACGTCACAAACTTAAAGCTTTATTTCCATCCTGCTTTCAACCTAATACAACCTAATACAGGCACGACGGCACTCAACAACATGACTGATGTCGCATTGCCTCCAAACAACCACCCGACTCTAGATCACGACAACAACATCGACAGCAATAACAATAACGACGCAGCTTCACAGCAACAGAAGCAGATGCCGTCATCAACAAACAGCCACATCGACAACAATGAAGCGATCGGCGCAGAAGCCACCGGCGACATGCAAGTAGACGCGGCCCCGTCAGCACCGTCAGCGTCAGCGCCGGACATGGAGACGGACCAGGAGCATCACGACGAAATCAACAGTGACAGCGAGGGTGAGAGTGAGAATGCCGCCGATCGGGAGACTGTCAGCATCACCGTGTCGCATCGAGGCCACAAGTTTCCCTTTGAGATCGAGGCCGATCTCACCGTCACCGACTTGTTCCACGAGATCGAGAATGTTCTAGAGATTCCTTTTGAGAACATCAAGGTCATGGTACCCAAGGGCCCCTTCCTCAAGGCGCCCTTCAAGGATCCCGAGTATCAGGTCAAGAACCTCGCTGGAAAGACTGTCACCGTCATGGGCTCGACCTCTGCCGATGTTCAGGCCGTCCAGGCCATGTGCCAGAAGCTCAGCAAGATGAAGGCGGCACGGGAAGCCCAGCGCTCCAAGGCAAAGGCTAAAGGTCCGGCTCGGCGTCGCGGACTGCAAGCTGCAGAAGACTCCAAATACACTTTCTTGCAGGTTCGACCGCTCTCCGGATTACCGCATCCCGAGCGCAGCCTCAAACTATTGAACCGGCTTAAAGAGGACCCGGGTATCAGAGCAGCTATGCGAAAGCACAAGTTTACCGTCGCTCTTCTGACGGAGATGGAGCCGCTGGCGCACACGGAAACAACACACGAAGGAACATCGCGCATTTTGGGTCTCAACCGCAACCAGGGTGAGGTGATTGAGCTGCGACTACGAACTGACGCCCATGACGGCTATCGTGACTACAAGACGATCCGCAAGACACTCTGTCACGAGCTCACTCACAACGTTCATGGCCCTCATGACCGACAGTTTTGGGATCTTTGCCACCAAATTGAGCGCGAGGTAGACGCTGCCGACTGGAAGTCTAACGGCCGGACAATCGGCGAGACATCACGATATCACATCTCAGGCCAGGACGAAGAGGATGTTCACGAGGACGACGGCGGCTGGACTGGTGGCGAGTTTGTCCTAGGCGGTAACAAACTGAGCAGCGCAGGACTCAGTCGACGAGAGATTTTGGCGCAGGCGGCGCTGGACAGACAAAGGAAGGAAGAGGTTGAGGAGTGTAATGCGGAGAAAGGCTGGCGGCCGTGCCAGAGACCGCAGCCGAACAATGACCGCAATTTGTGAGGTCAAAAAGGAAGGGTGAAGAAGCATTTGCATCAGTTGGCGTTATAATGGCAGTGGGGATCAAAGCAGTTGCTTTGGATTTATTATTTGTCACTTGGGAGCGTGTTGGAACGGGGCATTGCCCCGAGTTGTGAATTTAGACGGAATCATTGCGCTGCGGATGAAGACTGAGGAGATTACTTGCTCATCATATCATATCATATTGTTTACATAGGTACTATTATCAGGTACTACATCAATCTCGATCAAATCATCTCATTAGTTTACACTCACATAGACTTGAAGTGACTCAATATTCGTGCGTCTCCTCAATACGGCAGAGGATCCAAATCCAATCCGTCAACCGTCAGCTTGAATGCGTCATTTCTTGAGTAGCTTCCCGCCGCATCCAGATCGAGTCTGCCGCGGATGCAGTCACGCAGGTCAATGTCGGCGAAAATGATGCCATCTTCGTCTTCCCACTGCGGACCAGCAAGGACATCGCCAAAGGGAGAGACGATGGAAGAGCCTCCGCGAGAGAGGAAGTGCGGAGCTTTGGGAGCGGCTGCGGGCTGAGTAGTTTGGTTTTGTTGCTGAACTGGTTCGTCTTCTTGTACTTTGGGGAGTTGATAATTCTGAAGCTGCTGCATCCTCTGCTGCTCATCTGACTTTCGTGACTGCTCTTCTCCCTGCTTCTCGCCGTTATCCGCCGGACAAGACAGAACAATCTCGTTGCCATCCTCGTCAAACACGCTCTTCCTTCGTCCGTGCCTCACTTTGGGCGGCGGCACCGCAAACTCGAAGCCATCGTCCGCAACGACGGCGGAGCTGCTCTTCCGGCCGCTCCGCCTCGAGCCCCCGGTCACCGGGACGACATCCCGGTCTCCCGCGTCGGCGGAGTCCGGCTCGCCCCGGACGCACATGTTGCTGCTGACGACGAAGCAGCGGCCCTCGATGCCGATTGTGCGCATGAGGCTGAGCCAGCCTTCGCGGCCGTCGGCGGTGGGGGCGAGGTAGAGGTTGATGTTTTGGGCGTAGAGACTCTGGCGGAGGAGGGGCATGTAGTTTTCCCAGCAGATTGCGGCGGCGAGGTTGATGCGTTGGCCGCGGATGAAGGTCGTGACGGCGCGGAGAGTTGATGGATGGCCCTGGGCCCACATGAGACGCTCGGTGCCCGTCTTATAAGATGCATATTAGCCGGATGGACTTATATAAAGACGTAGTATCGTGATGGAGTTGAGTTGAGTTGAGAGCTTACCGGCATCACCTTGCGACGCTTGCCTATGATGCCCTCCTTCGGACACACATAAACCGCCGCACAATACAAGCTGCCACCCGCCTTCTCAATGCACCCTGTCACAAAAAAGACACCCGTATCGCGCGCAATCCTTTCCAATTCCTCTCGCGAGCCATCACCTCGACCGCTCCCGCCGAGCTCATAGCCAGGCAACTCCCTCCTCACCCACTTCACGCCCGCGCCGGCACTTCCATCGCCAACGGTGTCGCCGAGATCGATTGCCTTGTCAAAGTATTGGGCGAAGGATTCCCGGCCCTCGGCGGTTCGACTGCCGACGACGCAGCCAAAGGATGTGCCGCGCGGGTAGCCGCCGATGAAGGCTTCTGGCAGGACGAGGATGTCGATGCGCTGGGCGGCGGCGCGGGAGACGATGTCGTGGAGGTGGGCGAGGGTGAGGGGGGTTGTGGCCTGGGTATTGGGCGAGGCTGTTCCCACACGGATGGCCATGGTTTGAAGAGGGGGATGTATATCACAGGAGGAGGGGATTCTTGGATGGAGATGATGTTGAAAGGTTGGATAAACTACAAGACACAAGACACAATAATGGGAAAATGAGGAGATGTATGCAACAGCTTGCTTGTGCCCGCACTTCTTTTCTCCAAACAGAAACAAGACTTTAAGCTTTGCGCCATGTAAGCTCAGCTCATCGACATCATCCTTAGTAACCCAACTACCGCCTTTTGCCGCTTCCAGCTGTTTTTGCTCTCCTCACTTATTTCCATTCTGGGATCGTCATGGTACCATTCCCTTGCCTCCTTTGGGAAATGTCGCCCGAGCATCTCGAGACTTTTACGTACTTGTTTTACTCCACCGTTAGTATGTAAAATAAAAGAAATTGAGAAAATTTGTATCAAAGAGTGAATTTGAGTGTTTTAAAAGATCCCGAAGTCGGCCGATGAGTTGCGTGCGGCATGTGCGGCATAATTCATGGTTTGGATGTTTGCGGCTTGGTGGAGGGGTTTGAGTCTAGATGCTTGGCGACTGGGCGGAGGAAGTGGATTGCATAACATTAGCGTTGAATGGAGTTTGTTAATGTCTTTTCATGCTGATCATAATACCAGCTCGTGATAGACAACCTCATTCTAATACAGTTGCCAATCACCTGAAACCAGTATTACCATGACTCTAAGTATTTTCAACTAGTTCCGTGCCTCATCGTCGAAGTAGCCAAGTGTTTATCAATTGATAAATTATCAGTTAAAGGCCCTCATCTGAAAGCTTTATAACAATTGGGGGGCCTGATGCACGCTCAATTGCAAATTTTGATCCAGAGACAATCGCGTCTCTTGGCCGATATTCCGGCAATATCCATAGCAGTTTCTCACGATTCCTCATGATCCAAGCACCATCGGGACTGATGTAATACTCGGTCAAATAGTCCTTACATTTCTTGAACTCCTGTGATTTGACGGCCGTGCTGAAATCAAAGTTGATGAAGCTTGTGTCCAGTAACCAGGTCGACGTATATGCGTGTTTAAACGCCCTCAAACAGGTACCTGTTGCCACATCCCAAAACGCCCCTCGCCAATCACTAACAGCTGCAAGCCGCTTTCCATTTGGGGAGAAAGCTAACCTAATACGCCATTTGAATTGATCTTGGCATTCACGAGGAATACTCAAATGCAACTTCTCAGTGTAAAAGCTTCTTTTGTCCCCATCGCCACAGCGTGTCCAAGCAAATTGCTCACCATCACAAGATATAGCCACCCGAGCAAGGCCCTGCGAATGTATTCGTCCTTGCTTCAGCTCTTTCAGCAGTCGGCCTGTGCGAGACTCCCAAACCTCAGCCGTCCCATTCTTCAGGCCTATGATGAATCTTTCACCATTTGCCGAGAGGGCTATCGAGAATATAGAGGAAGAACAGCGATTGTGGGAAGGTAAAAAGTTCCCCGACTCCGCGTCCCATATTTCAATACCATATTCATCGTCTAAAACTGCTGCAAAAATGCTACCGTTCGAAGAAACTGCTATTCTGCTGTAAGCTTTTTTAAATGGTTGTGTAATGCATTCTCTTCCAGAATCGTCCAACAACTGGATTCCAGATGTTTCAGCCGATATCGTAGCAAGTCGTTGGCCACCCGTAGCCATTGCGATAGCGTTGGTGCTGAAAGGGGATGCGTTTTTCTCCTCGTGATCTTGTATTGTAGTATCCCATATTTTAACTGTGCAGTCATTGGAAGCTGAAGCAAGCCATGTTCCGTCTAGTGAAAATGATAAGGAGGTGACAGATAGCTGATGTCCTGTACATGCCTGAAGGCGAGAGTGTTTTTCCCAATCCCAGATGATTATGCTTCCTCCTAAAAGGCCAATTCCTAACAAGCGACTATCTTGTGAAAATGTCAATGAAGTGATAGGAGCGATTTCACTTAAAAACTGCAAGCACGTAGCCGATGAAACGTCCCAGATCATAGCATCTCCGTGGTCTTGCGCAGATGCAAAATACCGATTATCTTGTGAGAAACATGCTTCCAATCCCGACAAGTAAGATATGACTCCTTCTAACGTTTTGGCCAAACGGGCGGTTTTGGAATTCATGTTAAGAACCCTTATTTCGCCTTGAATTGCATATGCGACCCATTGACCGTCAGGCGACAGAATCGTCGGTACGTTGTGAAACGGAAGATTGGTTTCTTCCTCGCACTCATGTCCCAATTGTAATTTGAGAACGTTGCGCAGTCCAGCACCCGCCAAAAGAAGTCTTTGCTCGTCCTCAAAGACCACGGAACCCGGGGAATGCCAAGAATCTCGCTGAACGAATTGCATCAAATCTAAGGTTTGTAAACAAACATCTCGACGTATGTCCCACACAGAGAGGCTTCCAGCTGCCATGCAAGCAAGCCTACCGGCTTTGGAAAACGCCATCGCTATGCCCCCACGTTTCCATTGACCATGCATAGAGAAGGTCTGCAGGCAAGTACCAGCTATAGGATCCCATACTTTGATTATGTTACCTTCATCTGCAGATGCTAAGATACCATCGGGAGAAAAATTAACACAGCCAATCGATTTAACGTGGCCTTCAAATGTTTGTAAACATGGACTCCACTGGGAATCAACATTTGATATATGAGAGATCCATTTAGCGCGATATGCGTCAAATCTTTCTCGGACTAGGCTTTTAGATGGAGAAAATGTTAAAACGGAGCTATAGAGTTGCAATGGTGCAACATCAATGACGTGTCGGAAAGAGAGAATAAGTCGTTCAGCATCTTCTAAAAATGCCTTGACTTGTACTCCATCGGAAGGCTGTTTCAGTCAGCATATGCTAGCGGAATGAGACTTGGGGTACTCACATGTACGGCAACTTTCAGCTCTTTGACCAGTGACGCGCTTTCTGAAGTTCTTCCCAGAAAACTCATTGCTTCAAGCCAGTGGAGGAGATGGGATAGTAGGAATAAATGCGAATCATCGCCATCTTTAACGCTCGATTCACTCCTTTTGACGTGGAAAATCCAAAATCGGCATGCGTATTGCACTTCTTGCGGTATAGATTCATTGACAGTTTCATCTGCAACCTCACTTCGATGCGTTCCAGGTGTTTTCAATTTGCACATGTTTTCCCGCAACGAACCACATAAGAGCTGGCGGCAGCGAGATGCCAACATAGTCTGGACTCTTGTATGATCAATTTTCAGCTTCTTTTTAGTTCCAGACCCGGAGAGAAAATCTCTGAAGGATTCATGAAACAATGTGATGGGTGACTGATCGTCTTGTTTCTCTGGAACTACGAGGACTGATTCAAAAAGCTGCAGTTCTTCGCGAATTTCTGCCTCAGACAGCTTGAGAAGCTCGGCTAGACATCTGACTGTTACAGCATCCGCTAGAAAAATGATTGAACCAATAATCTTTTGAAAATTTGCTTCTGCTCTATCACGGCATTGACGATCGAGGCCGCTGAATCTCCGATCTATGATGAAGCCATATAACTTGTTGAGGTCACCGAAAATTTGAGTTTCCAATATGTAACGAAGGCGGCCCTGCGGCCCTCCTGGCACATTCTTTTGTTTGATAAAACGAGTGGAAAAAGCAGCAAACTCAAATAACGGACAGGCTCGTTCTGTAAGTTTCATGAGATTTTTTACATCAGAGGGATTGGACCATAGGCCACCCACTGGAAGCGGATCAAGAAGGCCATCGATCTTTTCCAACTCAGCCCGCAAGTAACGCTCAATGTCTTGCTTGATAGTCGCTGATGTGGCTTTTTCAAGCTCCTTCTTCTCACATATTTCCTCAGAGATGCTATTAAAACTAGATTGCGAGTGATGATCAAAGCGGCTAGTCAGAAAACACTTGACTAGAAGTTGAGTGGAGTGACCATCTTGTGATTGCGTGAGTTGCTGAACCAGGCCAGTTAGATCTTCGCTAGAATCACATTCGTCGTGAGCGTCAACGATAATGATTATAACCTTAGACTTATTGCGTTCTTGCTTCTGCAAAGGTTCCTGAATAAATTTCTTGAATTGAATCCTTGGGTCTTGTTCAGGAAGCGATGGGTCTGACTCTAAAGCGTCTTGGATAGCTTTAGCGAAGCTAGGCCATTGCCTCACAATCTGAGCTACCAGAGTCGTAAAAAATCGCTTGAGTTTAGCCCGATCACCTTCGCCTCTTTTGAAGAAAAAATTGGCAGCGATGCGGTTCTGTCTGGCCATCCTGCTGACTATAGTGCGTGCAATGGTAGATTTCCCCGTGCCGGCTTTGCCTTGAAGCCAGTAGAGATATTTTTGCGGCGAAGTATTGCCATCGAGCCAGTCGCAAATATCTTTCAGTATCTCTTCTCTTGTCTGAGGGAGGCACTCTGAGTGACGTCTTCCGTATTCGTCGAGTCCAGGGTGAAACTCTGCATCAGCGGCGGTAACGGATGCCAAACGGTCGAGGACAGCTTGTTGAAGCGTATTAATTTTAGGAGGAGCAGTACTGCGGTTTTTAGTCGAACGTAACATTTTCCTCTGGTTATTGCACTTACGGGCGTATCCTGTGTAGTTGTGTTGTGAGCACTTTGTACAGAGGATCTTCTGAGTTGAGACACTTATTTAGTCCAGAGTGGTCTTTGTCGACCTTGAATACTTCCATAAAATTAGTACCGAATGTTGCCGAAGCTAATGGGACAATCTGCAATGCATCAGATATTTGCAAAAAAAATAATTCAGTAAATAGACTAACCAAGCCTGCGTAAAGCCAATTCAGCAAATATGTGGGCTTCTGTTCGCAGATTGAAACAATTTTAGTCTTCTTATCCAGGTCTTGGTATTTTGTTTCTAAACAACTTTGGAATGCTATACTCAAATTCACAAGCATTTCACCATTGCTTCGAAGTAAGAGTAGCAAGCCGGTGTTTGAGCCTAAGAAGCCAGTCAAGTAGGCGAGTGTGGCTCCAAGGCCAGCGATTGGGCTGCCTAAATGAGGCGTACCCAAGAAGATGATACCGCATGTGTCCTCTACTATGCGTTGAGTATCTTCTAAATCGCTAGAGAGTGCCTATGGAAGATCATAAGAAACTGAAACGTATAAATTGCCATGCAAAAGAGGACAGTATCATGGGCGATCAACATACCTCTTTAATGACAATTCCGCCAAAGCTATGTCCTACGAAGATTAAAGGCAGGCGCTAAATATTGTGTTAGCGGTTATCATAATAGATTTCATTGTTCAGTCCTTACAGGATGAGCCTTTCTGTGTTCAATGAGGGATTCTATGAGACGAAGTCCAATGTCTCGAGCCGACTCAAAGCAAGCGTCAACAAGCCAGTCCGAATTGTACGCAAAATGGAGAATTCGCGCATCGGAAAATCTCTCGTCTTTCATGAGTAAATCTTTGAGCAAATGAACGGTTTTTTTATTTTCGCTGACTCTGGACTTTGAGCTGGGTCTGCAAGTCCAGGTGTGCTCAGGGCTGGCCCCAAGGCCATGTACAGCAATGATCCTAGACAGTGAGCTATTGCGCACCAAATTAATGGAGAGATGTGGCATACTCATATTTGATAAGGTCATTATTAGACTCATCGGAGAGGATCTGAAGGCCCACTGAGCGGCCATCTCGTCTTCGAATCTTTGCGTAGAGGCGGTACAGCAGGGAGGTTAACAAAGGCAGCAGGAAAAGAAACGTCGTGATAGCTTCTCGCGAAGTTAGCATGCGTGGTATAGGAACCCACTGCATGATAGACCAGTTCATCATTGAGGCCAACAAATTGCGGGTGTATATAATTACAGGAAGTCGTGAGTGTGTCGAGTAAGATGTGTCGAGTCCAAGGTCAGATAGAAACTGTGATAATGGGCTGTGCAGGGTTAGATTTCTCAGCAGCAGAGACCTGGATAATAAGAGCTACATATCTCATAGAGTTTGGGCACTAATTACGGGCGGCAAAGTGCATCCCAGGGGCCAATGAGATCTTACATCGGGAGACGCGCAAAAGAGGCTCATGGGCGTTTTATTACGACGAGACAGAAGCACCGCGACGTAGTTCACACAGGCAGAGTTTAGTATTACCTATGATAAGCCCCTCACGGCGCCTAACTGACTATGATTATTGGTTACGATTCGTAACACCTTGATCAGGCTGAGCCATGCATCCTGCAGGAAGACGCGGTAGGGTGTGCAGTACCTCAGCATCGCCAATCACAATTAAGCGGGGAAACAATAAGACAAATTTAAAGACTGTATCGAAAGTTTCCATTTAATAAAAGGCCTTGGGAGTCCGACATAAATGACATGGCCGACTTGGTGGCCATCAAGAGATGGTGGCTGTAAGTCGTTTGGGGGTTGAAAGTGAAGTGGCTTGACTAAAGGCTTTATAATAAATAATAGTGTGACCCGATTCCAACAACTGGATCTGATCCGCTACACCAGCGCTAAAGCGCAGGTTTACATCTTCCGTAGTATAGTGGTCAGTATGCAAGCTTGTCACGCTTGAGACCCGGGTTCAATTCCCGGCGGGAGAGACCGCCAGCAGTTCCAAACTGTGAACTCTTTTTTTGCCTGTTTGATGATTCCCATCTGCGAGAATAAATAGTAATGATGGGTGATACGAGAGTTCAAAAACTCTTGCGATACCTGTTGCTATGGACGGCGTTGTACTTTTTGCAGTCATGTCCACTCATGATTCGTCCGAATACATGCATCACCACTCATTGATATCATTAATTACATCTCAATGCCGTTTCTTCAGCATCACCTTTTTCTCGTCCTACTTGCCACCGGCGCAGGCTCAAATGCATCGTCATCCGAAATCTCATCATCGCTAATCTCAACTGCTTTGTCCTGCGTCGCTCCCTGTGAGAAACTGAGCTTCGTCTGCTTAGTCTTTGCCGCAGCAGCTCCCCTTGTAGCCGCTTTCTTCGCCGGCGCAGGTTTGCTAGCAGCAGCCGTGCTCTTCGCATTCTGGCCACGTCTGGTGGTTCGTGTAGCTGGTTTTGGTGGTGGCGGTGCCACCTCTTCGTCTGATTCCATTATCACGTCTTCCTCCGGTGGCTCCACTTCTTCTTCACTGTCCTCGAAAGCCTTACGACCACGCCGAGCTGGCGCCTTCTTGGTTGCAGGGGCCTTCTTAGCTGGGGCCGCCTTTGCCGTGCGTGTCGTGGCTTTCTTTGTCGCCGCTGGCAGCGGTTGATCCTCATTCTCTTCATATGTCCACGCATCGGGAGCGTCCTCCCAGTTGCCATCAAAATCCGAGTCCCATGAATCCGGCTTGGGCCTCAAAACTCTCTTTCTCTCAGCCTGTGCCGTTTTGCTCACGCTGCCAGCAGTAGCCATCCTTTCCTCCATTCTCTGCTTGTAAAGTTCCATGGCATTATTCAGATCATCATCATCCTGAAGGCCTAGCATTTGTTTAACCTGACCAGACAAGTGCTCCGACACAAAAAGCTCCATCGCATGCTTGTCGTCCTTGGAAACAAATTGATTAACCGCCTCGCCAAAAGGGCCTTGAGGGAGGACCTTGAGGGATTGCTTGGCAAGCAATTGATTGACAAGGTTTTCCACTTTGACCACTTCAGAGCCATCGCCCAGAGATTCGATAAACTCTGTTGGGTCCAGAGCTTCCGTTTTGCCTATCGGGCTGTAAGCACAAAGCCGGAGCGCAACACGGGGAGATGAGAGACTCACGCTGGACCACCTTTTTTCGGTGAAAATACACCACATCATTGGTGTTGGCTACTTTGCCCACAAACCGATTCGAAAAACGTTGTGGATTCTCACATTCAAACTGGCCACCTTCCGGTGCGGTGTACTCGACTTTTAGGCGAATAAGTGGCAATGGCCGATCTTCCAAGACCTCTTCATCCGTCTGAATAGCCTCCCAATCTGCGTTTGCCTCTGCAATCATCTCCTCGACAATCTCCATCAGCCGCAACGTGACCTCATGTCTGTTGTCCTTTTTCTTGTCCAATCCTTTGAACCTTTTTTCTTGGGCGAGAGAGATGTCTCTCGTGACAAACGGCCGGACAGATTTGAGAGGAATCTTGTCAACTTTAAAGTCTTTGTCATTGACACTTACCACGGCAACGTGCTTCTGCACAGCTTCTCCGGGAACTAGCGATGTCGCTACTGATGATCCTGGCTGCATGACATGGAATCCCGTCTCTGGATTTTTTGACGGGTCGATTAAGCACTCGTGTTCGTGTCCCCAGACCACCAAGTCGAGCCAATCCGGAAGCACATTCTCTGGCAAATATGATGTGGCCGTATGGGCATGGTGATTCTGGTGGACAGCAAGCAGATTGAACCACTCGCCTGTTTGGGTGCCGGGACGAAACCACTTGACCTTGTGATCTCTAAACGTTCTGAACATGCGCTCATCACGAACGTTGCTCAACCCATACAAGGCAAGCTTTGTGTCGCCCTTTTGCAGGAGGATTGGCTTTGCCTCAATGTTATCCGCCTCTGCCACTCTGCCGTAGTAGTTGAGAAGGCCAGCTGCCTGCAACAAGTCCAGGGAACAGTAGTTTCCATCTCCGGAAGGATCGTCGTGGTTGCCGTGGATGGAGAAGACGGGAATTGAGATGTTGATATCGGGATCTTCGTAGTTGACATGTGGAAAGGCTCCTTCGAAGACATCGGCGGCGTCTGACAGAAATTCGAGTTGACAAGGTTTCATGCCCAGGCAGTTCTTTCGTAGGGTTCGCATAACCTGGTAGAGGGATTTTCGAGAGGGTTTGTTGTCGTGGAATAGATCGCCGGCGAGCAGCACCATGTCGACCTGCGATGGGTGAGCTTGGAGACAAACAGATGGTTACCGGGCTCAACAAACATCTTCTGTGCGGGCCAGCGTCATGATCTCGTCAAAGGTCCGCCAGCTGTCATCTTTGCGGATGGCATCTCGCTCTTCGTATCCGACATGATTGTCCGTCGCCACCAAGATGCGAATCGTGTCTGCCTCTGCCAGATTGTAAGCGGGGCAGTTTATGAAGCTGCACAGCACAGCTTGATCTCAGCCAGAGCTTACCAGGAAACTCGGGCATATTGTATTGCCAATCGGATATTCCCGGGTAAATAATGTCTGGAATTAGAATTCCATCGATAAACAGGCGAAAAGAAAAGAACAAGGCTGAATTCGAATCCCGTGATGGGCGATGCGGCGTCTGCAGTCTGGAAATTCACGGTGGGAGACGCGATGCTTCCAGGCATTAACGCGACATGATACGAAGTCACGTGCAGCTCTTTAAAGTGTCCCGAGGGCTTAAAGAGGAGCTACCCTAGAGAAGAATGAGAATTCATGAAATTTAACGGGACTGTGCCAAATCAAATAAAGATACCTAGTCATTTCGTTTCCTTTTACAAGACATTCTGTTAAGATTATCCTAAAAAGTGTTGTCACGAATTGTAAGGATGCAACATTTTACGTGGATATGGCAAACTCATGGGAACGCAACAGCCTATAAGCCAACTTTGTACATTTATCGTGTCTGTGACTCTCTACGGAACTCATCTCTAAATCATCCAGCCTAGTATTCTCAATCATCGCTACACATACATAAAAGTATATAGGCCATCTTAGTTATGATACGCAACCGCATCGTCTCCAATCTCTGCAAAAACGGCATCAATCGCATCGACAACTTCCTGAGGAAGAGGTCCCTGCTCAAAAATATCCAAATTCTGCTTCAACTGCTCAATGCTCGAAGCACCAATAATGATTCCATCGCCATACTCGGCGGAAAGAGCACTGTGGTGCGCAGTCCATCTCAGTGCAGCTGCGTGGCCAGAGATGTTGTGCTTGGCAGCGATTTCTCGCACTCGGTCGGTGGCAGCCTCGATGCTTGGCTTGATATACTTTGAGGCATAGAATTTGCCCAGGTAGTGCTGAAGATTGTCAATATCTTGAGATCACAACCCATGTATACATGATGACTTACCGAGGTGTCGTAGCGGCCTCCAGCTTGAACGTTCTTGTGGTTTCCGTTGAAGAGACCCGCAGCGGCAGGACTATTTGCAATTGAGTCAGTCATGGGACAACTTCTTCGGATGAACTGTGATGGCGCGTACCTCCATGCATAAAATGCAATGTTGTGCTTGTGAAGCAAGGGAAACAGTTCCTTTTCTCCCGTTCTAACAACCGGGTTGTACTGTCCCTGATAAACAGTCGGCTTTACAAAACCTCGTTCCTCGGATATCTTGAGAAACTGCTCGACCTCAGCGGCCGTGTAGTTGGACAGTCCAAACCGCTTGAACTTGCCCTCTCGGTAAGCCTTATCCATGGCCTCTGCCGTCTCCTCAAAAGGAACGGTTCGGTTAGGCTGATGCAAGTACATAATGTCAACCTGGGAGACCTTTAACGCCTCTAGAGAATCATCAATGCTCTGAGCAATTTTGTCTCTGGAATGAGCGCCATCTGGACGAGAAACAACTTTAGTGCTGATGATGAATTTATCGCCAACATTTGCTGCACCGAGTCGAGGCTCGCAGGATAGCGGCGCGTGTGGTGAATAACCTCTGGCGGTGTCGATTTGACGATAACCTCTTTCATAAAAGGGTTTGAGAAATTCTTCGACTTCTGCGGGAGAGTCAAACTTGGCCGTTGGATCGATGGACGTGTCGCCAACCTGATAGCACATGTAATTTAACATGTATTTATAGCATTGTGACCGTGGTAGTGACTTACGTTGGCTACTCCCAAGACAATCTCGATTGGTGATTTCGTCATTTTGACAATTGGTTAGTTATAGACCACTTTTGTTGCTGTATTCAACAACTTGACTTTCAATGCCTTTATGAAACCTATCACTTGTGACTTGATTCTGGCTCTTCATTTTCAAAAAGGCCATTCCCATCAATTGACTTATATACATGCCTTTTCACGAGATCCACGCCTTTTGATTATAAATCGACAATTATTCTCTTCGCTTTTTGATTGCCTTGTACATTGGTTCGGTCCAATCGCGTGTTACTCTGGGGAAGTCTTCTTAATGCTGTTCACTAATCATGTACGGAGTACCCACTTGCTAGAAACAACACACGGGCTTTATCGATGCCCCATGGGAGGGAACAGGCTCTACAAATAAATGTAGCTGACAAATGCGGGACTTTGAATGCGGAAACTTCAAAGGCGGAACTTCGATGCGGGTTTGAATGCAGCACCTCGGATGCGGGTCAATGGCGTTATTTGAGCCGATGCAAGTCGCCGGAATGAGGCCATACTCGGACAAGGATGATTATGTAAAGTGTCTTGGACATTCTTATTCGACATGCTTAATTGTTGTCATCAAGTTAAATGGACGCCACCTAAACTTCGTTGCACCAATAGGAGTAGCACCTCAGTTTGGCGATGAATTGAGAGCATCGTTAACCAATGGGGCTGGCACCGAATTTATAAGCGGAAGACCCTTGCCAGCTCGGAGTCAATTAGCTAACATTGCCCAGTTGAACGAGTCTTCACTACGGAGTAGGTGCTTGTATTTCCCCCCTTCTACTTATGAAGGTGAACATCCAGGAACGCCCCCTTGGTTGCGTATTATTTCGCATCATGACTTGAACCGCGGAGTGAGCTTTGAGTCCGATGGCTTACCACACCAAAAGCATCATCCATAAGGAGTATTATCACCAGATACTACGCCGTCAAAGCTGCAATAAATATTGCAATTCCATGTAGCTAGTCTACCACGTCCGTGAGGGATTTTGTGCAAAATGGGATGTAATGAGCAGAGTGAAGGAATACCTGACACTTTTAAATCCTGGGAGAATCGATTACCTTTGAGATAGATGAAATTCCTTATCCGAGGTAAAATAGAGTAGATATCTCATAGTTGTATCTTCTGATGAATTGTCGTTTTGTTGTGGGGTGGCGGGCATGGTGGCGATCATCAAGCTCAAAGTCATCGGCTCTAATTGAACAAACAAGATTGTCGGGTGCCAGTAGAGAAACTGCATGCACTTACTGAACGAGAGAGGAATGCGAGTAAGCATGAGCTGGATCTGGAAGCTGTTTATATATAAATCGTTTAGGCATTAGGATCCACAGGCCATGTACACGTATTTCCTTTTTCATCTCGAGTAGCATGATACCCATGCGTGTAATATAAACCTCATTGCATACAGAATCGGATTTAATCAAGTAATCGCCATTTTAGACCAATGACAATAAATCAAGATATTGTGTGCTTTATCCTCCCCAGCCAAAGCACATGCAAACTTGAAGCGCAATGCAACCCCTCATGATACCGTGTCTCGTTTCATATGATGGCCACAACATCGCATCTTACTTGCATTGGGATCCCGCCCACCCGTGTAACCGAAGGCTGCGACAACGATAGTATTGGCATTAAGTCAATTGCGGAAAGTCAGACGGTAACCCTAGGACCAGCATATACTGGATTGATACATTATTTTCCGGATTCGGCCAATGCATGCAGGATACGAATGGAATATATTGTTCTTGGCCAATCAAATGTAATCCTCGTAGTATTAGCAATGGGGGCACTTATGCGTGATTTCTGAGACCCCGTAAGACTATACGGAACACTTACTGAATACTATCTCTCGGCTCTCCACGTAATGTAGAGGCCATTCATTTCTCCGTGACCAGATCGAGATCACACGTATCGCCCCAATTACGCAAACTGTTGCTCCTCAGCGGATATATATAGATCTGTACTCTGTTGTAACGTTACCGATTTCGTAGGATGCTCGTCCCATATGTGTGCTTTGCATCTTGCATATTGGAGTAAACGTAGCAACGAGATGAGAGGTTCGAGGGGGTGAAAAGTTTGCGCTTCGTATAAGTGGGAGATGTCAAGCAGCAGCCCATCTCAGAGTGGACACTTGGACTACATCTACTACACTGCCACGGAATTATCAAAACAAAAGTAATCATGTATGACGATAAAACAACTTCTCGGTTGGCAAATGTCGCCATACCAGTACAAGTCCAAAAGTCACACCTGCCAAATGGAATTACACACATATCCCCTGACAAGATTGACCATCGCACAGATGAGGAGATCGCCGCTTCCCTGCAGAAACGCCATCTTGTTACCTCGGACAAGAACATATGGGGTTTCTGGCATACGGGCTTTGCGCAGATGAGACCTTGGGCACAACGAAATGTGATTAATTGGGTCCGTCGGTTGGGCCCCGATTGGAATGTTCACATAGTGGATCGAGTCGATGGCTCAGAAACGAACGTCTTTCACTATGCTGAAGAGTCTTTCTTCCCCAAGACGTTTATTGACGGTACCATGGATGGCCACAAAGCTCATATGGGAGACCTGGTTCGTCTACCGCTGCTATGGAAATACGGAGGCGTGTGGATGGACGTTGGCCTCATCCTCTTGCGTCACATTGATGATATCTGTTGGAAGCGAATCGAGGATCCCGACTCGCCTTATGAACTCAGTGCACTGGCTTTGATGCACTTGCCAGACACTTATACTCCGCTCAATGGATTTTTGGCCACAAAACGCAACAACCCTTTCATCAAGAGGTGGCACGATATTTATGTTGCGCTCTGGACTGAGGGAGTCACCAACGCAACGGGCTTCCACAAACATCCATTGCTACGGCATTTGCCTATATTCCGCCCTCAGGTGAATTCACCCGCCTTGAAAAACATAAAAATGGACTACGAGAAATTTTCCGACTATGTAGCTCATTACATGTGTGCCGAGCGTCTTCGAAAGCTCATCGACCCCAACGACGGCTTCAACGGTGCGGAGTGGTATGAGAAGCATATGCTCTTGTTTGATGCCAAAGACGAAATGTTTCAGGTTCAGACTCTCACCGACTGGGATGCACAGCTCCAATTCCGTCTCTTCTTGCTACCGCGTTCCGGAGACGACGCAGTTGTGGACAAGTCGTGGCATGAGGCAGAGGCTCTCGTGACATCTTTGCTGGCAAATACGTCCATGGTGAAGCTTCCCCATGGACCAGGCAACGGTGGATTAAAGATTAACATGCTCGCTGATCTATGGGATGCTGAGGAGAATTCTAACAAAGATAATGTGGAAGGGTCGTTTGCTGCGTATCTGCGGTATGGATCGACTCACTTCGACCAGACGCGAGAGGTGAAGAAGCTTGAGTGGCAGAATCCAGAGGAAGAGATTATTACCATTGGATATTTGGAACCCGTGGAAATGTAAGCACTATCGCTTCCATCGTGTGTGCGGATTTCAATGTTATCCCGATTCGGCAGAGTGGTGGTAACAGGAGTTGTTTTTGAGAGATTGCACAAATAGTTGTAAAGATATAGTACCCGCTGCGTCACATCAATATACTCCAATCATGACTTGGACTCTTGGTTTTATTACATCCTCGGCAATTGTGCTTGCTCACCAATTATAGCCATCTCATATGGTAAGTAATCTAGGCTGGCGTCAATCATGGCAAACAACAAATACGGCACAGAATTATACACATGCGGTCCTTGATTGGAATCTTGAATGTACATCTTTTGCCGCGGCGCCAGATTGATTACAACCATAAAAACAACAGCACGGAATCATGGCTGGCCTATTATTTGCCCCGGCAGCGGTGCGTCCTGCGGGGCCGAGCCTGATTCATATGCGGGGTCAGATAGAACACAGAGAGATATAATACTTTAATGCAACGCAACCCCCTCCAGTACTTTTTCATCCTCAATTCAACTTCTAACAATCAAAATGCCTTATTCGCTCAAGGGAAGAAACGTCTTGGTGACGGGTGGCTCTAGGTAGGCAAAATCCAGTTCATGAAGGTGTCTCGTGTATTGACCACAGCAAAGAGGCCTTGGAGCTCTCATCTGCAAGAAGTTCGCCGAGGAGGGAGCCAATGTCGCTATCAACTATGTCTCCAATGCGGATGCTGCTCAGAAAGTGGCCGATTCCTTGAAGGAATATCCCGTCAAGACATTTGTCATTCAAGGCGTAAGTCTGTCACAGCCATCAGATATGCGCCATGAACCCGAGGAAGGGCTCACACTATGCGTAATAGGATGCTGGAAAGAGGGAAGACAATGTTCGTCTCGTCCAAGAAACCGTCAAGAACCTGGGCGGACTCGACATTATCATTGCGAATGCCGGCTGGACCAAGATGTCTAAATTTAGCGATATCCATGCCCTGAATGATGAAGAATGGAACAAGGTAACCTGACTGCACCAGAGCAAGATGTGAACGTACAGCGGCTAACCAGGCTTCTAGTGCTGGGCTGTCAACGTCATGTCTCACCTGCAATTGGTTCAAGAAGCCGCGCCCATCTTCAACGCCAATCCCGAGGGTGGTGTTTACTTGATTACTTCTTCTGTTGCGGTAGGGAAACGTGCCAAGACGGCTATGGAATGGAACTTTGAAGTTTGAACCCAATTGACGTGAATACAGGGTACCACACAAGCCGGTAGCAGCATGGCCTACTCAGTCACCAAGGCTGCTGGTCTACATCTCATGAAGAACCTCGCATACACGCAAGGGCCCAAGATTCGAATCAATGCTATCCTTCCTGGTCTGCTGTTGACTGAATGGGTTTGTCCTCATGTGTCTTTTGGCTTGTTTTAATGGCATACGCTCATCACTTTTTGACAGGGGCAAGCATTCGGAGGAGCGAACATAGAAATGATAAAATCGGTATCTACATTAAGGCGCGAGGTACGAGCAGAAGCCCTTCCCACACAAGCTCAAAGCATTCACTGACTTTATAGACTGATCTTGACGATTGCGCCGATCTTTTCATCACAGCGGCTAAGAATAGCTCCATGACTGGCCAACAAATTGCGATTGGTACGTCTTTCTGGTATTAGATCTATGATGTTTTATTAACAAATATAGACTCCGGTATTGTTTTGGGTCACCCAGAGTCAAGGCTGATGCAACATGCGAAAAACTAGCCAATTAGCGCATAAAGGTATATGTTTATAGCTAGAGTTAGAGCGACTATCGAAATAGACATGCTCATTGATTTGGAGGATTATAAGACTATTGACATGTGTCGAGTGAATAGCAGTTTGAAGTCTTATATATAGTTCACCTTGTGATACGTTTGATCTGACGCCGTGTGAGGCTGACAGCATCTTCTGGTGGCTTCAATCCAATGACCGCAAAAGGCAATTAATATTGCTGGTATGTCCTGAAGAATACTTTATTTTGCTTACATGTCTGTTAGCATTTTCGTGGCGGATCTTCCGTGCCAAAGTTGAGATTGGGTTCTTGGGATGGACACATGAGATTTTCGAAAGAGGGGAAGTTTTTTAATAGAAAACACGTTTACCTACTGACATTGATGCTTTTGACCCAAAATGACCACTTTATAACTATATCATGAACATGTGCTAATCGTTTATGCGCCTGAAGATGGCTGATCTCCATTGTTGACATCACAGTCAGCTTGAGTCACACCGCTTGACTCATCATATACGCTCACATTCCTGCGTGTAATTAGAGGCGGGGTTGGCGAATACGCTTTTGATCTCCGGGTATTTTAATATTTGCGTATATAATGAGTTTTAGTGCCGAATTAGCTTCCATCCTTCAATATCGTCTACATATATAACGTGTATTGTCTGCACTCTGAATAGAATGATAGTTGAGATCATCAACACAATTTACACCCACTCCAACTCTACGATCATGGCATCTTCTGAAGCTGAAGTTACACACACCATCGCATCTTTGTATGATGCGATGGGTGTAAAGTATGAAAAGGCATTTGCTGATATGCCAGCCCGACAAAAGTCTCTTGAGTGGCTCCTCTCTCGTCTTCCCCGCACAGGTTGCAAAATTCTCGACATTGGCTGCGGAACCGGCTGTCCTGTAGCCCAGGTCCTATCTTCTGCTCCTCACAATCACCATGTGCATGGCATCGACGCTTCGGAAACAATGCTCTCTGTCGCTCGCCAATCGGTTCCCTCGGCGACTTTTCAGCTGATTGACGCCCGCAAATTCGAGGCAGAAGAAGCGAGCTATGATGCTGTGACGTCGTATTTTGCTCTGCTTATGGATATTTCACATGATGAGATACGAGAGACGATACAAAAGATTTTCAATTGGCTGAAACCTGGTGGATTCTTTATTCTGGGAACAGTTCCAGTTGATCTCGAACTTGCGTCAGCGAAATGGCTGGGCAAGAGAGCGCTATTGACTTCAATGTCGGAGGAGAATTACGTTACGGCCTTGAAGCAGGTGGGCTTTGTTATAGAATTCTCCGAGGTGGAGAATTTTATACCAAAAGCTGTGGAAGCCGGCATTTGTGATGAGGATGACGTGGTAGAGGAAGCCCAACTGTTTATATATGCACGAAAGCCGTAGTTACCGCGAATATTGTGTTCTCTTTATAAGATGGAAACCTGAATATATAACTGCTATATGTTTCTCTTATACATCTGTACTTATCATGTACAATGCATAGAATATACCATATATGTACTAATATCACAGATTAAATTCTGATAGCCTTATGATTCCCAGTCCGGTACTGTAATTAAGGCCTCAAGTTACCCCGTGTCTCTGTCACTCACCTGACTGAGATCCTCCCGACACAAGGAGAAGAAGGTCATCTTCCGCTATGCATAGGAGTTCGGAATGAATTAACAATGTAGCATAGGCTTCTTTTGAGAAAGTCCTCTCATTCTCAAAATAAGCATAATTTTTAATTCCATGAACCCGATCTCAACATCCCACGTAACAAAACCCTTATACTCACGGAGGCCTTGCCCGTCAAAAATAGTAGTAGACGAGAAGATCTCTTCAAGTAGAAAGTGTCGAACAATAAGGGGAAAAGGAATACAAACCGGCCCCAGGTTGTGGATAGAAAAATAATAGTGCCCCAAGCGATCCGCCGACATAAGTTCCCAAGCCCGTAATAGTAGGGAGGAGCTGTCCAGCACCACAACGTTTACGTAAATTTCAAGGTAGGCACCTGATGCAAAGAAAGGCTGTTTAAGTACAGAAATTTATAAGATATGTTGCAAAAAAAGCAGTTCCTTAAGTATCAACTACTATAGCTATATTTCTCTCGTATCTGTTAATATAGCTATATTTTTCTCGTATCTATTACTATAGCTACCTAGTGTATTTCTCTACTACCAGGGCGTCCATATTCGTAGGGGGCAAGGGTTGCATCTACCGTGTAAGCCCCATGAAAGCTGTGGAGGCTGGCGTTCGCGATGAGGATAACGTGGTGGAAGAACCTCATTTTCTTATATATGCACGAAAGCCGTAGCTACAGCGAAAACTGATTTCCCTTCATTAGATTAAAGCTTGAACACAAGTGTGTTTCTCTTAAACACATACCTATTAGGGTAGCAAAACGACCACCTTGACTTGTGACTCAGCCAAGTAACGCAGAAGCAGTTCTTTTATGTCGACATGGCCTCCTCCGGCAGCATCAGGGAGAGGTGTTGAATCAGATTTATCTTTCGGATTTTGATCGCCTCCATATTCGAGGAGTAGCTTGGACATCTTGACGTTCCCTCTCATGGACGAGATTTCTAGAGGCGTTACACCGAGCTCATCTTTGAAATATGGATGAACTTTTTCCTTTAGGATGGCTTCAACCCCGTCGATATCGTCACTTTTGACCAAGTCGAGCAGGCGTTTCTCTATATCAAACGATCTTAGAGCTGACCCTTTTGCGTCACGGATAGAATGGATCAAGGGTCACGTTACCTTGGGCTGATAGTGACATACTGGCGTGTTTTAATCTTGGATCAAGTTGTTCGGAAATGCTAGGCACAATTGGAAGAAACAGGCAGAGGTTCACGTCGTTCTTATATACATCTTGATGTAGCCATATGCTTTTTGCGTGTGTAGTTATAAATAAATACCCCTCGTTTCATAAGACGTTGGCTCTTCTTCCTTCCCCGGCCTTGACAGCCACTGGTTATTGAATCAGTCAAAACACAGGTACTAGGAAGTAGGCCGTACTTAGATATATTGATATGGAATACTTGCGAATGCACGAACTCTAGTAGGAGTTACATTTGACAAGTGCCCCTTGTTTTCTTGGCTTGCTATAGGCTAAAAATGAGTCTTGTGATCTTTGTTCCCTCTTTGTCTTACACGGTCGACTACTTCTTTGTCCCCCCCTGTCTTTGTCTAAGAGCGCCACTTTTTAGGAATATGTGTTCACGTTTATTGAACACCAATTATTACGGAGTACAAAAGATCAAGTCTTACCCAGCCTAATCGTCCTCATGGGTCCTTTGCTAGCATAGTGCGTCACACCATCCAGCATACGCGTACTATGGAGGGCTACTCTTGTGAGAAGCTTAAGACAATTCGAACCGTTCTTTTCTACAAGATGCAGTGGCATCGAACAAACGAAATATTGTGTACTATTTGCTTTGTGATCAACTTGACAAACTCTACATGTCTTCTATCGCTTAGTTGAAGGAACCCTTTTAGCTGAAGAAGACGTCTTTGACGCCGACACTGATGCCACCGTCGTTACCCTCCCACCGGCAAGTGTGAACACTACCCTATCCTGACAATGAGAAGACATACAGCACGGATCATCAAAGGGAGATCCACACGCCCGACAGTCAAAGTTGGCGCAAGGATCGGCACTCGAAGACGCCGGAGGGGGCTTCGAGCTCGATGTTGGACAAGTGCCGTTGGCACAACAAGCAGGCGAGCACTCGTCGCATCCATCTTCATTGCAGTTACACACATCAGTGGCTGTACACGAGCGGGTGCTGCTGCTCTGGATTGGCTTTGATGAGGTACTTGAGCCAATGCTTGTTGTCGGCGCTGAGTAACCTCCCGAGCTGGGATCCTTGGGGTCCTGATAGCCTGGCGGATAACCTGTAGGACTGGGAGTACACCAGTATCCAGAGCATATTGTTCCCCCGCAAGCCGTTGTGCCGCCCTTGCATGTTGGTCCGGCCGTGGGGCCTGAAGTGAAGCTGATGGTTGTTCCTCCAGAACTGGCTCTGGCGGCGGCGAGGCTGGCGCTCAAGACTGAGAGAACAGAGTTGGTGTAAGCTTGGCCCAAGTCATCAGTAGACCAGACCTCATCGTACCAGGTACCAATAGGTGCGGGCGTTTGTGTGCCAACGACTTCAGTAGTGGAAGAGTCGGAGACAGTGATGGAACAGCCTGAGATGGTCTCACACGTTGAAGCTGACGAGAGCGTTGTAGAAGCCGAGACAAACGTCGTGGTGATGCATGCCTCAGCTGTCTCTGTCTGACACTCAGGCTCATCATCCGTTGTGAGCTGGTTGTCTTCACCAATAGTGATTTTGGGCCAATCTGGCAAATTTCCTTTGATAGTAACGCCAGGAGGCCATCTGATCAGGCCGACGGGTGGAGGACCAGGTCCGTAGATGCCTGGCGGCAAGATCCAGTGCCAGCCACCAATGTGAAGCTCACCCCAGGAGATGCAGATGAAGAAGAACCACGCGGTACAGGGCACAACCACGCCATCGTCGGTGGGCTGGGGCTTGCTGACGCTTGTTGTGACGGGGACAATTTGGCCGAAGGGCGGCCATGTGGCAAAGACGGGCAACGGCGTCGTAGAGTCGGCTTGTCCAGTGCTCCATGATGTGACTAGAGAGCAGTCCACTGAAGCTTCAGCCGTAGTAGCTGCAAGGAATGTGAAGACCTTTGTGGTTGGGCAGGCAAAGTACAGTGTCAAGGGGTTAGAGTTGGTACATGTGGTCCCAACAGCAATGGCTGGCGTCTTGAACACAACAGATGTTGTAGCTGGACATGAGATTGTGATGGCTCCTGTCGAAGCTGGGAATGTCACCGTCGTAACAGTGGCTTTGGGTATCGTGACGGGGAAACCGAGCGGAGTATAATAAGTTGTGCCGCTGCCTGAGCTGCCACCGGAACTACCAGAAGTGCCAGAGCTCTGTCCAGGTTCCGTTCCCGGGTCTGTAAAGATCTCTGAGCCAGGCCCGCCATTGACTTCTGGCCACGGTGGGAGCGTGACCTTGCGTGTGGTAGTGCCACCGCTGCCATCGGGCAACGGAACGTTGACAGGCGGGATGTTGACGCTGGGATAGATGGTGATGGGCGTTGGTCCCGTACCCGTTACATTGACGTTGGAGTAGGGGATGCCGCCGGTGACAATGGTCGGGATTGTGATGGTGACTGTGGTAGTGGTCGTCTTGAAGACACTGGTAGTGCCAATGCCGGCAATAGACGTGGGCCCGATTCCACCGTATTCAAACGAGGTAACATATTGGCTCGGCGAGATTGTAGTATTTGAAGCCAGCGAGCTTGTAGGTAGGATCAACATGCAAGGCGCCGACGAGCAGGACACCGTCGGCGTTTGCCATATGTCGGTGCCAACCCACACGATGTTGACGTTATCAGCCCCAGGAAGCGGTAGCCATACGCTGACTTCAGTTGTGTAGCCGCGCTGATTTCCATCACTCTGTAGGATCTTGGTGCCGTCAATACCGTTGGCAATGTCGACGGCAGCCACAGTAAACAGGTTATAGATGACGACACCGGTTGAGCCCTTAACCTCCAGGATGCTCTCTTGGCAGTTTCTTGTGTCTTCACAATCTTTGTAAAAGGCGTTGAAGAAACTGTATAGCCCAGCACCGTGGATGGTGACATCGGTTGAGTCGATAATCTGCAGGCCCCAGGAGTAGCGGCACTGCTCATTATCCGTATCCGCCGTGAAGTTGCAGTGGCTAAAGTCGGGATCATTTGGAAAGCTCGCAGCAGCATCAAAGGGAGCTGGAGCACCAGGAACTGGTTGGAAATAAGGCGATTCTGTTTGGATATGACCCATGTAGACGTTCTTGGCACCACTGAGCAGGTAGTTGTACAGCACCGAGTGTTCAGAGCCGCTGCCATAGAACCACGACGGGCCCTGAGACTCGATGAGCATACCACGGGCTCCAAAGATGGCAACTTGCGTGATGGTTGAGTCTGGCTGGTTGAAGATGGACTGGTCATTGTCGTGGTCCGCAACCCAGGCCCATACGTTCTCAAAGTAACCGTTGGCTTGAGGCGTAACGTGAAACATGAGCGATGCTGCGATACACTCAGGATTCTCACTAAACTTGGGACATGTGGCGAGATCTAGATCCGATCCCAGGGCACCTCCGACGCGGAAGTGGGAATCCCACATTCCTGCAGCTCCTTGATCAGATGCTGCTGTATTCCATTCCATTAGGATGGCGCCAGCCGTGTTGCCTTTGACTGAGAACAGCATCTCGACAATTTCCATGGTGCCGATGTCACCCTCGTTGCCAACCTGTATCATGACCTTGGGGTCGTGCATGTCGCTGAAGTAGAAGCCAGACCCCTGGATTTGTGACCATGAAGAGCCTTGGACTTTTGAGCCTGTCGGGATGACAATTGTGCCGCCAACCGTGTAGATGCCAGCCGGGAAGTAGGCAATCTTGCCACCACTCACGGCCTTTTGTAAGAAAGAATTGATACAGGACTGCTGGTCACCAGAGCCATCATTCTTGCAACCTCCGTCTGTGGTGGCCACCAAGAAGGAGCCGGCGCTTTGATCCTCGTACTGGGGGCGCTCACGCACATAGAGGAAGCCTTTGGAATCTAATAGTCCCTTGGCCTTTGCTGGTGCCGTCACGTCGCCGGTCTGTGATGAACCGGCTGATCCGTTGTATCGCTTGCCGGTTGCCCACAAGTTAGAGTTGCTCGATAGTAGCGTGCTACCACCATCGATCAAGACAGGACTAGTGACTCCATCAAAGACGGTGTTGTCCAACACGATATTGGGAGACGTTCCAGCGTTGTTGGTCAAGATGCCGACCTTTGTTCCGCTGATGATAGTATCAATAATGGACACACTACCAGTTCCCTGGCCCGTGTCTCCTCCAATACCCGAGATGTTAAAGGCAATAGAACCGCCATTAATGTCAATCTGCTGCCAAGTCCAACCCCAGTCCCAAACCATCTGGATGGCAGTGTTACAAAAGTTGAACTGCAAGTTGCGAGCCGTGTATTGCTGCGAACCTGCACGCCAACCAATGTTACCGCCGTCAAAAATGAGGTTAGACACGAAACCACCACTGCCATTCTCAGAAAAGATACCAACGGCGGTTGTAGTACTCGTCGTTGGCATGCTGAAGATGAGATTTTGCAGCGAGGTAGCCTGGGCTACTTGCCAGTGAATGCCCGTTGGTACCAGATCTTGTCCTTGATCCGCCGTTGATTCCGGCATATCGGTAAGGTCGAACTCGAAGTTGCGGATCTGGCGGAAGAACTGGTTCTGGTTCACGTACCACTGCGCTCCTGATTCAAGAGGAATATACGGATCCGTATCAAATAGTGCGATACCCGCAAAAGTGTCACAGCCTTTGATTATAGGCATGTCATTGGGATCTCCAATGAATTGCGTATAATAGTACTGGATCACAGGGGAGCAGATTTTGTACGTGCCTGGCGGAAAGTAGACAATGGCACCCTGTGAGAAGGTGTTGCCACACTCCTCGCCGCATCGTGTCTGGTTGCCCCCAACTGAATTCTTGTTCCAGCTGGCTACGGCTGCGTTGAGGGCTTCGGTTGTGTCTGTATCTCCAGAGTTGTCGGCTCCAAAGTCATCGACAACATTGCGGAAGAATTGGTAATCGTTTCCTCCAGCCAAAGGTTGCTTTCATTGCGCATTAATATCCATTATCACAAAAAGATGGAAACATTGAACTTACAGCTCCCAAAGGCCCAAGAGTTGTCAGCCAGTAATCATCTGAAGACTGCCGTTTCTTGGGTGCCTTGAAATTGGTTTTCTTAGTCCCATTGAAGCCTTTATAACCGCCACGAATCACAGTTCCTTTGCCAAGGTTCGTCATGAACTTTTCTAGACTGCCTGAGTAACGCCATACTGGGCCATTCTGCTTCCCCTTGTCAGGAGCTGTGTGGTAATAGTTGTGCTGGTTATCCACCATGTACGATGGTGCTGGCTGCCATTAGATGTTAGCATCATCCCCAACTTAACACAAGAAGGTTGCAAAACACATCAATAACTTACTCTTGGATCATATGGGAGCGCAGTTACGTTTGCGGGAAGATGTGGTGGCGTGGCTGACCGCACAAGACTCACTTGTGCGGCCAGCAGAGTTAGAAACAGAGGCAAAGGACCAGTCATGTTGCTATAGAAGCCTGACACGAGTCCATTGCATGGGGAAAGGGAATGGAAAATGAGACCTGGGGAAGGACATCTGCCATGATATTGATGTTATGGACCCAAATACGGCCGCGGAACAGCTCTGCCGTGTGCTGCATAACCGATCTTACAATAGTCAGGTTACCTCTCAACTTAGGCTAAACCAAATCCTAAAGAATGCAATCCTTAAGACGCATGAACAAACGTATTACACAAGTCCCTTCTTGTTGCCTGATGTTGTCGAACTATTTTTGCTATGATGATGCCACCTTCATTCCATTCACGCGAATTAGGCTTGTGAATTTCGTAACGATGCAGTGTCGGATTGTATCTGTGTATCCGATCAGGATTGCCAGTTGTAGGGTTGCATTTCTCATCGCTATATCCATAACATGGAAGACCTATCCAAGAATACATACCATCGCATAATTATAGGATTGTGTTAGTGCAGGATTGTCTGACCATGTTATTGCATCAAGGCGGGATTCATCGTGTAGGATCCATCAGCGTAGGATCGCATCTGTGTCGCATTGCATCGGTGTAGGATTACATCGGCTCCCCTGCATTTAACCGTCTTCAGTCATTCCCGAGAATCGATCCAACTCGGCAGGGTGTTTCGGGGGTAACAGCAGCGACAGGCCGACCCTCGAGTTTTGAGACAATTTGACGAAGTAAAATCGTCATATAATCTGCTCTTCATATTGTGTTCCGAACTGTTATAAAACAAAGCAAGGCTTTCAAAGTCTCTTCGCTTCCATTGCTTCATTCATCAAGGTTATCTGATCTCTTTCATACAATCGCTACAAGCACTCAATTATCACTCCATTCAAGATGCTCTCCCAAACACTCTTCCAAATCATCTCCCTGGCGCTCGTCGGCACTGCCATTGCTGCCCCAAAGTCTCTCGTGTCTCCGCGTTCTGCGCAGATCTGCGACGACACTGAGACGGGCGACCTCCTCTGCTACACTGCTCCTGACAACACTCCGCAAGACGTCGCGGTTGCTGATGTATCCTATGTCGCGGCATATCTCCGCGCATACGGAGCGCAAACCAAGGCCGGACGCCTGTACTCAATGTCTGCAGCTGACGCCCCTGACTGCGCCGAGTGGACCGTCTATTCCCACGGCACCGTCCAGGTCATCGCCAAGCACATTGACGACACTGTTGACAGCAGCGTTCTCTATGCTGATATCGCCAATACCATTGACGGTGGAACCGGCGCTACCGCTGCTCAGCAAGCTGCTGCTCTCATCGGCTGCGGTACTGATGGCGGCTCGCTCGGTGTTGTCTACAACGCTTCCAACCCGGCATACTCGGCCTCGACTTACCCTACTGGGTACACGCCTGAGGGTATTCTTATTAAGATTGTGACGACAGGGGCTTAGGGCCTGAGTATGGGATTGGGGTTTCCTCTTCATAGCATTCATAGCTAAAGCATACTTGCAATTATGTTAAGAGGGAATCCTGTAGACTAATTAGTTAAATTGACAACACTGCAACCTAATTAGTTTCATCGTACTCTCCTTATTGATCATATATGTTTGTGCCTTGCAGACACTTGAGTGATTTCTCTTCTGTTGTGATACAAGTATAATTCAGTGTGTTAGAAGGTCATAACATCGCGCAGTATATTAAACCAGGGAGTGGAGGAGAAAGTTTGCTCTTCTATTCAGTCTCAAGCTTGCTATTAATTTCACCATTTCCCATCTCTGCTGGGTGCACATTTGCCTCACTCAGTTGACCGGTAATTGGTGACATGTTAAGCATAGACTCTCTCTCCATAGAAAGTGATGAGCCACCCAACACTGATTGAGCTGTCGATCATGAATGGACAGCAACTCCAACAAATCGAACAAGTCCTATTTAGGGAAAAGCCGGGAAGCTGGCTTCCGCAGTGGAGTTGTGGCTTCGTCCCGGCCCCTGATCTGATCGGCATATAATTGCCGTTTTCTCCTTGGCCCCGCAGAACCCCTGTCAACAGCCCAGCGCTAGCATCGTCGTGCAGATTTATTTATACGAGTAACGGAGTCTTCGGGAAGCTGCGGGGTAAGTGAAGAGAATGGCAAGGTTAAAGACTATAACTATGCTTAAGCTTGAAAGCTGCAACCACTGTAACTGAGATCTTGTTTTTGTAACATATTGAGTGAGCCTACTCTACTCAGTAAACCTACAAGGAAACATAACTTGCTAGAATTGGCATAACGTACAAATCGGAGAATCGAGTCGCCAAGACAAGAGTTGCAGGAATCTGGCGGAAATTACATTCACGAGCTTACAGCCGCGTAGGGTTGTATTTACACTTAAAGGATTGTTGCTACTCTAAAGGATTGCCGTGGTCTGGAAGGATTGCTGCTGCTCCCCGGAAGGATTGTTTTTGGCAACATTGCTACATGTTATATACAGGCTAATTTCCCTTTCAAGTAATAATCTGCCTTGCATCTCTGCTGTTTAGTTGGATTCGCTTACTTTCTTTGTGAGATGGTAAAAAGAAGCTATGTTAGTAGCTCCGATATAATACTAGTCGATTGCTAATGTTCCTGCTGCTAAACTATTCTTGGCCTACTCGTAGTTGATTACACACTACACCACATGGCAACCTGGGAACTTTTTGTTCAACTACGGCTGTAACGGCAACTCAGAGACTCCGCTTTAATCTGTAAACTCGCTTCCTTTAGTGTATAGTTGTAATTAAAACCTGAAGGATGAAGAGTTTGCTGACGAAATATCTCACCACTGATTACCGAGAAACATCTCATAGTTAAGTGGTACATCATCAAGCTTGTAGAAGCCGTCAACCCCCTACCCCTCCACCTCTCCCATATATCTCCAAATATGCAGTTATGAGTATGTCTCAGCCATCGGTGCAACCTACATATGGTATAGTCTTCTACCAATATCCGCAGAAGCGCACCTCTTAGACATCATCCATCATCTGGCGACGCGTGTTTGGCCCCCACTATCTTATATCCTTATAGCAAAGCAATGAGTATACGATAGTTATGCTCAACAGAGCAGAAGGGTTACAATGACTTTTTCCTGGAGGAATTCGATAGTTAGTGGTCCAATGTTCCAACATAATCGGTCGTTGCATCACACCATCTCCCCAACGGTCAGTCATATCTCATAAGAGAAGCCACATGTAGTAGCCATAGGATGAGTCTGCATGAATGAGAACAAAGTCAGTTTTTGCAGCTCTCACTCCGTCCAGGGTCAGCAGTCTCTGGCTATCAAGAGACATTTTGCCTATTCTGAGATTACAACGTCACACTTGGCCTTTTGGACGAGAAACGGGTTTCTTGCATATGATCAGACACTTGTGTGCCAATAGGCTAGTTATTCCGTCCATCAGGAGATTGATTACTCCTTACCACATGGACTTTTTCGCCCTTATTTCCTTTGGTCGTTGCATGTAGAACTGACATCAAGGTCAACAACTCTTCACCTTTGGTCTATCCTGATCTCTCAAAGGCCATGGCGAAGCTCTTCTTTCATCTGGGACTATTCCCAGTCCTATTCAGTGTCCTAGTATACACTGTATTAGGCGCTGCCCCGACGCTTGATCAGTTGTTTATAATTCAGAGCGGAACAGCTAACGGTGGCTGCGATGCCTATACCGCAACCATGAATAACTGGCTGATTGAAATCAACTATGCCCTCCAAACGACTCTTGCGGCCATTGATAAGTATGAAACGGAACCAAAAGTCAGAGCGGCGTTTACAACCTTCTTCGGAGTCAAAGAGGCTGCAAAAGCCACAACGGGTGTCACAAATATTCGTAGTATGTTCATCTTTCTTATTTCTTGTGTCTTCATTGGGTTGACCTTGAGGCTAGAAATCTTCCAATGGGTCTACAATTTCTTCTCGTTCGCGTTGAATGATGATGGTACTCCTTGGTATCCCATAGATAACTCACGCTATATCTTTTGCGACAGTACTTGGCTTATAGAGCAAACGCAAGACGACACGGCCAAAGACTATCAAGGTAATGGCATTATAGACAAAAACGGCAACCTCGTCCCCATTGAATCAATACCCGGTTACAAAACGGCCATCGGCACAAAGGCCGGCAATAAGATCTGGTGGTCTGGTCAATACGCACCCTTTAACGGATACTACTTCTCACCAACCGGCGCAGATTACTGCAGCAATCCAAAAAGTCTCGGTCTCACCTCATTTATCCAAGAACTAGAGGTAAATACCAAGACCGGAACACTCAAGGGACGTCGACAGGTCGAAGACATCATTATCTGTCCTTCGAGCTTTACAACCTCGGCACCAGACTCTTTCACGGCTGGTGATGCACTGATCTCCGCAGGCACCGGCCTTGACACCGTGTTACCCAAGAGCGCAACGCTCCTCCACGAGTCTTTCCATAACCTGTTTGGGACAACTGGACAATATGGATTTCTACAGACTGGAGAGGAATGTAGGTGTTCTGTTTTTTATGTATGCAAGTGTTTACGATACTGACTCGGCATGGGCAGATAATCTCATGACGTGCATCAGCTGGGCTAACGTAAACGCCGTAAATGGGGCGCGCAAAAACCCTGAGAACTACGTATTCTTCGCTGCGCACATGTTCTACTTGTATGGCACAGCGAGCCAAGGCATATCCAAGAATTGGGACTTTGAGATTATTGAAGAAGCGAATGGAGATAAGAAGTTTGGGGCGAAAGCTCCTTAACTAGGTACGAGGGTGAAGGCGTCCATGGGGTGTATGCTGATGGTCAAGGAGGAGGACATCTGTAGAGTCGTCTAAGTACTTTGGATGATTTATCTTAGAATCAGAACTTTGATCATGCTTCCTTGACAAGAGACAGATATCTGAGTTAAAATATCTCTTCTTCATCTTCTTCATCTATCAGAGGGGAGAGGTAGGATGGCGCCACCTGGATATCCCAACGCTCTTGCTCCCAAGCCGTAACCGGGGGTATCACGTTTGACACAACGGTTTCCCAAGACTCCTTTGCTAGGGGATCTTTCGCCGATGCCTCTTCACGCTGACGGGTGGCACCGTAAAGGCCATTCCATAGGCGAAATTGGCATACAACCATCTGGCCACTTCCATTTTCTTCCGCCGCCACCGGTTGTCCTGGCGGCTTCCACTGTTCATTATCTCCTGTGTCTGTCCAAGCCCACACTAAGCCATCTGGCTTTGGAAGAAAAGCCACCAGGCCTGGCCACTGTCCTCCAAATGGAATTGAGTCTCGCGAGAGTGGCGGCGGTGGCCGTAGATCCTCACAGTCTGCGGGAACGAAGCCTTTGAATGCTTTGACGATACTGAAACGTATTTGCTCGAGGTCAGGGCCGCCTGTATACGGTACCAAGAAGGCCGTAAGCGTCACACGGCCCTCTACCTCGAGTTCTTTTCTGTCGCTATAATGCCAGTGGAGGCTGGGGAATCGTGATGCTGTTGGTGACATTGTGCTACCCATGTTTTCTGCATCATTCAGGGACAGACGCTGGAATAACCCACCGGACACGATACCGCTGTCAGGCAGGTCCTTCAGAAACTCGGCACATGCTGGAGAATCTTGGAAATTCCAGAGGGCTTCTGCAGAAGCCCATACTGTTGTTGTTGCGTATCAATGTTAATACTGAGTCCATGAAATTCTTTGCTGAATACTTACGAATGATGATGGCAGCCTGCTCCGGGTCATCAACCTGCCTCCCTAGCCAGACCTTGTCATAACCCGTCACTTCTGCAAGCGGTCCGAGGACAGAGCTTCCCGTCGACCATTTTGGCCAGCCCTGCCATCGCGGCAGATGGAATCGAGTCCAAGTTGTCCGTCTGTTCATTGCTCGGATTTTCGACTGAAGAATCCTGGTGCGAGCCATGCAGATGTTGATGTCTAATGCCAGCGCACTAGGCGTTATAAGTGCCTTGACTAGGAAATGTCATGGAAAGATGCGGGGCCGAGAGATCAACGGCGGGGTGGCTGGCCTTTATAAAGACGGCCTGGATTAGGATTAACGGACAGAGTAGTAGCGTCACATAGATTGAAGGAATGGAGGGGAGGTTTCGTCAGTCGGTAGTGTTGTAGATATACTGGATAGAACAATACCTGCTTATTTACTTTGTACGTGTAGCGGCCAATTACATGTATGCATAATTACATCAATGACAGTAAACAGTTTCTAAGAAACTAGAGCTTATGGCAAGCCAGGCAACAGCTAACATGAGAGAGTCTAACAACGCATTTCCGAAAACAGAAAAAGGAAACTCGGGTGGCACAGCACCAAAACTACATATACATCCAGACTCAGCACCATGCATCTCCAACACATTATATTCCATTCATACAGCCCTAATGTTCTGACAAAAGAAATTACACCATCACACAATTGGCTAGTGTGAATCCACCTTCCATGACGCTCAATAGCCCGAAACCAGGGCACTATAAATCCATCGACACGCCCACCTTCCCAACCCAGCCCGACTCTCTTCTCGCATCCTCAATTTTCCATTTCCATTATACATTCGTTTAACTCCACTGCGGACAATCGCGATAGCGATAAAACATCAAAAATACGAGAAATCGGCCTGAACTCGTCCGTCCCATCCTCATCATATCGCCCGTCCACCAAGAAATGAAGAAGCTATGTTAGAGGGTGTTACCCGTCTTCCTCCGGTAGCCTTCTGAAAGTCACTCAATATATTTTGATCTGCGTCATATCATATCATGTCGTCGTTCTTTTGAACTCTTCTATAGTTAGATAGGTAGCTGCAGAGTAGAATCAGAATAGAAGGGGGTGAGATGGAAACATGTGTGCACCTTTATACTTGTAGCGCTACATGTGACTTTGTTGTGACTAAGGTCTGTGAAGCCCTGATCATTACATGTGGTTTGAATTTTGCTCTAACAAATGAACTGTGAAAGAGAGAAGCGGGGTTGTTTGGAGGATTCACGTCTTTACTCACCGGTCAAGCATCGCTCGCTTCCCCCAACGAGCGGATGCTGCATCAGTGCAGCCCATCCTGGTCAAAACGAACCACGTTTATGAAAATCGTCCACGATTTGGACTCTAGAAGGGCCGCTTCTTGATTGCGGCGTTCAGATAGGCAGCCAGAGTCTCAAATAAATGACGAGGCTGCCAATAGTGAAGCTGAGAACCGCGGATCGTGCTATGGATGCATATGCACGCTGCATAATGCTTGTAAAAATGCTAGGAATGGCTTGTGGTTTAATATGGCAAATGAATCCTTCAGATAAGTTGATTGTGAAGTTGAAACGTAACGGAAGCATAAACAGGATCTGAGAGAGGCTCCTTCATTGGAAGAGCCTAGATGTCTGTTAACCTGTATTGAAACCAAGTGGTTTCATCAACTCGTCGTTTTTTTTCGAAGCCGCGTGCTATGAGAACTCTCTATTAATTTAACTACAGCATTGTCACAGTCGGTTCACTGCATGGTTCAACCAGCTGCGGTCCCCCACGCTGAACCTCTCTGTACATGGAGAGATTTGGTGGAAATGACCACCCACTTACATGAGCAACAGATTTAGCAAATCGACGATACACAACCCGCCAGTATAATATGCCCCTAAGTTATTTAAATATCTCCATTCTCACATCCACTCCTTCCAGCTAGTCCCTCTCTAAATATGACCTCGGAGATCGGGAGCAGTTAAATGTGGATTTGTCTAATTAACTAACGCCAACGTGCTGGCCCATATTCCCGGGTAACGCAGAATCAAGCAGTTTTAGCTGTCTTTCACAGCTGAAATAAGCATAGTTCTTACGCGGAGCATTCGCTATGGATCTCACTACCTGCTGCCTAGAGTCTTTAGTCAGGGGATTGAAGGTTAGGTTGGCCCACATAAGATGACGATATAAACTTCATGCGTACGGCTTTGTGCTGTTCAGAACGTTTACGAGAACACAATTACACGGCGATCATTTCCTCTTAGAATCGTAAAAATTCTGGGTTTAATTTGTCTCCAATTTGCGAAGCTGCGTCATCATTTTTATGACGCTTCATCCCCACGACACCATAAGAGCTGCTATCTTGAACACCTCCAAACTCACCATCACACGAAATTCGTGAATACAACAAAATACACGTCGCCCCCCTCTGATTGAACCACCTCGCCATGTCAGAACGCATCAAACGCCGCAAATTAAACCCCGACTCAGAATCATCACCAAATCCCACCCCAGAACCATCATCAAACCACGACCCAGAAACCCTCCCAAACATAGAGCACATCCCCGAGAAAATCCTCCTCCAAATCATCGCCCATCTCCCCGGCCTTGACACCCTCTGGAACCTTCTCACCGCATCACCTCGCTCCCTCCGCCTCTTCAACGCCCAAGCACTCATCATCATTGAAAACATCTTCTCCAGCCCGAATTCCATTCTGCCGCCGAAAATCCAGGAAATCATCCGCGCTGTCATTCTCACGCGAGCCGGTGCTCTTCCGTTCAAGAGTCGCGATGAGTTACGCTACCAGTTTATACACCACAAAGTACCTATGCGTACAATCAAGGACAAGACATGCATCTCTTTTGGTCCCGATCGTTTAATAGCCGCGGATATACCTGTGTCAATTCTTCGATCCGTCGTTGCAACGGCGCACCACATATCAGCTCTTACGCATGCTTGTCTATCATTCTACCTCGGACAAGTCTACAACCCGAGTATTTTCGCACCGCAACATGCACAAACTCCACTACCTCTATACAAAATAAGAGGCTCCAATCCTCCCGAGAACGACAAAACCCCAGCTTGGCACCAAGTATTCGTTGGAACGCCTTACACAGTGGTTAATGCAGGACCACCAAGCTGGGTAGAAGAAATGCGTGCAACACGCGCCATGTGGCTCATCCAATTAGTAGGAGATGTACGCTCCTTCGTATTCTTCAACTTTAGCACATCAGGCTGGTCCTACGATGACATCAACTCGACATTCCCAACATGGGCCGACAGCTTCCTCCACGACGGCTCCATGATTAACACAGGTGAAGAGATACGGTCTGCGATAGAATACCTAGAAAAACTCGGCCTCCAAACAAAAAGCCAACCCTTCTACAAACTTCCCAAACTCCCCGCAGATGCCAAACCCGTCAACCCAGTAACACCCCTCCCAGACCCCTGCGAAGCAACCTGGGGCGGCATCGGCATCTGGTTCAACTACGGCCACAAAACCATCAAATTCCCTCCCACGCGCGAAGCCCGAAAACTCGCAAAGAGCCCGCAGCTCAGCTCAGCGTCTCTCCGAGGCCAGACGAGAGCCAGCCTCGAAAGCGAAGCACCTGCAATAATCCAGCTCCGACATTTCAGAGAGGGGAGATACGGTCTGCCGATTACAGAGGCGCGATTCGAGAGGTATCGGCCGTTTGGGCTGGCGTTTTGGGATAAACGGAGATTGCAGCTGTTGGGGCTTTTAGGGGAGGGGCAACAGAGTGAAAGGGATCTTGATTTTTACTGCTTTGCGTGGGAGAGTTTGCTGGATACTGAGTGGGTGAAGCATATCATGAGGGTGTTGAGACAGGGCGTTGCATTGGAGAATGAGACTGAGGGTGGTGCATCTATTGAATCTGATGAAGAGGAGGATTCTAATGATGAAGAGTGAGTATACGCAAACCATATAGCTGGCATCTACTGTGCTATGAAGCCATAGTTATTGTAGGATGTCATCCCTTTTGTCTGCTATACAAGCATTGTACACCGTACATTGTGCAACACCTTCACCTTCACCATCATCAACCAATCCATCACACAACTCACAACTCACAAGCACAGCACAATCATCCATCCATTCACAATTATGCCCCCCCAAAACCCCCACAAACACAAACACCAACATAAAAACTCCCCGTCAAAGTGGTCGCACACACTCATATGCAACCCCCACCCCCCCCTAAATCCACAAAGCCAGCGACATCCGAGCACCTCGCCACCATCCATGCACCTCCCACCCTCTCCATTGGCCGCCATCTCTCTTCTCACTATCTAAACGAAAAACTTCACGCTCTGCATGCCGTTCCGTTTCGTCACACCGCCAGTCCTTGTGTAACCCGAGAAAACGCGGGCAGGTCCATTAAGAGACGCCCGACTTGCCAGCTGCAGGGAGACATTGGAGAGCTGTAAATTACATGCATATCTGCCTTAATGGTGCAATTAGGCAGCGATAGTCTAGAACATGGCTCGTGAGATGCATTGCGCAGTAGCCTGGAAGCAGGTCAATCACAAAGCAAACTGACATGTGAAGCTTGAATAGCGAAGCAAATAGAGATAAGCATTTCCCAACGCCACCAACACCGGATGCGTGTTTCGCTAGTAAATGTTTCAATCTCAAGTATAATCCCAAATTCTCACAGTAATGCAACCCAAAAGTACCAAGAATGCGGGTGCGAACCCCGTGTCAATCTCACATTCTTTCAAAAAGTAAACATGATCCATCCAAAGAGGAGAAGATAAAACCCAAACATGAACAAAAGAAAAAAAATTGAACAATTATAAACGCCCAAGATTAAAAGGCGAGCCGTCTATATCACAATACCGCGCTGGCTCCAGCCTCCCTTGCCCTTCCAAGCCCACAAGAGCATAAAGCACGCCGCAATAACGCAAAGCCCCTCGGCCCAGAAAGTGGCTGCGTAACAATGCTTTCCGTAGCAAACAGAATCGTCCGACCCATCATTACCGCCGTCGCCATTGTCGTCACCAAAGAGTGACGGAGTGGTCGTGCGACGTGCCCCAGCTTCGTAGACTGCCGAGTAAACAAGACCCCAGAAAGTAGACCCAAAAGCAGGTAGCATGGCAATGATGCCGAAATTGGTAGCAAAGTTTTCAACGCCCCAGATAATAGTCACAATGAGCGGTGTCAAACTAAAGATGGCACCGTATCCGGCACCGACAAGGCCCGAGACAATCCAGAATCTGTCAGCATGGTTCTGGGCCGCGCCACTAGCAAGGAACAAAAGACCAATAGCGAGAAGAATGGCAAAAATGAGCATAAAGACAACACGAGAAATGGCAAAGCGCTTCAGTGGGGATGAAGGGCGCGAGGGAGCGACTTGAATGTGTTGCGTCTCTGGTGCCGGAGCCAGGATATCGGTCAAAGTGCCAATCATGAGCCGAGCAATGGTGCTGGTGATGCCAAAGACGGAAACGTGAGTAGCCGCCGAAGTCTTGTTGTTGAGGTCTTCGGTGATGGGCGGGGTGAGAGTCCCAATAACGGTGCCTAGGTTGTTGATAAAGGCTTCCCCGGGTCCAATCATGAGGAGGAAAGCCAAGGCGAATGGCCACATTGTGTGGTCAGTCAAGAAGCGGCGTGTCTCGGCGTTGAGAACCCAGTTCTTCTTCCATTTCGCATCGTCATCATCATCGCCCTCTGTATCATCATCTGCAGCATTCGCAGGAATCGCACCATAGCCAGCGTTGGACCGTCGGCTTTCAGATCGCGCAAGGAGAGAGCTTCCATCGAGAAGGCCGCTCTGCTCCAGCTCTTCGATGGCCTCCTCAATGAGGTCCTGCTCGTCGACAACCTTGAGGGTAAACACGCTGAGAATTCCAACGACAAACAGCAACACCGCTAGGAAGACGAAGAAGCGAAACACGTCGACATCGCCCTTGGACCCATCAGGGTTCTTCTCGTACAGGAATCGGCTGCCAAACTGGCTCAACCACATGCCGCTCAGGCCAAAGCCGGTGATGGGCATAGCCAGCGCCAATCCTCGGTATTTTCCCTTTCCAAAGTTCTTGGCACACGTCGACACGGAGCTGATGTACATGGCGCACGTGCCGGCGCCAATCATGATGAAGGCGAGCACCATGAGCGGATATGACCAGCCATTCTCGGCGCCATGAGACTTTCCCAGCGTGTTGTACTCGTAGTCCAGCTTCTTGTAGATGCCCGCTGCAAGCCCGTATCCGCCTCCAAACAGGAATGCCGACAGCAGGGCCAGCGGCGCAACGCCGACTCGGTCGCAGACGTAGCCCATGATGGAGATGGGCAGATACAGGGCCAGGGAGCTACCGATGGCGACGCCATTGACCTGGAACTGCGTGTAGTGCAATCGCGAGAGGAACTTTGGAGCGTAGAGCGAGAAGACGACGATGGAGCCTGCGCATAGGGCCGCAATGGTGGCCGCGATAAGAGAGATGAAGCGAACAATCTGCTTCGATCTTATCTGGCGGCGCCGAAGCGCAGGGTCGGAAATGCCCGACGATTCATCGCCCTCATCGTCGCTGGTAAGGACGGAAGAGCGGTCATCATCGTCAAGGGCCGTAGGAGCAGTCGGATAGATGAAGCGCTGGTGATCGGAGGTAGCCGAGGTCGGCATTGCGCGTGATGGATGGGGAGGAGGGCCACGACAGCAGCAAGAGGGAATTGATTCAGTAGGATTGAATGGGGGATAATTAATTGTTTCGCATCCTTGAACTGAAGCTAAAGAACAGATGAGGAGTGAATGAAAGAAGAAGAAGAAGAAAAGAAGGAAAAGGGGGCCGCAAATAGAAGAGCGGAAGAGGAAGAGTGACGATCGGATAGCAGGGAAAAGAGATGGAGAGGACAAAGGGTGGCGATAGGAATCATAGAAGAGTCATAGCTAGGTGAGATAGCTCTTATCGGCGATAGCGCGGTTCGGAAGTGAGTGCTGAAAGTCTGGGGTCATGGGCCCTGGAGTGGCACACCGCGGGCCCCGTAGCGTCTCCAGCGGTGGGGCCTCGAGGCTGTCAGGGGCTTTGCTCCAGCGGATCTGGCTGATGCTACAGCGGGTGCGGGTCCCTAGCTGATAAGGGGATGATCATGGGCATGGACAGTAATGCAGCCATCCATCACCTGAACATTATGGCGACATCAAAGGATGACCTCAATTATATGTAAATGTACATCATAGAAGAGCCGAGGTATAAAACAGGAAAGCCAAGATTAAATCTTAAGAAACACAAACAAAAAGAAACACATTTTCCACCTAAAATAATCCCAGCATCTGTCTTTTTTAAATGCCCGCAGAAATCCTCCAATATGACCGTTTCGCCATGATACTCCCGTACGCACGCAATACTAAATGTCCCTTGCTTCCAAGCTTGATTCAAGATTTTTTCCCAACCTGCTCCGTGCAAAATATGCCAAGTCCAATCATTCATGCCACATAGTCTCAATTACATGTCGTCATTTGCCCCTCGTTTATGAGCAGCATTTCATGCCGCATCAGTGTCCCACGAAATCTTCTCCAGGCTTGTAACCTTTCTTGTATCCCACGAGCCGAGCAGCCTCGGCGGTTCAATCCGCTCTCCCTGGATGGGCCAGGGCGGATTCTTGGAGTACTCAGGCACGCCATCCTCATCCGTGCTTACTATACCGGGAAGATCGATTTCGTCGTTGCATGTGAGCAGCATGTATCCCTGGCCGGTTGTGATGATGAGGAAATCATTGTCCACAAAGATTCTCCGCGCAAAGCCAATCTCAAACATGTAGCCTGCGATATCCGACCGATGGCGTAGACTTGCAGCATCGAGCTCACTAATGCGTGGGCATCCGTGCTCATTAGAGGGGCTGGCCACCAGCCACTGCATACCGTACGAGTAGTGTCTGCTGACCAGGTACTCGTCGAACCAGGTAATGACGAACTGATCTTCCCATACACACAAGTCAAAGTGTTTCACCGTTGGTGGGTACGGCCTCCGGCGACTCTCATACTTGTTTTGTGCAAACGACTCGGTGAGGACATTGAAGCAGATGCAGAGCCATTCGGGATTCTTTTTGTTATCCTCTTCTTCCCAGGGGGCGCCTTCTTTGAGGAGCACAAATTGGACAATCCCAATGGCGTAGCCACCGTAATTATCAATCTTATGGCATGAAAGCGTTAGGCGCATGGCCGGACACGAGTGCCGACTGTCGGGGTGTCGCCGGTAGCCTGGCAGGGAGAGTGAAGTCTCGAATCGAGCCACAGGAACGCCGCGGTCAAACTTGATGATGACGATGGTGTGGATGCGGGAGTCTACAGAATGGCAGCACATGGTTAGCACTTGAGGCACATGAGCCAACTAACAACACCTTACACTTACCTGGCAGTGGAGGCGAGTTTAGCCATCCTGCAAAGACAATGTCTGTGTCCGTTGGATGAAACATGACGCCGGGCACGCCTCCCAGGTCCTTTTCCCAGCCATTGGGCTGATGAAAGTGCTCGCCGTGGTCAATCTCTAGTTCATAGGCAGTGTCACTCCAGCCCCATATGACAACATGTCCCTGCTTGGTCACAAACGCCACCATGTCCCCCTGGGCGTAGCACTGCGCAAACTTGCCGGGGAGGACGACGTTTTTAGAAAGCCGGTTCTCCAGGTGAAAGACAGTTCTAGCAGCCAAATGTTAGTAGATGAAAGTTGAACCTCAAAAATGAGAAGAGGTGCGTGTAACGTACATGGTTTGTCCGTTGTCCGGTAAGTTTCTGTCCCGGTACGAAGGTGCACTTGATGCCAGGATGACGAGGCTGTCGGTGACGGCCTGTAGCTGCAGCGGCCTTCCCGAGACGAAGTCGACACCGAAGCTGAAGCGAGCCCTCTCCCGGGTGTACAAGTCGTCGACAAAGAGGTGACAGTTGTCCGGCTGCCAGGCCATCTTGCCATTAGAGTAGCAGATGGTCAGAGGCGCGAAGCCAAAGTCGACCTTGCGCAAGTCACCAAGCTGACGGCTCGGCGGCGCCTCTTCGCTGCTGATGAAGTAATCAGAGCTCCAGCCCACATCCCACGAGACAAATGATCGCTTGCTGCGGCTAATGAAGTGCTTCCGCAGATAGCGCTTGGCCGAGGCCAGAAACAGTTCGTGACGATCTGGCACGTCGCCGCCGTAGAGCTCCAAGAGGCCGGGGAAGAAGCGCCGGCACAAAAACGTCGAAACGACCCCCTGCGTCCAGGCCTCGCGCCAGTCCTTGCTGACCAAGAAGCAGTTGAGCACGTCCTGCAGCCGCAGATGAGGCACAATGGAGGCAAAGACCTCTGGCGGCAGTTCTCTCAGGCCGGCGAAGCCCTCCATCTTGACGTGGCCGTCGCGGAAGCGGTTCCGGATGTAGAGCAGGTCCCAGGGCGAGAGGCTGTCGAGAAAGACGTCGAGCGACTCTCTCCGGCGGCTAGGCTTGGAGCTCGGCACTACGAAGCGGTGCTTTGACTGGTTCTGCTTGAGCTTGAGCTGCTGCGTGTCTGCCAGGGGTAAGAAGGAAGACGGCGAAGATGACGGAGAGGGAGACGGCGAAGAGGACGGGGACGAAGGCGAAGGCGAAGGCGGAAGAGAAGTCATGGTTATTGCATCATGATACTCCGGGGTCACAATAAAGAGAGAGACACAGAGAGAGTCAAAGTAGGGTGTCGGAAGCTGAGTCAAAATGAAATTAAACAGCAGCAAGGGAACAGAACCAATCCCCCGCCACGGAAATTGGGCAAAATGAAGAGGCAGAGGAAATGTTTGAGACAAGTAAGCACAAAGACGGGACAGAAGATGGTAGAGGGGGGAAAAAATAAGAAAAATGAGAAAAAGAAGGAAAAGGGAAAAATGATGGATGAGCTGAGAAGCCTCGTTAAGCCGCCTGCCGAAGTTGAGACTGAGCAGCGCAGTAGGAGTACATGCGCAGTACCGACGGAAGTGGTGGGCGCGAGAGGCCGATGCGGTGCGGGAGAGTGTCACGTGTGGGTATCGGTACCGTACGATGCGTTAGCGGGTGCTGTACTCGCTGTGGCCTTTTTTGCTGCAAACCAACAGAACGCAAACGGTAGAAGAGGAGATGAGAGAAGAAGACAAGAGAAGAGAAGAGAGAGTGGATGAATTAATCAACAAAAATTAGTTACTAATAGCATCAGTATTGAGAGTAGTAATATTAATATTAATTAATAGTTCGCTCGACAGGCACAGGCCTTTACATCTGCTCACCGAACTTGGCTTTTTGCTTGGCTTTGGGCGGGAACAGGGTCCGGTCGAAGAGGGGTACAAGCCTTCAATATCCATGTTATGCAAGTCCTCGCCCAATGGCCCCAAGTACAGCGCAAGACACGCCTATAACAGCCTGAGATGCAGCAAGTAATCCACCCGGGCAGACAAATTGATATCATTGGAATCCATACCATGCATCAACCCATTGGATGGATCAATTACATTGGATGTCCTGCGCTGAACTGCACTGTAAGAAAGAGGCTTCAAAGCAAAGCAAAGGCAAAGCAGCGTCAAATCCATCCATTCTTTGATACGTGGTTCCACTGCCACGGGCTGGATCCCTGCCAAGATCAGATAAGCTGCGCGCCCTTGCGTCTTCCTCCACTTTTTTCCCTCTCACGATGCTTCTACTGTGGGATGCGGTGCGGACAGTCGTTGGCGGGCTTACAGTACAGTACAGTTGTAGCTGTGATCGGCACAGCTGCCTTACGGGGGGTTCGGGATCGTCCGCGTCTGGAATGAAGCTGGCTTCACTTTTGGCTGTGATGAGCGGTGCCAATATTTGGCGCCTCTATTGGCATTTCACTAGCTGGTGGTGATGGATGGATGGAGCTGAAGAGCCGCACGCTCATATGTAGTATTGATCTGACTTACCCCGGGTTTTGTGTTACCGCTACGGCTGATCCCTAGTAATAATAGATTGATTGAGATGTTGGCAATAGTTCGTCCGCTAGTCATGACACAAACAAATACAGCTGCAGTGGCCATCTCGAATTTATGCCGGCATTGTGCAAACCTCGACCATCCATCTCGGATGCAGAAAGACGCCCTCTCTCCCCTCCCATCGTCCAAGACATGCAGCCCAGGCAATTAAACAATGCCAGCCCCAGTACATACAGTAGTCCCGCCTAAATGCCGCGTAGTAGTCGTAGAAGACAGAGAGAGCGAGAGAGTACAGAGTATGTACTCGTAGAACCCAAAGGAAGAATGACGAAAAGAAACGACCAAAAGACTGAAAATCGTACGATCTCCACGCCTCCCCCAGCCGTGATTCGCTCGCTCATCAACCACCCGTCCGGTAATACTCCTCCACGCCCTGCCACCAGCTCTTGATCCCTGCCACGTCCAGCCACGACATGTCCCACGGGTCCTCAAACCACCACCGCCTGTCCCTGTCGCCGCCGTTGTTGTTGTTGTTGCCGCCGTTGTTGTTGTTGTTGCCGCCGTTGTTGTTGTTGTTGCCGCCGTTGTTGTTGTTGTTGCCGCCGTTGTTGTTGTTGTTGCCGCCGTTGTTGTTGTTGTTGCCGCCGTTGTTGTTGTTGTTGCCGCCGTTGTTGTTGTTGTTGCCGCCGTCGCTGGCGTACTTCTTGAGGCTGCCCCCGTCGAACCGGTGGTTCTTGACGCCCACCAGCAGCACGGCGCTGCCCACCCGCGGCGTGAACCCGTCCGGGTCCAGAAACACCGTCAGGTGCACCTGCTTGGCCGTCGACGGGTCGGCGATGCGTGCCGTGCGCTGCCTGCCCGGCGCCAGGTGCGACGGCTCCACGGGCGACAGCGAGGCGACAATCGCCAGCACGTTGACCGACCAGTTCTGCGCGTAGGGGAGATGCGGGATCAGCCGCAGCGTCGTGAGCTTGAGGGGCGCCTGGCGGTCGTGCCAGTCCTTGGCCAAGGCAATTGGCTGCTGCTGCTGCTGCTGTTGCTGTTGCGACTTTTCGCTGGCCGCTGCCGCTGCCGTCGTCGTCTCCCTTGCGTTGCTGGATGCAGCCGGCTTCTTGGGCGTCGTTTTCCGCGCTGGAAATGTGCGGGCTTCAAAGGCCTCGAACGCGTTCTCCAGGTCGTCCTCGTCGTCGTCCTCGTCGTCGTCGTCCAGGGGTCTCGGGGTCTGGGCCTTGCCTTTGTCTTGGAATCTGGCCTTGGTGGGAGTCTGGACTGAGGGCGAGGCTTGCGGGTCTGCGAATCGGACAACGCCTCGTCTTGGCCTGGATGCCTTTGGCGTCGTCGTCTGTGCCTCTTCCGATGCCGTCCCCTGGCTCTCTCGTGCGAGTTGCTCGTCTGTGCTCACCTTGCCTGTGACCACGGCTGGCTGTTGAGCATCCCCAGCATCCTCAGCATCTGCGGCGCCTTTGCCCTTTTCATGCCGACGCCACATTGCCATATATGACTCGTTCCATCCAGCCGTCTCCAGCTCGTTGACAATCAGATACACCATGCCCTTTTCGTCATCCTTCTCTCTCTTTTCCCTCTCGTCTTCCTCCTCGTCTTCCTCCTCCCCTTGGTCAAAGAGATTCTGCCCATCGGCCTCAGGCTCCTCGAACCGCATAACAAAGTCCCCCACTCTCACGCAGCATCCGACAAATACATCTTTCTTTTCCACTAGGTCAAACATGTCGGGGTGCAGCAGGGCCTGGATGCACAGCTCGCCGTCCCCCAGCACCAATCTGACAGCGTGAGAGTCATCGTCTTCGGGCGTCGCAGCCGGCACTGGAATCACATCGATGCCCTCGACAATGAAGATGGAGCCTGATATGCAGCGGCGAGTGCTGAGCATCTGCCTAATCAGTGGCTGAAGCGTGAATGGCTCCTGGCTGGGAGCAGTTGTTATGGCGGCAGGATTGAGGCGAGCCATGGTTTCACACCACTTTTGCGCTGTGGCATCTTTGCAGAGGAGAAGCCCGAGGTTTATTTGCCGCCGCAGGTTGCGAAAGGCATTCTCGAGGCCTGTATAGACTCGTAAATTCACGATCCAGAGTGTAAATTAAAAATCCGTAGTGCAACGTGCCACCCAACCAACCCAAGGGCGACGGCTCCGTAGCTAAAAGCACGATAATGCATCTATCCGAGTTTGTCTCAATCGGGGCATTCCTACCATCTCCACCGAAAATGAAGGAGCAATGAAACTCAGTGTTGATGATACTACTATCTTGGGATCATTACCCTAATCCTTTTTATCCAGCAAAGAGACGGCTTCAGCGCCATGAGTCACCCAGAAATATTCCAAAAGGAGCTGGAAACAGCGTTTGGGGCCCTCCTCCAGGCCTCCAAATTAAGCCAGCTCATCATCTCCTCTCAGGATAAAGGCACCATCACAAAGGACGACTTTAGCCCCGTCACCATTGCGGACTTTGCCATCCAGGCTCTCCTGATTTCCACCTTTAAAGATGCATTTCCCGAAGACACCTTTGTAGGAGAAGAGGATGCTGCCGATTTGCGAGCCAACGAGGCATTAATGAACCGTGTCTGGGACCTTCTCAACACCATTGCCCAGGATGAAGACACTCAGAGGGGCGCCTGCAGGCTACCCCAGACTAAGGACCAGATGTGTGATCTGATCGACCAGGCGGGCATGAGCCATCCAGGGGGGGCGGGATCTGGCAGGGTTTGGGTGTTTGATCCCATTGACGGCACCAAGACATATCTGAGGGGCGAGCTGTACGCCATCAACATCGGTCTGATTATCGACGGCAAGCAGACTCTGGGGGTTATCGGATGTCCCAATCTGTCATTACATCACAAGGGACCCCTTCGCAATAGCGATATTGATCCTGAGGGCAAAGGCTGCATTGTATATGCCATCAAGGGCCATGGCGCCTTTGCGAGGTCTTTGCAAAGTGGATCTCAAGATGTCAAGCAGCTACCTAAGCAGCCCGCAACACAGGACCTCAGCTTCGTCACATGCACCGGTCTCGTCGATTCAGCCTTGGACGGTGTTCACGAAGTGGTTGCGGAGCGTCTGGGAGTCGCTTTTCCAGGAAGCGATCTTGTGCCCTGGGTCCTTCGCTGGGCTGCCATGGCTCTTGGTATCGGCAACACGACTGTCTGGGTGTATAAGCGCCGAGACAGATTTGCGAAATCCTGGGACCATTCAGGTGCAATGCTTCTCTTTGAAGAGACGGGTGGCAAGATTACAGACGTGCATGGCAAAGATATTGACTTGTCGGCTGGAAGAAAGCTGAGTGCCAACTTTGGATTTGTGGCTGCGCCGGTAGCAGCCCATGATAGAGTACTACAGGCGGTCCACGATGTATTAAAAGAGCAAGGAAGAGATGCGTTTTTGTAATGAATGTAAATCGTATAGTGTAAAATAGGAAAAGCGGAAGGGTGGCATTGCGAATATTACTGTATCACGTCTGAATTGGGAGACTTATACAAGGTTGTTATTACATCCATTATCTATCAACAGATATATAGACTACAGGAGTAGGGTCGACACTGCGACCTACTTGGTATACACGCCATGGCTGACGGCGTGATATCCCTTCTTTCCAACTATCTCGACCAACTCGCTGCGCCAATCCTCACCGCGAGCCAACTTCTCAATAATCCCTGCAAACGTGTATTCGGGTTCCCAGCCGAGTTCTCGGACAGCTTTTCCCGAGTCGTACACCCTATCCATGCGATCCAAGTAGCTCCATCCTTTCTCACGAAACACTGCTGCAGCTGCGGGAACTACTTTGTCAAACACTTCTCCTGGATTTCTGTCCAGGGCAGCCAGCGTCTCTGGATCATTTGAGAATGGCGGCGGCGCACTAATAATATACTTCGACCATCCGATTTGTCTTGCCTTGTCCATGGCGCATACCGTTGCCGAAACAATGTCCTTGATATCACAACGACGGTACGCCATCTCCAAGACCTTGAGATTGTCGTCGCTCATCGCATTACGCCGATCTTCATCGTCATCTTCCTCTGGAAAGAAGCGACTCACACGAAGAACCAGTATCGGAAGGTTATGCTGCTTGTGGAAGAGCTGACAAACATCTTCGGCCGCAATTTTTGTCACTCCATAGATGTTTTTGGGAATGGGAACGACCGTCTCGTCGATCCAAGCTGCGGGGGAGCCTGGTTTGGGGCTGAGCGCCGAGCCAAAAGCGCTGGTGGTGCTGAAGAAGACGAAGCTTTTGATTTGATCGCCGAGTTTGGCTGCTTCTTCGAGAAGTACGAGAGTTCCTGCAATGTTTGTCTGGACGAAGTCGTTTTTGGTGTGAGATCCGACGTGAGGTTTGTGGAGAGTCGCCGTGTGGAGGACGTGCTTGATTGGGTATTTTTGGAAGATGCCGGCGATGAGGGGCTCGTCTGTTATTGAGCCGACGCAAGTAGTTGTTGGAGAAGCGAGGATGTCGATTCCAATTGGCTTGAAGCCGAGTGATGGAAGAGTTATCATGAGGGCATGACCCAAATGTCCGGCGGAGCCTGTGACAAGGACATCATATTGGGCGTCTGTAGAAAGCTGCATATTGGCACGCTTATTCTTTACAATATATAACGGTTAATAAAGAAAAAAGGAGAGAAAAATAACGAGAGGCTAGAGATTTTCTCAGATTAAATATTAGACTCAACGTATATACATGTTTGACACACGAAATCACAAGTTGAAAATCGTTTGTTCCGATATTGTCGCCAAGAATTTAGAGTGGTGGGGTGCGTTGAGGGGATGCGGCGAATGAGTCGAGAAGCCGGCCACGTTAGTCTAGAAGAGGCAAAAAATGAAGACGGCGAAGAGAGACGTGGTTAGAGCAATAATGAGCGTTTAGCTTGATTCACAAAGAATGGGGATGAGCGTTAATTTGGTCTTGGCCAGATGTGGAAATAATGAAAATTGAAGTAATAAGGACAGACCGGTTATCGGATCAGGAGATTGGATCATAGAGAGACAAGTCACGTAAGGCCGTGATGACGTGAAGATTCTAACGCTGGTTAAAGGCGATGTTAAACGTTTAGGCCGAGATGAAGCATGATGACTCTAATTTTTGGGTGCTGTCAATTATGTTTGGGTTGAAAGGAAGGTGATGTTGAATTGCGATCGTGAGTCTAATATGCTCGAAGTAAATAGAAGAAAATCACAAAGTAGCGTGAGAATTCCAGTTTCTTCAATACAATACCCAGCATTTGACTATTCTACCTTGATGGGATGCAAGCTGTTTCTTTCTATCTATTCCCACTATCTATGAGTCACATGAACTACTTACTTGGTAAATAACCCAATCTGAAACAGTAGGTATCTGATCCTGAACAAAATGAGACTTTTAACTCACATTCAGTGGCCTGCAGGCAAAAGTCTTTCGACAAATGCGCAAATCCTCACTATTATCTCTTGACAACATCCCCGGCCATCCTAATTCTCACACGCACCACGATGCCAAATCCCGTCAATGTCTCCCATAACCCAAACTCGTTTTCCTTTCTAAACGTGACTTCTTCAGCTTTGGCAGTCATCACCACGTCATCTTTGGGCTCCTCAACCGCGGGGGCTGCTGGCCGGACTGGTTCGTCGGATTTCTTGAACAAACCCCAAATACCAGATTTCTTGCTACTGTTGGCTTGACTGGCGCATCGATCCCTAATCGATTGCGTGTTTCTGGGAGCAGGGGCGGGTCGTTGAGGTTGCAGATGCTTCGCAAGTCGCCGCGCCATGTCTTCGTTTTCCCACCAAAGTGAGGGACGTCTCTCATCATCATCACCCTCCGACCGTGACGACAGAGTGTAGCCATCTGCTTTCTTCTTCGTTTGGCCGTCGCCTTTCTTTGTATTCTCGCGCACGCGAATCAACGTCCTAAATTCGCCCGCGCGCTTTTCATCCTCGTCGCTAAACTTCCAGCTCTCGCCGATCGCTGCATCGGGCACAAACGTCGCTTCCGCAAGCCTCGGCGTCGGATGGATCTCTGAAATCGAGGACAAGAAATCTTCCATGTAGGGCACGATGAGTGATAATACGTAGCTGTCGCGATCATCCCTGGCCGATGCTCGAGCAGCTTGTGAGGTGCTGATTTCGCTTCGGAGACCGGCTACGTGAGACGAGAATATGGACGAAGGCCTTGCGTCTGAGACCTGGACTGAGGCGCTGCTGGCTGGATTCACAATCGGCGAGTATGGAGGTGGAAGATCGTTTCCATCTTCCATGCGAAATTGATCTTCCATGGTAGGAGAAAATGACTAGTGGTAGCTGCGATACAGCTACACGTCAATCACAAGTATTTGATGTCTGCAGGTAAAAGTGATGTTGATAAAGTTACAATGTTCAAGCAGACTGTCGCTGCGGCTGAACACTAACACACTCAAAGTGAGGCGGCTTAGCGCCGAGGGAGAAATCCGCCTTAGAGAACATAGCCTTTGTTTGCATTGCCGTTGCCTTTAACTCCCGCTTTATTTACAATCAGCCTAACGAGGCGTAGTGCAAGTATTGCTCAGAGGCTTAAACCGCACTGTATTTGACATAGATTAGTATCTCTTGTACCTATCTGATCTTTTTACTTTCATGCCGTCACCTTACTATTAAGTGCCAATTTCTCTCTCTCAAGAGTGCCCAATTTCCTATGTGAAGTTCTCTTCTAGATACAATTTTTTTTTTCATCGTCATCATGATCGCAGGGGTTGATCTAGATCAGAGGCATAAACATCTTACCTAGACAGCATGCGTGGAGAATACTTATGTGACTGTTAAATGCTTAAAGGAGTAACTGCTCTACTGTTGCTGTGTCAATTACCTGGTGCCTGATGGTCTCTTTTGACACTTCACCCTTCACTAGTTGATCATTCTTATTCAAGAGTGCTACCCACAAATTGACCTTCTATAGCGCTCATATCGAAGATTTGTGGCTCAGGTCGACAAACATAACCTAGGTACCTACCTAAATGAATAACCTCAATCCTCCTCATTTTCATCTACAACATGACTCGTCCATGTGAAAAAAACCTGTGCTGATTAGATTAACTATAAGATAGCACACCCCATCTCCGACGATATCATCAATGGCTGCAATTATAACTAGCATTCCGAATACATTATATACCACGGATTTCCTAGTTTCTTATAAGAAGCGACTGACGCAATGCGATATCTAAAACCTTCATACAACTATAGTGGCTGGGCAATCTCGTTTGCTTCCCATACCTCATCTTGTTGAAAAATGGGTTTTAATATAAAATATATTCAGCATGTCTATCTGATTCTGTTAGTGTCTTCCAACATCCGAATGATTGCATTGCTCGACGCAAGGTTCCCTTGAATGAACTGAGCAATACGTTTGTTTCGAACAAATCCACTCCTCGTATCATCTTCCAACCTCTCAAGCTCTGCCTTTAGATTATCTCTCCTAATCTTAGCAGCTTCCCGTGGTGCGAACCTGCATCCACCTACAAAGTTAGGATCAGCACCGTATATGAGCAGTAGGTCTGCTAGTTTGTCGTTCGACCAGTTAATGGCGAATAATAGTGGTGTCTTAGAAGTAAGGTTAATGACTCTGCCACGAATTTCCTTCAATAAGATTGACTCACAGTCTATTCAATTCGTGAAGGTTAGCACATCTAATGGATATATCAACAATATATATAGCTTGATTGCATTCGCTTACAGGCTATAATCTCAATGTTAGTTATATTAATTGTATCGATATCTAGGTACGATAGTAGAATAGCTCTACTCGGTACAATGGAAGGTAACCAACTTCAATGCTGTAATATCGGAATACTGAACGTAAGGAGACTCTGTATGCTTACCTCGTGCGGAAAGAGATCAATTCCCCAAGGCGTGCGGAATATGTTCTGGACGTCGAAGAGTGGTATGTCAACTATCAAATACGATTAGTTAGATTGCGGATGTATGTATATTGCTCACCCTGTAAGTGTAATCCACTCTCACTCCGCCTTTCAGTAGCATCTCAACCATATGGGAATCTATCGCGGCCAGTCGGGAATCTATCGCGGCCAGATGGGAATCTATCGAAGGAATAAACCTTTGCATAGCAAAAATCAAAGGGGTTTTGCCATCATCATCGCTCTTGTTTATGTCAGCTCCTCTCTCTATCAGTAACTCGATAATGTTGGGTTTTCCCTCTTCGACGGCCAACATTAAAGGGGTTCTGCCATAACGATCGCTGTTGTTGATATCAGCTCCTCTCTCTACCAGTAACTCGATAATATTGGTTTTTCCCTTTTCGACGGCCGACATTAAAGGGGTTCTGCCATAACGACCGCCCTTATTGATATCAGCTCCCCTCTCTATCAGTAACTCGATAATATTGGTTTTTCCCTCTTCGACGGCCGACATTAAAGGGGTTCTGCCATAGCGATCGCTCTTGTTGATATCAGCTCCCCTCTCTACCAGTAACGTAATAATGTTTGTTTTCCCCTGTTTGGTGGCCAAAACGATAAGACTGACGCCTTCGTCATCTATCGCTTCTGGATCAGCACCGCTATCGAGCAGTCGCTTGACAACGGGGTCGTGGTCGTGCTTCATGGCAGACAAAATTAATTCGCGGCGAATCTTATCTACCGAATCAGGCTGTGCTCCTCTCATTAACTCGTTTGTTATTTCCTCATGTCCATAGCAAAGAGCGTAGGATATTGGCGTTCCTCCAATACTATCCACCACGTCCACGCGGGCACCTGCTTTGACTAATATCTGGACGATAGTCATATGTCCATTCCATGCAGCATAGAACAATGCTGTTCGGCCATATCTGTCTTTTATATTGATATTTGCACCTTTTGAGATCGATAAGCGAATAGCGGTTTTGAAAGCTTTTTTCGCATGGGCTTTTACACCTTTTGAGAATGTTTGACGCGTTGCCTTTTTGAGAGCTTCTTTTGCATGAACTTTGGGGCCCTTGATTAATAACTGCACAACCTCATCAAATCCGTTCTCTGATGCTAAAGAGAGTGCCGTACGTTGATGTGATTCGTCGACAGAATCCATTGCAGTATCAGGTGATTCGATCAGCTGCCTTACAATCATCTCAAGTCCAAAGTTGGAGGCGATCATAAGTTTCGTAAACTTTAAGGGGGCGTCTCTGTGTATATTTGTCCAATAAATCTCGAACCAAGTTGGACAACGGTCTGGTGTGACATTACAAAGTTGGTGTAGCTGCTCCAGGATTTCGTTTTGTTCGATATCAGACTCTCGGAAATGTCTTGCCCAATTTTTTGCGGAATAGTCCAGAAATAAATTATCGCGGACGTAGTCAGTTAATATTTCAGCGGATGACCGAGGTTTGATTATATTGAAAAGTAGATGCCAAATGCAAATTTCGCACATGATGCGATGAGACCTAACGGGTACAAATGAGAATTTCCAGGTGAGATTATTGCGAAGGTCCTGGCCCATAAGACTGTCCCGGTGGACTAAAAATTCTTTCGCTGTCTGATGTAGGAGATAAATTTTCCCACCTGTGATGTTTATGAAGAGGCCGCAGAGGTCTCTGATGTACTTGCTCACGCGATCGGGAGGTCTCAGAGCTAGATCTTCGTAGGACTTATGGTCCTCCCGAATTAACAGTGCCAGGTCCATCTCAGCGAGTGTCAAAGGCCGTTCAGCCGCTACTACAATGTGTAACAGCTTTCTAGTTTCTTTCACATTTGTGCTCTTAGCTAGAATCTTGTCGTAAGCCTCATCAACTGTTCGTGGAAGAAAAGAAATGGCGTCGCGAATCTCAGCTTTGTTGATCTTGTTTCTTATCTCAGTTTCAATCCATTTCAGTGTGAGATGAACCCATAAATATGTCCGATTAGGGATAGCTTCAAGCTCTTGTAAAAGGACCTTCTCCTCCTCTGGTGTAAGGCGAAGATTTGATTGAATGCGAGTGACGCTGTCCTTTATATAGAGGCTGATTTCTGCGGCAATCTTTTCTCCTTCGGCATCGCCATTCAAGTGGATCACAGGGCATTCCTGTCTGTCGAAAGGTGTGATCAAGTCCCGTCGGATTGCGTCATAGGGACGACTAGTTATCAGAAACTTTAAATTGACATTCTTTTTGGTGTCACCGCTTGTGCCATGGAATTCGCGCAGGATTTTTGCAAGATCTTGCCGTTCTTGATCTACACATTCATCGAATGCATCGAGGATGCAGACAATCTCGCCCGCGTTTTCTTCCCGTGTGACCATAGTTAAGATATCCCAGAGCTCCCAAAGCTCATAGTATGAATTGGCAGGAGGCGCTTTGTAAGACCTGAACCGCTTTATAATCTCGGTAGATAGGAGATTCTTGTTTTGCCTAAAGAGTTGATGCAATATGCAGCTAAGGGCACCTTTCGCGCTCCTCTGATCCTCAAAGTCATCCTTGAAGAAAAAGTAGCAGGTGGTTCTTTTGTCTGTGGCTTCGAGTTCGTCGACCAGACATTTAGCCAGGACTGACTTTCCACATCCGGGGTTTGCGGATACCCAGAGTATAGAAGAAGACGTACTGTCTCGCCAGTGGCGAAACACGTCATGATTTATAAACCATTCGCAGGTTCCTGGGACACGGTCAGGATTTCGATCTTTTCCCTGTAGATATGGTGATGTGTAAAGGGCCCGTAGTAGTTCCTCTCGAGCGTCATCTGATTTTGATATGTTCAGTTAGTCGTTAATATGAACCTTTAATTTACACAGTAGAAATGTTTTTTTATACCAAGATTAGGAAGTGTTCCGTTAAAATTAATGGTGTTACCACTGCCATTGATAATTTGGTGCCCTTGACCGCTATAGTGATGCTGATGGCCTGTTGCATTGGTGCCAATACGCTGAGCAAAGTGACTCCCATTGTCATGTTCCATCTTAGCCTTTGTAAGGGCTAACGCTTGTTCCATTGAGGAGCGACAAGATAATCCTTGGCCTCCGAGCTGCGTCTCCCCGCCGCCACCTAAACTCGTAGAATATTCCATGAGGAGGAATGACACTGTCACATAAGAGTTGTATAGACTGTGTTTAGGGAATCAAGAGACGGGTGGCCTACGAAATACGCCGATGCCTGATATGACAACAAAAGAAGAGAGAGGATTAAATAGATGCGGTGCGGGGATGAAGAGGCTGCGTCGGCTAAGGTCCCAATACAACACCCGATGGACATGTACAAGACTCGTGTTACATTCATCTAGCGGAGTCGGGGTTATTGGGAGTGTGTGGGGCTACCTGAAGGATCACCCCTCTCCAATAGTTCATACTGCCTGGTTCTATCAGGGAAGATGGTGGCTGGGAAGTTTTCTCCAGGAGTGGCACAGCCTGTATCTTTTGGAACCCAATGGATGCCCAATACCAGCTTTAGGCTCCGCTATGTAGGAGAAGTCCAATCGTCTAGCAGCTTCTTCGGCCATAATGATGAGGCTCTTCTTCATTATAAGTCGATATCAACTGCTTCATGCATTGGCCTATGGCGTGTCTGCCTGAGTTCGACGTTTACAACATGCATGTACGTAAAATTACAGATTCTTATAAGGAGATCAAAGATATCCACTCTATTCTCACAGCACTAGTAACATCAACATTGTGTTTTCATCTATCAGTCATAGTATATCGTCCAAGTACAGCCTTCATAACCGAAACGGCCGTAGCAGCAGCATACCGTTGCCACAAGTCATTTTTGTGGCTATCGGCGTAATCACACACACCCTTCACGATAATACAAGGAATCTCATCCCAAACACCAGCCCCTTCCCTCTCAAGCGCAATTACCTCTTGTTCCTCAGCAATCTTGTCTCGATGTTCTCCAGACTTCATCACCGAGTTTCCAGAGGCTATGCGTCCAACGAATATTTCAGGATCTCCAGTAGAACCTCTTATCTCTAGGTCCGTTCTCTTCACTAGTTGTGTCTCGTCGCAGCCAAGGTCAATGCAGGACGCCTTGGCAGCCTGCTCGCAGAAAGTATCGGTCGGGTTGTCACAGAAGGGGCATGGTTGTCGGCCTCTATGTTTGTGTCGATATGCTGGGAAGAAGAGTTTGTCGTTGTTTATCCCAGGATACTGATAATTCTGTGGTCGTCGCTTCTTTGCGGCTGCACTCTGTAAATCCTTCAGGTATAAGCACGCCTTTCGTTGCAACTGGTCTCTTATATGTTCCGTCTCAAAACTTGCAACCAAATTGCGAATGTTCTTATTTGGCCGACCGAGACTGTCATCGACGGTATCTTTAATCATAAACGCCTTGTGATATTGTTTGCCCAGGTCATACTGAACAGCGGATTTGCTGATAATGACATCGCCCAAGTGAATTTCGTTTTCACCACTTCTTGGCACACCGCCGCAGATTCCAACTAGGAAAGCAAGCTGCAAGTTCGGATAACTCGACCGAAAGCTTGCTGCTGCTCCAGCCGCAGCGACTGTGCCCATGTTGGGAAGAAGTACCAGCACAACGTCATACTGGCCCATGCGGCCGTTTGTGTAAGAGTTCATGTCTCCGCGGGCGCGGCCGTACGACTCATCATCGTCCCAGAACTTGTCGAAAAGCAAAGAAACGACATCGTACTCGAGTGGCCGCGCACAGATGATGGCGATTTGGAAATCTTCACGGCTACGCGGCCGACCTCCAGCTTCTGACCGGCTAGCGGGTCTCATCTGTAGCTGATCACGGCCTACAGTATTATTCGCGTCCGCATGGCGTGAATCATGACCGCCTTGACCTTGAAGATAAAAGGTAACTTTACACGAAAAGGGTCAGCTTAATTTGGAATAGAATTTGAATATTACATCTATGGCTTCCTACCAAAATCCGGTCCAAAGTTATTAACACCATTGAAAATTTGATGACTGTGACCACCATAGTAAGATTGATTGCCTGTTCCTCCAGAGGCAACATGTTGGGTAAAACCGACCCCAGGGGTCTCATCATCAGTGTCCGAGACAGATGACTTCACCTGCGACATTTTGTCAATGGCTTCTTGTAGCTTTTTTTTCATGTAGTCTTCAGCTTTAAGCAAGTCTTCGGTAAACAATGCATCCAAGTCCTTTAGGAGACTGAGCATGAGGACCTCGACACGGTGCGAATTATCCAGCGCTCTCAGCGTGTCGCGATAGCAGTCCAAGACTGATGTATACTTTGAGTTATTCTTCATCTCCTTTCCAACTTGTATGAAGATATTTTGTAGCCCCTCTGCCTTCGTTTTGAGGCTTTCAGCTAAAGGTTGAAACCTCGTAGTAGAGCTTTCATCCAAGGGCGCATTTTTGCAGGCATACTCAAGAGTCTCTTTCGCAACTGGGAAGGCCTGATTGACTTGTATAAATTCACCGGGAAGATCTTTGAGGCGATGTATATTTAGTTTATATTGTGTGGACGTGTATTGGACGGTCGCAATCGCGGACTCGAAAACATCGCAAAGTATCGATTGATTCGATTCAGCCTGCATGCTGTTGATCTATTGCGGCGGGTAAGATAGATGTCGGAAAGGATATTCTTTTCTATATGTCGTGTCAGACGCGTATAGATAATTATCCATAGATGATCGTACCTCTTGATTAGAAGCCTCGTTAAAAAACAAGATGCCTACTTATATCTGGTCCCTTGACTCTCTAATACTCTCTGGCTGTTGGCTAGTGAATAGAGATCCTCTAATCACCACCAACCCACGACACTCAGTCCGACGATGGGGGAATGGCAAGAGAGAGAAGATAACAAAGAATTAGAGAGCCCTTTACAACGAAGTCAAAGGGGGGAAGACATGGAACACATGGGAAGAGAGGGGTTTAACAGACGAGGCTCTAGGCGACCTTATGTCAGCTACAGGATTTCGGATGGGTGTAGGAGCTGTGAACATTTCTGGTTTAGCGTTCTGCATCTCGAGTCTCGGTGTTTTATGTAGACGAATGAATGGCCAGCCTCGCAGTTAGCCGCTCACGCGTATGGAGGGTGTGCTTCAACATATGAGGCTCGTTGCCTTGGATAGTCTGCGCCATGCGGCTGAATACATGTACATGCAAACTACGTGTTTCACCTCGTGAGAAGGTCAATACCAGTCTTACTGACGAGAGGTGGAGTATGCCGGGACGGGCCGGCGCCAGAAGATTCGCCAAACTACATGTAGTTGAGAGCGGTCTTCAAATTGCTTACACACAGAAGAAAAAGCCTGGTACTCAGCCTCATGTATGCTGTGTTGGCGTCCCGACGGCGTCGAGCAGACATGTACATGTACAGTAGCGTCTCTAATAACGCCTTGGCAGCCTCGTACGAGTACATGTACATAGCGCCTCCGCTAGTGCGGGAAGGCAACCCAAGGCAACCGGAGCTAAAATCCGGGCGGCCACATGTACCTAGGTACCTGATTGAACTGGCCATGCATTGGGCGGCGGCTGTTCGAGGTCAGTGCGTGACGATAGCCTACATGTACATGTGCAGACGCCAACATACATGTAACTTGCCTGTCAAAGGAGTTGCTGTATTTCATCAAAGTTGTCTGGAACCGAGGCCGGATAGTAAGTTACTAACGTTCAAAGGTGAATGCTTCAACCGCAATCTGCCTTGTACCGGATGCGATTTGCGGCGGCCACATGCACTTTTACCGCTCCCAAAGCACAAGCGGGCATCAACATGGTGTTGGCGCTCATGGCGTTAGAATTAGAGACGTGGAATCATCTAAACCACACAACTAAAGGGCTATCTATAGAGTATTTCATTCTATCACAATACAAAGTCTCTCATGTCTATTTGTCCAGTGCCCTTCACACATCTACAACTCCAAGTTCCCATTCGTTTGCTCCGTCTTGCTCACAATATCCTCGAGCTCAGTCTCTGGCTGAATATAAGGAACAATCGTCTTACGCACCATCGTCGCCTGCTCAAACGCATACGCAATCTCAATGAGCGCCTCCTCGCTGAACCGCGCGCCGCTAAATCCCAACCCAAACGGCTGGTTCGGACCCTTGAGATTCAGGGTTCCAAACTCATTCCTCACTAACGGGGCGTCGTCGGGTGTTCGTCCTACCGGTACTGAAATGACAGGATTGCCTAAAGGAGCTGCAAGTATGCTCAAATACTCCGTGGGAAGGACTATGGCATCGAGAGAGTGTTCCTTCACTGCACCGGCAATTCCTTGAGGGCCGGCGAGCTCTGCCTGGGCGCTGTAATTCTCCCACCACACTGGCGAGGTGTTGTCGTAGCCTCTGCTGATGCCCCTGTCCCAAGACTGGGTACCCTTTTCGGGATACTCTTCACGGATATCTTTATGGATAAAGTCACGTAGTTGAATCATTGTAGTGATGTTGTTGGGGTTCGTCTTGAGCTGCGAAAAATATCGGGGTATGTCTGCCATCATGTCTGGACCCGTGACAAACGGGCTATATTTCCTGCTGACCAAGTCCGCTGCACCGGACAAGAAGATGTGGTCCACAAGTTCGGCGCCTTGCTCTCGCAATACGTCCAGCGCAGAGTTGAACACCTCGATCATGTAATCCGAAGGCCTGTCTGACCCCAGCTGCAGCATGTGTCGAGGAACACCAATCCGCTTCCCATGCAGGCCCTTGCCCTTACAAGCGGCGACGTAATCTGGGGGCTTCTCTCCAAACGGCGATGCAGACGTGTAATTGTCGTTCTTGTCTGATCCGGCAATTGCTGATAACAAGTATGCAGCATCCTTGACAGTTCGCGCCATTGGTCCAACGGTATCCTGATGCTCCGAGATGGGAACGACGAGATACCTGGACGTCAGCCCCATGGTCGGTTTGATACCAACCAAGTTATGTTTGCTCGAAGGGTCTGCAATGGAACCAGTCGTATCAGTGCCTAAAGCCGCCCAGGCCAAACCAATCGAGGCCGCGGTTCCGCTGCCAGACGACGAACCATCGGGATCCATCTCGGGGAAGTATGCGCCGATACACTGCCCGCCATACGCAGACCATCCTTGGGTAATGGCTCCGCGGGCACCGGACCACTGCGACAGATTGGCCTTGCCAAGAATGATGGCTCCAGCCTCACGTAGCTTGCGCGCAACCGTGCTGTCCTCCGGGACCTCGGCGCCAACGAGGACGTACGACCCGGCCGTGTTGTTCATCTTGTCAGCCGTGGCAATGTTATCCTTGATGACGACTGGAATCCCATGAAGCGGACCGATGAGATGTCCAGAATGTCTCAAGGCGTCATGATGTGCGGCGATGGAAATGGCATCAGGGTTAATCTCGTTGATGGCGTGCAGCCGCGGGTTGACCTGCTCTATTCTGGCGGTATAGGCCCGGATCAAGTCCACGCTGGTGAAATGCCCGCCATTGAGGCCTGATTGTAGTTCGTCAAGCGTCGCGTCGAGCAGAGGGGGGAATTCAACGCGGCCATTTCTCGGCGCACAGTGGCCAAGCGGCAGAGAGGAGGCCACTATCATCATTATTTGTAAAAGGTGTTTGGTAGGCATTGTTAATGATTGTCGTCCCTGGCGGAGAGATTGTTCTTATCAAAGTGCAAGCTCGTGTGATGACGAGGTTACCGCCATTTATGGTATTATATCTCCAGTGGTTTCTTGCTGGCTAGTTGGTTCTGGTGGTAGTTGTACCCGTCATGAGAGAGTCTTACGTACGAGCCTACACAATCTCGGTGGTAACCCTAGACGCCAGCTAGCGTGCTTTGTACAAATACGCGCGTCTCGAGACAACGCTTGTAATGGCAAATGTGCGAAAAAAAAAAAAAAAGTAGGGATAGGAGATGATACCAGAAGAAAGTAAATGATACTACAAGAGAGTAGATGACACTGCAAGAAAAAAGTCTTCTTTCATCCCACCCATGTTGAGCTCTTTTAATGCCCTCATAGCGTCTCCGTGCTCGGTGCCATGACACCCCCGACAACAAACTCTCCACCTCCAATTGTCTCATGAAGGACATCAATTGACTTTCGATCAAAGTCACTTGTTGATCTTGGCCACAGCTGCAGAGAACCGTTAAAATTGGTCAAGTCTAAGGCATGTACCTACAAGCACGTGTACAGCTGTAGCAAATGGTAGGTAACTCTCTCCTGGTAACCATCATCACCATGCATCGAGGGCTGTCCAACGGATCATGAAGCTGCTCTCTCGTATGGGTTGCTTCTCTGGGCCTCGGGGAGTATTTTATGACTGTGCCACCCCATTTCAATGTCAATAATGTCCATTTCTTCGCCTTTGCCTCCTGGCTTTCTGTGGGCAAACTCCATTCCTGTATTAACTCCGACCGGCGCGCCTGGAAGATAACCTTGACGCGAAACCCGACGTAGAGTCGAGGCCTCACAAACCTCCAAGCAAACTGCCTCTCAGCCTAATAAAGATTCCAAATCTTTACCTTAAGCGAACCTTTATCTAGATTAGACTCCGCAGCGGTAAATCTTGATTAGTAGTCTTTACGATCTTACGCTTGGAATCTAGATCGGTTTCCCCAGCGCAAATAATAATCTAATACTCCGTACCTAGAGCTACTTTGCAATATTGGACACACATTACGCATTGGGATTTCACCGCAGAGCATGGTGCAATGCTATCTAGTAATTAAGATTCCAAAACACTGGTGTAGGCAGGCCCATATCAGGACTGAACTCCGTAACCGCAAATTTCGATTATTAATGCTTCACAATCTAGTACGTCAAGAAATCTGTATTATTTTACACAGAGGCTCAAGTATAAAAGAGGCAGCTTATCACTAAATATTACTATTAAATATCACAGAACGATTGCGCAGTTTATATTACAATATATATTTACTCTTTTCTACAAGCCTCGCAGCACATATCAGCTATATTGCAAGGGCAATTTCCGATATGGCAGATGTAATCCAGAACGTTATTGTAGTCGGGGTATGACAGTGCAATATCTCTACCTACTACTCTCGACCTATTTACTAATGCGGCACAGGTCGGTGGTACCATTGGCCCTACTTTCCTTGCTAAACTTCGGAATGCAGGCTTCAAAGTTTCAATCCTTGCTCGTGAGGCTTCCAAGGCTACGTATCCCACCGATATTCCTGTCCATCGGACAGATCTTAGTTATTCATCCCTTGTGAAGGCTTTTCATGGTATTGATGCCGTCGTCTCTGCTGTCGCAACTTTTAACGTCCCTGATCAATTCGCTATGATCGATGCCGCGGTTGAGGCCAAAGTGAAACGCTTCCTGCCAAGCGAATATGGCGGTGATGCCTCGTTGCCTGATCTCGAGAATATTGCTCCATTTGCCGTCCAGAAACAAAAGGTTGTTGAGTACCTTAAAACAAAAGAGTCGCAGGGCCTTTCTTGGACTGCCATCAGTGTCGGAGCCTTCTTTGATTATGTAAGTGTCCAGCAATAGTTGTAAAACCCCAGGCTGCAAAGATTTTCAGTCTAACATGAGATTTCCAAGCTGTTCGGGTATGGTTATGGCCTGATGGGCTTTCACTTCGACGAGCCAAAAGTTCAGCTATACGACAAGGGCGTAAGGCCTCTCGACGCCACCACTATGAATCAAGTCGGTCTAGTAGTGGCTGCAACCCTTCAACATCTTGAGGAGACAAAGAATAAGCGGATATACGTCAACTCTTTTTCCGTTTCGCAGAGTCAAATTGTCGACGCCTTTGAGAACCTTTCAGGCAAAACGTTTGAGAGAACTGAAGGAAGCACTAAGGAGTTGATTGCAGCTGGCAAGGCGCATATAGAAGAGGGAAACTGGGATCTTGGATATCCGGAATCAGTCACGGCGGCACTTTACTCAGACACAGGCTTTGGCTACTCTTCAGGACGCGCTTCCGAACGGAACAAGATTTTAGGTCTGCCTGAAGAGAGCCTAGATGTATGTGCCAAGGAACTTTTGCAAAGCAAAGGTTGGATTTAGGTTTTAAGACTAAACTGTTTTTTATATACAGCCTGCAGACAAAAAGTCTACAATTACTTTACTCGTTTGCAGATATGTCGATCGCCAATTATTCATACCGCGGACATAGGCTTTGCGAATAGGGATACAGGGGCTATACTTTACCATAACTACCTTGGCAATAGTAGATGATGTTAGAAGAAGGTAATAATAGTATATGATACTGGAAGAGAGTAGAAGATATTAGGTGATAATACTACAAGAGAAGCGTCTTCTTTTCTCCAACCCAGTTTAGGCTCTTGTGATGCCCTTGAAGCGTCTTTGTGCTCGATGCCGATTCACGCCCGACAACAGCCTCTCTGTCTCTAACCGCCTCCTCAACACCTTTACTAGCTCATGACCACGTTCAACAAGGCGAATGCCCTCCTCCGTAACTGCCGCCAACTCATTTACCAAACGCACTGACTCCCGCCGGTAACGTCTCGTCTCGTCTCGTCTTCCTCTCGTCCCTCGCCCCTCGTCCCCACAAGATCATCAATCGCAGCCATGATGGCCGCCACCATCTCTGCCGTTGGCATTTCTATGACTATGATTGTTGTTGTTTTTGTTGTTGTTGTGGTGGTGGTGATGGTGTCTGTGTTAAAAGTTCAAGTTCTATTTTGAAAAAAAGGCTGCTGACTTTATACCACGGCTTGAGGAAGCCTCCTTCCGCTCGATTTCTCGTCACGAGAATATCCTTTCCAATCATTACTAGTAGGTAAATACGATAAAGAAGACAGTTACAGGCTTGAGTAACTTTCCCTCGTAGGACCTATCCAAGGAATAGTGGTATGGGAAAGAGCAAAATGCCGTAATACTGTAGTAACACAAAACAATATATTCGCATCATACCCTTTTTCAACCTAGCTACCTATTCTGTATGTCGCAACATATGTGTATTTCTAATCTCGATGACTTTAGTCAATCCCTTGGCCCCGCCTGCCTGTTGCTCCTCCGCAGTCCTCTCCAAAATATCCTGTCACAAGGTATTACCCGACATGCTGGCTTGGTGAGCAGCAACGATTTCCTGCTGCCAAGCCGTGATATCTGTTTGCTGTAAGGCCAAATTATCGTCCACCTCAGCATCAACATTTAACTCAAATCCATCTTCCGACCCAAGGTCATCATCTGCCCCATTACCATCCCACATATCGTCATCCCCTTGATCCGCAAAAGCTGAATAATTGCCCATCTTATTGAAGCCCCATTGGGTCGGCTCATTCTCTAGAATGATCTGGGTAATTGGATCAAACACCAAATCCTTGAGCAGCAGATGTCGATAGATGCATGTTCCGTTGGACCTGAAAATATCCGCCTCAGTCTCTTCAAGGGAGACAGCGTCGTAGATAAGGGTCGAATGCGTGTTCTTCTCGGCCACCTCGTTCCACTTTGTGATAATCCGAGATTGAGCTGTCATGGTCCCCACATTGCTCCTCCAGACGATGCTGGCTCGACTGTCTTCATAAGTGTACCGGAAGATGTATGCGCGGCTTTCATCTTTGTCAAGACAGGTACCCCAAAGTTCCATCACTGCCAGTCGGGGAAGCGACAGAGCCGCTTTGGCTGCGAGCATTACCAGGGATTCGAAATCTCGTCTAGCTTTGAATGGACTTTTGAGAGAACAACGCAGAACAATGCGTTTCAGCGAGCTTTCAGGAATCTCGAAGGATTCGCTTAGTTTGATAAGAGACCGAAGAAAGGCAGCAGTATCCATCTGCCATGGCGGACAGAACTGCTCCAGCCTGTGAGAAAGCTTTGCCATCTCCCAGGGCAGGGCTTGCGCATATGAAGAAATTTTAGATGCTTCTTCTTCTTCAAGACCATAAGATTGCTGAATCTCATCTTTGGGAATTTCCCACTGCGTGAAGGAGAACTGGCGCAATGTACTCGGCAGGGAGGGCAGTACGCGCGACTGGAAGTCTAAGAAAGGGGCGTTAGCTTCATCAGATGCTTGCCATTCAAACCGATCGGAGCTTCATACCTCTATCAAAAGTAGTTTGCTTATAAGGCTCTAGGGGAATGGTCTTCTCGAAACGGAACCACTCCAGTGCCACAAAGCTTCGACTTAGTAGCTCAGACAGTGCGCGTGTATGAATGTCTCTGCGAAACTGTCTACGCATAACCAGTCCCTTGACTACAGGCACGGCAGGAAGGCTCTTGTATCGACCGACGAAGCGGCCTCGCTCGCCCCTTTTCGGTTCAAATTGGAGCGGAGTTCCCTGCGCCCTTTTGACATGCCCATTGTGCATCGGTGGAGACCGGTACTGATGAAACCGAACGGTAAGCGAACTAACAACGTTGGCCCTGTGGAAGTCGACGATACCGGGCGCACGACATAAATCTTCGGCGTAGTGAAATGGATAAGTGTCCTTGATTTCACACCGTCTGAACCGATGCTCAGCATCACTGCGCGAGGAAGCAGACAACATCAATGCCAGTCCCTTCGATCCATGTCTCGCTGGATCCCAGAGCGTGAGAGTGCCCAGTAGGGACTGGATAGCCATTGTGAATGCCGCATTGTTGCTGGGAGGGTTGATTAGCACAAAAGTACGCAGGTATCAGAGCAGGTGATGAGAATGCCCGACACAGCATTGAACATACCGACGCTGTGTTGCCCCATTCTCTGGTCTGTCACAATCGGAACAGCCGTACGATGGGAGTTGAATTCGAAGCCAGAGTTTTTGGATGTACGCCAGCCGAATGTCATGGCGTTTGATGATTGCGTCAAATTCGCCGAGAGAGTTGGAATCAAGGACCAGACGCCGAAATAGACAGGTCTCAAAGAAGACTTGCCAGTCCCGGCACACTGTAGCGAATTTGGCCACCTTGTATCGCCTCCCCATCCAGGGTAAACCCACCATGGACAGTATCATGTGGTGTATTTCGACTGGCAAGGAGTCCCACAAGGTGGCCATTAGGATTAATGATGGCGACTGGACCTTTACGAGGCCTGTCGCCATATCCATCGCGACGAGAGGCATGGTATGCTTAGGTATATGGCGAATGCGTCCGCAGAGACGGGGTGTTGTACAATGGCAGATTGGAAGAATGAGAAATGTTTTTTTCAAGAAAGAAGCCAGGGGATGAAAAAATTTCACTCGCCTCATTTAATTCTGCGTAAAGTTTACGTAGATAGCAATTGTGCTCCATTTGCTGCAGATAGGCTCAGAAAGCCTCATGTGGCTTCAAAAGAGTTGTGCAGGGACGAGAAATAAGTACAGGGTGTCTCCAAACCGCCACCGATAACGACGGTACTTGTCGTCTGGACAGCACCCTTCGATTTGCTGTGTAGTACCTATGTACTTGGGATTACTGCGGGAGAGTTTTATAACATGCTTGAGCTTTAATGTGAGATCGTGAATGTGTCTTGGTGCGTTGTTACGTGTACGTAGTGGGTATTTTTCTTATTCTTCATTGTCATATTGTACAAGAAATGACTATATTATTTCTACCAAATCCGAACGTAGGGCCCCTTCAATTGCCTGATTTTCTTTTCCGTAGCGATTCTTATTCCCATCGTCTGGGCCTTTGGCGATTTGCATTGTTGGAAGTGAATCGGAGATGCTCAGTAACGTCGTTTTTGGGAGAAAACCCAGTGCCCAGCCTCTAGCCAAGAGCTGAGTCTGATGTGCGCGACAAATTGTTGATTCGTACCTGGTACTGAACGGATTACTGCCGTCACTAACGCATACATGTACCTATGTATAGCAACATAATTGAGGCAGCTTCAAACTTTGGGAATTGTATGGAGAACAAATTTTGAATTGATGTTGTATTGTAGTGAACGATGAGATGCAGCATGGATGAGTGCCCGACCAAGTACAGTACCTAGACCAGAACTAGAAACAGCCCCAGCAGCATGATTTTGTTGAAAGACAACGTGTGTATCCTTGCCTTCATCATGGATATAAATTACTGGGCCGGTCACGGAAGTTTGGACAGCAGAAAATTGGACCATTGACCATTCAGCGCAAGGCGAGTCCGCACGCTTTCAAGCTGGACCAAAAACCTCATTGGCGAATTCATCCTCCACTGTCATATGGATTATGCAGTTGGAGCCAGTGCTGATGAAAGAAAACTTCATTGCAGTATTCCATGTCAAATTGGACCTCTTTTATTTTCTCGTTCAATTGCGCGACCTTGGCGTTGAGTCGGCTTTCCACGTTTTCCATGCTTTGGCGTCTCTGCATGGCTGCATGGGTGGTGGAGCACCAAAGGTGATGAAGTCGTCACAAACTCGTGAGTAATGTTGGGCGAAAGAGTTTGCGAATAATTGCGTTGGTCGATGGAGGTAGTAATGAATAGCGTGGCGGCGCATCTACTTTACAGCCGAATCCTGATGTGATGCCCACGAGTACCTGTCCTGAAGCAGCCTTTCCGAGTTTAGTTGGATGGTCCGGTCATTGGACTCGGGCAGCCATCATTCGGGAGGCTTGGAGCTACCAGTGTAAGGTACTAGACTAAAGGCACAGGCGGGTGGGTTTAGAAATCGGACTGTTGGGACTAAATCGAGGCAGAGAGTTTGTAAAGATACCCCACTGAGAGTGTTAAAAGAGTAAGAGTACATGTACTGGAGGCATAAGAGTGAACAGGGTTACTGTGAGTACATATTTGAATGGAATATATCGTCATGAAACAGTCCTTGAGATAAATCGGGAGTGACCTCTCTCTAAAACGACAACTCAACGAAGGTCGTCATCTTCAAAAGCAGCAACTCTGAGTTCTTCAGCACGCATTGTGATGTCTTTCCTGAGACAGGCTAGTCTCTCCATGATTTGAAAGCAACATGTATTAGACATCCAACTTTATAAAGCCTAGAATACTGCTTTCTAGCTACGTGTATGCAACTCCAATGTTTGGCAATATTGATGTGGATCAACCTTTAAGCGGAGAATATTCTTGAAAGGTCCACTTTGCGGAAATATTGCTCCATTGTATCCAATTCTGGTGGCGTTTTCAACTAAATCTTGTTTAGTTCATGGTTCAAGCAACATCCATCGCTCGACGGAGCACGCTTACCTGGCTTGGGTGAACGATGGTCGCGTCATCTCTACCTTCATACCCAAACTCTTCGAAATAAAGAAAACCCTCGTCAATTTCGAGT